TCGGGTATGATGTTATCCAGATATTTTAAAAAGAAAAACTGAATGAACAATTTGGAAATACATCGGAATTGCTATCTCATATGACAAATAAATTATTTTAAAAATATATAAGTAAACTAAAAATTATATAAATATAATAATCTATAAAACTAGTAATCAAAATTATTAAATAACAATAGAAAAAATATTATAATTACAATACATTATACATATATAATTATACATATATAATGTGCTTTATATACAAATACATAAATAATGCTTTTAATTCTAAAAATAAAAAATTTAAAACAGCAACAAAAACATAAACGTAACATAATCATATTAATAACAATAATGAAAGTAAAATGTATAAGTCTTGAAGAGTAAACAATCATACCTCAAAATGGTTCTATGCTTAAATGATTTAATTAAATTAATTGTGGGTTTAATATGTGTATTGATTTTCTCAACATTGTTTCTAACTTCTCCTAACACCACACTAGTTATGGAACGGACTTCTTGGTAATTTTGATGAAATTAATTGACTGCAGAATAGATAATGAACAATGCACTTCGTTTAACAATTAAACATTTGAATATTTACTTATAATCTCGTTCAACCATTGTTGCACTGAAACCATACAAAGTTACGTTTCCAATAAATCAAACTTGTGTCAAAGTCTTCATGCTCGGACAGGCTTGAGAGCGACGATCATATCACAAACATCATAATTTAGGTGTAAACAAGCCAATTGAGGCGCGTAAGTCGCAAATTTATATGCCTCCGCACTCAAGTACCAGTTGGTCTGGTTTCCAAGTAGCAGCAGATGCAACAAGCCACAACGAATCAGTTGGCTAATTATAAATACCACTGGCTGCTAGGCATTATTTAATATGCTTCTGTACATACATACCTACATACAAGTACATATGTACATATGTATGTATTTCTACGTATCGATGTAGACATTTTTGTGTTGGGAATGTGTAGCAATAAAACGAAAAGCAATTTGGACAACTGGTTCGAATGTTGTTGTTATTATTGTTGTTGTAGCTGGGACAAGTAAACAACATGCCAAACATGAGAGTCATTCAAAATAAAAATCTACCAAAATGCTTGTGCAGTTATCAACTGCAACTGTGGCGTCACCGTCCCTACTCCCAGGGGGATTCAAGTGGAGAACAGAACTAAAATATAAAAAAAAGTGGAAGAAAGCAACTCTTGCATTAGCATGTTTTTCTGTGTCCTGTATGTTGACGTTGCGCTCCCTCTGACAATATGTTGCCAGCTGTGCTCCTGTACAATGGGCCACTTGAACAACAACAATAAAAAATCATTAGGATGCCAATGGCAGGCAGGCCGGAGGAGTACGAGTAGGAGTTGGAATCGGAGGAGGACTAACTGCCAACGCCCACACACTCAGTGACGTCAAGAACGAGAACGGCTACGACGACTACGACGACGGCAACGGGCACTTCATAAATCTACAAGGCATATGAAATATCCTGTGCTGAGTGTATAGGGCCAATCATATAGCACACTTCTGGGCGTGCTACAGGAATGTGGAGGACAACGAAGACGATGTGAAGGACTATGAAGCACGACTGGTTGCTGCAAACAAAAACTTTCTGACATTGCTACTTCTTCTATAAATTTTACTTCACACACACAATGTGCAGCACACACACACACTTACACATACACTCGCACGCACACTCAATGCACATTGCTTTTGATTTATTAACAAGCTATCCGTTTATCATGCGGGCAGCAACCAAACAGGGATTAAGGCAGTGAGGCAGCAACAAAGGGTTAATGCCAAAGGGCCATTGAATTATGTACTACCCTCCCGCCTTCCCTCTCTTCCTCGCCCTTCCAATATCAATTGCCAATTTGTTATAAAGCACCGCTTCCCATGCCTCTATCTCTATCTACGACTCAGACGCCGGCGTCGCTGCTTTGGCGCCAAAAATGCCGCTGTTTAGTGAGCAGCACACACACAAAAAACCACACACTCATTCTAAAATATACCACAAAAGATAAACAATTGCCAAGATAAACAAGTCACGATAAAATATGCGTACAATTCCAAAAAGATTTTCATTTGTTTTATTTTTATAACACTGGCAAATGGTATTTTAATTTCAATCAAATGTTTGTAACGCATGTTGAAATGGGACCATTCACTAGAATCGAATAGTGTGTGGAGTCTCCAAATATACAAAAAATACAAATATTGGAAGTTAAGCTTTGGAAAATATATTTATTTTAACAAAACAATATGAAATGCATGTATAGTATGAATGGCTTTATTAAATAGTTGCTAGAAATCCTTAGCTGTTTTTAGCACTTTTAATTACTACTTATAGGAAGATTATGAAATCCGAAGACCACATTTCAAGGTTTATTATGCGATTTTTATTACAATAAAAAAAAAATTCAAAGTAATGCGTAACTGAATAATCAAAAACAGGGCAAGGCTTTTTATACAAGTTTTGAGCTCTTGTTTTTGCATTTTGTTGCTGTTTAATTTAAAAATGTGTACACTTAGGAATAACATTTGAACCTATTGAAAAAATTACCTTTAGGCAGAGTATTTCAAATACATTTTACAGGGAATTTAAATTTCGGTGTAGGCATTAAGGCATTTTTCGTTATTTTTCCATTTGTTCTTTCGATAATTTATGTGCTGCCAAGTTTATTAAACATTAGAGGGAATTAAATTAAGATATTTTTTAGATTAACGTTTTCTCTTTTACTGCGCAGCCAAATAACGGAAAATTGATCATCTTTTATGTAAAGTATTTGTTTTGGACATTTGGCCTTTACTTTGTCATTTCAAATGTATGTACTATAGTATGTATGTTTCTATGGAGCTGGCTGATGACCACGTAGAAAAACAAAACCCTAACTGAGTAACAAAAACAACAATAAAAACAACAACAGCAGGGAACTTGCAGCCGGCGTGTTCGAGCGTTAAATTTTCATGTGGGCGTCGGTCACACAAAGCTTCAAGACAAAAAAAAGCAAAGCAAACAAGTTGAAGGAGTCGTCGTCATCGTCAACATCATTATCATTGTCATCATCATCGACGCCGATGCCGATGTCGTTGCTGTGGGTGCCGCGACGGCCAAGACACAATGTTGACCAATAAATTTTGTGACCATGAACGAGAAGTGCAGATCAAAGCAAAGTAAAGCAAAGCATTAAAAGGCAACAACAATAAAAACGACTAAATGTGGAAAAACTAGCGCGCTGTTGTAGCTGCAGAAGCGTGTAAATGCTCCACAAACGTCATTAACGTCGCCTTATCTCAAAAATCGACACTGCTGCTGCATTCCCGTGTCTTGTCTGCCTGTCTGCGTGGAAAATTACCTGCCTAAGCAAAAGCAAAGGCAGCGCGCTTACTAATTATCAAAGCGTTTCATATTTATCTAACATTTTTGTGGTTCTGTGGCCTGTTACACATACATACATATAGGCTTGTAATTAGCTATGTTAATTTCAACAGTCATTATCAGACTGCAGCGGCACGAGATAAAACACTAGCTAACAAGTTATCTTCGCCTGATGGATATCACTGAAATTTCGATTTGGTTCGTCATAAATAATCATAAATGTACATAATACCTATGCACAATATATTGTATACTACATAATATTCAAAAGCAATATATCCTTAGATTTTTCAGTGAAAGATATAAAAATCAAAATGTTATGATTACCTGTCGCATCAATGAAGTGCAAGCAGCATCAGCACTGCTACAGCCATCACTGTTAACGTCGACTGTGCTGTGTTCTGTTACGCGCTGCTGTTGTCGTCCGCCTACGCATTTCACACAAACGTGTTGCGCTCCCACACACATGCACTTTTCGCTCAGCTGGCTGGCTGGCCTGCAACCTACGAATGTGGTGCGCAAAACATAGACGATGAAAAGAGTTATGTCAATTTGTTGTTGTTCTTTCTTTTATACTACAAGTGTTGTGCACGTGAATGGAAGTGTAGTTGTTGTTCTTGTTGGCTTTTTAGCATATTTTCGTTTTTCGTTTGCAATTTTATAAGCAAAACGTATTTAGCTGCGTTTGTTTACGTCACTGACGGCACAGTTGAACTAAAGCACACACAAACACGTATGACGCGTGTACGTACGACCAAGAAAATCAAAGCAAAAGCAAACAAACAAAACACAAAAAAGTTGCGAACACCCGCGCACCGATGAAGACAAACGACTATGCGTAGCTGAAGGCGTTTTAATAAATATATTTATAATTTGTTAGCATCTTAATTACACACATGCTGTATGTTGTTTTGTTTGCGCCTTTGTTTTTGCACATTAACATTCCCAAGCGCAAAAATCGAACTTGTGACGGTCGCCTACACAACGCGTAAATGTATTGCTATTATAGCTTGAGCATTTGCAGGCACACGCCGCATTGTTTTTACATCGGGCGCTAATTATAATGGTTGTTTAACGCATATTTGATTGCTTTGCCTTGCAAATTAATTAATTTGTATTTTCCCAGCAAAAGTAGCGCAAACACGTCCGCTCATCACAACGACAATTAGTTCACTGGCAAAGCGTCGCTGAACTAGATCCCTGATTAGTTAGGGCTGCCACCTAGTCAAATGTTGCCAGCTGTTTTTGAATTCCACCAGGGGCACCTGCTGCACTGCAGCTCATAAAGTTTATTTAAAAAAAAAAATACCTAAAAAGCAAAGTGTGATTGAAAAAGGTAAAACAAATGCTCTAAAATGCAACAAAAGTATGCAAATCTATTAAGGTGAGCGAACAACTCTTGTATCTGCATTGCCACATGGCAAAAGGATTCAGTACAAAAGGTAAACAAATCAGCTGTGCCACCACATCTTCTCTACCCAAAACGTAATTTTTAAGCGAGATGGCAGCTCGCACGTTGCGTAGCAGCAAGCTATAAACCATACGAAGTCAGAAGAGTCTGTCCAAAAAGAAAAAAAAACATGATATACATATACACAATTCATTGATTTTGTCAACGTAAAACATACAAGCGCATAGCTGCACATCAATATATCAAGTGAAATAAACTGAATTAGAATCGCTGGTGCATAAATGCGCAGAAAGTGTGCAATGTGCGACAATTTATTGTGAAGCGCAGCCCCACTGCCAACGAGAATTTGCTGCTCCCAATAAGAAGGCAACCCGAAGTGCGAAAAAGCATACGGTGAAAAAGGAAAAGCAAGAGAACGAAAGAAAAAAATGCAATAGGAGTAAATAAAAAAAAATGACAATCGTTTTTCAATATTAACATAGACGCAATAGCGCCGCGGCCGTAAAATGCCAAGGACCACTTGCAGGCCAAGTGAACGCGTAGCTAACGGTCACGGCAACGATAACGGTAATGATGACTCCAACAACACCACCACCACCACAGATGCGGATGCCACCTCTAAAGTCAACAACAACAACATCACCAATGGAGGCGTCGATGACAACCACATTGTCAAGCAAGAGTTCGATGCCGCACCACCAGTTTGTCACAGAAAATCGGAGCGACGAAGAGTGGCACGAGATATTTTTCTGGTGTTTGAAGAACAGCCCGCCAGGCGACGCGGACGTGGTGGGGCGCGTGGCAAGTCGTCGCGTACCAAACAAAAATTTGGCCACCTGAAGGTGGCGAGCACACCACGCTTCAACAAGAATTTGTTGCGTGAAATCAAAACGGAACCAAAGTGCACGGCCACGGCCCAAGTGACGACGTTGGACACAACGCCGCCAGCGCTGATTTCAATGACGCCAGTGACGCAATGCAGCGTCCCATTGGAGCAGCCGACGGCGCCAGCGCCACAGCCAAAAGTGCCACAGCCCGTGCAGCCGCCAAAGGAGTCGAAAGCATCTAGCGGAAAGCAGGCCAAAGCCCGAGCGACAGCCGCCGTAAAACTTGAAACCAAAACAGCATCAAATGCAATACCAGCAGCAGCAACAGCAGTAGAGGTGGCAGCCGCCACTGTAACGCAACCACAAACAATGGTGACCACCAATGGATGTGCGGAAGCTACAGGGGCTGGGGATGTGAGCAGCAAGCCATCAACACCAACGACACCCAGCGTCAATCCGATATTCCTGTGGGTCAAGCAGGATGACACGCGCATCGTTGAGGTGCGCTGCGAGGATTATGACAAACGCAATAGAATACGCCTTACCAAGACCACCAACGGATGGCGCTCGATGCCGCGCACCGATGCTTCCTCAACTAGAATAGTGAAGTTCTTCCATAGCGCCGCAACACCCTTGATGAAGGTCAAACGCGAAGTATACGAGAGCCAGCAGCAGCCCATGCCGCTGACAGAGCAGCAACAACTGGCGGAGCACACGCCTCCAATGTTACCTTCATTGACGCAGAATTTGTTGCATGACTGGAATGATACGGGCACGCAGTTACCGGACGAGGACGATGAGGAGCGAGATCAGCATCAGGATGAGCAGCATAGTACAACCAATGCAAATGGAAATGGTGTTGATGAGGATGATGAGGAGGTGCACAATCTGGCAGCAGTAATTGAGAACGTGGTTGTACGTCCGGCGGGCAATGCAACGCAATCGGAACCTATGCTGGAGGCGACCCCAACTATGACCACGGTCAACGATGTCTGCTTCGATGCCCTGCTCGATAGTGAGACAAATGCATCGACTAAAGCAACAAAGACCAGCACCAACAACACCAGTACCAACACGCCCACATATCAAAGTTCAACACCTTCGCCCATGGAATTGCAACTGTGCCCCAAAACGGGCCTCTTTCTGCCCAAAGGCGACAATGCGCCTGTGCATGTTATTGGCAACCTAACGACTTCTAGCGGTACTGAGGCTAGCGCTAGTGCCCATCTGGATATGGACAAGAGTCTGCTGGAAGAGGTGGCCGAGACGCTGGCGCCGGAAAATCAAAATAAGACATTGGCCGAGCACAATCGAGATCATCACCACAATGATCACTCTGAGAGTCTCGATGCCAACACAAAGAATCTGAAAGATCTGCTCGATGATGCAGATCTCCTGCAAAATTGCAGCAGTGACAATGGGAGCAGTGGTGCGGATCTGCTCGATTCGTTGGTCAAGCGGAGCTGCGAGGATAATCTAGTGCAGAATGATGGCACGGGAGAGACTCAGGAAACGGCATCGGCAACGGATGTGGAAGCGGACGGTCTAAGCTCGTTCTGTGTTCCCGATCTCGCCAAGGATTTGCCCAGCATACTTGATATGGACAATGATGCACCCAAATGTCTGTCCTTCAACGAGGCCGGTGAGATTGAAGGCTTAAATGGCGATCTCTTCCAGGAAACGCATGCTCATTCGTTCGGCATCGATGCATTCGAGAAGGAGCCTGATATGGGAGTTGTTGTCGTGCCCACGCCAGCAACCGTGGAGCTGACACAAACGCCTTCAACGCCTCCCAGCTTAAACAAGGATAAGTCTCAGAATGGCACGCTAATGGTGCCCGATGAGACGCCCAAGGATTTGAGCTACAAGAAGCGCGAAGAAGTGTGTCCACCATCAGAGTCGCGCAGCCAGTGTGCAGTAACCTCCAGCTCCGACATACTAAAATCGCCGGAGCCACTGGAGCTGGAGTCAAATTCCATACCGGCCGAAGTAGAGACCACATCGGAAACCATCAAGCATCTCATATTAGAGCAGTTTCTCAAGCTGAATGCCTTAAACCAATTGCCATCAACGGAAGTCAGCGGTGGCGTTGCTGCGGCCAATAATTCTCAACAGGCCGAGCCCATGGATTTGGGCAAAGCACGCGACAAACTTATGACCACTGCCAGCGGCAAGTACTTGGAGACCGTGGTTATCGATGATGAGGAGGAGACGCCCCCCTTAAAGAAACGATCCAAAGCCAATATCAAGATGGACAAGGATCCGGATGCGCTTACCCAATTAAAAATGCTGATTGCCAATCCGCAGTGGAAAGTGCCCGATCCCATACTAGTGCCAAAAGATCGTCTGGGCGCCGTGCTAGCTTCGCCAGCGCGCGAGATTCCACTGCTATTGACCACACGGCCAGAGTTACGCTTACCAGAGGCCTTTGCCTATCCTGAGATCATTCAGAATCCCAACATACTAGTGGTTACCATGGAGCAGCTGGAGGCCATACTGAAAAACGAACATGTAGATCAGGCTAAGACTAGCAAACCTGTGGCACAGCCACCCATAGAAGCCCTTGTCGTCGAACCACCGACGAGCAATCAAAAGGTGGCCAGTCCCGTGAAGCAGGCAACGCCTTCAACGACGCTGCCCCACAAGACTACAGCACAGCCGCCCAAGCCCAGCGTAGTGCCTACAATTACAGCAACGCCCACGCCCGTTGCTCCACCCTCCCCGGCCGACTCCAGCGTGTCTACAGACCTCAATGCCACCACATTGGCACTTCTCCAACAGATGCTCTGGCTGCCATATTTCGGCCAATTGTCTCAGGAGTTCTTTAAGACATTTAAGGACCCCATGGGATTGCAGCGCAAGTTCATGAACAATCTGATGCCTTTATATAACAATCAGTTCGGGCTGCAGCACTTGGATGAGCTCTACAAGCATTGTTTGAAGCAAAAGGCCACTGAGGAGCAGGCGGCAAAGGTGCAGCCCACACCACCGCCCACAGCGCCCCCTCCACCAATTGCGCCTGGGCCCGCCAACTTCAACGGCTTCAGCAATCCCGTGGAGCTGGCAATTATGCAAAAGCTGCTACAGCCACAAATGTCCAACTTTTTGGGTAACTGGAGTGCGGGTGAATCAACCACATCAGCCATTCCCAGTGGCAAACCGCAGAACGGACAACAGCATCAGCATCAAAGTAACTTGGAATCTTCGCAGCATCATCATCTCGAACACAAACGTGCCAGACGCACGATCAGCGATGGTGCCGCCAGCTCGGAATCAACGCCGCTGCTCATGCCCGAGTTCAATAACAGCTTTAACAAAACCAAGCCGGCAAGCCAAAACACTCAGCAGCAGCAGCAGCAACAACCTCCTGCGCCTGCGCCTGCGCCCGCGTCCGTCACCGCCCCTGCAGCCGAGCACAAGCCGCGCTTAACTTGCAAATCGCTATCGAATCTGCTCGATCCCGAAAGCAGTTCCGTGCCGCTACTCAATGTTCCCTTCGATAGTTTGCGACGAGCGGCATTGCACAAATCGGCGCATGATCAGCAGCATCTCGGCAAGGAGCCGAGCACCGGCCGCACCTTGCGTTCCAGCAAGGCCTGCGTAACGTACAATCCTCTGGAGCAAGCGAAGCAACAGCAAACCCAGCACAGCCAGCAGCAACGGAAGCGGGGTAACATGTTGCACGACCCACAACAGCAGCAACATCTTCATCAGCAGCAGCAACAGCAACACATGGCGGAGTTGGCCGCCCGCAACATGAATGATGGCAGCGGCCTCGATAGCAATTCCGCGCTTTGGCACCCACTATTCGGCAGGTGAGTGAATCGAACAATTAAAAGTATGAATTTCGATTATTTAGTAATGCACTTATAAAAAATTTCTAAAATAATTTCACCTCACTCCTAAAATTGCAATTTTGTTTGTCTTAGCTCCCATTTTTTTCAGACGAAGATTTATATTTTGCGGGATCTACAGCTATATATTTATTTATTTATTATATGATATCATACAGAGGCGACGACGTATAGATGACACAAAATTGTAGGCTTTAGACAAATTAAACGCTCTAGAAATACCCATATTGCAATATTACCCTAACAATTTCCTTTCCCCCTCGAAAATCCAGTAATTTTTTGCAACCATTTTAACAATTTGTTGAGATTTTGGGAAAAATTTATCCCTTGTTGACTTTCTCCATTCTATAACTCTTAGAAGTGCAATTTGCATATTTTTTGTCGAAAAAACATTGACCCTTTCGAAAAATATTTGTGCAAATTATTAGCTTAAAAAGAATTGCACGCTAAAGACAATAGATATGAGCATTGAAGCGAAAGGATCGTTGAATTTAGCTCTAAATTCTGGGACTCTTATTATTTATATTATTTTTATTTATAGTATATGTATACAAGTTAAATACTTTTTAGTTTTAAGCTCTTCTCTTCCGTGGCTATAACCTATATGTACATTTATGTAAATCGACTTATTTTCTGAAAACTAAATTATTACTTTTAGCAATCCCAAGCAGGGCTATAATAGCCCCTGGCAATGGACCACAGTGACGGCAACTGGGGAATGACAGTCAAGCCGGGCTCACAAGGAGCCAGCAGGAGCAGCAACAACAGCCAGCGCCAACAGCAACACAAATAACAGCACGAACAACTTCGAAGAGCAGCAGACCCACGACTACAACAACACGCTGACCAACTATCATGCGGCGACCAAACAACAACACCAACAACAACAACAACAGCAGCAGCAGCAGCAACAAGCACAACATGTTGGCAATAGTAGCGTGCGCGTACCCAACGAACTGCCAAGCAATCAAAATCACAACAGCACCCATAACAATAGCAACAGCAACAGCAGCAGCAACAATAACAGTGGTAGCGGCAGCAGCAGCAACAACAAATTTTGTTATCCCACAGTTGCCGCCGCTGCTGCCATGGAGAATATGTTCCAGAACAATCAGCTGGCGGCTGCAGCAGCTGCGCGCGAATCTCTGCTCAATTCGTATTTGTACCAACAGCAAAAGGATAATGCTGTTACGGATATGGGCTATATGGCAGATCATACGGTAAGCAATTATTGGCAGCAACAGCAGAAGCAACAGCAGCAGCAGCAACAACAACAACAGCTGCAGCATCAACAGCAGCAACATCAACAGCATCAGCAACATCAGTGGAACAATCACAGCAGCAACAGCAGCGTCAACCACAACAACAACAACCAGCGCACCTATGCCAACAACTATGCGGCAGCAGCGGCTTCCATGTACATGCATTTCAATCCGTATATGCAACAGAAGGCTGCACTTCTAGCCGAGAAGGCCGCGGCAGCAGCTGCGGCAAAGGCTGTACAGGGCAACAACACCAGCAACAAACATGCCGCTGCTGCTGCTGCCGCATTGCGTTTTGGCGGCGACTACGGGGACTGTGGTGCGCTGCGTTAAAGCTGCGGAATGCAGGATGCAACATATAGGATAATGATAATGGGCGCCAATCATATAAACTAACACTTGCATACACGCATAATAACATATACATACATATATAAATATATCTATATATAGGCAACTATAGATCATTTTACCGCAAGGAATTGGTACGGATTTTCCATTAATTTAACAACAGCAGCAGCAATAACAGCAACAAGAACAAGGTAACCGGAATGAGCAACAACAATAATTTATGACAAGTTAAAAAACGAAAACAAAAACAAAAAACACAAAAAGTGAACAGACATTTAAATTGAATTAGTAAAAATTTGTTATTGGTAGTTTGTTAAAGCAAAAGTAAAGGAAAGCAGAAAAACAAAAAACAGAAAACAAAAATAAAAAAAAATGCAAAAGCTAAGAAAAACTAAACAAAATGTATGAAGTATATATGTAGTAGAGACGAAGCAGATGCAGAGAGGCACAGAAGAATAAGCAGAAGAAGAGAAATAATAAGAGCAGAAACAAAAAATGAAAAATGAACCTAATTATTGTATTATTGTTAACCAAAATCTATTAATATTATGATTATTATTATTATTATCTCAAGCTGCGTTATATTATTATGTTTATTAACTCGTGTGTGTGTATATAGCGTTTTTATCTAGATGTATTACACTTAGTGACCACCCCTCGATGACTAACTGACCCCTAACCTCTACCCCTACCCCACACTCACTCCATTAACAAAACCACAACATCAACAACTAAATCAAACACAGCAGCGTAAAAAAAGGCAAAAACAAACATACAAAAATACGAAATTTGTATTCATTCCGCAAAGCAAAGCTAACAGAAAAGAATGATGATGTTTTTTTTTTTTGTGTAACAATTTAACGTGTTTAATTATTACTATTATTAATTATGATTACTATTATGCATTACATTTATGATTATTTCTTGGAAAAAGTTGAGAAACGCTGTTCTTTTATTTCATTTTAATATCAATTAATATTATTTTTATTTATGCAACCCCCCAATGTGCAATGGACTTATGATTTATAACTTATGACAAGAAAAACACATGAATCACAAAAACAAAACTTCTTATATGAACATGGCAAATGGCAAGCAAACAAAAAGCAAGAAAATAAAGAAAACCTTTTAGAGAATTTCGCTGATAAAGGCAACAAAAATAGCAAAGAAAAAAGTACTGAAATGTGTTTTATTAAATAGTGTGAATGGATGTTCTACAAGATCCTAATCTACCCAACCACCATTTAATGAACAGCGAATATCTGTTTTCTGATAACAGCTATATATATATGTATATGTCTTATAACTAAGCAACCGAAAATGGAAACATCTAAGCGGAATTGTTGGTTCTTAAATTAGATTTTTCTGCTCTAATTTAACCAGAACAGTTATCAATTATCCTCCTACAAATATTGTACAGACAGGAAACAGATAAAACTGTCATGACTCGTTATTTTGAAATTCCACTTTCCGTCGTTATGAACAATGTATCTCTAGTTGAGCAGAAACCCCTATAGATGCTGCGAAGACAGTGGCACTAGACTTACGTTTCTGTTATCATTAGCCAACTTTTGGCATACACATTCGAAATTCTTATCTTCTCAACTCCCACTATAATATTTGTCTACCTAAAACTAATGTAAACTAAAGCATATCTTCTATAGTACGAAAAAAATTGAAATTCTATTTTATAATGCGTTTTTAGAACGATCCGCCTGAAGTTCCCATTGGCGAGTGATATGAAGAGTGCTGTCTTAACAACGTCAGATATTTAGGCATCAGAATTCAGATATTGCACTACTGACCCATTTTATGGGTTTCTTTTTCTATCCATGAATTAGGACTCGTGGTTCTTTTTACCTTCGATTGGTTATTGGTCTTCATTCGTTCAATATGTAGATATTCACCATTGTTCATATTTTCCTTTTGTTCACAAATGGTAGGCAGCATACCCTCTTATAGACTTTTCATTGTCATTGGCACACAATTTTAATTTCAAAGAAATTAAAAATATAATATGTACTTTTCTCGAGTTGCACGCAAAATGCTGAATTAGTACACATATGATTTATTTTTGTATATAAATATATATTAAAATTCCACTCGGTGTATAGGTAATGTATAAATATGCAACTTTTTACTTACAAACAAAAGGTATCGAATATTATTTTAACATTCAGTTAAAACCACATTATTTAAAGTATTGTATAAAGCATTTGTAATGCGCTCGTGCGAATGTTTCCAGCTATATATTGTGAGTGTGTGTGTGTGTGCTTGCTTTGTTGTGCAGTTCCTACTCGATCTGCCGGTGGGCCTCCTGCAGTCGTGCGACCACACCCTGATAGAATTTAATTTGTTCCTCTATGAATGATTTCAGTGTTTGCTTTAAATGCGTGTCCCGCTCCGCCTTGAAGTGCGTCATTTCAGCGAGCACCGTATAGGATATAATGTCTGTGCGTCGGAATACATCCTGCAGTTGAGCGTTGCTCATCTTGCCCTCGCCGGTGATGCGTTCACAATCCTTGCGCTTTTGTATAGCACCCTTTTGCGTGGAAAATATATCCGGAAAGCAGTTCAGCACTCCTCTATAAGATTAATAAAAAGACAAGTTTAGAACGTAATATCGCGTCTTAACAAATTTAAAAATAAAAGAAAAATTAGCTTCGATTCGTTTTCTTCTAATAGCTATTAATTCTAGTTGGGTTTCTCATTTTAATTTTAAAGCTAATTAAAGTTGAATACTAATCGAATGTAGGTCTCACCTGTAGATATGCATACGATCGGAGAGCGGTATCCAGTCATGTTTTGGCTGGTCCCCGTACATTTGTCCAATACCAATATAAATACCACCAATGCGTCCCACGCTCTCTGAGAGTGGGACACCATCGCGCGTCGGCGCACGCCTCTCATCGATGGCCAGTGATTTTGCCAGATCCGAAAGCCCGTCACCAACGCGTTGAAATTCCTTTTTGCTTTGTGTGAGCGAGCGTTTAACCATATCGTTGGCAATCGTATTCAGATTTCGAATGGCCACATCCATGCTGTGTATAAACTGCGAACCACTTTCCATTTGTGCATCGACCTTTGACTGTAGCAGATTCTTTTCTGGTGCCACAATGGCCAGGCAATAGTTGACACCCATATAGGGATCACGTTCGGCTTTTCTCTTCCCCGATTTCCAGATCTTCTCGTCAGTGCAGGTGAGAAAATGATACCAAACCTCGCATTTCGATATGACCGGATGGCGGCAAACCCAGTCCACAAATTCCTGCAACTGCACTCGTCTATGCTCGACGAATTGCTCCTCATAGCGACCAGAGATTTGCTTGTCGGGCAGTGGTGGGACGGGTATCAAACAAAATTTGTCCACCAGACGCTCGTGGAGCCAATCAAAGTGCTTGTATCTTCGAGACACCTGTTGTGTATAATAAAGAAAACCTCTGATTAGATATTAATTTCGAAATGTGTGGCATAGACTTGTGAGTCATGCAACAAAAGCGAAACATACACACACGCATTCGTACACAAGTGTGTGTGTAATTTTCGATTACAAGTGCAAGTGGTCAGCAGGCAGCTTCTTTGTTTCTCCGTTCGAACCCACAAAGACGCGCGCCACTTTCGTGCGCTTATGTTAATTATTAGAACACCCACACCAGCACAAACCCACACATTCTTTCACACACACACACACACACTCGCACACCCACATTTTCGAGTAAATATCGTAAATTACACAGATAGCATCTAATACTTACGGATATGTTATTAAAACTAGGTGTCAGCTGGTAGGCAATGAACGTTTTCATGCCTTTAAATTTCGACTCCTTTTTTGGACTGGCCACAATGACCGAATAGGTGGAATGGTTTGGTTGCCATTGATAGATCGATTCCTCCACTGCGGTTATGGTCACAATCTCGCTGTCTGGTATCTTCTCCTTGTTACTCGACAGTCCCAGAATATACGAATCGGAACTCTTGGCAAACATGCCCTTTTTCATCGTGTTGTTTGTGACCTGCGACGCAGATGCCAACGATGCTGTGTCATCATTGGGCGCAACAGGTAAGTGCCGATTGTCGTAATCACTTGTAGAATGCACAATACCCCCAGTTCTTGGAGCCTGTGCAGTAACTTTACTCGGGGCGCCAGGTTCCGCATAGACATTATCTTCACCCCAATCATCTTCCCATTCATCGCTATCGTCCTCGGCAGTTTGATCATACCTGTTGGTCGTCGCCCGACTTGCTGGCATACCGAACGGATCCAAATCCTGCGCGGCAGTTCCGGGACCTTGGCCGTTGGGGTTGGTGAGCCTGTGGGCCTCCGCTGCCGATAACACTTCCACATACGCTGCTGGGAACAGCCCAATTTGGCCTTGGGTGTTTTTTCCCTCCCACCAGCCCTCCCCAACGTCAGTACGAGTTACAGATAACACATCACCCGACGAAATTGATAGTTCCGAGGAGCCTGGCTCACCAGAGAAATCGTACACGGCGCGCACGTAAGAAGTCATTATTTTAAGCCAATGTACTACTTTAACGCGATTTATTGTATTAAACTGCGCTTGCCATAAAACAAATGAAGATTAGTTGGCCAGCAGCTTTGAGTATGTGTGAGTCAGTGTGTGTAAGAACGGAGATGGTAACTGTGCGATATCTTAGTTATCGCATATGGCATCAACTATCGATAACTGATACAGCTGGATACGTAACTCGTTTCTTTTGGTGACATATCTAAGTTGCCGTTGATGTATTAGGAAGAGTTTCCCTTAACTACCTACAATAATAGACAAAAATATACGTCTATGGCATTTTCCAAAGGGAGAATATTTTTATTTCCAAATGTAATCGTGCAAAATGAATCAAGTGTATGCGAAAAACAGGTTCAAATTAATAAAAAGTTGTACCAACCAGCCCGCCAAGTGGGGGCTAGTGGGAAAGGTTTAACAAACCTTTCGCATCGTCAGTGGGCTAACGCATTTTTTCTGACGAACAAGTTCATGATAAAATGAAGGCATCAAAATATTTGTGCAGGTTATATTTAAACTACAACATTAATGAGGTACGATCACCCAATATTCTTTATTAAAATTTAAAATTGGCAGCCAGATTTCCGGGTTTCCGTATTTTTAACCGTTAGTAGTGATGCCACATTGCTGCATTGCACAGAGGCAGAAGAAGCAGCGAACTGGCCAGCACTGCACTTTAGTGTTGCTGAACTTGATAGACAATTTTTGCAATACATTCTACCGGCGAGGCAGACGCTTTTTTTCCAGTTCCAATTTTTAGAAAGATTATAAAAAGTGACCGCAGCACGTCTGCACATTAGACTGTGTGGTAATCGTTGATTGTTTATATTGCTGACATAGTTTTTAAAATGTCGGATGTCGAGATATACTCCTCGGACTCGCAGCTTAGTTCTGATGAGTATAGTAATGATGAAGACGACGCTTTAATGAATGCAGCAATCACTAAGCAAAGCGAATCGAAGCCATCTACGTCCAACTACACCTCCCCGTCGAAATCGAGTAGCACCGGCGCATCCCAAGCGAGTACGCCACAAAAGCCGCTCCCACCCATAACGCGCGAACAGACCGAACGTCAGATCAAGTATCTACAACAAAGCAGTCGGGCACATCTCTACTACAAACGTCGCAGCTTGAAATGGTGCGTATAAACACTATATTGGGGTTTCTTTTTATTTGTTAAGACTGATGTTTTACAGGATAAACCAACTGCGGAAATGCAAAGATGGTTACATAGTAAAGTTGAAGATTACTGTTCCTGCCAAACGGGAGCGTGCCGAGCGCTTGGCAAGGTATCGGAAGGCCAGACAAGATATCGAAATGGAGTTGCATATACGACAACGCGAGCGAGAACGCTCACAGAGCCGTAGTCGGTCGCCGGAGCTCATATGCCTGGACGACACCGAGAACGAAGAATCGCCGGAGAAGACAAATGAAGCAATTAGGCCACACAAAAAAGTGTCGCCACCTAAAGAGCTCGCTGCAGATGATGAAGTAGCTCAAGAAAAAGAAAGGACGGAGTGCGCAACAAATGGCTCAGTATTAAACGAATTCCTAACTATGAAACCTCCCATAGAGGAGCCCAATATGGAGCCTAAGGCGCCTGCAGCTATCGAACTAGTTTATGATGACTTGGAATTGAAAACCAGTGATGTTGGCGTAGATCTTAAAATAGTGAGCGCCATGAACGTTACCATGCAAGATTCATTTAATAATGTAGAAACTGTGGATGAAGACAATGAGGCGACACCCCCTCGCACACCGACTCGAACTCGATCACCACCAACGCAGCAGGCACCGGGAGCCGCAGCGCATATAGATACAACAATAGCAGAGCTGCAGTCAACAAGTAAGCGTAAACGATCTGAAACACCACCATCGCCAGCACAGCTGAATGAAAAGCGATCCAAGCAAGCTCTTCCTGACGTAAATGAGGACATCGCTATAACGCCAAATAAAATGCTAGCTGCCAAGCAGTCAGCTATACTAACACCACAAATGCAACAACAACATCAAATTCTTGAGAAGCTAGCACAGGCACTAACACCCACAGTAACTGGAGCAACGCCACTAGCTACCACAACTGCAACAACACCAGCCAAAGTTGAGCCGTTAAACGACCCAGCAACGGCATTCGTATTGGGCTCACCATTCTCATTGACGCCAGTAAGCAACGATTTTTATACACTTCAAAAGCCAAATCCACCGCAACGAACACAAGAATCGGGGTATAGTCTAGAGACGCCCACTCCATACGACGAGCCCATGGAAATAGTCTATCCGAATGAAAAACCAGCAACTCCAGCCACTGTGGGTAACTTCGTTGAGTCAAACTATGCCAAGAAACCAACACCAGTGGCTATCGCCACCCAATCAAGTGGTCCCTTGCCTGTGCAACCCCAAATTACCATCACAGCAGCAACACCCTTAAATGTCCAGGCCCCGCAACAAGCAACTCAACTTCCGCAACATCAGAAATCGCGAATCGAGCACATTTCCAGACAAACACAAACGGCTCAAGCGACAATGGCGCCACCGAAGACACGCGCCTTTACCACAAAAGCCGCAGCCGATCTCAACAATAGTGACGCAGTTTTCCACCAACGCATCAAGGATCTGTTTTCAGAAATGGACGAGATAATGAATAACAAAGTGCTCACCATCAAGCCAGAGTTGAAGGCTTATGGCGATGAAAAGCAACGCATTGAGGCCGATATCAAAACACTAGACAATTTAATCAGGCAGAAGGAAGAAGAGCATAATCGGCTGCTGCACTTAAGGGCTACAAAAGAGGAGCTTATTGCACGTATCGAACGTAAGGAGCGCATTCTGGTAATGAAAGAAATTCTGCCACCTATTTTGAACAAGAATTGCAGCACTTCTGAGCTCTACGAGATACATTCACTATTGGTTAAAGAGCAAAATGCTCCCTTAGCTTCAAGAAGTGGAATGTCCGCCCTGGAACAATTTATTAACAAGATCGAACGTGGGCAGCATGATATTAAGGCTTGGCGCAGGTAAGCAAATGATAATCTCTTACCTAAGCGATTAAAAGTTGAAAGTATGTAAAGTTCGGGGTAGACGGGAAATTAATTTGCACAGCAACATGTCGAATTCATTTGAATCCCAAACTATTTAGTAATGGCGCTCAATAAAGCGCTTGCATTCATTAAATGTGTTGGTTTAGGGGAAAATCTTTATATTAGAAGAAGAATACTGCAGTTCCGAAGAATTGCCCGAATATTGTAGAACAACTCATACAATTCTAAAAAATACATGTCTTATTGGATTTAATCATTTTTCAGCGTTTTGGGCCTCCTTGAAGCACCAGGTGCACCGGTGGCGCCATCATCACCACCACTAAATGCACGTTACGACAACGACCGCAACAGACGAAACTCTTTGCCAACCATGCGTGACACCCGCCTAAATCTGCCACCGCCTCCACCACCGCCGCCCCCAGCTACTGATACAGCAGCCACCGTTTTTGGACGCCAGGGTGCGGTCCGCGATGTTCGCAGCTTAATTGAAGACTATAGGCGGGAGCACCCCAATGAGGTGCCACTGGTGGGCAAGCGCGCCAAGCTACAGGCACCCGAGTCTAGGTCTTTATCCAGAATTCTAGCAACATGCTTAAATATTTATTTACCTTTTTTCCCCCTAATAGATTTCACCACCTCATGAACGAATCGAAACAGTTGACCAACTCAACACCGAATCTCGTGAGTTCCGGTTCGGGATCGTACAGCAATCAAGCGCCACAGACAATGGCTATGCGTAGCCATAGCGTAATAGAAAATCATTTTGATAATGAGACCTCACTAAGGCCCTTATATAATAGTAGTCCATTGGTATCTGGGTATCGGGGAAACTATCCCAAACGCAATGATCCTCGACTGCATACCGTAAGTAGCCAATGCCCCAAGGGCACAATATATATTTGCTCAGATCAGGGTTAAAATTATAGCAGTTAGTTATATATTAGCTGCGATCACACATCTAATTTTGTTATATCCTGCTTACTATATTTGAGATGAATAGTCTGATCATTTGTATAAACAGCGGGACTAAGAGGTACATTATGTTATATACATTGGCGCATTACACCGATTGGTTGTAATACTACACTTAGAATAACTTTTGTGTACCTTAAGATCCTAACTATGTTTAAAAGATTGGAATTAATATTTATATCAAAAATTATTTAGAAGCTTCATTACCAACTTACTATTTCTTATAGCAGCCATAAGAAAGATCGGAGTCAGTATGTGTTTGTTATAATGCACTCACTGTTATCTAAAGTATCGCGAAATCGGTGCACTCAATATGTACAAGTTTATCATGAAGCTCTAATAGGACAAAATTGTGCAACAAAGCTTACCTTTTTTGTATGTGAGAGAGGGAGAATGGTGAGAATAGGGTACACCATAATCGGGCTGGGGGAACTTTAAAGATCTACTCTGTTCACCCACTAATTTTTTGTTTGCTCTTATTCTTGTTAAAGTATAACGACGCACATTCCATGTATGGCAATAGTAATTCGCAGCTGGAGACGGCACGTCAGCTAGTCCAAGAACTAGAAGGACGGGCCGCTACACTTACACAACAGGAGCGTGGGGGGAACAGCAACAGCAGCTACAACAAGAAACGTGCTGGGATCACCACCAATGGACCCGACGAGCTGGAACATCATTGTCAAAAATGCAAACGCTTTGTGGCCACATATATGTGTGCCGGATGTCAGAATCAATGGTACTGCAGTCGCGAGTGTCAGGTGGGAATAAAATGCTTTAAGCCATATCCTTCATAAACATCTCTTAAAATGCAATTCATTTTAATTTTATACAGGTTCGGGCCTGGGACGAATCACACTGGGCGTCTTGTGGAAATTAAAATGAATAGAAACTTGCAGCAAATAATATTAATATATTCATAAAAATTACCATTTATAATTCATTACAACTTAAGATCGTGTCTCCAACAATTGTCAGCTCACATAAAGTTCCAGAAATTTAGATGCATTGCATTCATATTATTTTTATGCTACTTCTTCATGATATATATGATTACAGCCTACAAATGCACTTTCAACAATAAATTATATATTGATACAATAAATTAAATATAATTTTAAAATTCATTGTCTCGTCTATTATGTAACCTTCCCACGCACCTGGCACAATAGTTCAATGTCCCTAATATGCAGACGCAACGGCTGTCTTCCGGTCAAAGCCGCCCGGCGCACTTTAAGGGTGCGCATGCGCAACTTTCGATTGCAGTGTAGTTTAAATTTCAGATTGGGATTCCAAACGGCATCGGCACCACCATTCCGTGACACACATTTGTAAGCGTACTGCCACCATAGGCGGCAGCTTTGCTTGCTGCTGTGCTGTGAATGAAAATTGAATGGAAACCAAAGGTCATATATCTGTATGTTTAGATTGAAATATTTCGAAAAAGCTTTCCTTTTAATTATATGTAAATAATAAAGTATGTAATTTGCTACTTCAATAAAATCTTATAAGAGTTGAGCTCTCAGTTTTTGTTCAGCAAGACAAAACAAATCAATATAAGCAATCATTGAAATAATTCATTAGTCTCCCTTAACTGTAATCGCTTGATGCATTAAACCAAAGCAAGTGGCAAAGAATTGGCATCCTAAATTAATTTTAACCAAATTCTGTGATACCATAGTTTTTATAAATTTATTCACTAAATCACATGAATTATATCCTACACCTTTTTATTAATATATTCTAAGAAAACATTTTTGTTTCTTTTAAATAAAACCGAAATAAATATTCTATACTTTTTACTATAAATTTTCAGCCAGAAGCAGCTTATTGCTCAATTCAATAAATTATTGTTGTCAAGAAAGTTTTTTGTATAAAATCTATTAATCGTTGACTTATTTTGGTTGTTCCTTGTTTTTCTTTTATTTGACTGGATATATAATATATTATATATTTTATATTATTATATTATATAATATACATTTTTTTTATATTATCTGTTTATCTGTTTATTCGTGAGAGACAGGAAAGATATATACATTTTTTTTTATATTTGTGATTCATCTATTAAAGACCATGTAAATCTATTTTGTTGACAAAAGCCACAGAAAAGATGGAGGCGATAATTTCCTTTGGACTTCTTATTTCTCACAATATTTAATTGATGTAGAATAAAATTATTCGTAGTAGCGCCATGAATTTGTGTGCTAATTATTATCTAACATATGTTTCTTGTTTGTTTTATTTATTTACAAAGTTTTTAATAAGCAGTCCGTATATAAACCATCATTAAAAATGTTTTCACACCTATAACAGCTATACAAATTTATATACTAAATAGTCAACGTATTAGTGGTATTCATGCGCTGGATTATATTTTATATACATATGCATGGAAATAGATACATATGTACATAGCTTAATCTAAAATAAATTGTAATTACTTAACGAAAGGATAATTTTATTGATAATTGAATAGAGCCGCATAACTTTAAATTTGACAGTTCATTTACAAACGGTCATGAGCATATCGATGATGTGCCAAGTAGCATACATATGTATATATGTACGTACTAAGGTATTATGTATATAGTATATAACCATAAATGTCTGACCGTTTGGAAGTTGCACAAAGGAGCATGATAGCATAATGAGCGTAAGGATGAAAAAGCTAATTAAAATTATATATGATTATAGTTTTACGGCAATTTTGTAGAGTGTATTTGATAGTCGTTGCTCAAGCTCGGATACAACAATTTTACTTATTTGTTTTGACTTAAAAGGCAGGCAGGCAGGCAGGCAGGTCTGGGAGTCTAAATTTTAATTGCTTTTACAATTGAAATTGATTTGTGCTTGGCGAAAGTAACAGTAATTTTTCTGTTTTGTTCTCGTTACTTTATTGCTTGCGAGTGGCGTTGCCAGATCAAGGTGGGACAGCATCCCATCAGACGCAAATCAAGCGTTCAATTATCGCCTTCAAATCGCAATTAGCACCGAAGCAGCGGTTTAAGCCAATTAAGTGTTAACTGTGGACGTGCCCCAACACTTACCATATAGATGGGTAGTACGTAGTAGCGTTTGCATTCGCGACGCCTAAAATTGAACGCTATGGGCTGGCGATGGGTCGTCGATACCTTTGTTAAGTGGGAGCGTATGCTGCTTGCATTAGTCTCGAGCTGCAGTCGGGCCAACTGAAATGGAAAAATGGGGAATTCGTTTAGGGTGGATAGGCACGCGCACGTAATTAGTTTCGATACAAACAATTGAAAATTTTCGCCATCTGCTATTTAATATGCGCGGAATGTTTGAAATGCGCGTACAAATTTGGCTTGCAAATGAGTTAAAGAATTTATTTTCAGATACACTCAGACAGCCATAATGCCAATGAATAAAAACAATCATTATTGGCTGCGCTTTTTGCTTTTCGCTTTTGTTTGCAGTTGGGGGCGCAGCTGCTGATAAGTGGATTGGAGTTGCTCTAGCGGGCGTACGACCCTGAACTTGCTTATCAAATCGGCTAGTTGTTGTTGTTGTTATTTGCATAATTGCTATAAAAATTACAGTTGTAAATTGTTTTTAATGAATTTTATGTGGTTTGAGCAAATTCGAAGTGACAGCCGCCCCAAGTTGCTTGCAATTAAATCCGCTTATCAGTTTAAAGCTGCGTTCAAATTAGCACCTCTCCCCACCCACCAACCGCCTAAAGCAATCAACAACAACTACAAAGTGCGTCCTCGACGGCTGCGTCAACATACATAGCCGTCGTCGTCGTCGTCGCCATCGTGGTCGTGGTGCGCTATTATTAAATATTTTTTACAAGCCGCTAACATTCAGAAATTGCTGCTAATTAGTTGAAGCCGTGCGATCCGCACGCCGGCGCACCAGACCTTAAAACTGCTCAAAAGAGCAAAAGCCTCCCCCCCCCGCCCAAAGTTGCGGGGGGGCTTGGATTGAGAATCTCATACAAAAAAAAAGTATGCACAGTGTCAGACATACAAACATTTTACCAAGCCGAATGCTATATTACAGATTGAGAAATTGTTTAAATAGAAATTATATTTATCCAGATAGAAGGTACATTTTAAACGAACAGTACATTTTCTTCGGCCGATAGGTCTCATTAATGGTTTCGTATTAAAGTATTATTGATCCTGAGATTGGCCACAGCCAATGCATTTATTTAAACCAACAAAACCAATAAATCGATCTAGAAATCGAATTACAGTTGAGCTTCTATATTTACTTTTGTAATATCACGATGACACATAAAATTTCCCCAACAATATGCAATATGAATTGTATTTTTTTAACTTTTTTGTACGACCTCTAAGCTTTTAAGTTGGAAAAATGTAGCGTAGGTATATGAAAGGGAAGTTCACTGGGCATAGCTACATATAATAATATATTTCATAAATAGGTTCTTTTTTAAGTTCTCGGATCTCTGCATTCAAAAGAAGACCAGTTTAAATTTGAAGTCGTTTAGAGCACTGATTAAAGTGTGTCCATGTCTCAAAGAGTTTCTTTCAAAACAAAACAATTGTCTTTGTCCGATAAGTCTATACTCAAGAGTTCATTTAATGTATTAAAGAAAAAATCTCTCAATTATTAGTGAACCTATTATATTTTATTGTAAATTTCTTTCATTGTTTATCAGGCTTTCTTTCATACCTACTATTTATTGATAACCCATCAGATTTATAAATAGTTTATTTTCAACCTATCACGGGTCTCCGAGCTTGGGCACTTGAAAAACCTACTAAGTAAAACATAACAATTATAATTACATAGCCAATTGAATTATCTAAAAATATAAATCCATCAGAAATATATTTATAACAGTTTTAAGTGGTTGTTGATAATTGTTATCTTTCAAAGTCTTTATTCCCGGTAAAACTGAAAAAAACGAATTTATCATAATTGACTAATAAAATGAATGGGACCGGAAGCACGATGAAGTGCAAAACTTTTGTTTAAGAGTACACAAAGTGTTAGCTTTCAGTATTAGAATAGGTTGTAAGACCATTCCTTGTACCTCTACTGTTTACTTTTATATACAAAACTATCAGATTGCAGCTTTGTAAGTAGAAAGCTCTAAATATTTACGCGGACTTTCAATGCTGTTTTTGTTGTTGTTGTGAGCTCTTCTATGCACTTCTCATGGGCACAACCTAAGCAACAAGTCAGTTATCTGGGATTTACAGGTAAACAAATATTTTGCATGATGACGGTGTGAACACTAAACAAATCCGACGCTTCGATTCGAACTAATTGTGCGCGCTTTTCGTAGCTATTGTTTTTGTTTATGGACTTATAGAACATACTCGTACTATATTGTAAATATGTTTGTATGGGTGTGCGTTTATTTGTAGTTGTGTTGTTGGTGTTTATGGTCTGTGGCTTCGGCTTTGGCTTCGCTGTTGACTGCAACAGCAACGGTTTACTATCTGCGAACTATATCTGCGATCATTCTATATGTATATGATTCAACCCGACAGTTCTACACACAATCATACACACATACATACATACATATGTATACCTATACAGAAAACAACTCCCACAATGAATGGCGAACTGTGTGTTGGGGACGCTCGCCACACCGCTCGCCTCGTTTCGTGTCAAATGGTGGAGAGGAGTGAGTGTGTCATTGTTGTTGGTCTTGCAAGTAAAATTCATGTTAATGAATGTTAATTTATACATTTGTAAGAATCTAAAATCTGTGTGTTTCCATACAACAATTATTGAACGAAACGGCGCGAATTTTCAAAACAAAACGTTTGAGCCGAACCACCGAACACACCAAACACACGGAACGGAGCACCACCCGAGCGATCGAAACGCAGCGAACATTAACAGTCGTTTATGGTTCGTCGCGGCGCGCACTTCACGTTAACGGTTAATATAGCGTGTGCTGTATCCGAAACAAAAATAGAAAAGTAATATTAATAATAATGGATGCCGATTTTGTGAACAAATACAACCAGGTGTTGAATCGTCTGAAGCAAATCGAGAACTTTGACGGCAGCGATCCGAGCAAATTGCCACAATTTCTTCAGAAGATTGAGGCATTAATGCCGACGATAAATACCTTCAATGATGACTATAAGTCTCAGCTGATTGGACATATCAAAAACAAATGCACGGATCGGGCACGAGAAGCGGTCTTTACCCGACAATTGAGCGCCCCAGCTGCGTCCAATGGCGGCATTGCGCCGAAGGCAGAATCTTGGCACAAAGTCAAGGAGCAGCTTCTGCACAATTATGCGGAGCGCGAGTCCAGTTACACACTCATCCATAGGCTGCGCAGCAGTGTACTGGACTCTAATATTGAGCTCTACTACCAGAAGTTGGCCAAGTTAAAGCAACGACTGCTTAATCGCAAGATGACTCACAACGATACGCTTTATTCGGTTGAGGACATTGAACGCATATCCCTGCAGGTGTTCCGGGATCATCTGCCTGAGCCCACATACTCGATGATATTGCGACGCAATCCTAAGACCATGGAAATCGCCTATCAGTACATAGTGGAGGTGCAACAGCAATTCTATACGCAAAGTGGTCCGCTGGCTGGTGAGCAAGGCGCCACATTCAGTACGAGCCGTAAGCAGACATTTGGGACGACCTCCAGCTCTGTGGGCCTAGGTGCGGCTGGCGTTGGCATTGGTGTGGGTGCTGTGGGCCTGGGCCTGGGTAGTGCTGGCTTCAGCAAAGACAAGAACATATCAAATTCACATGCGGCCTATCAGCAGTACCATCCTCACCAGAACAAGAACAGCAAGAGTGGCAGCTACTATATTGGGGCGCCAGCTGTAGGTGCTGGTAAAACGAATCCCATGTTTAAGAGCTCTGGAAATCCGACCTTTAAAAACAACTACGGCAGTGGCAGTCTTCCGGGTAACAGCAGCAATATGTTCAAGGACGTCAAGTACAAGGATGCCAAATCGAACAAAGATTTCCAGCGCAAGGATGTCAAAGCCACCAGTGTCAGTGGGTGGCGCAAGTAAACGGCAATCAAGGTGTTTAGTCATGGCCCATGAGCTAAGAGCTGAGCTGAGCGCATGACCTAATCCCCTTTGACAATGAATGTTACCTGTGACTAAGGCGCATGCTAATTACCCACCCCAGTTGAATAGTATCTTGAATTGGATGCTGATGCCTATCGATGATGTTATGCTGATGACACACACAAAAATTGCGGCTTCTGTTAATTATACCTCTTAAGCTTAATCGTAATGTACCTAATGCTATCATAGCCCCAAGATTATTGTTACAATAAAATAAAACAATATTCACATATGTATATGCATAGATGCAGTTACTCACCACTTGCTGAGCATTTGAGCGTGAGGAGCCGATCCGGCTATCATAGCCATCATCTAAGGGCGGTTGCTCAACAGTCTCCTGCAGCTTCACGGTCCTTGGCTTACTGGTCTTGTCGCGCTCGGGCTTACCGAAGAGTCCGCGTCGCTCGGCCATAAGGATAAGGTATTTCTCATTCAGATGAGTGAGTGCCTTGCGGCGCACCAGAGAAAGGAAGCTGCCCGTCGCCTGCTGCTTAATGCAGTCGTCCTGATTAATGCAAATATCGGGCACAGTGTCCAGGACAAACTCATCAATATCCGGCGTTACAATTAGTTCAATGCTATCCACACGTGGCACTGTGGGCAATATAACTGCTGCATCACCCGACTTGGCGGATATCTCCTGCTGGGATTTCTTTTTATCCTCAGCCGACAGTTTGTCCTTTTTGCGGGGCGAGTCCTTGCTCATGGCTGCGGATGGTATGTTGGCTGCCTCTAATTCGGCTAATGCCTCCTGACGTTTCATTTCCTTATATGCATTACGATGCTTCTCCAACGCCAATTTATTGACCATCTTCAGCACATAGTCCACCAGATCCTCATTCTCGGTGGTCACTATGGAGTGCGTTTGATAGAGCACGAATTGTACCTGCGGCCGCGACATTGACATTGTGAGAGTAAGCAGTTGTTCCTCCAGAATTAAGGCCACTCGCTGCTTGCCCTCATCGCTGACCTCGGACTCGGTCAGGACCTCGAGCATACTAAGATCACCGCCACGCGAGCAAATTAAATCAATAGGGTCTTGAATTGCACTAAAGGAGTTAGGGGGCGTGGCAAATATACCGACTACAGTGCGAAACCGGTTCGATTCCATTGGAAACGAGGTAAAAGCATCCCCAAAAAGGCGTATATTGTTTACTCCAATTAGTTCCATGTAGCGACGATATTCTTTCAAGCTGGCACCGGCTCCGTAGACATAGAAGTTGTTCACGCGATTTACAGAATAAAAAAGTGCAGCCAGATAGGCCGTAGAGCGTGGAGAGCCTATATGGGTTTGCAATATGTCGCCATCGAGCTCAAAATAGTCCATGAGCTTAGACATGACGGCAGGACCAAAACAAAAATTTTTATCCTAGCGCAAAAATGCAATTCAAGAAGAATAAGGTAGAGGTTGATTGTAAATATTTGAAAAATAAATGAAAGAAAGTAGAAAAGAAACTAACCTGCATGATGAAGTAATGCTTAGTCATGAGCACCGATTTAGTAAAAGCGCTGCGATCCTTGGGTATGCAGGATATGACAAGCGGACATATGTTGTCCCACTTGCAGTGTTGCTCCAACAGTGGCTGTTCATCGTCCGGGCCGTGAACTGTGAAGCCCATTTCGGTGAGTATGCGGTCAGCCTCTGCCTTATTGCTAGGTTAATGGAAAGAGAGGCACTCCAAAAATACATATATGTATATAAAAGGGTAGTCTACTTGACTTACGGTACAAGAAAAGGATTTATCCAGCCAGTGACCACAGGATTTGCAGCTGCAATGGCCACCTTTTCATTTTGTAAATGTATAGGCAGCAGTTGGGAGAGGCGTAGAGCACCAGAGCTTATACGCATTCGGGAAATTGACGCGGCTAGACGTATACGATGTTCCCAGAGTACTTCAGCCAAGTCTAAAAGTGAGAAAAATTAATAGTGTTGCAGTTGTTATGTAGAATTACTTACCTTTCACCTCGGCCTCTTTGTAGAGCCGAGCCTGTAGATCATGATGCTCCGAATTGCGATGCTTAAACTGTCGATCGTAAAGCTCAAATAACATAAGCCAGGTGCGTTGTTCATCGCCAATGAACTAGAGTTGAAGACGGTTCTTGAATATAAGTAGACTTTTAATAAAGATTGAGACTTACCTCTTCATGTTTCTCGAAAAAGCATACATCGCTCAAGGCATTGGCTAAAACAACTTTATCTGGGAAGAATGAAGAGTGAGAATTGTACCCTTCTCCACTCCACACATATCATACTTACAGCGGAAGACGTCGTAGATCAAGGAATAGGCTAATCGCATCTCGTGCTCGTTTTGAAAAGTTACGGGCAAAGGAGGCTTACGCAGCAGTCTTGCGGCATTCGCTATTGTGGGTAAGGTCCATCGGGAGCCCGTCCTCAGCTTAACCTTCACTGTAGTGGGATGACAGTGCTTTAGAGCTCGACTTCGTCGGCCATTCGGACTAGTGCCTGGCGTTAGAAATTTGGTAATCCGATTTACATCAAAAGCGGGCTTATCTTTCTTGTTAATATCGTTCAGGGACAACGAGCTATCGGAGGACTCGTTGACGTGACGTTGTATTTCGAGCAGCATAAAATACATTTTATCCTGCCACTCCTCATCGCTGGGCAGATAAATTTGTTTAGTCTTCTTAAGCTTTTTGCTCTGTTCCTTGAAAATAGCTGGATAAATGGAGAATATATCCGCGAGACTAAGAAAGAATAGCTGATTGGACATAACGCGATACTGACAAGACACCCGAACGATTGGAGACGACAACAGCAACTGGCATGCTCCTTTTTTGATTTGGCGGAGCACAACTGCAAGCGTTTGATGGCGTGCCAATACCCCTAAGCCCTCCAAGCCCCTGCCCGGTCATATCCGCGCTTATCCAATGACAATGACAACTGCTGATTTTCATTTTCATTTCATTCCGTTCGTGCTTAACACCAATTCAATGCTGGGAGCGAATCGACTACCACTACTCATATACATATATATACTTGTACATTACTTATCTATTGGCGCCCCTTATTCGGCCCCGCGTCCCTGCAACAGTTGTCAGCGCATGCAATGTGCACGCCAATATAGATATACCGCAAAGGACAAACGGTTCGTTTTTTGTTCCGGTTGAAAGGGGCGGGAAAAGTACGTATCACACTTACCTTTTATTTTTTACGGCTTTTGCACGCGGCCATAAATATTGTTTGCCTTATGAGCATTACTCAAAGGCTCGCATGATTTGCTCTGATTGGAATTTGGCGCCACAGTTCAATAAATTGCAAAATGTCACAGCGAACTTGACAACAGCAACAATGGCGATAGCAATAGATGTACAAAAATAATACCAAGAATAGCAACAACAACAACAACAACAAGTGGCAGCTTGCCTTAACCTTAACTGCCTTCAATTCATCGATGTGTTTGCATTGATTAAGCGGCCCCCAATCGGGCGCTCAGTTCTAGCTCCGGCTGCGATGTCTTGATGTATGTATGCGCGCCCAATTGGTTGGCAAACATTTTGTCTAACATAAAATTAGTCGTCGATTATCTGCCCCAAGCAGGCAGAACTCTTCAAATCGTTTGCACTACTCGGTGCGTTGGGGGCGAGAGTTTTCTATCTTTGGCTTTTGGCAGGCAACAGAGACATGGCGTATTACTAATTTTTTATTGGCCTAGGTCAAATATCGATTGACAATCAAATAAATGCTTATCGCCGGGTCTATTAGGTCAAATTGAATTGAATGTCAATTTGATTGGCACATCGAGGTGGATATTTTTAGGAGCTTGGCCTTGAGCATGCTGGTGCCATGTCAGGTGTTGTTGATGTTGTTTTGCCATGAAAGGGCTTCGAAATAAGGGCTCGACATGGCTCTTTTTATTAGAAAGAAATTTAAATAAACCCATACTATTTATATCACTAATAAAATAAAAGAAATACATATAAATGGCCAATAATCCAACATTAACCACAGAGACAATTAAAATAAACAACATCGCTGGCAATGAGAGATTATTGAGTTCTTATAAATATTACATCAAGAATGAAAAGTATTTATTTGGATTTAAAAAGGCAGCGGAATAGTTTATCGGAAAATTGATAACACATATCTATCAAATATTTATGAATATGGTGGGCAACTTAAAATTGAGTCACAGACCAATTGCGCTGAAAGTTGATAACCCATATCTACCATGTACTTATTTATGGGTTTTTGCGTACCTAAAACATTACGACAATGAAATTTTAATAAAAAAAAAATAAACCCTATTGTCTTACCCATAAAACTGTTGTGACAACTGATAAATACAGAGCGACTACATACATATTTAAAAATGATATTTTAAGTGAAGAGACTTTATTTATAAACATACAAGTAAATATTTATTAAGGCCTTTTCGCACGGGAGAAGCTTTAAAACAGGGCTTTACGCTTTAATTGGACTTTCAGAATACTTAATCAAATTCTAATTTGTTAATATTTTGGCAACTATCTCAAATTAATGCACTAAAGAGCTGCGTGTGAATTCTTTACCCACGTACAGCTGAATTCTGTTTGCTTCTCTAGGCTAAGCTGCTTTCTGTAGATAGCATTATTTGAAGAACTTGAAGTGTCCCCGGTACGAGTGATTTCGCTCTTCTTAGGGGTCCCAAATAATCACTGAGGGTCCTGATTGTATTTGGTCAAATTATAGATACTCCTCAACTACGAGTACCTATAATTCACAATGTTGAGAAGAATTGAGTGTGCAAAACGATTCATGAACGATTACTGCTCAGGAAAAATTGAAATTGTTTCTTAAGCATATTTATCGTGATAGTTGGAGTTTGCAACTCTTCAAGTGTCTTCAAAAAATGTTTGAATTTTAACCAATTTTACTTAATTTTACTCTTAAAAATAATGTAAGAAAGTAGTAACAGAAGAGATTGAGAAGCCCTGGTTACAGCCCTCCACCCACATACCTTGGCTATAATGTTCTCCAAATGTCGTTTTATCATCATTTAATTCTGCAATGACAGATGATGTTAAAGTATGCCTTTCCTAGAACTCCTTCTATACAATTAGCAAGGAAGCTGTGCTTAAAATAAATTTGTAAATCTGTCAAGGAATGGTCCACAATACTGAAAGGATTAACAAGTCAAGCTTTAATAAAGCCGAATTAGTTTTCTTTTTTTGTTTTTATTAAGAAGCATATTTATTATATATAAGATGTTGTATGTAATACAATAATTTTTTGTTTTTCCGGTTTTTATGTGGCTTTTCTTAATTTCTTTCTTGTTTCATTATCATCATTATCATTTTTATAAATTTGTTATAATCATATAAAACACTGAGCTACAATACAAATATTGTGATAAAAACTTACAACATAACCTTTAATACATAAAAATACTTGCGTAGTCTACAAATCGTATCGTTATAAGAGATTTTCTTGTTCTTGTTTCTTGCTCTTGCCATATGTTCAGCCGCTAGATTTTCCAATCGTTCGCATTCTTCTTTCTTTTAACGGTTGTTCGTTTGCGATGCGCATCATCGCGCACACCACTTTGCTCTTATTTCCGTCGCTTGGTTTTTTAGTTGTGATTACCCTATTAGAGATTTTTAGTTTGCTTTTTCTTATTGATTTCGTTTATGCCTTTTTTTGTATCTTTGCTCGTGACGGTGTAGAATAACTATCCGAGTATGAAACGCATTGCGGCTGTTTGTGTGTGAGAGTTGTATGTGTGTGTGGCTGAAGTACAGACAAGATAGAAAGAACGAAAGACCATGTTGGGGGACGAAGAAAACAAAAAGGCATTCGAGGGCGCGACCCACTTGAAGAGGGACGGCGACTCTTGAGAAAATGCTTCAATAATTTGCAATGAGTTCGTTTTGTGTTATAATATGATTTTTTTATGATTTGTTCTACTACGTTTGATGTTTTTTTTTGTTTTTCTGTTTTTATATTTATTTTTGTTTTGTTTTGCAGCGATTTAATTACAATAGAAAATTATGTTTATATATGTTTAATATTTATATATTTATATAAAATACGTATACAAAAACATAAGAGAAAAGATCAAAAACAAAAACACTTGTAAATTTTGTTCAAATTTATGTTTTTCGTTTTCTTTTTTTTTTTGGGGGTGGACGTACCAAAAGTAAGTTTGCTAAATACATTTATAAATTTTATATATATAATTTTGTTCATCATCTTTTTTCGATTTTGCCGAGTATTTTTTGGTTCCAATTTTGTTGTTCTTGTTGGGTTTTACTAACAATTAAAAGACATAAATATATAAAGAGCAACGCCGAGCATTTTTATACGAAAAAGAAATGCGCAAATAAAAATTACAATAATAATAAAATAAAAAACCAACATTTTTCATGTTCTGTCATGATTTTCTCATTTTTTATACACAATTTGTTATGTATAGATGGGTATATATAATGTATCTGTATAATTATAAGTAATAAAGATTTTTTCTTTTCATTTTTTGTTATTTAATTATTTGCACACATGAATAAAAAATTACTATTTGCAATCATATATATAAAAAATAAACTTAATTACCATCAGCGGCCGTCAATCTACCTACCATCATCTACATCGTCCTCGACATTATCATTATTACATATGTATATATACCTTCGCTCAAATATATGTATATATACCTATATATATACTTTTTCCATTTAATTTAAGCTTAATAAATTTTGGAAGAGTAAACAATACCATCGCGTTACAATATTTGCTGCATTATCCTGTACGTGTCGTCTGCTTATGTGTGCGAGTGAAGGATTCGGAGTGTTTATGCTTACATGGCTGTGGTTCCTGATAATGGGTGTGTATTTTTATGTAGGTGTAGGTATATTATATAGATTGGTTTTTGCCTTTTTGTTTTGTTAAATGAAAACTAATGATTAATGCGTATTGTATATGCTGTTCTACACCCTTCTGTTATCATCTCTCATCTCATTTTTTCGAGTTCTTTAACTAATTTTTATAAATTTTTCCTCTTTTTGTTCTTAATATTTATACGTATAAACTTTTATAATTTTATACTAAATGTTTTTGTTTTTATGTTTATGTTTACGTTCTTTCTTTCTTTTGTTTTTGTAATACAAACGTCATCGTGTATATATATAAAAAAAGATGTCCAAAGTTTTTACGTTACGTTATTGTATATACGTTTTTTTTTTTATCTTTTTGTTTTCATAAATTTTGAGTGGATCGTTTTTTTCTGTTGAAGCTTCAGCTTTTTCTTGCTGCTGTTGCTATCGGCCTGTTTGTTGCCTGCCTGTTTTCTTTACAGTTGTCCTGTTTCCTCTTTGTTTTCGAATGCTTATATATGAGCGCAGCGTCTAGCTATATAGCGCCTTACTATATAGTACTATGTTTATATATATATATATATATATATATATTTATATATATATATTTATATGTATGTGGGTGTGTGTTTGCTTTATATATATAACTAACGGCGCTTTACTTTGTTTCCTCCTTCTCTTTGTTCTCCTCGGTTGATTCCTTCTCGTTCGACTGCAAACATGTGTAAAGTTTATTAATACAGAACTCTATACACATACATTCAGTTCGTTACGCTGCCTTACCTTATCCTTCTCCAATTCCTTCTCGATCTTATCGCCTTCAGTTCCCTCTTGCTCATTTGATTTCTCTTGCTCACCGCCTTCTTTGCCTTCCTTGGTCTCGGGTCTGTAGTATAAACAACGTGATTCATAAGCAAGTGATTCATAGGCGTTCATCATTACATTCTTATCGTGCTTTGACTTACTCTGGCTTGGGAATGTGCGCATTCAGATCCAGCTTCGTGCAAATCTCATCCCAGTCGGGGAAGCACTTCTCCTTCATGCGTGACACATGGCCGATCAAATTGGGATATTTCTCGGTCATATAATCGCGCAACGGATACACAATATCCTTGGACAGATAGTGCAGCTGGGAAAGCACCGCGAAAGCAACAACATCCAGTGTGGTGGGCTCATCGCCAAAGAAGAAAGGCTTACAGTCCAGCATTTCGCTGAGCACTTTCAGATCGTTCTTGCCGAACTCCTCGATCTCCTCGGCGCTGTGCACACCAATGCCGTGCGCCTTTAGCTTTTTCGTGCCCTGGAACCACTTGTTGTGTTGAGAATGGTTGCCAAATTCGCAATTTTTTTTTGTTTTTTTTTGTTTTGTTGTTAAGGTAAACAAAATGCACACATGATGCACAACGAGGGAGGTTAGGAGATACACATACACAGTTAGCAGTAAAAACCATAACAAGAGGGGAAACATAAACAAAAAGAAAAAAGAGAAAAAAAACCATGCAAGAGTTAGTGATGATAACGGATTGTTGTTGATTTTGTTTATTTTTTCGCTGATCAGGTTTTGGTGCGTACTTGAATTGGGTTATATGATCTATGTGCTGTTTAAAATATTTCAGCTCTAAACAAAGGGTCTGTTTGCATTTGGATCGTGTATTGTTTATGCTAATGATAACCAACTATTGAATGTGTGTGAATGTGTGCTCGTAGTTTCTGGTGAGTTGGAGCAACCTAATACCCAGTGCCGTGTTTATTTATATTACCAATCATTAGAACGTAGCAGGAACCTCATCAACATTGAGCCAGCCATTGACAAAGTACAGTGCTGAACTCAATGTCGGCGCTCCCGTCTGCAGTGCAATATGAGCCGGGAGCTTGACTCAGTCTAAACTAAATAAGTGTAAACAAAACCTCTAGGGTTGTTGATATACGCGATAATTTGAATGCATTTGATGATTGTTGAAATAAAGGTTCCATAACATGAAAACTTTCCGTCACGATTAAGTTATTGAGAACATGCATTAATCATAATACTGAAAAACTGCAATGTGTACCAAAATTTTATAATTACAAATCTCCGAAAACGACAAATAATTGGGAGGTACAATAATTAAATACACTAAAGTGAACTTTTATTGCTATTTACTACTCAGCTGCATTCGACAGTAAACAAAATAATTACAGAAATCCCCAAAATAAAAGTGAACATAATCTATCTTAAACTCTGAAAATATTTTACTTTTAGGGGACAAATGGTATAGTCGAAGGACTAAAAGGATCATAGGCCTGAGGTGGTCTTGGTACAGTCAATCACAAAAAATCAATCATTTTAACTTTATCTATCTTCTTTCATTTTTAATTTGCAATTAAGATTACTTTAGCTTTTTTGTTGACATCTGTGCTCATTTTTGTTTTTAACAAAATCATCTGGAAATTGGTTGTGCGACTCGTTAGACCTGCGCCTCCACATTTTACTCATCGCAAGATGTGAATTATTATTTGAAGAATGAAAATATTCTGTATACTGACTTACAATGGTAATAAAAAATAATAATCTGTGAATAGTTTTCCAAAATCACATTTCAAAAATGTTGCATCTAAGATGTCACAAGTATACATATTAACTAAGTATTAAGAATCGCTACCATCAACAACCCTACATACTACGCCATTAAGATTTATAAAAACATATCCAACCATAGAATTTTCAAATTACCTTGCGTCCGAATGTTATCTTGAAGAAGAAGTTCAAAATCGAATTGGGCAAACGCAGTCCCAGCGCATGTTGCAAATTCACTTTATAACCCTTGAGCACATTGTCGGGATATTTTGCACGCCAGTAGAAGATGACCCAGATGAGATGATTCTCCAGCATGGCAATGGTGGCATACGATACGTTACGCTGCTCGGCTGTGAGGCCAGCATCCAAGTTCTTATCGTATTTGGCCGATAGTTCCTTGATGATAATGGCCGAATCGGCTATTTCCTCGCCATTTAGCTCAATAAAAGGCAATTGACCTTTCTTGGAACGGAAACGCATCTTATGGTCGACATTCTGTGAAACAAAGTTAACATAAGGATGAGTAACTAAAATATTAAAATGACTAAGTAATTATGTATGTATGTACATATGAAAATATATTTTTCTGTGTATGTTTATGTATACTGTGGGTGGGTGGGGCAGTTTTCAAGCATTGTATGCGGCGTTTTGTTGATATGCTAACATATTTCACATTCCATTTTGCCCGATTTATTTGCATGACTGTATGTATTTATTTATGTGTATGCGAGTGTGCATGACTAATGCGCTTGTAATGTAGTTCAAATCAGAGATGGGCGCATGACCGCCCCGCCCCCCTCTCCTATCAATCGCTAATAGCAACAACATGCACCCATCTGCCCGACAAACAGCTAGTTGGTTCCCAAATTTTAGACACCCTTTCAAAATGCCACTAGATGGCGCTCATGACATACATAATAAGCCCATACACATACATACATATTTAATTGGTAGTGTGTGTACGTATGTACACAGTGTTATATGGAGCAAGTCGGCTTGAGATGATTCTGCTGCTGCTGCTTCTGACCAAACAACCACCAGTCAGCAGGCAGCACAAAAGCTGTACCAAAAACCAACCAACACCCAACTACCCCCACTAGCGTACGGGAACACACACTCATACATAGGCACCCGCTGCTTGTAAAATTATACACACGAACGCACAGCGGCCGTAGTCGTGCTCTGATGCCGGCGACGACTTCCAATTGCCGCTATTTGAATTTGGCAGCACTTTCCAGTGCATGCTGCTGGCAGGGCAGGCTTTCCAGCATGGTACACGTACAACATTTAACCGTTACAAAAAGTGACAGTTACGCGTGTGTTACTTATTTATGTATATGTAGTTGTTGGGCGTCCGGTTGGTCGTGGATTTTTGTATGCACATATTTTCTAATTAGAAATTGTCCACAACAAAAGGCTATGGCGTAGCATATTTAAAGATAGGTAGGCAGGCAGGCAGCAAGCGGCAGGGTGTGGTTGCACGCACACACACACACACATTCACAAATAGGAGCGCGTTTACATGTACATACATACGTATGTATGTATATGTATAGAGATTTGGTTTTCCAGCGCCGGCAGAAACAGCAGCATCGTGACTGAAAAGGGTGGAGTCTTCGTTCGTTCAAATTTGTTGCTGCCGCCACCGCCACATTTAATTCCAATGATCCACAAAAAGGCTGCTCAAAATGAAAGAAAATACATACATACATATGTATGTAAGTATGTACATAAATATGTATGTATGTATGTAGGAACATTATGGTATGGTCCGTTCAACAGACGCATTAAATGTCGTCAACGCAGCTGGCAGAGACTGAGGCAAAAAGTACAACGGCGACGCATTGTCGCAACACAATGCAAATGTTTATTTTTTTATTAAATTATTATGCCAATTAAGCAACATGCAGCGCCATCAAGGGAGCGGCCAGCCTGCTACATTTTCGAGAAGTGTAAAGCTTTGCGTTGGCAACTACAAAAACAAAACATACAAAATTGGAGGCATGTTAAAGAAAAACGACAGCCGCCCAGAGGCAAAAGCAAAAGCTGCTCGTTGCATGCGAACTTGCGTGGCATCAACACTAACATACAATATGCAATTATGCGATGCGTGTGTGTGTGAAAATCCACACCCTGCGACAAAAAAAAAAACCAACATCAGTCAGAGAGTTCCAGTAAAAAGAGAGCGACTAACAACAACAAAGACATTGACGTGTATGGCATTACTCCGACTCTGCCTTATTTTTTAAATCGTTCAAAAACAGTAAAATATGCGGATGCTATTAATTAAAAAAAGGTGCAAAAACCAAAAAACTAATACAAAAGAAACAAAAACGTTTGCCTGCATTTGTCGCATTTGAAAAACTCCACTCATACATACACATGCATTACTTATACATATACACATACAGCGGCACTTGTACAGTTGCAGCGAGTAATGAGCGCGCATTTAGCGCAACAGAGCTGCCAGATATCATGGCAAATTTCATGTTGGTAATGCTGCGCGCGCACTACAAGGCATTTGAATTTGTTCATGTATTGTTTGTGTTTTTGTGCTGCGTGTATTTGCCTTTGTTGCACCCTTTTTTGTTTTCGCAGTTTGTCGCTAGCAATTTACAAATGAATTAAAACTTTGGTCACAACTGGCTGACTGTCTGAATATTTGTTTTATTTGTAATGCATATTGAAAAGTGAATTAATTGCACAATACTCGTAAATATATTTAGTAGATACCTACATATGTATATTAAACATATGCCAGTCAGTAGTCATTTTGGTATGCAAAGTATGCGGGCACAGCCTATATATGCATATATGTAAGTAAGTATCCATGTTTGTACGAATGTATGCTAGGGTATATAATGTGCAAGGCGGACGGAACGTCCCATACCGTCCCGGTTTGGCCCGCCCAGGGCTGCTGCTGCTGTTATTGTTAATGGCTTGCTAGGCACGTTCACGTCCGCCCGTCCGTCCATTTGTCAGGCGCCGCGGCGCTGCTTGTGGTGTGAAAAAAATATGCGTTTGTTTTATCACACGCCGCGCCACAGCGACGTTGAGGAATTGTTTACTTTAAACACAAGGCAAAATGCTGCTAGCCTGCCTGACTGATAATGTATACAAAACGCAGCAATGCGTTTATAACAACAACAACAAACGTGCGTTTGTGAGGAATAATCACACGCAGCTGCAAGCGAGGCAAAGCGGAGGGAGTGGCGGACAACAACTGCACTCGCACACTTAGTCAACCATTCCGCCAGTGTTGATTAATAAAAAGGTCCAATGCAGTTTGTTGAACTCTTATCAAAGCGGAACAAAAAGGAAAGTATACACTATATGTATGTATGTATGTACTGTGTATTACTGCTGCGGGCTACTAGCTGACTAACAGAGTGACTGACTGAGTGAATAACTGACGAACGGCTGTCAATCATAATTGCTGCCTACTTATGCTGTCTGCTTTCTTTCTTTACCATCAATTTCGGGTGCGGGCGACGCCACAAAGTGAAATGCAACATGAACGAACATTGGCTTTTGGATTGCGTGTTTAGTGAGAGTGGTGTAAAGATGTGGGTATAGGCATCAGCATCGGCTTCGGCAGCAATAAATCAATTCAATGAGCCGCAACATATGGCAGGCTGTAGCAGCGCTGCTGTTGCATTTTTATCAGCAGGCTGGAATCGACATCGGAATCTTAGGCCCAGGCCCAGCCAGCCGACAACACAACTACTTCAGCAATTAACATTTTTGTTGCACTGCACCCCCCCACTGACACTCTTTCTGAGTGTTCACTATCATCTTTATGTCGGACACATTTTTCATTAACCAATGTAATTAATAAGATTAAACAACAATTGCGTCGCGCGCTGGTTGTGCGGGTGACCGCACCCATTTCTGTTGCCATTACAGCAAAGCTGTGACGGGCGCGCTATAAAAGCGCAGGCATTCATTCAAGGGGCCGTTGAGCGGCGACTTTGCTATATTACAAAAAAAATATATGTATATACATATGCATATAAAAAAATATGGAAAATATGCAAACCGCATCGCGCGCTTTAAAGCCGTTTTGGATCGTCTGAAGGCGGGCGCGGTAGCGTGGACGATTGGTGGCGATGGCGTTGACAGTCCCAGCATTTGTCTAGCCCATTACAACTACTTAGTGGCGATAAAGCGCGACGACTTGAAGTTACAATGCATATGCAGACAAATACTTACAGATGTATGTACATACATACATATGTATGAGTTTATGCAGCATGCTGCACTCAAGAACAACAACAAGAACGACAACTACATCAATTTTTATTAAAAGCAATTACAACAAACGGGTACGGTTGCAGTTTGGAATTTGTGCAAGGCAAGAAGAAAAAAACGAAGAAATAACGAGAGAGAATGTTATAGTCGAGCAGTTCCAAATTTGAAATACCCTACACCCAATGGTAAATATAAGAAAGAAGTACGCAAAATTTAGATGATGCAGCTTTGGAGCTTTGGACAGTGTTACCAAGGGATTATAAGAGTTAATATGGTTTCAGCCGTTTATGGAGATGGTTTCTTTTGCCTGTAAAATACATTTGCCCAAACCTTTCTTACCCTTCAGGTGCAGGGTATAACAAAGACAAAGAGCAGTAGTCGCATTAAAATGGGAGCCACTGCCATGCTAGTGTGTGTGTGAATGTATTAGTGTGAGAGAGCGCCAAGTGCAAAATTTGAAGCACGACTTCGTTTGGGGGAGCACATATTAAGCAAAACTTTATGAGAGCACCATGTTGGCAGCGCTGTGGCGTCGGCGCACACACAAATTTTATGTATACTCTGTTTTATGTAGGCACACATACATACACATAGCAAATGTGCATACATACATACATATGTAGTCAAGCAGACAGGCAGGAATAAAGTCCAGCAGCAGCAACAACAACACACCGCCTAGCGCGTTCGCTACAGGTTCATATACACACACCAACACACACATTCAAGCAGCATATTGGAAGTATGCATCTGTGTGTGTGTGAGTGCGTCGTGGTTCAGGATAGAAAGGAAAGGCAATGCTAAATGTATCCCTTTTTAGCATGTGGGCCCAGCAGGAGCACGGTGCGCGGGCAGGTCACACAGGCTTAGCACACAATCATGGCGGTTTTTTATGTACATGTGTGCGTGTGTGTGCAGGCTGCTGTTGGAAAAAAATCTGTACCGCAAAAGTATGTAAAGGAAACTGATGAAAACCCGCCGCAACCCGCACGAAAATGAAATGTATGTTGCAAAAATACATACATATCTACGTATGTACATATGTATGTATGTATCTGGGAAAATCTAATGCAACTTAATTGCACTACTCACCTCGTACTTAAGTCCTACCAGACGCAGCCAAGTCTCGACTTTCAAACAATATGGTGAAAGCGATGGCAGCAAGGGGGTGCGCGAAAACTGATACAAATATATAATATCCTTCTCAAAATTGGCTTTGTGCACATTGAACTTTTGTGCGGGCGCTTCTGATTTAGCGGGCGCGGCAGCGGCAGCGGCATTGGCTTCTCCATCTTTCTTTGCATCGCCTCCATCGGCGGCTGGCGACGCCTTCGCATCCTCTTTGTTTTCTTGGGCGTTGTTAGCGACAGCGCTGCTGTTCTCTGCGGCTGCAGCGACGGAGGCTGCAGGCTCGCCAGCAGGTTTTTCCGCTTGCTCGGAGGCAGCGTTTTCTGTGGTCGCCGCCACGGCAGGCGTTTCCTCAGCGGGTATTTGGCTCACTTCAGTTGCCATTATACTTTTTTTTTTTGCTTGTTTTGTTTCTTATTTGTTTTTACAATTTGAAAAAATTTTTCTTTTATGCGGCGCTTTCTTCGCTATATTTTATTTTCTTGTAACAGATTCTTCACACTTTTCCTTGTTCAAATGATGCACACAAACACACACAAATACGAGAGCACACGAACGAACTGACTTCACGCACACAGAGACGAAGTCGCAGACACCACCAATACTTGTAACAGATTTCCAACAAACGCGGCTCCGATTTCCGACTTGTTCCTTTCACGTTCAAATTCAAATGCACAATGTGTTATTGGTATCGTGAGCGTGAGCCCATAACCGAACGCAGCGGCTCTCCTAGAGCTGGCAGTGGCATCAATCGATGGCGGCAAGCTCGATATTTAATGAATTGAATCGTTGCTATCGGTAACATAGACAATGATGTGCGCTCTCTGTCTGGGTGATAAGTGTTTGCTTGCTCCGACATTTGAATTATTTATTCTAAAGCAATATACATAGCTACAGTTTAAATATAATTTTAGCAATATGCAATTTAGCAATTTATGAACATTTCGATATTTTTTACAAATTACTAACTTGCTGATTTTCGAATAAAAGTAAAGTATAAAATTTTGTTTATTGACATTGCTACAAGATGTAATAAATACACCATGATAAAAACATCTCCAATTTAGCTTTAAGGAATGTCATTTGAACTTAGTCATTTCGATATATGAACGAATATTTGAAAGTTACCCTGCAACACATCTAAGCACAGGGTGACGAGTAAATGCTTCTTATACTTTCAGTATTTTTGTAAGCAAATGTAAAAAGGTCAAATATGAGTGTTCAGTAAACAGTATCCTCACAGTAATTTGATATAACTAATTGAATTGTCAGTTCTAAAAATTAAATACAGCACTATTCACTTGTACGTATTCTTACAATGCTCAGTGTTATCGCATATTGCCGTCACCCTGTGTGCTTGTAGACAGTTTTTCCAGCTAACAAAGCGCCTCTTGACTTGAAGTTATTTTGGCAACTGATTTCATAAGAAAGCTAATTTGAACAACGTGACGAAGCTGCTTTAAGATGGGAGCTGCATTGGGACTTTGTTCCGCGGCACAGGTGAGTATATAATAGGGCATATGCTTGTTAATTACATCCGTGGTAACTAACTGCGCACATAACGGCATATGGCTATAAATCAATAATAAAGCCTGCAGATGTTTTGCCATATTTTTGTTTGCTAATTGAATTTATGTAAATTGTGCACTCCCTTTCTCAATAGTGTGCACTCTGCTGCACAGGAACGGCCGCCTCCATGTGCTGTTCTGCTTGCCCGAGCTGCAAGAATTCCTCCTCTTCACGATTCATGTACGCTTTCATGTTGTTGGTGGGGACGGTATTGGGGGCCATAGCTTTGTCGCCTGGATTACAGGACGTGCTCCGGAAGTTGCCGTTCTGCATTAATTCCACGTCTACGTACAGCTCCAAGGCCGTGGACGCTTTCTCGGGCGGATCGCTGGAGGTTGACTGCGAATATGCCCTCGGCTATATGGCAGTTTATCGTATCTGTTTTGGCATGGCTTGCTTCTTTGCACTTATGGCGTTCATGATGATGGGAGTTCGGAGCTCACGTGATCCGCGTTCCCATATACAGAATGAATTCTGGCCACTAAAATTCTTGATATGCTTTGGTGCGACCATTGGCGCTATATTTATACCGAATGAATCCTTTGGTCCGGCCATGATGTGGGTGGGCTTAATTGGTGGCTTGGCCTTTATACTCGTCCAGCTAATTATAATTGTGGATTTTGCACACAGCATTGCGGAGCGTTGGATAGGTGAGTCATAATCATAATTTAACTAATATAATACTCATTTGATTCTTGATTACTAATTTTTAATTTGTTTGCAGAGAGTGCTGAGAATAGTCGGGGATATTATTATGCGCTGGCTGGCGTTACACTCATCTGCTACATCTTATCTCTAACTGGCATTACTATGCTCTACATCTACTTTACCACTGTAGGTAGAGATAGCTAAGATTTATCTGTGTATTTATTTTGGTTTCTTCTATAGGCTTCTGGCTGTGGCATTAATAAGTTCTTTATCTCCATCAATCTGATATTTTGCTTGATTATCAGTGTGCTGTCGGTTTTGCCGGCTGTGCAGGAGCGCTTGCCACATTCGGGTCTTTTGCAGAGCTCGTTGGTCACTTTGTATACCATCTATTTAACTTGGTCTGCCGTTGCTAACAATCCACGTAGGCTTACCGTGAAAACAATTGCATGAGCATAAGAATACTATAAGTGATCATTTCTCATTATATAGAGAAATCTTGCAATCCCGGTATGTTTGGGATGATGGAGGGTGTGTCCAATACTACAATTGCGCCGCCCACTCAGCACTCTAAGGTTACTTTCGACACCACCAACATCATTGGTTTGATTGTCTGGCTATTCTGCATACTCTATAATTGCATTACATCGGCTGTCGAGGTTTCCAATATAAGCTCCGATCACAGTGAGAAGAGAGGTAAGTAAATTAGACTTTTATGCATTCCACAGTTTCATTATTTACACAAACATATGAATTTTTATAGTTAAGAATCTTACACACTTTTTTTCATTTATCTCCACATACTTTACTGTAATTTGGCTAACCCTTATTAACTTTATTCTCATTTGCTGTATATTTTTCTTACTTTTTTTGTACAAAATGTATGTATATATACTTCAACTAACAAAATAACCGGCACACGCACTTTGGTTTGGTTTTTTGGGGTTACGAAACTGTGGGAAACGACAACAACAACCTTACTTCAACTAATAAAGTTTTAACAGAAGCTTTATCAGACACAGAGACTGGCAATGCCGGCGGTAAGCCAAACACCGATAATGAAACCGAAGGCGTCACCTACAACTGGTCCCTCTTCCACATTGTTTTTGTCTGCGCTTCTCTTTATATCATGATGACGTTGACTAATTGGTATAAGTAAGTACATTACATATTGAAATTAAATTGGCGAGCTGGTTGTTCATTAATATCTGTATAACTTATCCGCAGACCAAATTCTGACATCGAACTATTTAATGCGAATGAAGCTTCTATGTGGGTCAAGATTATATCCAGTTGGATAGGCGTTTTCATCTATGGCTGGAGTCTGGTGGCGCCCATTATTTTGACCAATCGGGATTTTAGTTAAATCGCTTGATTTATTTAGTATCTTAAAGTTTTATCCATATACTTAGGAGTGGTGCTGAAAATGCCAAACGGAACGAAAGTATTGAGCAGTGCTGCAGTCAAGAGATTGGCCATACTTATATAAAACACATATACATACGATATGATAGTAATGGACTCTTAACGTTATTTACTCATTACTCAAGAAGACGTAAAAGCGGAACTTAAACTTATCTCAAATTACAGAAGTTATAAATACATATTATACAAAAAAGTCTTTTGTGAAATTAAATAAAATGTAATCAAACTTGATGCTCTTCACGCGTTAACCTCGGCTTTTTGAGACATTCACCCAGTCGTTCCAGAACTACGCGTTTTCCAAGGATCTCCATCATTTCTGCCACGCCTGGTCCTTCTGTAAGACCACTTAAGGCGCTTCGCAGTGTTTTCATAAGCAATGGAAATTTTAGCTGCTGCGTCTTGGCAAAATTTTTAAGAACAGTATTCAATTCATCTTTGTCATATTGCTCGACTGAGTCCAGTTCTGTTAATAAATGCTGCAATTGTTTATTCGACAAATTTTCCAATACGCAATCAGTGGGCTTAACCCATAAAAAGCTGAGTTTACTGCTAACTAAATCGGGCAGTAAATATAAGCGCTGTGAAGCCCAATTGAGGACGGAGACTATATGTGATTCGGCCAAATCCAAATTGGGGCTGAGAGCACGAATTAAATATATGTATTGCTTAGTTAAATATGTGCATAGACCAATTCTACGAGTATACTTACTGCTGTGGAAAGGCTTGCTGGACAAGTTGCTGCACAAGCTGGACCAAGTGCTGTCGCGCTGATTCATTGTCCAATCTCTTTATAATCTCCGAACGGTTATAGTCATTTAACAAATCTGGGTTTAAGCGACTAGGATGCGCATTTACTCGCTCTATTAGAAATTGCTGGGATAGCTCGTCAAGACTGTAAAGGTGTGGCTTTGCTGTGGGTCTGCCCTCGAAACCACCGCCCGCTGAGACAACATAATTAAGCAGAGCCGTTGGAAAGTAGCCCTTATCCTTGAAGTGTTTGATGCCAATGTCACCCTGGCGTTTGCTTAGTTTGGTGCCATCGGCGTTAACAAGGAGTGGCAGATGTCCGAATTGTGGCGGTAGCCAGCCAAAGGCTCTGAGAAATGTTGATCAAAAGGGTTAAATGGGAGCTCAAAAATCTAATATACTACATTTACGCACTTGTAGAGCAGTAAATGCTTGGTGGTCGAAATTTGCCATTCAACGCCTCGCAGGACATGCGTCACGCCCATCAAATGATCATCCACGACATTTGCAAAGTGATAGGTTGGAAATTGATCGCTCTTCATTATGACGGGATCGCCCTCGTTGTCGCTGACATTATGATGCACACTGCCATAGATCATATCCTGCAGAGGCTCCTCATGGTCTGTTAGCTTAAAACGTATGCAGTGTGGCGTTCTTTTAGACAGCAAATCGTTCAATTGCGCCGGCGTCAAGTGTCGGCATTTGTTGTCATACCGTGGAATTTGACGAGCCCGCACCGCCTCCTTACGCAACAGCTCCAGCCGACGTTCCGTGCAAAAACACCGGTAGGCGCTGCCATTATCGAGCAACTGTTGTACGGCCTTGCTGGAATTGGCACGAATAGCATGTGAGCAGCTTTTCAATGCTATTAATTATTACTTCTGCTCACCTGTACAATTCGGTGCGTTCACTTTGAATGTAGGGCCCATGTTCACCACCGATACCGGGGCCTTCGTCAATCTCTATGCCTGCCCAGAGTAAGTCCTCAATCAGTTGCTCAGTGGCGCCCGGCACCAGTCGCGTTTGATCCGTGTCCTCAATCCGCAACAGGAATTTTCCACGCTGATGGCGTGCGAAAAGAAAATTGTAGAGCGCCGTTCTCAAGCCGCCAAGATGTAAATGGCCTGTCGGACTAGGAGCAAAGCGTACGCGTACCGCACTATGTGTCAGACGTTTTCCTAGAAAGCATCGCGTGGTCACCCGAAGCAACATCACTTCCCCCTTTATATAAATATAACCGCAAAATTGTTTCTAAAGTTGTATTCGTCTAACCGCAATTTTTGTTTACAAATTTGCGAATCAGCTGTTATGCGGCGTTGCCATATGGAGATAGGGCTACGGCCTACAGCTGAGTAACGAACACGCATGCAATTTCTTTTTTCAAGGGGAATTTCATAAAACGTGTTGCAGCTTTCGCGATTAGAATAACGTTAATTGAATATTGCAAAAAATGGTTGAGCTTACGCCCGAGGAGAAAAAGCAGCTAATTACGCGCAACCTGCAGGAGACGCTTGGAGAAGACAAGCTGACGCAGATATTAAAAGAGCGCGACTTAAAGGTTTACTGGGGAACTGCAACAACCGGCAAGCCTCATGTGGCCTACTTTGTGCCCATGTCAAAGATAGCGGACTTCCTCAAGGCCGGCTGTGAGGTGACCATTCTTTTTGCCGACTTGCACGCCTATCTGGACAACATGAAGGCGCCATGGTCGCTCCTGCAACTACGCACCCAATACTACGAGCAAATTATCAAAGCCATGCTCAGTTCCATTGGTGTGCCACTGGAGAAGCTGAAGTTTGTCAAGGGCACGGACTATCAGCTGTCCAAGGAATACACGCTGGATGTGTACAAGCTGAGCTCGGTTGTTACGCACCATGACGCGAAAAAGGCAGGTGCTGAAGTGGTGAAGCAGGTGGAACATCCACTGCTATCAGGTCTGCTCTACCCAGGATTGCAAGCGCTCGACGAAGAGTATCTGAAAGTGGATGCGCAGTTCGGTGGAGTTGATCAGCGTAAGATATTCACATTCTCAGAAAAGTATTTGCCGCAGCTGGGCTATGAGAAGCGTATTCATTTCATGAATCCTATGGGTAAGAAAAAAAAAACAGAAATCCTAGACTTGTTAGCAGCATTTCAAACTTGAATATATTTCATTTTAGTGCCTGGTCTGGCTGGCGGCAAAATGTCTTCATCGGAAGAGGACTCCAAAATCGGCTTGCTGGACTCTCCATCGGATGTTAAGAAAAAACTGAAAAAGGCTTTTTGCGAGCCAGGAAATATTGCCGACAATGGACTGCTGTCGTTTGTCAAGCATGTACTCTTCTCACTCTTCAAGGAAGGGGAAGGTTTCGAAATCAAACGTTCCCCCGACAATGGTGGTGATATAACCTTTAACAACCACACTGACCTGGAGAAATATTATGCAGACAATAAGCTGCATCCGGGCGACTTAAAAGCATCGGTTGAAAATTACATAAATCGGCTGCTAGATCCTATACGCAAGACTTTTGAGCAGCCAGAACTAAAGTGGGTATCACAGACTAACCTAATATATATAAAGAATAGAATGTTATATATTCAGTTCATGATTTTAGAAAGCTAAGCGCTTCCGCCTATCCACCACCTGCTAAGGTCAAAGCTAATGCAGCGCCAGCTGCTGGATCTGCTGACGAAGATGCACCCTATCGGCTGGACATACGCGTGGGCAAGGTCATTGAAGTGGCGCGACATCCCGATGCCGACACTCTTTACGTGTTGAAGATTGATTTGGCTGAGGCACAGCCTCGTACTATTATAAGTGGTTTGGTCAAATTTGCCACAACGGAGCAGTTGGATCAACGACTTGTTGCGGTTCTGTGCAATCTAAAGCCTTCAAAAATGCGTGGTATTCTGTCCGAGGGCATGGTCTTGTGCACATCCAAGTAAATTTCGCAATAACTATGGCCGTGAAATATTAATAATTATAACACTTTACACTTGCAGTGCCGACCACACCGTTGTAGAGCCCATTATTGTGCCCGTAAATGCAGCGCCCGGCAGCCGTTTGGCTTTCGAGGGTTACAGCGGTACTCCGGACGAACAGCTCAACCCCAAGAAAAAAGTATGGGAGAAATTATCTGTCGATTTTAAAACGAATGCCGATGGTGTGGCTGTGTGGAGGGACAACTTTTTGCTAACGCCCGAGGGCGAGCAGCTAACCAGCAAGCTGGCGAACTGCGCCATTAAATAAATCCATGCCAGTCTACCTGAGCCATGTAATACTTAAAGGAGGCACAGAGTTGACCAATGCAGCCGCTTATTTATTATAAATACTTTATTCAATTGCATTTTTTGTATCTTTCACCTTCAATTGTTTTATGAACCGAATCGAGCAAATATATGGAGCCTATGTATGTGTCCTTATGCTTAAATTGTTGCTGGGAACTGCGATTATCGCTTTTAAGGCATCTGCATTCGAAGCGAAAGCCATCGTTAACAAAATCAAAAGTAATGAGATTTTATTTTGGACTGCCATTCAGTTGTAAAAATCAATATATATTGGGTAAACTCAATTTTCGAACTTGATAAAAGATAAATAAACATGACCGTTTTTTTAAAATAAAAAACCGTATGTACACACACTTAAGTTTAAGGTCGATTTAAAGAAGCTGAACTGCATAGCTAATATAATAAAAATACATTAACAATTGTTATTAAGCATTTTATTTGGTTATTCATACGCGTGTGGTTTACAATACAAATAGATTTTATATTTCTGGTATGTTTATAACACAAAATTTGGTTTCTGCATGTATGTATACATATATTTATATAAATTTTACTTCATTGGTGTCTCTAAAACATTGTTTTATATCATTTGTTAAGTTGTTAAGTGTTTTATCAATACGCTGCTAGATGTGCCTTGAGAACTTGTCTTTCCATTGCATATTTGTTTAATTTTTTATTCATTTAGTATTGTGTAGCAATATGTGAGTAAATACGATACAATGCTTGTATATTTATGTATGTAAATTTAATCTATGTCATTCAGTTTGTTTCAGATATTGTATATGGATGTATAATATTTGTTAAAATATTCAAGCTTAAAAATATGCTTGGTTCTTGTAAAAAAATGAGACTTTAAAAGCATTCCACTTCTCAGGCCTTGGCTGTTTATTTCTTTACGTCCCTTTTCACATGCATTTGTATATTTGCTTAAATTAAACTACAATAATAAGCGATTCATTTATTAATGTATAACTAGTACATAAAATTAAAAGCGAATGTGTTTCTCGATTACAACGCGCTAGCACAAAATTATTTTGTTTTTTTTTTCGTTTTTATTAAATTTATTAAACATTAAAGCCAATAATAAAAAATGCGGTAAACAGCTAATGCATGTCATATTCATATCCCACGTTCTTTTAGTGTTTATAAATATATAAAATATATATATATATAGTATGTATATATAATGTTATTTATTTAAAAACTCATGTATGCATTTCAATTTCATTTAAAATGTGTAGATGAAAAATGTAGAATTTTCTAGTTTCTTTTTCCTTTATTTTGGTTATTTAAAGAGCTTGTGGTGATGGCGTCGCATCCATTTGCATTTTTCCGAGAATTAGATTTCAGCATCCACATTAATTGTGCGCCTTATCTGTAATGGGATAGATAATATAAAGTGTTAGGATTACTAAAAAAAGGCTTATGGATGATGGGGCGGCGAGTAAAACTTTTTCTCATTCAAAGTTGAGCTCTGCTGCTTCTAATAATCGACTCGAACCAAAAAGTTTAACAAAACATAAAACTAAAAGCCGTGAAGCCTTGCTTACCTAGCCAAAAATTCTATGACATTGTTCAAGCCCCATCTACTTGTATCTCTCATAAACTCTCTCTCCCATTCTCATCATCTGCCTTATTGGCGTTGTTGCTCCTGCTGTTGTGGCTGTTGTTGAGTCTTCTGTTCGTTGCGGTCGTCTTCCACCACAGTGGATTCATCGTGCGACCAAAAGCTTGCCGACATTTGTGAGGACGACATCACACCCACACCAGGAAAAGAGTCTTCCATAAGCGTACTTGAAGCACAGCTGGTAACGCTTCCCGACATCTGCGAATTGCCGGCACTAGTCTGATAAGTGGCCGTAGTGCCCGCCGAACTCGTCGTTTGTTCCATGCACAAGTTCAATGAGTCAACAGATATATCCTTCGACATGGTACTCTCATCCAGAGGCAGTTCATGGCTTGCACCACCGCCAACTGTGGTGGTGGTGGTAATGACACGAGTTACGGTATGTTCATGTCCATCGGCATCAGTGCTGGTCGTTGTTGTTGTGGTGGTTGTAGTAAGACCATCCCCTAAGGTGACACCCCCTCCGCTGACCACCAACTTGGACATGAGATCCAACTGCTCATCTCCAAATGATTCGATGCTCTCCTGTCGAGAATGTCTTTTGTCAATCTCCAAAGAATCAACATCCGACCGTGTGGTGGCATCCTTGGAGATATCGAAACTCTCGATGCTGCTAGTCATCATATCGTGACTCTTGCTAATTTCCATACTGTCTATGCTATCCTTTTCCGAATCCTGACTATCGATCTTCGATTTGTGTTCCAATGGTTCAGCGGTAAACTCGGCCTGTTTGGCTCGGGTCGTTTTACTATCACAGTCGTCAAGCTTGTGTTTTAGCAATGCTTCGATGTTATCGGCTTGATTTTGACTTTGACCTGGACCTGTTGGGAGGACTTCGGTGCGCGTGACAGTACGTATTACCTTAGTTACAACCACATTACCAACAGCGCCGTTATCGCTGCCATTCGATTTGTTTGATTCATCGGATCGGGATAATAAAGCTGCCTCCTCCTTGGCCTTAATTTCAATGAGATGTGCTTCGATGCAGGCATTCTCCAGCCCTTCAAATTCTTTTAAGCTGGAAACAGAGACATCATCTCCTGGTGCCGTTCCACTGCCACTATGGCGCACAATATATCGGCGCGTAAAGCTGCCATTACTCGAGTCTGTTGAACCCTGATGTGCGCGATTGCGATTCTCCAGCGATATAGCTTGCTCCAGTGACTCGAATTCTTGCAAGCTGCTCATCGAAACATCATCGTGTTCGCCACGAGAGTGATATCTGCGAGCTGCTAAATCATATTCAGGTGTGCTGGAAAAGGAGTCCTTGAAGCTGCTGATGCGACTGCTGCCTACTTCGAATTCACCGTCTTCCTCTTTTATGTCTTCCAGTACGCCACTTGTGAGATCGTAGGGATACCGCAATTGGTTGTCTGTCAGTTGCATCTCGACCCACCGTTTATTGGCAGCAGCAATATCACTGGAATCACTCTCTTCTTGTTGCTCGCTACTGCTACTGGCTGCTGTTGGAGGACTTTCCTCGAACTCAAAGTTCAGATCATCCTTGTAGAGTTGTGAACCGAGCTTGGGATCAGCAGGGGCTGATTTTATTATTATTTTTTCAACATCTTCATCGTGCTTTTGCTCGTATTTAGTTTGTTTTATTTTGATGCTTTTACCACCCAACTCGACCTCATCCGCTTCTTTGGCGACTTCTTCAATGATGACAAACTCGTCCGATATGTCGGGCTGTTCTACCATTTCAAAAGAGTCCGGCGAATCGGGTGCCTTGTGATCGTCATACTCAGCACCTACTTCGGCACGCTTTAGCTCTTCTAGTTTCTGCTTGTATTGTTCCTGTACCCTTCTCTGAAAGTCCTCTTCTTTTTCTTCGGCTTTGGTCTTTTGATAAATCGCTGCGTCACCTGCCTTATGCAGTTCCTCTTGGGTGCGAACTTTGTAGAGTGTTTTTTCGGGGAACTGGTCAGTTTCCTCTTCTAATATGGGCGACTTAATATCCTCGGTAACCATTATATCCGGTATCTTTGAATAGTCTTGCATATTTTGTGATGGCCTGCGTTCTTCAATCATCGCTGCTTCTGCTTCCAATTCTTCTGTGGCGTCTTCGACGATTACTTCCGCTACCAACTGAGACGGTGTAAACGGGCGTTTTTCTGGCTCAAAGCTGTGATCCATTTCAGCTGCAGCCTGCTTCTTTTTCTTACTTTTTCGTTCCTTTGGCGATCGGAATTGCCGAGCATATTCAGATTCATAAGGGTCTGTGTCAGATTCACTTTCTGACTCTTTACCCTCCCCAAGTAGAGCTACTTCCTTGTCTAAAGCTTTTAATGCATCTCCTGATATAGATGTGCTCTCATTACGTTTATGGCCACGTCTCTTTGATTCGCCTCCGGGTGGTGTGCCAGCATTAGAATCCTGCGGTGAATGTTCCCTACTTTCCATTTCCAAGACAAATGTTGTGTCTTCAGGCAGGGATGTTGCTGGTTCATCGTGACCATACTGGAATCCTTCAATGCCAGTCAGTGATGAGGAGCCAGCCGATCCAATCATGTCCTCAAAGTTTTCCACAACTGTGTCAATATTTGAAGTGCTGGACATGCTGACTGACAGTATACTGCCCTCATCCAAGCTTGAAGCTAACTTTGACTCATCGATGGATCGTCTGGAATCGCCATGGTAAAGTAAAATATCTTCACCCTTTTCACTATCCCGAGGACTATCGGCCTTGCTCTCATCAAGTGGGTACGCTAGACCCCAAGTACGCTCCGTTTCTTTGGCTTTTGGAAACTCTTCTATTTTAGCAGATTCGGCTTGTTGTTGATCAGATTTTAGTTCGGCTTCAGTTTTGGGCTTGAAAATCATTTCTTGTGAGCGCTTCATCATGCTCTGCTGTTCGGTTGTAGGGTAAGCAGCTCCTGACATATCCAAGCTTTCGTCGCTATCATCATCGTCAGCGGCCAGATCACGTATACGTCCCAATTCTTCAGCCTCTATTGCATCGGCTTCGGTGGAAGAAGCTACCAATGTTTCTGAAAGCTCCGATACATCAATGCTCCCTAAATTGGCTGAAGTTTCAGACTGTGAGTCGAGGCTTCGCATACTCTCATGAGAGCTTATAGTTTTTCCACTGCTGCTGGCTAATGTACTTACAGCACTAACATACTCAGTTCCCTCACGACAGGTTGAAGTAAAATCGCGGGCTGTTTGATAATCGCTTGAAGTACCTGTTAGTAAGATATCAACATCGGATGAAAGTGGTCGGCTTTGACTCTTTTCGTAGCTTTTATAATAGCTTTCACTTGAGCTGGAGTTATCGACATCAGGAATACTCCAGCGATTTGTAGACTCAGATGAGGATTCAGCTTTCACACGATGAACTACGACATCTACCGGCTTTATAGTCTGATCTGAGATGACTTCTTCAAAAGTACTGGCAGTCGATTTATCAGCAGCAATCTCCTCAGCGACTACACTAGCCGTTGCCAATTTTTCTGTGTAATAATCTTCCATGGAGCTAAAATCCTCTGCAGTTTCGGTTGATATAAAACCTAGTGAAGCCTGTTCTTCTTTGGCAGCATGCTCTTCCATGGAGCTGAAGTCTTCAGCTGTGCCAGTGGAGACGAAACCTAACGAGCCGAAATCATCACGACGGTCGACTTGACTGAACACGTCTTGAGCATAATGCGCCATAGCTGCTTGCTTATTCAAAGTCTCCTTTATCGTTGTATCAAAGAGACCCTCAGGTGGTTGTGTACCTTCAATTGTTGATGTCTGAAGATCGGGTATGCCAATAAATGATGATATATCTTCGCTTTCAATATCGGTTGCAAAAGATTGAGGAGGGATATTTATTTCAAACTCAGATGGCGATTCCTCAATACATTTACCATCTTTCACAACATTTCTCAGCTCATTTTTGGCTAACTCTAAAGATTCATGAACCTCGGCAAGAGTTTTACTGACTAGCGTTTCATCAATAACACTTTTGGCTGTAGAAGCTTGAGGTTGCTGGGGTGAATGCAGAACTTTTGGCTTGCCCGCCGCCGGAATGTCTTTCTCTGATGTTTCCCACTCACTCTTCTCCAGCGGTAGCTCGAAGTGTTCAGACGAAGTCGGTTTCTCGGCAACCGTATTGACTATCTCAGGAATCTCTTTGCTGGATTCATCGGGATCTTCACTGCTTGATGGCGCTACATCTATAACTGCGCGTCCACTGGACCCAGTAGAGGTTGTCAGACTTTCTTCGGTGGTTACTTTAGTCATTTTTGCATCGGCACTCTTTTCTTTATCAGAGCTTTCAAATTCCAAAAGATCATTTCTAGTTTCCGAACCCTGTCTTACTATTTTACTATCGACTGCAGGTGCGTCATCACGCTTCATTGTCACGTATTCCTTGAACACATCGTTCGCTTCGTCGGAATCAACGGAAACTTCTTTCATGAGGGATATATCTTTGGCGTCAATATCCAGTCTAACTTCCTCATCTTGCGGTGTAAGACTTGGTGATTTCGTTGTAGTCTTGGTAATGACATTGCGACTCGATTCTCCAATATAAAAGCTGGTGGTCTTTTCAACACCTTCCGACTTTTCAGTATCTGCATCATCTCCTGATATTTCGCTAGTCGGCTCAAAGCTTTCGGTGCGATCTTCAGAGGCAGTGGTGGTGGCTGTTGTTGTGATCACATCGCGTTGTTGCGATCGGATTGACAGTTCTGTAGAGGGTTCATCTGTCTTTGAGAGGTCCTCTGTAAAATCTAAGCTACGTAGGCTAACGCTATCGGACTGTTCTCCTAATGCTGCTAGGTTCTTGAAGGAGTCCGAGTGCTTGATTGGAGCACGGGGCTTGGGCACCGGAGTGCCGGCATCAACACTTATGTCAACTGGTAAGTCGGGCTGTTGTTGCTGTTGTTGAGTTGGAATGGTTGTGCTTTCGGTGCCTTCGGAGACGGGGGTGCTTGCTTTGAGTACGCGTGGCTTTGGTGTGGGTGTGTCGTGGCTGGATGATGTGATTGTACTGGAATCTGCCACCGTTTCAGCTGCGGTTGTTGTTGTACCTGTTACGGCAGCAGTGGCAGGCGGTGGTACGGGTGTGGTATCTGTTGAGATTGGTATATCGCCGCCTGTTTCTACAAAATAATAATTGTGAAAATAAAAGCAATATTAAAAGTGTTGTGAGAGTCGACAATGAAATAACCAAAGAATTTCAAACACAATTATGGGTATAGAGAGAAACAATAAAATATAGGAAAAGGGGGATGCATACATATATGTGATTCGTTAGTGAGTAGAGTAAAATGGTTAGATAGTTGGGATTATAGAGTTAGAGTATACGTGTATAAGTCTATGATGCATACATTGTTTTTTTTATATTTTTTTTAACATGGCATGCATATTTAAAGGTTATATGTATGATTAAAATTTAAACACAAACATATCACAAAATCAAGAAATCGATGTTGTTTAAAGAATGAATGCAATTAGAGCTCAACTTGAACAGAAAGTTTATTATTAATCGCCGTTGATTTTGCATTTGCCAGCATTTAATAATGAAAACGAATGGTGTAGAGTAGAGTTCGTCTTAAACATTTACACGAATCACCAAAAATGAAAAAAAAAAAAAAAACAATGTTGAAATAAGTAATTTACTGATGATACCTGCTGCCAAGTCTTGTATATCATTGTCGGGCGTAATTTGGTTCTGTGCCATATCGGCTAATGTGTTGGTTGTTGGTGACAAACTATCGTCCCAACTCAGCTTTGAGAAGTCGCCCTGTAATGCGCTAATCTCATCCTCTTGCACAACCGTTTCAAATGTCTCATCAAATTGGGCCACCTGGGCGCCTATATCATCCAGATCGGTGGATAGCTTTTCAATTTTTCGCTCGAGGCGTCTAGTTTGTACAGCGGATTTGTCTTCAACTTGCTTAAGCACTACATGAGGACGACATGGGAACAAACAAACAAGAAACAAACAGATACAGGATAATGGTAATTTCGAACGCTATCGATTATAGGATAATACATCGCTACGAACATGTAGGTAGGTAGATAGGTAGGTCATAGGTTATGCCATCGTTCCTAACGTCTAAGCTATGGTTGTTCGACTAACTCAATAGTTGAATTGTGATTTTACCTTTTGATGTCGTTGTTGTTGTAGTCGGAGGAGCAGTGGGTAGCGGTTGTTGTTGTTGTTGTTGCTGCTGTTGAAATTGTGTAGTTACTGTGGTGGTTGTCGCTGTTATGTTTTGGACATGCAAGGGTAAATGTATGTGCTCATCGGTGAAACTCATATTGTCATCGAATGATTTGCCAGACATGGACTCAATGGTTGGCGACTTGATCACCTCAACACCGCCAATATCATCGCATGTAATGGCATAGTTTTCACTTTCGGAATTGTATTCTTGTCTTATTGAATCGTGTCCATTGGGCTGCTCTTGCAGGCCATGGCTTTCAATTATCTCAACACTCTCTTCGAGCACACGATCGACTAGAATTTTGGCTTCCTCGCGTATGCGTGCAACGAGATCTTCGTCATCACCATTATCACCATTATCACCACCACCAACACCAACTTTAACATCATCTGTAAGACAATTGCACAGTTTCATTTGTTGTGATAGTTATTTGATAGATTGGAATGTGGAAAAAGATTACGCGCCTGGCCATGACATGCCAAGCGTACGCAACGAAATTATTAAGGGCATGAGAAGCAGATTGCGATATAGATGTGCAAATTGTGAGTGAGCAGATGCAGATGCGGATGCGAATGCAGATGTATCTAAATGTGGTGACTGTGATGTGAGCGAAATCTTTTTGCAGCATACGAGAGTATTCTGGTTTTCAGATTGTGATATCAAATTAGAATTTATTTTATTTTACATAATATTGAAACGATTGGCTTGTTGTCTCAGATGGCTTTAATTGCATTTCTTTAAACAATAAAACGATAATCAGTTAAATAATTAAAGCATCGCAAGATGTATGCACAAAAAATATGAGCATTGAAAGCATATTATAAAGCTTTGTACTTACCAATTTTTTGTGATGGTAGGTCGCTTTGCAAAACGGATAAGTCAATTGTTTTCTCTTGAACAGTTTCTGCAATGAATATATATACCAATATTAATAATACACCTTTCAGTTAATAAAGCTAAAAACACAAAATCATCCTACGCTCTACGTTAAACGTTTGCTACAAAAAATTATAACGATTTAACGATTTATGCAGAATCAAAATAAAAATGAAAATACGAATACATATAGATATACAAGATAGACTCCAAAGAACTTTTTGTTAGCACTAAAAATTTGATATGGTTAGTAAAACGACGCTTAAGTGACTAGTTTGTTAGTACTGCACTGGACACACTGTTTAAAATTGAAAATGTAGGCAGACATTAGCAATGTTGTTTACAATTCTTGTTGCTGTGGCAAAGGAAAGTAAAAAGAAAGTGTAGATTAATTACATATTTGTTTTACTTACAAAATGCATGAGTGTTTCTATTTAGTTTTCTGTTTTTCATTATTCGAATTTGGTTTTGTTTTTATGCACACACAACTATTGAACTATGGTAAATGGTTTGGCAACTGAACAGGATACTACGGCAGATCAATTGCCTCCTCTAGCGACTGACTCATCGGACTCAACATACTCGGAGTCAGTATAGGCGTCTCTTATCATGCCTTTTATATGCAATCTTTCGGCCTCGATATTGAAGCCGGTGCCACTCTTCTCGTGCACGACAGTGTAACTCTCGTTCAGCATCTCATTCAGTTCCTTGCTATTACAGTTGGCTGCTTTAATAACCGGTGGCTCAAGCACATCCTCGGCATCCGAGGGCAGTTGCACATCTTCGCTGTCAGTATTTTGTTGGCTTATGGCTTCCTCTTTGAGCAAAGAAATCGGATGCAACTTGGACTTGTTGCACGTCTTGGTCGAAGCACTCGTATTTGCAGCGTACAAGCGCACATTGGACACATCGACTGATGGAACATCAGATGCCTCGGAGATGGAGGATACATCGTCTGTGGAAAGTTCATCGGAATCGGCTGTTTTGGCCTGTTGCTTCAGTTGCTCGACACGATTCACACCAGGCGGCAAGCCACATTCGCTTAGGTCCATATCTTCAACATCAGTTACGCCATCCTCCTTCGGTTTGATAATATCTAGCAGCTTCGACTTGCCCTTACTTAAGGTACGTGTCTTTAGCTTCTTGCGTCGGTTTGTGCCCGCTACGAAAATCTCCTCGACATCAGTAACCGATTCGGCGTTGGCCTGCACCTCCAGCCGTTTGTTTTGCTGCTGCTTCATCACTTCATTGGCAACAATCACGTCATTTTCTAGAATATTTTGGGAACCAGGGGCAAGGTCTTCGGCAAGAGATAGATTCATACTCCAATCATCTGCACATGAATAGTCCTCGGATTCAGTGTGAATAGTATCTTTCAAATGATTGTATATGCCAAACTCGTAGGTGCTGTCCATAGGCATGGCATTGGTTATAGTATCGCCATACTTGTCCTCTTTTAATTCGACAACCTCACGATGAGGTGGTGGTAACGCCTCAAGTGCTACTGAAGCTGCTTCAGCAAACACGCTCGAAAGAGAGCCATCCTCGCAATACATATCCTCTATATCGGTCTGGCAAGTGCCATCGTCTCCAGGGGCAAGAATAATGGCACGAGGTATGGGTTCCTCGTTTTCCTCTTCGTCGTCAAAGCTATCTTCAGCCGCTGAATCGTCGATGCCCTCAACATCGGTTAAGACCTCTTCATTTCGAGGAACTACTTGTAAAAGATGTTTTCCTGAACTCATGGGTAGCGTTGACTTTGAATTTCTTCGTGGCGCCCCTGAGGCGGTAATAAAGGCCACGTCAATTGGTGGCACACTTGCCTCACTAACGCTGGCGCTTTTTGCGGCCGCGCCTTCAGAATTCGTTTCACTTTCAGAGCAGGCTATATTACAAATCTTTTCGCTGCCAGATACTTCAAGTAGTTCATCCTCAGACATGCCACGCCTACCGAGCCCAGCACAATCAGACATAGCCGATGCCAAGTCTCCTATATCGCTGATAGCTGAAACGTCCTCATATTCATCAGAATCATCTTGCTGTTTCTCACCATCGGCTATATTGACACGGCCCTGGTCGCCAATGGCATTATCTAAGTCCACACATACAGATTTCTCATAGCCATAACCAACTTCGGAGTCAGTGTCATAGTCTTCGCAATCGGTTAGATAATCGACCATACCATTCAAGTTTTGTGCTTGCAAAAAGTCACCAGCTTTGACTTCATAGCTCTCTTTGGCATCATTATCCACAGCTTCTTGATTTTGAAGGCCTTGGTTTAAGAATTCACGTAGAGATAGTTTCAATTCGGGGTAAACTGTGCTTTTCTCGTCATCTTCTGATTCAGTGTCGTAGTCCTCAACATCGGTAACATCATTTTCGAAAGGGTTGGCTTTATGTTGTTGTTTTTGCTTATTGGTTAAATTGACCGAACTGCGACGTGAACTCGTTTTGAGAACTTCGGCTTGACTACCAAAGTCTTCAATATCTGTTACACCGCCTGCGCCATTACGGTCGTAGTCCATGTCATTGCTGTACGAGTCCTCAGAAGATGAGGATGATTCAGATTGTGAGGAATGATGATCGGCAGTAACGGATATAGTTGGAAGTTTGGTAGACATTGTTTTTGATTTTATTTTTTTATTGTTTATTAAATGTTTTAGGTATTTATTTTAGTTTTTTTCGTTTGCTATTTGCGGAAAATAAATTGAAATTAATTAAAATAAAAGAAATTTTCAAAAAATTTGTATATGAATCAGATAAGTTGCTTCAAATCATTAAAGAGTCAGAATGTCTGACGTTTTAATGCATTTTTCAAAAAATATGATGGGTATCGCACCTATGCTATTCTAGACTATTTATGTAAACTATGCATAATCCTCATTTATTTACCTTTTGTTGTACTGCTCTTCTCCACCTGAGTGTCCAGTTGGGTTTCACTGACCACTACAATGCCGCTGCTCTCCACTTGCATATGAAGGGACGAGTCATGGGCAACACTTGTTGCAGATATATGATGCTGATGGTGCTGATGATGCTGCTGGTGTTGCTGACGTCGCAGCGTCTCCTCAATCAAAGCTAAAGGACTACGTGTGGGCTTGGGAGAGCCCGGACTGGCAGCCAGTAAACGCTCTGGGTCACCAGCTCCAAACATAGGCAGTGCAACTGAATCGGAAAGGCTGGAGTCGGTGGTATCGATAAAACTGACGTCAAATTCATTTATACAGCGTTGGTGTTCGCCCCTGGATTGCGGTCGCATTGCAATCGGTAGTTCGGCATCAATATCTGGCTGACGGTACACAACTTCAAGGGGCTTATCAGGGCCAAGGGTTTTAGTGAAAACTTCACTGGTTAGAACCTTGCGACTGTTGCTGCCGCTACCGGAGGATGATGAGGTAGAGCTTTTTGTACTATCACTTGATTTTATGGAACGTATGGTTATCACCTCGGAGTCATCATCAACAAGCACGGTGCTAACAGCGCTGGTTGTAGCAATAGGTTCCCTGTGCACACGCACCGTTGACACGCTTCCAATGCTGCTGGTAGAACTAACACTGGCCTTCTTCTCCGATAACTTAATGTTGGTCATCTCTTTTTCTGATTTGCGTGTGGACGTCACCGAACGCACGCTTCGCCGTGTGCTATTGGAGGAACCACTGGCGCTGGTGCTGCCACTGCCTGTTGTGCTCGATTCGTTAATGGAATCTTTCATCTGCTTCTGTAGCTTCGGCTCTACTGAGGCACGCATTATGGTATGGCTGGTAGTTTTCTTGCTTTCCATACGGCTATCGACGCTTGCCTTATTTAGAGTACGCTTAACGGGTTTCTTATTATCTACCTGAGGTTTTGTTACGGTTTCATCACTTTTGCTACTTAGTTTAGCTGCAGTCCTTGTTTTGGAAGACGCGCTAATTGGAACTTTGGTGCGCTGAATTGTAGTTTTTTTCTGATGGCTTGTGGCCAATTTGTTTTCAATTTCTATGGAAGTTTTGTAGGCAATGGTTTTGTTAACATTAGCTGATTGTGTAGTCATGCTCTTAGTTATTTGGCTCCTAGAGCCTATCACGTTTGCTTGTTTATTTTCTTTAGATGCTTGTCTCTTGTATAGGCGTTCTGTACTCAATAAGGACTCTTTACTTTCCGTGTGGGAACTTTTCTTCGCTAGAGCAGCTTGCTTATCGCTAGTAACTTTCATTTGTTTTCGTTCAATTGATGTGGTTTTTGTGAAGGCACTTTTAACGTGTTGTGTTTTCTGGATATTTTTTGTTTTGGTTGGAGCTGGAGATCGAGGTGGAGCTGGTGATTTCGTCGGTGCTGGTGTAGTACTTCGACTATCAGGCTCCGCAACAAGACCGCAACGCATGTTGTGAGCTAGCGTTGGCTGCATATATCTGTGAGTTCCTGCTGGCATTTGTATTATAATTTTTTTAGATTCTACAGTCTGGGTGGCTGTTTTTTCACTTCTCACTTTTTTAGTTTCCTTAACATTTACTCTCCTTTTTTGTTTTGTAATATCTTGTTTCTCGGTACTCATTACTTTTGTCTTTGTAGTTTTTGGTAGTGGACTTAGTGACCGAATTGAGGCGTTGTAGGGTATTCTGGTAACATCAGTTTTAACCCTAGGTCTGGGGGTTGTTGACCGACTGCTTTCACCTTGAGTATGACTTTCATAAAATATAGAACTTGATGCGGGACTAGAAGATCTCTCAAAATGAATTTCACTTATAATACGGCTAGTGGCAGAAGCTGAGCTAGCCGTTGTGGAGGTAGAGCTTGTAACAGATCTCCTTGAATCGGTCTTAGCAGATATATTTTGCTTTCTTAAAGACGTTTGACTAGTTGTTGAAGTTTTTTGTTTGGTTTGCGAATGTGACAAGACCTTAGAATCACTTTTTTGCTTAACATTCTTTTCAGTAGTTTTTATATTTTGCATTTTATGTGATAGTGTAACATTATTTGACGAATCTCTTAGTTTTTTAATTTTTAAATCAGTACCAGTTGACTTAAGCAGTTTAGATTTTTGAACATTCTTTTTTTCAATAATCTGTTTCGCGGGGAGACTTCTTTTCACTGGAGCTTTTAGCTTATTTTCATCTTCAAGGTTGACAAAATACGCGATCGGCCGAACATCCTTGCCTTCAGACCCAACTACCTTTGAGCTAATGGATTTTTCTTTCATTATTTCATCAACATTTTGTTTTTCATCAACATTTTCTCTCAAATCTGCACTAACACTTCTTAACGTCTCTTCCACTATTTGGCTAACACTGCGATCGCGTTCTAATTCCCATTGCTTCTGTATTTGTACTGTCTTGAGAGTATCACTCACAATCTTTTGCACTTCGGCGTCCCCTGCTCTTAATGTGTCTTCAACAATCTGCTGAACAGTCCTTTCAGCATTATACTCATTATTGTCGCAAATTCCAAGAGATTCTTCTTGATTACCAATTACGAAATCCTTAACGCTTTCTGAAGGCTTTTCTAAAGGAACAGATCTAGCGATGTCCAATGGACACTTTGGTTTCTCATGTACTTTAATGGGAGTCGGCAGCTCTTTTATGTCAGAAAGGGGCATTGGTTTATCATCATCTTTCAATGGGGATTTGTCACCAAATGCGACAACTGGTTTAGCTGATGGCTTTTCTTGGCTACCAAAACCGAATTCTTCGTCACTTTCATCGTCAGAATATTCTTTTAGAATTGGTTTTCCAATGTCAATTGGGGTCTTGTCCTTAACGTCAGCCGGTACGAGGGGCTTATCTGAAGGCTTCTCTTGAGAAAGAGGCTTCACAATGTCCACTGGAGACTTTGGTTTATCATCTACTTTAATGGGAGTCGACACGTCTTTTATATCAGCAAGGGGCTTTGGTTTATCGTCATCTTTCAATGAGGATTTGTCACCAAATGCGACAATTGGTTTAGCTGATGGCTTTTCTTGGCTACCGAAACCGAATTCTTCGTCACTTTCATCGTCAGAATATTCTTTTAAAATTGGTTTTCCAATGTCAATTGGGGTCTTGTCCTTTACGTCAGCCGGTACGAGGGGCTTATCTGAAGGCTTCTCTTGAGAAACTGGTTTGACAATGTCTAATGGAGACTTTGGTGTATCATCTGATTTAATGGGAGTCGACACGTCTTTTATATCAGCAAGGGGCTTTGGTTTATCATCATCTTTCAATGGGGATTTGTCACCAAATGCGACAACTGGTTTAGCTGATGGTTTTTCTTGGCTACCGAAACCGTATTCTTCCTCACTTTCATCGTCAGAATATTCTTTTAGAATTGGTTTTCCAATGTCAATTGGGGTCTTGTCCTTTACGTCAGCCGGTACGAGGGGCTTCTCTGAAGGCTTCTCTTGAGAAACAGGCTTCACAATGTCTAATGGAGACTTTGGTTTATCATCTGATTTAACGGGAGTCGACACGTCTTTTATATCAGCAAGGGGCTTTGGTTTATCATCATCTTTCAATGGGGATTTGTCACCAAATGCGACAACTGGTTTAGCTGATGGCTTTTCTTGGCTACCGAAACCGAATTCTTCCTCACTTTCATCGTCAGAATATTCTTTTAGAATTGGTTTTCCAATGTCAATGGGGGTCTTATCTGAAGGCTTCTCTTGAGAAACTGGTTTGACAATGTCTAATGGAGACTTTGGTTTATCATCTACTGTAATGGGAGTCGGCAGGTATTTTATATCAGAAAGGGGTTTTGGTTTATCATCATCTTTCAATGGAGATTTGTCACCAAATGCGACAACTGGTTTAGCTGATGGCTTTTCTTGGCTACCGAAACCGTATTCTTCCTCACTTTCATCGTCAGAATATTCTTTTAAAATTGGTTTTCCAATGTCAATTGGGGTCTTGTCTTTTACGTCAGCCGGTCCGAGGGGCTTATCTGAAGGCTTCTCTTGAGAAACTGGTTTGACAATGTCTAATGGAGACTTTGGTTTATCATCTACCTTAATGGGAGTCGGCACGTCTTTTATGTCAGCAAGAGGGATTGGTTTGTCATCATCTTTCAATGGGGATTTGTCACCAAATGCGACAACTGGTTTAGCTGATGGCTTTTCTTGGCTACCGAAACCGAATTCTTCCTCACTTTCATCGTCAGAATATTCTTTAAGAGTTGGTTTTCCAATGTCAATTGGGGTCTTGTCCTTTACGTCAGCAGGAACGAGGGGCTTATCTGAAGGCTTCTCTTGAGAAACAGGCTTCACAATGTCTAATGGAGACTTTGGTTTATCATCTACCTTAATGGGAGTCGGCAGGTCTTTTATATCATAAAGGGGCTTTATTTTATCATCATCTTTTAATGGGGATTTGTCACCAAATGCGACAGCTGGTTTAGCTGATGGCTTTTCTTGGCTACCGAAACCGAATTCTTCGTCACTTTCATCGTCAGAATATTCTTTAAGAGTTGGTTTTCCAATGCCAATTGGGGTCTTGTCCTTTACGTCAGCCGGTACGAGGGGCTTATCTGAAGGCTTCTCTTGAGAAACAGGCTTCACAATGTCTAATGGAGACTTTGGTTTATCATCTACCTTAATGGGAGTCGGCAGGTCTTTTATATCAGCAAGGGGCTTTGGTTTATAATCATCTTTCAATGGGGATTTGTCACCAAATGCGACAACTGGTTTAGCTGATGGTTTTTCTTGGCTACCGAAACCGTATTCTTCCTCACTTTCATCGTGAGAATATTCTTTTAGAATTGGTTTTCCAATGTCAATTGGGGTCTTGCCCTTTACGTCAGCCGGTACGAGGGCCTTCTCTGAAGGCTTCTCTTGAGAAACAGGCTTCACAATGTCTAATGGAGACTTTGGTTTATCATCTGATTTAACGGGAGTCGACACGTCTTTTATATCAGCAAGGGGCTTTGGTTTATCACCATCTTTCAATGGGGATTTGTCACCAAATGCGACAACTGGTTTAGCTGATGGCTTTTCTTGGCTACCGAAACCGAATTCTTCCTCACTTTCATCGTCAGAATATTCTTTTAGAATTGGTTTTCCAATGTCAATGGGGGTCTTATCTGAAGGCTTCTCTTGAGAAACAGGCTTCACAATGTCTAATGGAGACTTTGGTTTATCATCTGATTTAATGGGAGTCGACACGTCTTTTATATCAGCAACTGGCTTTGGTTTATCATCAGCTTTCAATGGGGATTTGTCACCAAATGCGACAACTGGTTTAGCTGATGGCTTTTCTTGGCTACCGAAACCGAATTCTTCGTCACTTTCATCGTCAGAATATTCTTTTAAAATTGGTTTTCCAATGTCAATTGGGGTCTTGTCTTTTACGTCAGCCGGTACGAGGGGCTTATCTGAAGGCTTCTCTTGAGAAACTTTGACAATGTCTAATGGAGACTTTGGTTTATCATCTGATTTAATGGGAGTCGACACGTCTTTTATATCATCAAGGGCCTTTGGCTTATCATCATCTTTCAATGGGGATTTGTCACCAAATGCGACAACTGTTTTAGCTGATGGCTTTTCTTGGCTACCGAAACCGTATTCTTCCTCACTTTCATCGTCAGAATATTCTTTTAGAATTGGTTTTCCAATGTCAATTGGGGTCTTGTCCTTTACGTCAGCCGGTACGAGGGGCTTATCTGAAGGCTTCTCTTGAGAAACAGGCTTCACAATGTCTAATGGAGACTTTGGTTTATCATCTGATTTAATGGGAGTCGACACGTCTTTTATATCAGCAAGGGGCTTTGGTTTATCATCATCTTTCAATGGGGATTTGTCACCAAATGCGACAACTGGTTTAGCTGATGGTTTTTCTTGGCTACCGAAACCGTATTCTTCCTCACTTTCATCGTCAGAATATTCTTTTAGAATTGGTTTTCCAATGTCAATTGGGGTCTTGCCCTTTACGTCAGCCGGTACGAGGGGCTTCTCTGAAGGCTTCTCTTGAGAAACAGGCTTCACAATGTCTAATGGAGACTTTGGTTTATCATCTGATTTAATGGGAGTCGACACGTCTTTTATATCAGCAAGGGGCTTTGGTTTATCATCATCTTTCAATGGGGATTTGTCACCAAATGCGACAACTGGTTTAGCTGATGGCTTTTCTTGGCTACCGAAACCGAATTCTTCCTCACTTTCATCGTCAGAATATTCTTTTAGAATTGGTTTTCCAATGTCAATGGGGGTCTTATCTGAAGGCTTCTCTTGAGAAACTGGTTTGACAATGTCTAATGGAGACTTTGGTTTATCATCTACTGTAATGGGAGTCGGCAGGTATTTTATATCAGAAAGGGGTTTTGGTTTATCATCATCTTTCAATGGAGATTTGTCACCAAATGCGACAACTGGTTTAGCTGATGGCTTTTCTTGGCTACCGAAACCGTATTCTTCCTCACTTTCATCGTCAGAATATTCTTTTAAAATTGGTTTTCCAATGTCAATTGGGGTCTTGTCTTTTACGTCAGCCGGTACGAGGGGCTTATCTGAAGGCTTCTCTTGAGAAACAGGCTTCACAATGTCTAATGGAGACTTTGGTTTATCATCTACCTTAATGGGAGTCGGCACGTCTTTTATGTCAGCAAGAGGGATTGGTTTGTCATCATCTTTCAATGGGGATTTGTCACCAAATGCGACAACTGGTTTAGCTGATGGCTTTTCTTGGCTACCGAAACCGAATTCTTCCTCACTTTCATCGTCAGAATATTCTTTAAGAGTTGGTTTTCCAATGTCAATTGGGGTCTTGTCCTTTACGTCAGCCGGTACGAGGGGCTTATCTGAAGGCTTCTCTTGAGAAACAGGCTTCACAATGTCTAATGGAGACTTTGGTTTATCATCTGATTTAATGGGAGTCGGCAGGTATTTTATATCAGAAAGGGGCTTTGGCTTATCATCATCTTTGAATGGGGATTTGTCACCAAATGCGACAACTGGTTTAGCTGATGGCTTTTCTTGGCTACCGAAGCCGAATTCTTCGTCACTTTCATCGTCAGAATATTCTTTTGGAATTGGTTTTCCAATGTCAATTGGGGTCTTGTCTTTAACGTCTGCCGGTACGAGGGGCTTATCTGAAGGCTTCTCTTGAGAAAGAGGCTTCACTATGTCCACTGGAGACTTTGGTTTATCATCTACCTTAATGGGAGTCGGCAGGTCTTTTATGTCAGAAAGGGGTTTTATTTTATCATCATCTTTTAATGGGGATTTGTCACCAAATGCGACAACTGGTTTAGCTGATGGCTTTTCTTGGCTACCGAAACCGAATTCTTCGTCACTTTCATCGTCAGAATATTCTTTAAGAGTTGGTTTTCCAATGTCAATTGGGGTCTTGTCCTTTACGTCAGCCGGTACGAGGGGCTTATCTGAAGGCTTCTCTTGAGAAACAGGCTTCACAATGTCTAATGGAGACTTTGGTTTATCATCTGATTTAATGGGAGTCGACACGTCTTTTATATCAGCAAGGGGCTTTGGTTTATCATCATCTTTCAATGGGGATTTGTCACCAAATGCGACAACTGGTTTAGCTGATGGTTTTTCTTGGCTACCGAAACCGTATTCTTCCTCACTTTCATCGTCAGAATATTCTTTTAGAATTGGTTTTCCAATGTCAATTGGGGTCTTGCCCTTTACGTCAGCCGGTACGAGGGGCTTCTCTGAAGGCTTCTCTTGAGAAACAGGCTTCACAATGTCTAATGGAGACTTTGGTTTATCATCTGATTTAATGGGAGTCGACACGTCTTTTATATCAGCAAGGGGCTTTGGTTTATCATCATCTTTCAATGGGGATTTGTCACCAAATGCGACAACTGGTTTAGCTGATGGCTTTTCTTGGCTACCGAAACCGAATTCTTCCTCACTTTCATCGTCAGAATATTCTTTTAGAATTGGTTTTCCAATGTCAATGGGGGTCTTATCTGAAGGCTTCTCTTGAGAAACTGGTTTGACAATGTCTAATGGAGACTTTGGTTTATCATCTACTGTAATGGGAGTCGGCAGGTATTTTATATCAGAAAGGGGTTTTGGTTTATCATCATCTTTCAATGGAGATTTGTCACCAAATGCGACAACTGGTTTAGCTGATGGCTTTTCTTGGCTACCGAAACCGAATTCTTCCTCACTTTCATCGTCAGAATATTCTTTTAGAATTGGTTTTCCAATGTCAATGGGGGTCTTATCTGAAGGCTTCTCTTGAGAAACTGGTTTGACAATGTCTAATGGAGACTTTGGTTTATCATCTACTGTAATGGGAGTCGGCAGGTATTTTATATCAGAAAGGGGTTTTGGTTTATCATCATCTTTCAATGGAGATTTGTCACCAAATGCGACAACTGGTTTAGCTGATGGCTTTTCTTGGCTACCGAAACCGTATTCTTCCTCACTTTCATCGTCAGAATATTCTTTTAAAATTGGTTTTCCAATGTCAATTGGGGTCTTGTCTTTTACGTCAGCCGGTACGAGGGGCTTATCTGAAGGCTTCTCTTGAGAAACAGGCTTCACAATGTCTAATGGAGACTTTGGTTTATCATCTACCTTAATGGGAGTCGGCACGTCTTTTATGTCAGCAAGAGGGATTGGTTTGTCATCATCTTTCAATGGGGATTTGTCACCAAATGCGACAACTGGTTTAGCTGATGGCTTTTCTTGGCTACCGAAACCGAATTCTTCCTCACTTTCATCGTCAGAATATTCTTTAAGAGTTGGTTTTCCAATGTCAATTGGGGTCTTGTCCTTTACGTCAGCCGGTACGAGGGGCTTATCTGAAGGCTTCTCTTGAGAAACAGGCTTCACAATGTCTAATGGAGACTTTGGTTTATCATCTGATTTAATGGGAGTCGGCAGGTATTTTATATCAGAAAGGGGCTTTGGCTTATCATCATCTTTGAATGGGGATTTGTCACCAAATGCGACAACTGGTTTAGCTGATGGCTTTTCTTGGCTACCGAAGCCGAATTCTTCGTCACTTTCATCGTCAGAATATTCTTTTGGAATTGGTTTTCCAATGTCAATTGGGGTCTTGTCTTTAACGTCTGCCGGTACGAGGGGCTTATCTGAAGGCTTCTCTTGAGAAAGAGGCTTCACTATGTCCACTGGAGACTTTGGTTTATCATCTACCTTAATGGGAGTCGGCAGGTCTTTTATGTCAGAAAGGGGTTTTATTTTATCATCATCTTTTAATGGGGATTTGTCACCAAATGCGACAACTGGTTTAGCTGATGGCTTTTCTTGGCTACCGAAACCGAATTCTTCGCCACTTTCATCGTCAGAATATTCTTTAAGAGTTGGTTTTCCAATGTCAATTGGGGTCTTGTCCTTTACGTCAGCCGGTACGAGGGGCTTATCTGAAGGCTTCTCTTGAGAAACAGGCTTCACAATGTCTAATGGAGACTTTGGTTTATCATCTGATGTAATGGGAGTCGAAACGTATTTTATATCAGCAAGGGGCTTTGCCTTATCATCATCTTTCAATGGGGATTTGTCACCAAATGCGACAACTGGTTTAGCTGATGGCTTTTCTTGGCTACCGAAACCGAATTCTTCGTCACTTTCATCGTCAGAATATTCTTTTGGAATTGGTTTTCCAATGACAATTGGGGTCTTGTCTTTAACGTCAGCCGGTACGAGGGGCTTATCTGAAGGCTTCTCTTGAGAAACAGGCTTCACAATGTCTAATGGAGACTTTGGTTTATCATCTGATGTAATGGGAGTCGAAACGTCTTTTATATCAGCAAGGGGCTTTGCCTTATCATCATCTTTCAATGGGGACTTGTCACCAAATGCGACAACTGGTTTAGCTGATGGCTTTTCTTGGCTACCGAAACCGAATTCTTCCTCACTTTCATCGTCAGAATATTCTTTTAGAATTGGTTTTCCAATGTCAATGGGGGTCTTATCTGAAGGCTTCTCTTGAGAAACTGGTTTGACAATGTCTAATGGAGACTTTGGTTTATCATCTACTGTAATGGGAGTCGGCAGGTATTTTATATCAGAAAGGGGTTTTGGTTTATCATCATCTTTCAATGGAGATTTGTCACCAAATGCGACAACTGGTTTAGCTGATGGCTTTTCTTGGCTACCGAAACCGTATTCTTCCTCACTTTCATCGTCAGAATATTCTTTTAGAATTGGTTTTCCAATGTCAATTGGGGTCTTGTCTTTTACGTCAGCCGGTACGAGGGGCTTATCTGAAGGCTTCTCTTGAGAAACTGGTTTGACAATGTCTAATGGAGACTTTGGTTTATCATCTACCTTAATGGGAGTCGGCACGTCTTTTATGTCAGCAAGAGGGATTGGTTTGTCATCATCTTTCAATGAAGATTTGTCACCAAATGCGACAACTGGTTTAGCTGATGGCTTTTCTTGGCTACCGAAACCGAATTCTTCCTCACTTTCATCGTCAGAATATTCTTTAAGAGTTGGTTTTCCAATGTCAATTGGGGTCTTGTCCTTTACGTCAGCCGGTACGAGGGGCTTATCTGAAGGCTTCTCTTGAGAAACAGGCTTCACAATGTCTAATGGAGACTTTGGTTTATCATCTGATTTAATGGGAGTCGACACGTCTTTTATATCAGCAAGGGGCTTTGGTTTATCATCATCTTTCAATGTGGATTTGTCACCAAATGCGACAACTGGTTTAGCTGATGGTTTTTCTTGGCTACCGAAACCGTATTCTTCCTCACTTTCATCGTGAGAATATTCTTTTAGAATTGGTTTTCCAATGTCAATTGGGGTCTTGTCCTTTACGTCAGCCGGTACGAGGGGCTTCTCTGAAGGCTTCTCTTGAGAAACAGGCTTCACAATGTCTAATGGAGACTTTGGTTTATCATCTGATTTAACGGGAGTCAACACGTCTTTTATATCAGCAAGGGGCTTTGGTTTATCATCATCTTTCAATGGGGATTTGTCACCAAATGCGACAACTGGTTTAGCTGATGGCTTTTCTTGGCTACCGAAACCGAATTCTTCGTCACTTTCATCGTCAGAATATTCTTTTAGAATTGGTTTTCCAATGTCAATGGGGGTCTTATCTGAAGGCTTCTCTTGAGAAACTGGTTTGACAATGTCTAATGGAGACTTTGGTTTATCATCTACTGTAATGGGAGTCGGCAGGTATTTTATATCAGAAAGGGGCTTTGGCTTATCATCATCTTTGAATGGGGATTTGTCACCAAATGCGACAACTGGTTTAGCTGATGGCTTTTCTTGGCTACCGAAGCCGAATTCTTCGTCACTTTCATCGTCAGAATATTCTTTTGGAATTGGTTTTCCAATGTCAATTGGGGTCTTGTCTTTAACGTCTGCCGGTACGAGGGGCTTATCTGAAGGCTTCTCTTGAGAAAGAGGCTTCACTATGTCCACTGAAGACTTTGGTTTATCATCTACCTTAATGGGAGTCGGCAGGTCTTTTATGTCAGAAAGGGGTTTTATTTTATCATCATCTTTTAATGGGGATTTGTCACCAAATGCGACAACTGGTTTAGCTGATGGCTTTTCTTGGCTACCGAAACCGAATTCTTCGTCACTTTCATCGTCAGAATATTCTTTTAGAATTGGTTTTCCAATGACAATTGGGGTCTTGCCTTTAACGTCAGCCGGTACGAGGGGCTTATCTGAAGGCTTCTCTTGAGAAACAGGCTTCACAATGTCTAATGGAGACTTTGGTTTATCATCTGATTTAATGGGAGTCGACACGTCTTTTATATCAGAAAGGGGCTTTGGTTTATCATCATCTTTCAATGGGGATTTGTCACCAAATGCGACAACTGGTTTAGCTGATGGCTTTTCTTGGCTACCGAAACCGAATTCTTCGTCACTTTCATCGTCAGAATATTCTTTTAGAATTGGTTTTCCAATGTCAATTGGGGTTTTGTCCATTGCGTCAGCCGGTACGAGGGTCTTATCTGAAGGTTTCTCTTGAGAAACAGGCTTCACAATGTCTACTGGAGACTTTGGCTTATCATCTACTATAATGGGAGTCGGCAGGTCTTTTATATCAGCAAGGGGTTTTGGTTTATCATCATCTTTCAATGGAGATTTGTCACCAAATGCGACAACTGGTTTAGCTGATGGCTTTTCTTGGCTACCGAAACCGAATTCTTCGTCACTTTCATCGTCAGAATATTCTTTTAGAATTGGTTTTCCAATGTCAATTGGGGTCTTGTCTTTAACGTCTGCCGGTACGAGGGGCTTATCTGAAGGCTTCTCTTGAGAAAGAAGCTTCACTATGTCCACTGGAGACTTTGGTTTATCATCTACCTTAATGGGAGTCGGCAGGTCTTTTATGTCAGAAAGGGGCTTTGGTTTATCATCATCTTTCAATGGGGATTTGTCACCAAATGCGACAACTGGTTTAGCTGATGGCTTTTCTTGGCTACCGAAACCGAATTCTTCGTCACTTTCATCGTCAGAATATTCTTTTAGAATTGGTTTTCCAATGTCAATGGGGGTCTTATCTGAAGGCTTCTCTTGAGAAACTGGTTTGACAATGTCTATTGGAGACTTTGGTTTATCATCTACTGTAATGGGAGTCGGCAGGTATTTTATATCAGAAAGGGGCTTTGGCTTATCATCATCTTTGAATGGAGATTTGTCACCAAATGCGACAACTGGTTTAGCTGATGGCTTTTCTTGGCTACCGAAGCCGAATTCTTCGTCACTTTCATCGTCAGAATATTCTTTTGGAATTGGTTTTCCGATGTCAATTGGGGTCTTGTCTTTAACGTCAGCCGGTACGAGGGACTTATCTGAAGGCTTCTCTTGAGAAAGAGGCTTCACAATGTCCACTGGAGACTTTGGTTTATCATCTACCTTAATGGGAGTCGGCAGGTCTTTCATGTCAGAAAGGGGTTTTATTTTATCATCATCTTTTAATGGGGATTTGTCACCAAATGCGACAACTGGTTTAGCTGATGGCTTTTCTTGGCTACCGAAACCGAATTCTTCGTCACTTTCATCGTCAGAATATTCTTTAAGAGTTGGTTTTCCAATGTCAATTGGGGTCTTGTCCTTTACGTCAGCCGGTACGAGGGGCTTATCTGAAGGCTTCTCTTGAGAAACAGGCTTCACAATGTCTAATGGAGACTTTGGTTTATCATCTACCTTAATGGGAGTCGGCAGGTCTTTTATATCAGCAAGGGGCTTTGGTTTATCATCATCTTTCAATGGGGATTTGTCACCAAATGCGACAACTGGTTTAGCTGATGGTTTTTCTTGGCTACCGAAACCGTATTCTTCCTCACTTTCATCGTGAGAATATTCTTTTAGAATTGGTTTTCCAATGTCAATTGGGGTCTTGTCCTTTACGTCAGCCGGTACGAGGGGCTTCTCTGAAGGCTTCTCTTGAGAAACAGGCTTCACAATGTCTAATGGAGACTTTGGTTTATCATCTGATTTAACGGGAGTCGACACGTCTTTTATATCAGCAAGGGGCTTTGGTTTATCATCATCTTTCAATGGGGATTTGTCACCAAATGCGACAACTGGTTTAGCTGATGGCTTTTCTTGGCTACCGAAACCGAATTCTCCCTCACTTTCATCGTCAGAATATTCTTTTAGAATTGGTTTTCCAATGTCAATGGGGGTCTTATCTGAAGGCTTCTCTTGAGAAACTGGTTTGACAATGTCTAATGGAGACTTTGGTTTACCATCTACTGTAATGGGAGTCGGCAGGTATTTTATATCAGAAAGGGGCTTTGGCTTATCATCATCTTTGAATGGGGATTTGTCACCAAATGCGACAACTGGTTTAGCTGATGGCTTTTCTTGGCTACCGAAACCGTATTCTTCCTCACTTTCATCGTCAGAATATTCTTTTGGAATTGGTTTTCCAATGTCAATTGGGGTCTTGTCTTTAACGTCAGCCGGTACGAGGGGCTTATCTGAAGGCTTCTCTTGAGAAACAGGCTTCACAATGTCTAATGGAGACTTTGGTTTATCATTTACCTTAATGGGAGTCGGCAGGTCTTTTATGTCAGAATGGGGTTTTATTTTATCATCATCTTTCAATGGGGATTTGTCACCAAATGCGACAACTGGTTTAGCTGATGGCTTTTCTTGGCTACCGAAACCGTATTCTTCCTCACTTTCATCGTCGGAATATTCTTTTGGAATTGGTTTTCCAATGTCAATGGGGGTCTTGTCCTTTACGTCAGCCGGTACGAGGGGCTTATCTGAAGGCTTCTCTTGAGAAACAGGCTTCACAATGTCTAATGGAGACTTTGGTTTATCATCTACCTTAATGGGAGTCGGCAGGTCTTTCATATCAGCAAGGGGCTTTATTTTATCATCTTTTAATGGGGATTTGTCACCAAATGCGACAGCTGGTTTAGCTGATGGCTTTTCTTGGCTACCGAAACCGAATTCTTCGTCACTTTCATCGTCAGAATATTCTTTAAGAGTTGGTTTTCCAATGTCAATTGGGGTCTTGTCCTTTACGTCAGCCGGTACGAGGGGCTTATCTGAAGGCTTCTGTTGAGAAACAGGCTTCACAATGTCTAATGGAGACTTTGGTTTATCATCTACCTTAATGGGAGTCGGCAGGTCTTTTATATCAGCAAGGGGCTTTGGTTTATCATCATCTTTCAATGGGGATTTGTCACCAAATGCGACAAATGGTTTAGCTGGTGGCTTTTCTTGGCTACCGAAACCGAATTCTTCCTCACTTTCATCGTCAGAATATTTTTTAAGAGTTGGTTTTCCAATGTCAATTGGGGTCTTGTCCTTTACTTCAGCCGGTACGAGGGGCTTATCTGAAGGCTTCTCTTGAGAAACAGGCTTCACAATGTCAATTGGGGTCTTGTCCTTTACATCAGCCGGTTCGAGGGGCTTATCTGAAGGCTTCTCTTGAGAAACAGGCTTCACAATGTCTAATGGAGACTTTGGTTTATCATCTACTGTAATGGGAGTCGGCAGGTATTTTATATCAGCAAGGGGCTTTGGTTTATCATCATCTTTCAATGGGGATTTGTCACCAAATGCGACAACTGGTTTAGCTGATGGCTTTTCTTGGCTACCGAAACCGTATTCTTCCTCACTTTCATCGTCAGAATATTCTTTTAGAATTGGTTTTCCAATGTCAATTAGGGTCTTGTCCTTTGCGTCAGCCGCTACGAGGGGCTTATCTGAAGGCTTGTCTTGAGAAACAGGCTTCACAATGTCAATTGGGGTCTTGTCCTTTACATCAGCCGGTTCGAGGGGCTTATCTGAAGGCTTCTCTTGAGAAACTGGTTTGACAATGTCTAATGGAGACTTTGGTTTATCATCTGATTTAATGGGAGTCGGCACGTCTTTTATGTCAGCAAGGGGCTTTGGTTCATCATCATCTTTCAATGGGGATTTGTCACCAAATGCGACAACTGGTTTAGCTGATGGCTTTTCTTGGCTACCGAAACCGAATTCTTCGTCTCTTTCATCGTCAGAATATTCTTTAAGAGTTGGTTTTCCAATGTCAATTGGGGTCTTGTCCTTTGCGTCAGCCGGTACGAGGGGCTTATCTGAAGGCTTCTCTTGAGAAACAGGTTTGACAATGTCTAATGGAGACGTTGGCTTACCATCTGATTTAATGAGAGTCGGCACGTCTTTTATGTCAGCAAGGGGCTTTGGTTCATCATCATCTTTCAATGGGGATTTGTCACCAAATGCGACAGCTGGTTTAGCTGATGGCTTTTCTTGGCTACCGAAACCGAATTCTTCCTCACTTTCATCGTCAGAATATTCTTTTAGAATTGGTTTTCCAATGTCAATTGGGGTCTTGTCCTTTAACTCAGCCGGTACGAGGGGCTTATCTGAAGGCTTCTCTTGAGAAACAGGCTTCACAATGTCTAATGGAGACTTTGGTTTATCATCTGATGTAATGGGAGTCGAAACGTCTTTTATATCACCAAGGGGCTTTGCCTTATCATCATCTTTCAATGGGGACTTGTCACCAAATGCGACAACTGGTTTAGCTGATGGCTTTTCTTGGCTACCGAAACCGAATTCTTCCTCACTTTCATCGTCAGAATATTCTTTTAGAATTGGTTTTCCAATGTCAATGGGGGTCTTATCTGAAGGCTTCTCTTGAGAAACTGGTTTGACAATGTCTAATGGAGACTTTGGTTTATCATCTGATTTAATGGGAGTCGACACGTCTTTTATATCAGAAAGGGGCTTTGGTTTATCATCATCTTTCAATGGGGATTTGTCACCAAATGCGACAACTGGTTTAGCTGATGGTTTTTCTTGGTTACCGAAACCCTTTTCTTCCTCACTTTCATCGTCAGAATATTCTTTTAGAATTGGTTTTCCAATGTCAATTGGGGTCTTGTCCTTTACGTCAGCCGGTACGAGGGGCTTCTCTGAAGGCTTCTCTTGAGAAACAGGCTTCACAATGTCTAATGGAGACTTTGGTTTATCATCTGATTTAACGGGAGTCGACACGTCTTTTATATCAGCAAGGGGCTTTGGTTTATCATCATCTTTCAATGGGGATTTGTCACCATATGCGACAACTGGTTTAGCTGATGGCTTTTCTTGGCTACCGAAACCGTATTCTTCCTCACTTTCATCGTCAGAATATTCTTTTAGAATTGGTTTTCCAATGTCAATTGGGGTCTTGTCCTTTACGTCAGCCGGTACGAGGGGCTTATCTGAAGGCTTCTCTTGAGAAACAGGCTTCACAATGTCTAATGGAGACTTTGGTTTATCATCTGATTTAAAGGGAGTCGACACGTCTTTTATATCAGAAAGGGGCTTTGGTTTATCATCATCTTTCAATGGGGATTTGTCACCAAATGCGACAACTGGTTTAGCTGATGGTTTTTCTTGGTTACCGAAACCGTATTCTTCCTCACTTTCATCGTCAGAATATTCTTTTAGAATTGGTTTTCCAATGTCAATTGGGGTCTTGTCCTTTACGTCAGCCGGTACGAGGGGCTTCTCTGAAGGCTTCTCTTGAGAAACAGGCTTCACAATGTCTAATGGAGACTTTGGTTTATCATCTACTGTAATGGGAGTCGGCAGGTATTTTATATCAGCAAGGGGCTTTGGTTTATCATCATCTTTCAATGGGGATTTGTCACCAAATGCGACAACTGGTTTAGCTGATGGCTTTTCTTGGCTACCGAAACCGAATTCTTCCTCACTTTCATCGTCAGAATATTCTTTAAGAGTTGGTTTTCCAATGTCAATTGGGGTCTTGTCCTTTACGTCAGCCGGTACGAGGGGCTTCTCTGAAGGCTTCTCTTGAGAAACAGGCTTCACAATGTCTAATGGAGACTTTGGTTTATCATCTGATTTAACGGGAGTCGACACGTCTTTTATATCAGCAAGGGGCTTTGGTTTATCATCATCTTTCAATGGGGATTTGTCACCAAATGCGACAACTGGTTTAGCTGATGGCTTTTCTTGGCTACCGAAACCGTAATCTTCCTCACTTTCATCGTCAGAATATTCTTTTAGAATTGGTTTTCCAATGTCAATTGGGGTCTTGTCCTTTACGTCAGCCGGTACGAGGGGCTTATCTGAAGGCTTCTCTTGAGAAACAGGCTTCACAATGTCTAATGGAGACTTTGGTTTATCATCTGATTTAATGGGAGTCGACACGTCTTTTATATCAGAAAGGGGCTTTGGTTTATCATCATCTTTCAATGGGGATTTGTCACCAAATGCGACAACTGGTTTAGCTGATGGCTTTTCTTGGCTACCGAAACCGAATTCTTCGTCACTTTCATCGTCAGAATATTCTTTAAGAGTTGGTTTTTCAATGTCAATTAGGGTCTTGTCCTTTGCGTCAGCCGGTACGAGGGGCTTATCTGAAGGCTTCTCTTGAGAAACAGGCTTCACAATGTCTAATGGAGACTTTGGTTTATCATCTGATTTAATGGGAGTCGGCAGGTCTTTTATATCAGCAAGGGGCTTTATTTTATCATCATCTTTTAATGGGGATTTGTCACCAAATGCGACAACTGGTTTAGCTGATGGCTTTTCTTGGCTACCGAAACCGAATTCTTCGTCACTTTCATCGTCAGAATATTCTTTTAGAATTGGTTTTCCAATGTCAATGGGGGTCTTATCTGAAGGCTTCTCTTGAGAAACAGGCTTCACAATGTCTAATGGAGACTTTGGTTTATCATCTGATTTAATGGGAGTCGGCAGGTCTTTTATATCAGAAAGGGGCTTTGGTTTATCATCATCTTTCAATGGGGATTTGTCACCAAATGCGACAACTGGTTTAGCTGATGGCTTTTCTTGGCTACCGAAACCGAATTCTTCCTCACTTTCATCGTCAGAATATTCTTTAAGAGTTGGTTTTTCAATGTCAATTAGGGTCTTGTCCTTTGCGTCAGCCGGTACGAGGGGCTTATCTGAAGGCTTCTCTTGAGAAACGGGCTTCACAATGTCAATTGGGGTCTTGTCCTTTACGTCAGCCGGTACGAGGGGCTTATCTGAAGGCTTCTCTTGAGAAACAGGCTTCACAATGTCTAATGGAGACTTTGGTTTATCATCTACTGTAATGGGAGTCGGCAGGTATTTTATATCAGCAAGGGGCTTTGGTTTATCATCATCTTTCAATGGGGATTTGTCACCAAATGCGACAACTGGTTTAGCTGATGGCTTTTCTTGGCTACCGAAACCGAATTCTTCCTCACTTTCATCGTCAGAATATTCTTTAAGAGTTGGTTTTCCAATGTCAATTGGGGTCTTGTCCTTTACTTCAGCCGGTACGAGGGGCTTATCTGAAGGCTTCTCTTGAGAAACAGGCTTCACAATGTCAATTGGGGTCTTGTCCTTTACATCAGCCGGTTCGAGGGGCTTATCTGAAGGCTTCTCTTGAGAAACAGGCTTCACAATGTCTAATGGAGACTTTGGTTTATCATCTACTGTAATGGGAGTCGGCAGGTATTTTATATCAGCAAGGGGCTTTGGTTTATCATCATCTTTCAATGGGGATTTGTCACCAAATGCGACAACTGGTTTAGCTGATGGCTTTTCTTGGCTACCGAAACCGTATTCTTCCTCACTTTCATCGTCAGAATATTCTTTTAGAATTGGTTTTCCAATGTCAATTAGGGTCTTGTCCTTTGCGTCAGCCGCTACGAGGGGCTTATCTGAAGGCTTGTCTTGAGAAACAGGCTTCACAATGTCAATTGGGGTCTTGTCCTTTACATCAGCCGGTTCGAGGGGCTTATCTGAAGGCTTCTCTTGAGAAACTGGTTTGACAATGTCTAATGGAGACTTTGGTTTATCATCTGATTTAACGGGAGTCGACACGTCTTTTATATCAGCAAGGGGCTTTGGTTTATCATCATCTTTCAATGGGGATTTGTCACCAAATGCGACAACTGGTTTAGCTGATGGCTTTTCTTGGCTACCGAAACCGAATTCTTCCTCACTTTCATCGTCAGAATATTCTTTAAGAGTTGGTTTTCCAATGTCAATTGGGGTCTTGTCCTTTACTTCAGCCGGTACGAGGGGCTTATCTGAAGGCTTCTCTTGAGAAACAGGCTTCACAATGTCAATTGGGGTCTTGTCCTTTACATCAGCCGGTTCGAGGGGCTTATCTGAAGGCTTCTCTTGAGAAACAGGCTTCACAATGTCTAATGGAGACTTTGGTTTATCATCTACTGTAATGGGAGTCGGCAGGTATTTTATATCAGCAAGGGGCTTTGGTTTATCATCATCTTTCAATGGGGATTTGTCACCAAATGCGACAACTGGTTTAGCTGATGGCTTTTCTTGGCTACCGAAACCGTATTCTTCCTCACTTTCATCGTCAGAATATTCTTTTAGAATTGGTTTTCCAATGTCAATTAGGGTCTTGTCCTTTGCGTCAGCCGCTACGAGGGGCTTATCTGAAGGCTTGTCTTGAGAAACAGGCTTCACAATGTCAATTGGGGTCTTGTCCTTTACATCAGCCGGTTCGAGGGGCTTATCTGAAGGCTTCTCTTGAGAAACTGGTTTGACAATGTCTAATGGAGACTTTGGTTTATCATCTGATTTAATGGGAGTCGGCACGTCTTTTATGTCAGCAAGGGGCTTTGGTTCATCATCATCTTTCAATGGGGATTTGTCACCAAATGCGACAACTGGTTTAGCTGATGGCTTTTCTTGGCTACCGAAACCGAATTCTTCGTCTCTTTCATCGTCAGAATATTCTTTAAGAGTTGGTTTTCCAATGTCTATTGGGGTCTTGTCCTTTGCGTCAGCCGGTACGAGGGGCTTATCTGAAGGCTTCTCTTGAGAAACAGGTTTGACAATGTCTAATGGAGACGTTGGCTTACCATCTGATTTAATGAGAGTCGGCACGTCTTTTATGTCAGCAAGGGGCTTTGGTTCATCATCATCTTTCAATGGGGATTTGTCACCAAATGCGACAGCTTGTTTAGCTGATGGCTTTTCTTGGCTACCGAAACCGAATTCTTCCTCACTTTCATCGTCAGAATATTCTTTTAGAATTGGTTTTCCAATGTCAATTGGGGTCTTGTCCTTTACGACAGCCGGTACGAGGGGCTTATCTGAAGGCTTCTCTTGAGGAACAGGTTTGATAATGTCTAATGGAGACTTTGGTTTATCATCTGATTTAATGGGAGTCGACACGTCTTTTATATCAGCAAGGGGCTTTGCCTTATCATCATCTTTCAATGGGGATTTGTCACCAAATGCGACAACTGGTTTAGCTGATGGCTTTTCTTGGCTACCGAAACCGAATTCTTCCTCACTTTCATCGTCAGAATATTCTTTTAGAATTGGTTTTCCAATGTCAATTGGGGTCTTGTCCTTTGCGTCAGCCGGTACGAGGGGCTTATCTGAAGGCTTCTCTTGAGAAACAGGCTTCACAATGTCTAATGGAGACTTTGGTTTATCATCTGATTTAACGGGAGTCGACACGTCTTTTATATCAGCAAGGGGCTTTGGTTTATCATCATCTTTCAATGGGGATTTGTCACCAAATGCGACAACTGGTTTAGCTGATGGCTTTTCTTGGCTACCGAAACCGAATTCTTCCTCACTTTCATCGTCAGAATATTCTTTTAGAATTGGTTTTCCAATGTCAATGGGGGTCTTATCTGAAGGCTTCTGTTGAGAAACTGGTTTGACAATGTCTAATGGAGACTTTGGTTTATCATCTGATTTAATGGGAGTCGACACGTCTTTTATATCAGAAAGGGGCTTTGGTTTATCATCATCTTTCAATGGGGATTTGTCACCAAATGCGACAACTGGTTTAGCTGATGGTTTTTCTTGGTTACCGAAACCGTATTCTTCCTCACTTTCATCGTCAGAATATTCTTTTAGAATTGGTTTTCCAATGTCAATTGGGGTCTTGTCCTTTACGACAGCCGGTACGAGGGGCTTATCTGAAGGCTTCTCTTGAGGAACAGGTTTGATAATGTCTAATGGAGACTTTGGTTTATCATCTGATTTAATGGGAGTCGACACGTCTTTTATATCAGCAAGGGGCTTTGCCTTATCATCATCTTTCAATGGGGATTTGTCACCAAATGCGACAACTGGTTTAGCTGATGGCTTTTCTTGGCTACCGAAACCGAATTCTTCCTCACTTTCATCGTCAGAATATTCTTTTAGAATTGGTTTTCCAATGTCAATTGGGGTCTTGTCCTTTGCGTCAGCCGGTACGAGGGGCTTATCTGAAGGCTTCTCTTGAGAAACAGGCTTCACAATGTCTAATGGAGACTTTGGTTTATCATCTGATTTAACGGGAGTCGACACGTCTTTTATATCAGCAAGGGGCTTTGGTTTATCATCATCTTTCAATGGGGATTTGTCACCAAATGCGACAACTGGTTTAGCTGATGGCTTTTCTTGGCTACCGAAACCGAATTCTTCCTCACTTTCATCGTCAGAATATTCTTTTAGAATTGGTTTTCCAATGTCAATGGGGGTCTTATCTGAAGGCTTCTGTTGAGAAACTGGTTTGACAATGTCTAATGGAGACTTTGGTTTATCATCTGATTTAATGGGAGTCGACACGTCTTTTATATCAGAAAGGGGCTTTGGTTTATCATCATCTTTCAATGGGGATTTGTCACCAAATGCGACAACTGGTTTAGCTGATGGTTTTTCTTGGTTACCGAAACCGTATTCTTCCTCACTTTCATCGTCAGAATATTCTTTTAGAATTGGTTTTCCAATGTCAATTGGGGTCTTGTCCTTTACGTCAGCCGGTACGAGGGGCTTCTCTGAAGGCTTCTCTTGAGAAACAGGCTTCACAATGTCTAATGGAGACTTTGGTTTATCATCTGATTTAATGGGAGTCGACACGTCTTTTATATCAGCAAGGGGCTTTGGTTTATCATCATCTTTCAATGGGGATTTGTCACCAAATGCGACAACTGGTTTAGCTGATGGCTTTTCTTGGCTACCGAAACCGTATTCTTCCTCACTTTCATCGTCAGAATATTCTTTTAGAATTGGTTTTCCAATGTCAATTGGGGTCTTGTCCTTTACGTCAGCCGGTACGAGGGGCTTATCTGAAGGCTTCTCTTGAGAAACAGGCTTCACAATGTCTAATGGAGACTTTGGTTTATCATCTGATTTAATGGGAGTCGACACGTCTTTTATATCAGAAAGGGGCTTTGGTTTATCATCATCTTTCAATGGGGATTTGTCACCAAATGCGACAACTGGTTTAGCTGATGGTTTTTCTTGGTTACCGAAACCGTATTCTTCCTCACTTTCATCGTCAGAATATTCTTTTAGAATTGGTTTTCCAATGTCAATTGGGGTCTTGTCCTTTACGTCAGCCGGTACGAGGGGCTTCTCTGAAGGCTTCTCTTGAGAAACAGGCTTCACAATGTCTAATGGAGACTTTGGTTTATCATCTACTGTAATGGGAGTCGGCAGGTATTTTATATCAGCAAGGGGCTTTGGTTTATCATCATCTTTCAATGGGGATTTGTCACCAAATGCGACAACTGGTTTAGCTGATGGCTTTTCTTGGCTACCGAAACCGAATTCTTCCTCACTTTCATCGTCAGAATATTCTTTAAGAGTTGGTTTTCCAATGTCAATTGGGGTCTTGTCCTTTACGTCAGCCGGTACGAGGGGCTTCTCTGAAGGCTTCTCTTGAGAAACAGGCTTCACAATGTCTAATGGAGACTTTGGTTTATCATCTGATTTAACGGGAGTCGACACGTCTTTTATATCAGCAAGGGGCTTTGGTTTATCATCATCTTTCAATGGGGATTTGTCACCAAATGCGACAACTGGTTTAGCTGATGGCTTTTCTTGGCTACCGAAGCCGTATTCTTCCTCACTTTCATCGTCAGAATATTCTTTTAGAATTGGTTTTCCAATGTCAATTGGGGTCTTGTCCTTTACGTCAGCCGGTACGAGGGGCTTATCTGAAGGCTTCTCTTGAGAAACAGGCTTCACAATGTCTAATGGAGACTTTGGTTTATCATCTGATTTAATGGGAGTCGACACGTCTTTTATATCAGAAAGGGGCTTTGGTTTATCATCATCTTTCAATGGGGATTTGTCACCAAATGCGACAACTGGTTTAGCTGATGGTTTTTCTTGGTTACCGAAACCGTATTCTTCCTCACTTTCATCGTCAGAATATTCTTTTAGAATTGGTTTTCCAATGTCAATTGGGGTCTTGTCCTTTACGTCAGCCGGTACGAGGGGCTTATCTGAAGGCTTCTCTTGAGAAACAGGCTTCACAATGTCTAATGGAGACTTTGGTTTATCATCTGATTTAATGGGAGTCGACACGTCTTTTATATCAGAAAGGGGCTTTGGTTTATCATCATCTTTCAATGGGGATTTGTCACCAAATGCGACAACTGGTTTAGCTGATGGCTTTTCTTGGCTACCGAAACCGAATTCTTCGTCACTTTCATCGTCAGAATATTCTTTAAGAGTTGGTTTTTCAATGTCAATTAGGGTCTTGTCCTTTGCGTCAGCCGGTACGAGGGGCTTATCTGAAGGCTTCTCTTGAGAAACGGGCTTCACAATGTCAATTGGGGTCTTGTCCTTTACATCAGCCGGTTCGAGGGGCTTATCTGAAGGCTTCTCTTGAGAAACAGGCTTCACAATGTCTAATGGAGACTTTGGTTTATCATCTGATTTAATGGGAGTCGGCAGGTCTTTTATATCAGCAAGGGGCTTTATTTTATCATCATCTTTTAATGGGGATTTGTCACCAAATGCGACAACTGGTTTAGCTGATGGCTTTTCTTGGCTACCGAAACCGAATTCTTCGTCACTTTCATCGTCAGAATATTCTTTTAGAATTGGTTTTCCAATGTCAATGGGGGTCTTATCTGAAGGCTTCTCTTGAGAAACTGGTTTGACAATGTCTAATGGAGACTTTGGGTTATCATCTGATTTAACGGGAGTCGGCACGTCTTTTATATCAGCAAGGGGCTTTGGTTTATCATCATCTTTCAATGGGGATTTGTCACCAAATGCGACAACTGGTTTAGCTGATGGCTTTTCTTGGCTACCGAAACCGAATTCTTCCTCACTTTCATCGTCAGAATATTCTTTAAGAGTTGGTTTTCCGATGTCAATTGGGGTCTTGTCTTTAACGTCAGCCGGTACGAGGGGCTTCTCTGAAGGCTTCTCTTGAGAAACAGGCTTCACAATGTCTAATGGAGACTTTGGTTTATCATCTGATTTAACGGGAGTCGACACGTCTTTTATATCAGCAAGGGGCTTTGGTTTATCATCATCTTTCAATGGGGATTTGTCACCAAATGCGACAACTGGTTTAGCTGATGGCTTTTCTTGGCTACCGAAACCGAATTCTTCGTCACTTTCATCGTCAGAATATTCTTTAAGAGTTGGTTTTCCAATGTCAATTGGGGTCTTGTCCTTTACGTCAGCCGGTACGAGGGGCTTCTCTGAAGGCTTCTCTTGAGAAACAGGCTTCACAATGTCTAATGGAGACTTTGGTTTATCATCTGATTTAACGGGAGTCGACACGTCTTTTATATCAGCAAGGGGCTTTGGTTTATCATCATCTTTCAATGGGGATTTGTCACCAAATGCGACAACTGGTTTAGCTGATGGCTTTTCTTGGCTACCGAAACCGAATTCTTCGTCACTTTCATCGTCAGAATATTCTTTAAGAGTTGGTTTTCCAATGTCAATTGGGGTCTTGTCCTTTACGTCAGCCGGTACGAGGGGCTTCTCTGAAGGCTTCTCTTGAGAAACAGGCTTCACAATGTCTAATGGAGACTTTGGTTTATCATCTGATTTAACGGGAGTCGACACGTCTTTTATATCAGCAAGGGGCTTTGGTTTATCATCATCTTTCAATGGGGATTTGTCCCCAAATGCGACAACTGGTTTAGCTGATGGCTTTTCTTGGCTACCGAAACCGAATTCTTCCTCACTTTCATCGTCAGAATATTCTTTTGGAATTGGTTTTCCAATGTCAATTGGGGTCTTGTCTTTAACGTCAGCAGGTACGAGGGGCTTATCTGAAGGCTTCTCTTGAGAAACAGGCTTCACAATGTCAATTGGGAACTTGTCCTTTACATCAGCCGGTTCGAGGGGCTTATCTGAAGGCTTCTCTTGAGAAACAGGCTTCACAATGTCTAATGGAGACTTTGGTTTATCATCTGATTTAATGAGAGTCGACACGTCTTTTATATCAGCAAGGGGCTTTGGTTTATCATCATCTTTCAATGGGGATTTGTCACCAAATGCGACAACTGGTTTAGCTGATGGCTTTTCTTGGCTACCGAAGCCGAATTCTTCGTCACTTTCATCGTCAGAATATTCTTTTGGAATTGGTTTTCCAATGTCAATTGGGGTCTTGTCTTTAACGTCAGCCTGTACGAGGGGCTTATCTGAAGGCTTCTCTTGAGAAACAGGCTTCACAATGTCAATTGGGAACTTGTCCTTTACATCAGCCGGTTCGAGGGGCTTATCTGAAGGCTTCTCTTGAGAAACAGGCTTCACAATGTCTAATGGAGACTTTGGTTTATCATCTACTGTAATGGGAGTCGGCAGGTATTTTATATCAGCAAGGGGCTTTGGTTTATCATCATCTTTCAATGGGGATTTGTCACCAAATGCGACAACTGGTTTAGCTGATGGCTTTTCTTGGCTACCGAAACCGAATTCTTCCTCACTTTCATCGTCAGAATATTCTTTAAGAGTTGGTTTTCCAATGTCAATTGGGGTCTTGTCCTTTACGTCAGCCGGTACGAGGGGCTTCTCTGAAGGCTTCTCTTGAGAAACAGGCTTCACAATGTCTAATGGAGACTTTGGTTTATCATCTGATTTAACGGGAGTCGACACGTCTTTTATATCAGCAAGGGGCTTTGGTTTATCATCATCTTTCAATGGGGATTTGTCACCAAATGCGACAACTGGTTTAGCTGATGGCTTTTCTTGGCTACCGAAGCCGTATTCTTCCTCACTTTCATCGTCAGAATATTCTTTTAGAATTGGTTTTCCAATGTCAATTGGGGTCTTGTCCTTTACGTCAGCCGGTACGAGGGGCTTATCTGAAGGCTTCTCTTGAGAAACAGGCTTCACAATGTCTAATGGAGACTTTGGTTTATCATCTGATTTAATGGGAGTCGACACGTCTTTTATATCAGAAAGGGGCTTTGGTTTATCATCATCTTTCAATGGGGATTTGTCACCAAATGCGACAACTGGTTTAGCTGATGGTTTTTCTTGGTTACCGAAACCGTATTCTTCCTCACTTTCATCGTCAGAATATTCTTTTAGAATTGGTTTTCCAATGTCAATTGGGGTCTTGTCCTTTACGTCAGCCGGTACGAGGGGCTTATCTGAAGGCTTCTCTTGAGAAACAGGCTTCACAATGTCTAATGGAGACTTTGGTTTATCATCTGATTTAATGGGAGTCGACACGTCTTTTATATCAGAAAGGGGCTTTGGTTTATCATCATCTTTCAATGGGGATTTGTCACCAAATGCGACAACTGGTTTAGCTGATGGCTTTTCTTGGCTACCGAAACCGAATTCTTCGTCACTTTCATCGTCAGAATATTCTTTAAGAGTTGGTTTTTCAATGTCAATTAGGGTCTTGTCCTTTGCGTCAGCCGGTACGAGGGGCTTATCTGAAGGCTTCTCTTGAGAAACGGGCTTCACAATGTCAATTGGGGTCTTGTCCTTTACATCAGCCGGTTCGAGGGGCTTATCTGAAGGCTTCTCTTGAGAAACAGGCTTCACAATGTCTAATGGAGACTTTGGTTTATCATCTGATTTAATGGGAGTCGGCAGGTCTTTTATATCAGCAAGGGGCTTTATTTTATCATCATCTTTTAATGGGGATTTGTCACCAAATGCGACAACTGGTTTAGCTGATGGCTTTTCTTGGCTACCGAAACCGAATTCTTCGTCACTTTCATCGTCAGAATATTCTTTTAGAATTGGTTTTCCAATGTCAATGGGGGTCTTATCTGAAGGCTTCTCTTGAGAAACTGGTTTGACAATGTCTAATGGAGACTTTGGGTTATCATCTGATTTAACGGGAGTCGGCACGTCTTTTATATCAGCAAGGGGCTTTGGTTTATCATCATCTTTCAATGGGGATTTGTCACCAAATGCGACAACTGGTTTAGCTGATGGCTTTTCTTGGCTACCGAAACCGAATTCTTCCTCACTTTCATCGTCAGAATATTCTTTAAGAGTTGGTTTTCCGATGTCAATTGGGGTCTTGTCTTTAACGTCAGCCGGTACGAGGGGCTTCTCTGAAGGCTTCTCTTGAGAAACAGGCTTCACAATGTCTAATGGAGACTTTGGTTTATCATCTGATTTAACGGGAGTCGACACGTCTTTTATATCAGCAAGGGGCTTTGGTTTATCATCATCTTTCAATGGGGATTTGTCACCAAATGCGACAACTGGTTTAGCTGATGGCTTTTCTTGGCTACCGAAACCGAATTCTTCGTCACTTTCATCGTCAGAATATTCTTTAAGAGTTGGTTTTCCAATGTCAATTGGGGTCTTGTCCTTTACGTCAGCCGGTACGAGGGGCTTCTCTGAAGGCTTCTCTTGAGAAACAGGCTTCACAATGTCTAATGGAGACTTTGGTTTATCATCTGATTTAACGGGAGTCGACACGTCTTTTATATCAGCAAGGGGCTTTGGTTTATCATCATCTTTCAATGGGGATTTGTCACCAAATGCGACAACTGGTTTAGCTGATGGCTTTTCTTGGCTACCGAAACCGAATTCTTCGTCACTTTCATCGTCAGAATATTCTTTTGGAATTGGTTTTCCAATGTCAATTGGGGTCTTGTCTTTAACGTCAGCCGGTACGAGGGGCTTATCTGAAGGCTTCTCTTGAGAAACAGGCTTCACAATGTCTAATGGAGACTTTGGTTTATCATCTGATTTAACGGGAGTCGACACGTCTTTTATATCAGCAAGGGGCTTTGGTTTATCATCATCTTTCAATGGGGATTTGTCCCCAAATGCGACAACTGGTTTAGCTGATGGCTTTTCTTGGCTACCGAAACCGAATTCTTCCTCACTTTCATCGTCAGAATATTCTTTTGGAATTGGTTTTCCAATGTCAATTGGGGTCTTGTCTTTAACGTCAGCAGGTACGAGGGGCTTATCTGAAGGCTTCTCTTGAGAAACAGGCTTCACAATGTCAATTGGGAACTTGTCCTTTACATCAGCCGGTTCGAGGGGCTTATCTGAAGGCTTCTCTTGAGAAACAGGCTTCACAATGTCTAATGGAGACTTTGGTTTATCATCTGATTTAATGAGAGTCGACACGTCTTTTATATCAGCAAGGGGCTTTGGTTTATCATCATCTTTCAATGGGGATTTGTCACCAAATGCGAAAACTGGTTTAGCTGATGGCTTTTCTTGGCTACCGAAGCCGAATTCTTCGTCACTTTCATCGTCAGAATATTCTTTTGGAATTGGTTTTCCAATGTCAATTGGGGTCTTGTCTTTAACGTCAGCCTGTACGAGGGGCTTATCTGAAGGCTTCTCTTGAGAAACAGGCTTCACAATGTCAATTGGGAACTTGTCCTTTACATCAGCCGGTTCGAGGGGCTTATCTGAAGGCTTCTCTTGAGAAACAGGCTTCACAATGTCTAATGGAGACTTTGGTTTATCATCTGATTTAACGGGAGTCGACACGTCTTTTATATCAGCAAGGGGCTTTGGTTTATCATCATCTTTCAATGGGGATTTGTCACCAAATGCGACAACTGGTTTAGCTGATGGCTTTTCTTGGCTACCGAAACCGAATTCTTCGTCACTTTCATCGTCAGAATATTCTTTTGGAATTGGTTTTCCAATGTCAATTGGGGTCTTGTCTTTAACGTCAGCCGGTACGAGGGGCTTATCTGAAGGCTTGTCTTGAGAAACAGGCTTCACAATGTCAATTGGGGTCTTGTCCTTTACATCAGCCGGTTCGAGGGGCTTATCTGAAGGCTTCTCTTGAGAAACAGGCTTCACAATGTCTAATGGAGACTTTGGTTTATCATCTGATTTAATGGGAGTCGGCAGGTCTTTTATATCAGCAAGGGGCTTTATTTTATCATCATCTTTTAATGGGGATTTGTCACCAAATGCGACAACTGTTTTAGCTGATGGCTTTTCTTGGCTACCGAAACCGAATTCTCCCTCACTTTCATCGTCAGAATATTCTTTTAGAATTGGTTTTCCAATGTCAATGGGGGTCTTATGTGAAGGCTTCTCTTGAGAAACTGGTTTGACAATGTCTAATGGAGACTTTGGTTTATCATCTACTGTAATGGGAGTCGGCAGGTATTTTATATCAGAAAGGGGCTTTGGCTTATCATCATCTTTGAATGGGGATTTGTCACCAAATGCGACAACTGGTTTAGCTGATGGCTTTTCTTGGCTACCGAAGCCGAATTCTTCGTCACTTTCATCGTCAGAATATTCTTTTGGAATTGGTTTTCCAATGTCAATTGGGGTCTTGTCTTTAACGTCAGCCGGTACGAGGGGCTTATCTGAAGGCTTCTCTTGAGAAAGAGGCTTCACAATGTCCACTGGAGACTTTGGTTTATCATCTACCTTAATGGGAGTCGGCAGGTCTTTTATGTCAGAAAGGGGTTTTATTTTATCATCATCTTTCAATGGCGATTTGTCACCAAATGCGACAACTGGTTTAGCTGATGGCTTTTCTTGGCTACCGAAACCGTATTCTTCCTCACTTTCATCGTCGGAATATTCTTTTGGAATTGGTTTTCCAATGTCAATGGGGGTCTTGTCCTTTACGTCAGCCGGTACGATGGGCTTATCTGAAGGCTTCTCTTGAGAAACAGGCTTCACAATGTCTAATGGAGACTTTGGTTTATCATCTGATTTAATGGGAGTCGGCAGGTCTTTTATATCAGCAAGGGGCTTTATTTTATCATCATCTTTTAATGGGGATTTGTCACCAAATGCGACAACTGGTTTAGCTGATGGCTTTTCTTGGCTACCGAAACCGTATTCTTCCTCACTTTCATCGTCGGAATATTCTTTTGGAATTGGTTTTCCAATGTCAATTGGGGTCTTGTCCTTTACATCAGCCGGTTCGAGGGGCTTATCTGAAGGCTTCTCTTGAGAAACAGGCATCACAATGTCTAATGGAGACTTTGGTTTATCATCTGATTTAATGGGAGTCGACACGTCTTTTATATCAGCAAGGGGCTTTGCCTTATCATCATCTTTTAATGGGGATTTGTCACCAAATGCGACAACTGTTTTAGCTGATGGCTTTTCTTGGCTACCGAAACCGTATTCTTCCTCACTTTCATCGTCAGAATATTCTTTTAGAATTGGTTTTCCAATGTCAATGGGGGTCTTATCTGAAGGCTTCTCTTGAGAAACTGGTTTGACAATGTCTAATGGAGACTTTGGTTTATCATCTACTGTAATGGGGGTCGGCAGGTATTTTATATCAGAAAGGGGCTTTATTTTATCATCATCTTTTAATGGGGATTTGTCACCAAATGCGACAACTGGTTTAGCTGATGGCTTTTCTTGGCTACCGAAACCGAATTCTTCGTCACTTTCATCGTCAGAATATTCTTTAAGAGTTGGTTTTTCAATTAGGGTCTTGTCCTTTGCGTCAGCCGGTACGAGGGGCTTATCTGAAGGCTTGTCTTGAGAAACAGGCTTCACAATGTCAATTGGGGTCTTGTCCTTTACATCAGCCGGTTCGAGGGGCTTATCTGAAGGCTTCTCTTGAGAAACAGGCTTCACAATGTCTAATGGAGACTTTGGTTTATCATCTGATTTAATGAGAGTCGACACGTCTTTTATATCAGCAAGGGGCTTTGGTTTATCATCATCTTTCAATGGGGATTTGTCACCAAATGCGACAACTGGTTTAGCTGATGGCTTTTCTTGGCTACCGAAACCGAATTCTTCGTCACTTTCATCGTCAGAATATTCTTTAAGAGTTGGTTTTTCAATGTCAATTAGGGTCTTGTCCTTTGCGTCAGCCGGTACGAGGGGCTTCTCTGAAGGCTTCTCTTGAGAAACAGGCTTCACAATGTCTAATGGAGACTTTGGTTTATCATCTGATTTAACGGGAGTCGGCAGGTCTTTTATGTCAGAATGGGGTTTAATTTTATCATCATCTTTCAATGGGAATTTGTCACCAAATGCGACAACTGGTTTAGCTGATGGCTTTTCTTGGCTACCGAAACCGTATTCTTCGTCACTTTCATCGTCAGAATATTCTTTAAGAGTTGGTTTTCCAATGCCAATTGGGGTCTTGTCCTTTACGTCAGCCGGTACGAGGGGCTTATCTGAAGGCTTCTCTTGAGAAACAGGCTTCACAATGTCTAATGGAGACTTTGGTTTATCATCTACCTTAATGGGAGTCGGCAGGTCTTTTATATCATAAAGGGGCTTTATTTTATCATCATCTTTTAATGGGGATTTGTCACCAAATGCGACAGCTGGTTTAGCTGATGGCTTTTCTTGGCTACCGAAACCGAATTCTTCGTCACTTTCATCGTCAGAATATTCTTTAAGAGTTGGTTTTCCAATGCCAATTGGGGTCTTGTCCTTTACGTCAGCCGGTACGAGGGGCTTATCTGAAGGCTTCTCTTGAGAAACAGGCTTCACAATGTCTAATGGAGACTTTGGTTTATCATCTACCTTAATGGGAGTCGGCAGGTCTTTTATATCAGCAAGGGGCTTTGGTTTATAATCATCTTTCAATGGGGATTTGTCACCAAATGCGACAACTGGTTTAGCTGATGGCTTTTCTTGGCTACCGAAACCAAATTCTTCGTCACTTTCATCGTCAGAATATTCTTTTGGAATTGGTTTTCCAATGTCAATTAGGGTCTTGTCCTTTGCGTCAGCCGGTACGAGGGGCTTATCTGAAGGCTTCTCTTGAGAAACAGGCTTCACAATGTCAATTGGGGTCTTGTCCTTTACATCAGCCGGTTCGAGGGGCTTATCTGAAGGCTTCTCTTGAGAAACTGGTTTGACAATGTCTAATGGAGACTTTGGTTTATCATCTGATTTAATGGGAGTCGGCACGTCTTTTATGTCAGCAAGGGGCTTTGGTTCATCATCATCTTTCAATGGGGATTTGTCACCAAATGCGACAACTGGTTTAGCTGATGGCTTTTCTTGGCTACCGAAACCGAATTCTTCGTCTCTTTCATCGTCAGAATATTCTTTAAGAGTTGGTTTTCCAATGTCAATTGGGGTCTTGTCCTTTACGTCAGCCGGTACGAGGGGCTTATCTGAAGGCTTCTCTTGAGAAACTTGTTTGACAATGTCCAATGGAGACTTTGGTTTATCATCTACTTTAATGGGAGTCGGTACGTCTTTTATATCAGCAAGGGGCTTTGGTTTATCATCATCTTTCAATGGGGATTTGTCACCAAATGCGACAACTGGTTTAGCTGATGGCTTTTCTTGGCTACCGAAACCGTATTCTTCCTCACTTTCATCGTCAGAATATTCTTTATGAGTCGCTTTTCCAATGTCAATTGGGGTCTTGTCCTTTACGTCAGCCGGTACGAGGGGATTATCTGAAGGCTTCTCTTGAGAAACTGGTTTGGCAATGTCTAATGGAGACTTTGGTTTATCATCTGATTTAACGGGAGTCGACACGTCTTTTATATCAGCAAGAGGCATTGGTTTATCACCATCTTTCAATGGGGATTTGTCAACAAATGCGACAACTGGCTTAGCTGATGGCTTTTCTTGGCTACCGAAACCGAATTCTTCGTCACTTTCATCGTCAGAATATTCTTTTGGAATTGGTTTTCCTATGTCAATTGGGGTCTTGTCCTTTACGTCAGCCGGTACGAGGGGCTTATCTGAAGGTTTCTCTTGAGAAACAGGCTTCACAATGTCAATTGGGGTCTTGTCCGTAACGTCAGCCGGTACGAGGGGCTTATCTGAAGGCTTCTCTTGAGAAACAGGCTTCACAATGTCTAATGGAGACTTTGGTTTATCATCTACCTTAATGGGAGTCGGCAGGTCTTTTATATCAGCAAGGGGCTTTGGTTTATCATCTTTCAATGGGGATTTGTCACCAAATGCGACAAATGGCTTAGCTGATGGCTTTTCTTGGCTACCGAAACCGAATTCTTCCTCACTTTCATCGTCAGAATATTCTTTTGGAATTGGTTTTCCAATGTCAATTGGGGTCTTGTCCTTTACGACAGCCGGTACGAGGGGCGTATCTGAAGACTTCTCTTGAGAAACAGGCTTCACAATGTCAATTGGGGTCTTGTCCTTTACGTCAGTCGGTACGAGGGGCTTATCTGAAGGTTTCTCTTGAGAAACTGGTTTTACAATGTCTAATGGAGACTTTGGTTTATCATCTACTTTAATGGGAGTCGGCAGGTATTTTATGTCATCGTCAGAATATTCTTTATGATTCGCTTTTCCAATGTCAATTGAGGTCTTATCTGAAGGCTTCTCTTGAGAAACTGGTTTGACAATGTCTAATGGAGGCTTTGGTTTATCATCTACTTTTATGGGAGTCGGCAGGTCTTTTATGTCAGCAAGGGGCTTTGGTTTATCATCATCTTTCAATGGGGATTTGTCTCCAAATGCGACAACTGATTTAGCTGATGGCTTTTCTTGGTTACGGAAACCGAATTCTTCCTCGCTTTCATCGTCAGAATATTCTTTTAGAATTGGTTTTCCAATATCAATTTGGGTCTTGTCCTTTACGTCAGCCGGTACGAGGGGCTTAGATGAAGACTTCTCTTGAGAAACAGGTTTGACAATGTCTAATGGAGACTTTGGTTTCTCGTTTATTATTTGTGCAGCTTCGAGTAATTCCCGATATTGGTCGATGGTGTCCATTGTAATATTTTCCGTGTGGCATTCAGAAATATTAACCGTTTCGCTAACTTGAAGTGTACAACTTTTGTATGTTCTCAGAACTGTTTCGTTTTTCGTTATGCCTTCACTTTTATTTAAAACGGCCTGCGTATCACTACATCTATCTACAGTATCTACATTCTGAATTAGGAGCTTTGATTCGTGAACCAAACGAGAAATGCCCTCGGGCTGTGTTATATCATTATTTACATTTAATATATCGGCAATGTCTAATTGAGACTTTGGTTTCTCATCTACTTTAATGGGAGTCGGCACGTCTTTTATGTCAGCAAGAGGCTTTGGTTTTTCATCATCATTCAATGGGGATTTGTCACCAAATGCGACAACTGGTTTTGCTGATGGCTCTTCTTGGAAGCCGAAACCGATTTCTTTGTCGCTGTAATCGTCAAAATATTCCTTAAGAGTTGGTTTTACAATTTCACTTGGGGACTTGTCCTTAACGTCAGCTGGTACGAGGGGCGTATCGTAAGACTTATCTAATGGCTTCTCTTGAAAAACAGTCTTGGCTATGTCCAAAGGGGTTTTGAGTTTATGATCTAGTTCAATGGGTGTCGGCATGTCCTTAATTTCAGGAAGATATTTCAAAGTGTTATTGTCTTTTAAGAAGGTTTTGTCACCAAAGGAAACAATTGGCTTTGCTGATAGATCGGTTTGTCTGTCTAAGTCGGGTTTGATGTCTATTTCAACATTTAATTTTCTTAAGCTTTCTTCTGTACTTATAGAGATTGTTTTTACAGTATCAGGAGACCTTGTTGATTTTACGCTGCTTGCTAATGATGGTTTTAAATCAACTTTTGTGGGAAACCTATCGATTTTCGACTGATTGTCTACCTCCTGAGTCAGCTGTGATATTGTGCGTTCGCCATCATATGTTAATTGTGCCTCATCCTTACTGTATTTATATGTTTCTTTTACAAAAGTTGTAGTTGTCTCCGTACGTACTGAAGTTTCTTCTTTTCTTAATAATTTTGCTGGTTTTATTTTTTGCACTTTTGTTTTAATTGCATCTTCATCATCACTTTCGCTTTCAAAATTATCTTCATCAGTTTTTGTAACTTTTTCAAATGGAAATTTTTTTGTTGAAGAAATTTCAATGTGATCGAATATTTGTTTTGGAATAGCGTGAACATTTTGTGAAGATTTATGCTCACTACAAGTAGGAAACTTTTCTGTTTTCGTATCATTTGTTTTAGGGCCTATTTTTGCAGATTCGACTGCGGTCAGTTCACTCAGTTTTTCTTCTAGCTGACCCGCTCTATGTGCATACTCTTTTGTATCTTCAATGTCCATTTTCGAAATTGAATGTAGTTTTTCTCTTGGGCTTGAGTTTTGCGGGAAACCATCATGTGAAGAGTCTGCTGTTGGTATTAGCGGGAACTCTTTCTGTTCTTTGTCATCTATTTTCCACTTTAATTGGCTTTCTTTTACATTAGTCTCTTTTAAAATACTTATTGATTCAAATTCTTGTATTTGCTCGAGTACATCATAATGTACCTTTTCTCGCTCTATAAAATCCGCTGTTGACAACTTCACATCGGTCACTTGTTTTGGCTGGGGCATATCCGCTTCCTTTTCAAAAGCTTTTGCCATATCAGATATAGTGCGCTTAGAGCACTTCACTTCACAGACCTCTTCAAGATTTTCAATACTTGGGGTTTTCGTTTCTAAAACTGGGGTCACTACTTTCTTCTCTAAAACTTGATTATTTTGTAAACCTTGTAATAACATGTCGGTGTCACTTAAAATTTGTTGTTCTATTGAGGAAACATCAGCATTTCTATTAATGTTTTCTCGCTTTCGAAGACTAAATGGAGTGGCCTCTAAGCTCGTCATAGGGTACTTGCGTTCAATATCTTGTACAACATCCTTTACTTTTGGCAATGATTCTTTCTTATCTACTATGTCTTTGTGCTCAGCATTTGTTTTTGTTAAAACCTCCCCAGGTACTCTTATCACTTCATTATCCAGAACTACATCATGTTCTGCTAAAGTCTTATCCATTTCATTTAAGTCTTCTGCAACTTCAAAGGCTTTACGCTTTGCGCAAATCTTTTCGCACACTTCTTCCCCAATTTGTGCTCGGCCATCGGCTTCATGTTCAATAGCTTCGATTGGTGATAGCTTTACAACCTGCGCTGGAGGCTCACATTTCATTATTTTTTCCAATGCCAAATCTGCAGCGCTCAAGATTTGTTGCTCTAGCTCACATACATTCGGATCCCTTTGGCAGGGCTCTCGTTTTTGCACAGCAAAAGGTATAGCCTCCACAGTGCCGGAAATCTTTTCCTCAATACTTTGTACCACATCCTTAACCACCGGTACATTATCACCTATATATTTTGGAGTACTCTGCTCCTTATTATTGCTTTCCTGAGTTTCTGTACTACTATGGCTTTCCAAGCGCATAATTTTTCGTCTAACATCACCACAGCCCATTATTTGCTCTAGATACTCCCTATCACTTGCAGCTAAATCTGATTCAGTTGACTCTTTAGTTTCTATATTGGTATGAGTAATAGTATTGACATCTACTTGTTGCTCCGAAGGTTGTTGCTTAGGCTCTATCAAGTCGGCTTTAGTGCGTGTTATATTCGCTGTCAGGGTTGTTGTCGTCTTCGCTGTTTGACTACTTGTTCTCATTTCTGGAAATGAGGTAGTGTCTTGTGAGTATAAAATATCGGGGGGAGCTACAGCTACCATTTTATCAAGCAGCTTATCAGTTTCATCTGTACTTTTAAATGATTCGATTTGTACATTATGAACACTGAAGTGCTCTGCTTGAGGCATTCCAGCGAAGCATGGCGTACACAATTTAGAGAAGTAGATAGAAATAAGGCATAATAGAGACAGTTAACACCAATTACTTGTACAAGAAAACCAGAGTTGTTTGTGGGTTTATTTTTATGTACAGAGTGCAATTAATGCAAACATATAGTAGCACGCCATAGAACTACAAGCTGTACGCCGAACCCAGCAGCAGCAGCAGGCACAAACATGCAAGTTGTGGTTTAATGCGAATAAATGCGATTAGCTATTTCAAAAGCAAAAATAAGAAACTAAAGGACCGCATTTGCCTTTCACTCTATGCTATATGAGGTCGTGAGTTTTATTGGCCATCTCTTCTCCTGCACAAATTTCATTTCATTTGTCATTCAAAAATCTCATGTTCAGGCTGAGTGGTGTGTTTACATTTATTCTAACGCTTTACGTTTGCATATTTCTTACGAGATCATTTAAGCAATGCACTGTTTTATAGTTTTTAATAAACACAAAAGAGGAAATTGGCAAGTACTGCAAGAAAAAGTAAACCACGACTTCATATATCATAAGGGCTATATGCGTGAACACACACATACATACATACATACATACATATGTACTATTATAGTTAAACAGCCGATTATAAGTATGTAATAAAGCGCATAAAGGGTGCATACAAATCAAGGTGTAGTTGCTGTTTTAAGCCGCAAATCATAATGTCCATAAACTATACGTATCATATAGTAGATGCTACGGTGAAATTGTTGTGAGCTTGTTGGTTTGTTTCATTTTTTTGCTATTTATTTTCTTCGACTAAACACTCAGTTACAATATTCGAATAAGTACGTATGCCTTTTTGTAAAGGTTGACTCACAGAAAATACGAATGGCAACTGAATATAATTATTTGCTCAAAACCAAAACAAACAATAATATTGAAAACTCAAAGCTATGGTGGTTACTGAAGTGTTTAATGTTGAACTCGTATTTCATAATATATATATATATATATATATATATATATATATATATATATATATATTTTTTTTTTTTTTTTCGATGGCTACAATTTAAATTGAGGCACGCATCGGTTAAATGCACAACACACACAAGAAGTTTGGTATTGGTCCACATTTTTTTTTTTTACAATTCATATGCCAAAAGTGTTTATCTTAATAAAAAAAAATCTTTTAACACGGACTTTCTTGTATGCCCAATATGCACTACATATAGTATATAGTATATCCGTTAAGATTGAGTGTCATTTACTTAATGATTTGCAGTTGTTGGTAAACAATAAAAAAATGAATTGCTTAAACATTCGTTTAAAATTGCAAACGTAGTTTGTTAGAGAGACCTAAAAACGATACCCATCATATGTGTTGAAAGAACTTGACACATAGTTTTATTATTTGTTATGCAACTTTTCAATTTAATTGATCGAACGATTGATTGATTGAGTAAAAATCGCGTTCTTTAACTTACCATATAAATTTATAGTTACTTAAAGTTACTTTAGTTATTCAGGTAATTGTATTAGGTGTTATTTTTTCGATTTTTTCATTGAATGAATCACAAACAACGAACGAATTACAGTCAAAATTTCTTGTTAACTAAATAAATGCAGAACAAATATATAGAAAAAATGTCTACATTTGGCTACAGCGTGCCCTAAACCACCGTCGCGCGTACTTGGTAAATACAAATTTCAAACTAAATCTGCACCAAATGTGCGCCTAATGCTATGCTGTAAAAATGTGCCGACAAATTAAATTAAGTATACGCCGCCGCGTACATTTTGCTTTGTCGCTTTGTGACTGTTTCTGTGTATCTGTAAGTGTGGCTGGCTTGTTGCGCATGACATAAGAATATGCGACATTTTTCACCTACGATCCAAGCCAAGTAGCTGCTAGCAGCTGGCATGAATAAATTATATAAATCAGTTGTTCCGTTTTCAACAAATTTCATTACATACCATATATCTGACTTTAATTTGTAGGCAATAACGATTTTTAAGACCAGAACGTATTTAAAGCTATTTATATCCGTGCTGACATTGAAATCGTGACTTTTATCGATTCGATGACCTAATGAGATGCCTGTGTTGTTGACATTGCGTACCTTTGAATGTTAAGCATGTAACAATGGCTAGTTAGAAATATACTTGTATACATACGTAATACGAGCAGAGGCGCCAGCCACTACTATGCGCTTTGTTTTCCATTTCACAATTCTGCTGTTTTGCGTGCTGCGACCTTTGACTAAATTGGATTAACTAACCAAATATTGTGTTGAACTACCCCGCCACTGCTGGCCACTACTAATTCATTCAATGAATTGCAATTTAGACAAACGCGTATTTCATTTAAATCTGCTGCACTTACTACAGACTTTTTTTGATTAAGATACACACGCTACCACAGTTGGTTGGATATGATTCAGATTTACAGTTATGTTAGCTATTCACATTTTCATTGAATCGATTTAATGAATGGTTCTTTTTTTGCATACAAAAAGCCTTTGGATTTAAAAACAAAGACATAAAAAAAAGAAGATCAAACTTAACAGCAACAAGAAGGTAAACAATTACAAACAATTATTAAATCATAAAAACCATTACAAAACACTACAAATATCAAGGATATCATCAAACTTAGATATTGAAAATAAAAAATCGGTGTATAGAAAATAAGGATGACAAGTTCTTTTTATTTACCCAAAAAGGCAACATAAAATATATATGTATATATAAGTACATAACAATACGAATTGTAATAAAATATACATTTCATTTTATGCGGAACTTACCAATTGTGGTTATGGCAGCAACGCGCTCAAACGTCGACTCTGTGGTTTTGTGCAATGTCGTCACAGTGTCGGCGAGATAATCTGTAATAAAACACCCCATTAAATTAGGCACGCATAAAGATTGGATGACGTATATAGTAAATTGAATTGCAACTGACCGCGCTCTAAGCTGCTTAAGCGTTGCTGTTCCTGTTCCTGTTCGTTTTGCTTCTCAATCTTTGTATCGCTTGGTGTGGGTGGTGGAGTCTGGGAGTGTGGAATGTCGCTCGCTAGAAGTGGCAGAGTATATATATAAATATGAATAATGTATATATATAAATGTTTAAAATACCCCAAGCTTACCTAGTTTCATGAGCTCATCTGATATTTCAACTAGTCCCTCGCTCATTTTCTTTGTTATGCTATCACCAACGGATTTACAGAATTCAGCATCGGTCAGAGACTTGCGCGGCTCCATCGATATGGGCGCAGTGAGTCCCTCGTCCCAAACTGAACTAACTGTCTCACTCAACGGTATTGTGGCGCTCTTGCCAAAAGTGTCGCTGTCGTATTCGCTGACTTTGGTCGCGATTGCGCCCTTCAGCTGATTTTTCTGCTCAGTAGCCAGAAAGTCGGCAGTTAGCTTGCGTGCGGCAAAGGGTGATACTTCGCCGATTGGCGCCGCTGTCTCAATTCCATCGCCAGCAACCTTTTGGGTTGCTGGCGCCTTCACTTTACGCTCAATTTCGTCAACCGTTTCGACCAATTCGATTAGCTTCTCAGTTACCTTTGCCTCCTTAGCAATAAGCTCGGGCTGGATTACTTCTGGCAATGCAGTTGTGCCAAGGATGGCAGTTGTTAGGTCGCTCTTAACATCAGCTGCTTTCGTAGATGGCACAATAAGTGGCAACTGAGTTTGCTGTTCCATGCTTAAGAAATCAGCAGTCAGCTTGCGCTCAACGATTGGCTCCATCTTTTGTGCTTCAGCAGGTTTTGATGAGTCCTCTGTCATGGATTTTCTGGACTCAATTTTTGGTATTTTACTAGCAGGAGGCGCTGCTTTAACTGTGCTCACAGAATCGGGCTCAGATGTGGTGGTAGATGTTTGACTAGACTCGATTAATTTCTCCGTTGCTTGTGGCAAGCCTGGTAGCTGACTTTGTTGTTCCATGCTTAAGAAATCGTGTGTCATCTGGCGCGTATCTATTGTTATATGCTCATCAATTTTATGGACTGTCTCGATAACTTCAGCAACCTTCTCTGTAACCTTCTCTGTAACCTTCTCTGGAACCTTCTCTAGAACCTTCTCTGTAACCTTTTCTGCAACCTTAACTGGAATTTCGCTGGGCTTTTGTGCAGAAATAGGCGCCCCTACAGTTTTGAAAATCGGTGTCTCACTAGGCTCAATTGTTTTTTCTTCGCTGGGCTTTTGTGCGGAAACTGAAGCCCCTACAGTTTGGAAAATCGGCTTCTCACTTGGCTCCATTACTTTTTCTGTTGTTAAGGGCTTGCTTGGTAGCTGAGTTTTCTGCTCCATGCTTAAGAAATCGTCTGTCATTTTAATGGCAATACGCTCATCGATCTTATGGAATGTCTCGACAACTTCAGCAACCTTTTCTGCAACTTTGTCTTCCTTAACTGGCACTTCGATGGACTTTTGTGTAGAAACTGGCACCTCAACAGTTTTCGAAATCGTTGTTGTTGTTGTAGACTTCTCACTAGGCTCCATTGTTTTTTCTTCGCTGGGCTTTTGTGCAGAAACAGGCGCCCCTACAGTTTTGAAAATCGGTGTCTCACTAGGCTCAATTGTTTTTTGAACTGGAGCCCCTACAGTTTGGAAAATCGGCTTCTCACTTGGCTCCATTATTTTTTCTGTTGTTAAAGGCTTGCTTGGTAGCTGAGTTTTTTGTTCCATGCTCAGGAAATCGTCTGTCATTTTAATGGCAATACGCTCATCGATCTTATGGAATGTCTCGACAACTTCAGCAACCTTTTCTGCAACTTTGTCGGCCTTGGCGGCAGAAATTGGTGCCTCTTCAGCTTTATGACCTAATTTAAGCGTTTCGGAAACTTGTTCGAGTTGCTTTTCAGATTTTGTCACCCGTTCTTCCGTTTTGTGGAATGCATCGATTAATTCACCAATCTTCTCGGTAACTTTATCTGCCTTTTCTGCGATAACAGATTGCTTTGTAGGCTCAACTGGCTTTTCTTTTGCCTCTTCAGTAAGGGTTATGCCTGCTACAATTTTAGAGTCTTTTTCCACTAGTTTCTCAATGGATTTTCTGGGCTCCACCTTTGGAATTTTGCTTGCCGGTGCTTGCTTGGCCTCGGTTATTTGTGGAGCTGGCAGCTGGGTCTGTTGCTCGGCTTGTAGAAAATCTTGTGTCAGTTTTCGGGCGTCAGAATCAAGGCCCCTAGCACCCTCACCGCTCTTCACAGGTATTTTTGAAAGAGGCTTCTCCGTTCTTACTTCGGCTGCTTTCTCATGTTCAACCACAGCTCTAGGAGCAGCAGTGGGCTGTTTAATGTCTTCGCTTCCTTTTTTCACAAGCTTAGGTATTTGTGTCTTGGGTTCTATACCATGGAATTCGTATTTCACCTTTTTGGCTTCAAAATCGGCAATCTTGTCTTCAATATTTGTGCCCTCGATGATTTCGATTACTTTTGCTTGTTCCATGGATGTTGACTGGGCATCTTTAAGGTGTTTTATTGTCTCACTGACCTTCGTTGTTTCGGTCGAGGTTTGGCTGACCACTGCCGCTGTTTTCTCCTCGGCAGCACCAGTCTCAAAAGAGCCGATTAGGCTTTCTACTTTCTTACTGGCCTTTTCAGTGACTTCGGTTATAACCTGTTCTACTTCTTTAACGGTTTCCTGAGGCACTGTAGGCTTCTCTTTGACCTCTTCTACAAACTTTTCATGGACAGTGACAGCGGCAGCTGGAAGTTGGGTTCGCTTTTCAAATTCCAAGAAGTCTTCAGTAATATCACGGGCCTCTTGTCGCGTAATGGTTGTGACCCTAGTGGTGCTAATGCCATCCTTCTTTTCTGACTTTTCAGCAGCACTTATGTCCAGCACGATTTTGTCAACCTTATCTGGGGAGTGTTGCTCTTCTTCTTCGGAGCTACGTCCAGATGATTTGAACTTGTGTGTGAGTTCCTTGTCGAAGTCGCTTTTGCTTACTTCCACGGATTCCATCTTACCCATTTTCATCTTAATGACCTGCTCGGGTACAACCGCAGACTTGATTATATTATCGGCAGGCAGCTGCATTAGTATTTCAGATTCATGGATGGCCTTCTTATCCTCAATGAGACTCTTTCGTTTGATTTCGGTTATCTCTCGCGTAATCTCCTTCTTTTGAGTGGATGCTGGTATTGAACGTTCGATCGACAGACGTTTGACAATTTTCTCTCGACGCTCGGCAACGGTTCGCTTTGCTGGTTCTTCATCCGATTCGGACTCTTCGACTTCCTTCTCTTCGGCAGAGTATTTGACTTCTTCGCGTTCGTTGATTTGCTGAATTCGCTTACCTATTAAAATAGAAATTAATTAGAGAAACTCAACTTTTTGCAAATATCGCATTACATACTTTCTCTGCGAACCAGCTCTTCGACGGATTCCGAATTTTTCATAATATCAGTGTCATCGAACTCTCGCGAATGCGAAAGTCTTCCACTCTTGCACTTTTTCATAATGTCATCGCGTCCAATATTCTTAAGCGCCGATTCCAACGCCAAGATGTCGTAGTTCGGCTTGTCTTTGTACAACCGTATCATGCTTTGGGCTTGGCGTGCAATACTGTCGGTATTTTGATTGATTATCTCATCGATCTCATCTGCATTGATGCCTATTTCTGGCGCCAGCTGTATCCAGTCTTTGCCCAGCAGATTCGATAGATCAACGATGCGAATGTCGCCAATATAATGATCGTTTTGATGCTTGCTTAAGCTGAACATTGATGTTCTGTAGGCAGAGGTGACACGATCAGAGAACGCAGTTGTCGAATCTGGTATGACAGCTTCGGGCAGCACTATGTTCAGAATGCAGATGGGTTGTTGGGGCGGCTCTCCCTTTGCAACCTTTGGCTCCTTCATGAAAAGCGTCCGACCAACAATATCAGCATGTTGGTCCTTGACTCGTACAGTGAAGGGAAGTCGATTCTCGCGGAAGGCCTTAAACTGCAGCTGCAATTGATCACCCGATTTTGTGACTGGCACCAAATTTCCAGCCATTTCGATGTATTGCGGCTTGCCCTCAAGCACCTCAACATCGCGACTCTTCGCCACCTCTGTGTATAGTTCGTGTTTCTCGAGCGTCTTGTCTTCCCGATCGTCGGTCATGCAGAATACCCGTAGGCGTGCCTCGTAGGGTTCAATTTTCTTTGCAAATACCACGAACTTGGCTATAAAGGGTACGTGTATGACTTCCCTGTACGTAGGACGGGGTAGGCATCTATTAGTTTCCGAAGCAAGATTTTAGTTTGAAATGCACTTACTTATATAGCTCAGTAGCCATTTTAGTAGCGTCCGAGATATTTCGGCAGTCCATTAACCAAAAGCGTGCGGACACAGTCGTGGTAAATGAAACGCAGTCATTGACAAAGGTCAAGGGTGTCGAACCTGTCACATCCTCCCATTGGGCGCGTGATGGTCCGCCTGATGGTTGAATAGTTGAAATGGTTCAGTTCTCAGACACGTGAAGCCCGAAATAGTTCGCATATTCTATTTAAAACTCTACTTTTGTCTCATTAGCAGATAATGAATTCCAAAATTGTTCAACTAATTTCAAATTAAAAAAAACGTACTTAAAACTCAACCAAAAAATAGTATAGAAGGATACGATTGTGTGTTGGTTATAAAGCAGTTTAATGAAAAAGAGTATTTGGAAAAGTAGTTATGTATTTTATATTTTATATATATAATGTATGTAGAGTATATAGAGTATATATGTAGCCGTATAGGTGTTGTGTTTATGAATGCATGTGATGCTGACTGTTTAAAGTTGGTGTTGGAATGCGGTTGTTATTGTTGTTGTTGTGGCTATATACGTATAGGTGTCGGACTTTGTTTAAATGAGGCAATTGATTGTCAAGCATTTAGTTGTATTTTATAGGGATTTAGCATTTACAGAGGTAGTACTAGTAAGGTACATTTATTTTGCGCTTACATCGAAGCCATTTTGAAACAACATGCTAAATTAAATGTTTATATATTTCAACAAAAAATGTATATTGTAGAGTTAATGGTAAATAAGTGAGCGTGTCACGTGTCTATTGTAAATGTTTAAAACAAGGCCAAGAAACAAAAACGTAAACCATAATAAAATAAGGGAAATGAACAATAACTAGAACGAACAGAAAATTCTGGTTTATATACAATAAAAAAAATTGTTTTTTTATATATATTTCTTTTTGTATTTTGTTTGTTGTTTAGCTGTATTTTAAAAGCAATGAATTGGCATAGCATTAAATTTGTAAATTTCTGCCTCAATAACTTGGGCATTATAGCCTTTTGTATTTTTATTCGGTTTCAGAAAAGTTCTCTTTGGTGCCACAAACAGTAGAAATTCGAAATTTATCATTTTTTTTTAATATTTCATATGTGTATATATATATATATATATTCTGCTTTACATCAAATAAATTAGAAACGAATAAGAAAACTCAACCATAACTACAGTAGGTTAGTGCATAACATTCCAAAGTAACAATTTGAAAATGATAACACGAATCAAGCCATTAAATGATATTTTTAATGAAATTAGGAATTGAATAAATGATATCGAAAAGAGCACAATTATGTGGCCTTGCTTGTAAATACAATTTGTATGGCCCAAAGAGCAACTTTAGCATTTATTTGTATTTAAGAAATTCATATTAAAGAGAGACCTACAAACTTTTGAATAAAATTGTGCAATTTATTATATATGTAGAATAAAACCGCGTGCAGTCTGGAAATCTTTAATTGTTTATATGCTAGAGAGAACGCAGCAAAAACTGTTGCATGGCAAGCTTAAAATTCATAAAATATTTAATTCGAAAAAGTGCTTACTTCAAAAACTAAGCTGCCAGCTTTGAGAAGCGCACAATTAACTGGCATTCATTAAGCGCCGAGCTTAGAAATCTATATTTTGTTTTGTTTTGGTTTTGTTTTTGTTAAATTGTTTGTTTGTTTATTTGTTGTTCTCGAAAATACGGCAATTGCTAATAAATGCAAAAACCCAAACAAAATGTGTACCTGTACCTGACTTTCTTGTGCGCATAATATATTGTAGATATATATAGTATTTATACTTAAACCCCAACACGCGTAGCGCAACCGGAATTTCAGAAAAAGTGTTCGAATCAAAAAATTGAAGGGAACAGAACAGAAATCAATCAATAAGAGCAAATAATATCAAATTAAAATAAACTTGTTTCAAAGCATATTGGTTCTAAAAACAACAAAACGAAAAAACGTTGGAAATATTTGTAATAGTTTGTAATAAAAATATTTTCATTTTCAAATTAAAGTATGCAGAATTTCAAATTTTGTTTGCAAATTTTTTTCTTGGCAAATATTTGCTTGAATTTGCGATAGATTTTGTTTTTGTTATTTGCTTAATTTTTATTATAACTATAGTTTTATTGTTAGATATTTTGGCATATAGAACGAAACAACTAAATATGAACAAATAACGAATTTTAGTTTGTAAACTGTTTCAATTTGAAATTTCATACATGTTTGTGAATTTCTGAATTTTTGTTGACATTTTTCATTTTTCTAGTTACCTTTTAGAGACCTTTTCCGAAACACACCTTCAATGGATTGAGAAAACAGAATGGAATGCGTGCACATATGCAATGACGCATTAGTACGAAATTATAGAACAATTAAATACGTTTTCAATTAAGAATTGAATTGAAGTTTTTCTTATGTTTTTTTTTTATTTTTGTCATGTTTATTATGTTTGGAAATCATAATTAGAGCTAAGTTTGAAAACATAATCAACGAAAATCAGAGAAAAGTAGACCATTAACAATAAAGAGAACCGAAAATTAAACAAAAACGTTACTCGAACAAACACTGTTGGCACAATGAAGACACTGAACATGAACTGAGTGGTCTTAGTGGTCTGAGAATGCATGTAGTATGGAATGTGGGTGTATGTTGGTGAGATAAAGTTTCTGTATGAACGTGTCCATGTCTGTATTTTAGGGTGAATGACTCTTACTATTATGGCACAAGTCGCTAATGGTGTGGGATACTTTCAATTAACTAACATATTAGCTTTGGATAGATATTACGAGGGTTGAAAGCCCCGTACAATTTTTACTCATCTACTGCACAGACACAAGCACTTTCTAAGTATTGTACTATACTGGACCTCAGTTGAGAGCTTTTAAATGCATTTCAATTAATAATTTATAATCTAACCAATTGGCAGATAGATTGGACTAAATAAAGAGTTGTTTGTTTTTGTTATTGATTTTGGTTTTGGTTTTGGTTTTACTTTAACAATTTTCACTGTACAACTTTACGAGTATGTATAGATTAATAATGACATGAATGGGTTTATATATAGCACTATATATTGGTATATGACACTTGTATGTCGTATAATACGTATATACTAAGTTATATAGACAACTAAAATGATAAAGAGACTTCAACGAAATCATGTTACATACATATACGTATATGTAAGAATTTGGAACTGAAGAGAAAATGATAGCAATATATATAAAATATATAAATGAAACCTGAGAGAGATTTAGAAATAGAGAGAGAGAGCTGAACATCAACTAACATAATAATCAAGTATAGATACGCATAATAGTTAATAGATAGTTAACTGCTTGGAGCACATTTCACAACAACACAAAATAACATCATCATCATCATCATTATCATTGTCATTATCATGATTATGATCATCGTATAGCAAATCGGTAACTGCTACAACTTACCTGTTATAGAACACAACAGCCGCAGAGTTGGGGTATTTCCCGAATACTGATTGATCATGCCCTGACTGTGAGCCTTCGGTGCGGGCATGCTCAGAGTTATGGCCTTATGGAACTTTCGGCGACGCGGCTCGACCGTAACGATCGGCGAGACGGCGACCCCGCGACCCAGCAGCTTAGCAGTTAGATCGGGATCGACCGGTTGTGCCTAGAAGAAATGTAACGAATGGAGGCGGCACTATAGACAAAAATCGATTTTCTTCGGCCACGCTTTTTCTCTTATTGTTAATTGTTAAATTGTTATCTAGACAAACGACGACTATTTTAATTGACAAAAATGAATTGAAAACGAAAGAAATGTTGAAATAATGTACGAAATATGCGCCATTTGTTGTTACTGTTGTTTGTTTAAAAAATATTATATGTTACACATAGGTATGTTAAGAAGAAAAAAAAAACCAGAATAATAAAAGAGAAATGAGCTTTTGGGCTAAATGGTGAACATTTTTGTTTTTTCTTTGTTGTTGTTCTTTTTCATTTGTACAATGCTTATATAGTTGATGTGTCATGGATTATATTGATAGTAGCTTTTAGGAATTGCATGTTTCAGTTAAATACAGCGTACTCATGTAAATTAACTACAAACAATAACAATGTTCAAGCCCATTTATCTCCCAATAAATTTAGTCATCAAAAAAACTTGTACTACAACTTAAGGACTAGAAATAAAAGTCAAAACGCAATTAATATACAAAAATCATAAACATAAAATTATTGTTATAATTTTTTTTCTTTGTACAAAATGCAAATAAAAACATATCTCAAGTTTCAATTTATAAGTGGGCCGCCAAAAAATCGGTTTTTGCTTACGGCATGGCTTTGATGTTCATGTTACAATTTCTTTAGGTACTGTATCTGGCACTCAACCGGACTCCTCTCAACCGGACCCAATTGTAACTGTCTAAACAAGTTCACAATATCATTTTTCTATTTATTCTATTATAGTATATTTTTTTTATTGTTTGGGGGAAAAAGCAATTGAATGTAAAATGAATCAAATGAAAATTAATTAAAACATTTTTGTTGCCATAAAGTTTTTGTTGAACTAAATTTATTGGGTAGTACTGCATTTCAGAAATCATTTATAATCTTATGCATAAATATATACGTTGTAAGTTTTCATGATAATAATAATATACGATAGTTTAAAGTATTTAGTGTATAAAATATAGGTTTTGATATTTGTGTATAGTATTTGTGTCTTAATTGATTGGACAATTGTGATTATTATATTTTATATCTTAAGAAAATATGCCTTTTGCATATACTCGTATTTGTTCGATCCATGATCAGTTTAATCAAAAAAACGTTTTTCTGTAATAGTTATTATTGTTTGTTACTAGAATATAAAGCATTGCATACTTGCACTACATATTATTAGTGAATAAATTGTTGCGATATTAAGCTGGAGTTTAGACGTATTGGAGTAGTTTGTAATTTCGTTCTCTTTTTTTGTTTTTGTTTTTAAGAAGGGCTCCATAAGTGGAGCGGCAAAAATTTCAAGAGTTTCAAATATCGGTTTCGTTCATAACGTTTAAACATCCAAAGAACAAAGTGCACATATTTCATAAATAACATTCGGAATTTTTATGTTTCAAAAAGTATTTTACTCGTATAAGGATATAGTTCCGCTAATTTTGGCCTCACCAGTTACTATACGGAGTACATAAATATGGGGCGGTACATATTAAAGCCATGGTCAGACAGACAAATTATTTGCACTCAAACTCGACAATTTTCAAAATAAAGTATTGAATAATTTATTATTTGATTCGATAGTTAATTGCCTGTGTGTCCAGAGCTTTAATCAGATACAACTAAATAGGTATACTGTAGTAATTCCTCCCCAAATTTTGGGGCTTCAAATACATATGTAGGTAGTCAGCAGTTAAATGCGTAAATTAATATTTTTGGTTACACTTTTGGAAAACTTCTGGGTTTGCTTTGATATTCGTTAAGGAATATAAATATGCATCTTAAATGCTTCATTAAATTGTTTGTATATATGGTTTGTTGCTTTTCGATGTTGTTGTTGTTTTGTAAGCAAAATTTGATAGCTTATGTAGCGACAATTATTAATGTATCTATCGGTTTACCAAATGAGCGAGAAGCGCTTCTTTTTGGGCACGTGATTGACGCTGATTTTGCGTAACTTTTCGGGGGCAACCCCTTTGCGTGGTTTAAAGAGGTTTACCTGTAAGCCAACTTTGATCTTTTTGGTGAGTGCGCCCTGCGGGAACACGGCCTGCACCTGCGGCACCACAGTGCTGGACACCATGCCGCCCTCAGGCCCAATCGCATGCACCTCCTGACGAATGCGTGAGACAACGGCGAAGTACTGAGGGAAATCGTAGGTGACAAATCGGCAAACGTGATTGCCAGCCTGCTCTTCCAGCTGCGCGATCTCTGTGTGGGGGCACAATAAGACGTTAATAAATCGATCTACCTTGAATAGAATGAATGCCTATGCCACTTACCCTCCGGCTCGAAGCATTGTTGCATAACATCGTGGATGACCTCCTCGGAGTTTTCGATTGTATGCTCACGCCAAGTCTCACCATTATCGGAACGCAAAATGATAATCTCGCGCTCCTTGCCACGCAACGAAGCAAAATGTGGCACCTCCATGACCACGGGCCCAATGAATTTCGTCGAACAGGGACCGAGTTCCAGCACACGACTGGCCAAGGCCTCCCCCTCCATCAGCTGAGGGGGATGCATGGTGCGTTGTGGCTTCACGTAACGACAAGTGACTCTTGTCGGCTGGCAAGTGGAGCGCGATGGAATAATCATGCGAACACCGCTGTGGCGACAGCCACGCATAGCACCACCACGGGCATCAACCAAGAAGGATACCAGGAAGCTCTTCCAGGTCAGCTTACGGCTGCAATACAAATAATGTTGATTAAATGAGGAAGACTACAAAAATTGAATGCTTACTAACCCCACGTGAGGCGGTTCGTCATGCACCCCACCCCCGTTGGCTATGTAGACACCATCAACGGTGGCCTTAGGGGAGCTGCCATAGACCTGGGCCTTATGCGGACTAATGATCTCCTCACCAATGGTTGGAGGCACACCGCTGGCATATTCGGTGCTTTGGGTCATGCGATTGGAGTCCATGCGCTCGTCGCGTGTCACATCAATGGGTAGGGAGTCATCGCCTAAGGATTTCATTTCATCAACGGTCAAATAACGATAAGGTTGATCGGATAGCATATTGTCTTCGCCTGGGATTTGTTTTTATTTAAATTCGATTTTTGTTCATTTTTGTTATTTTTGGTTTTTTAGTTTTGGTTTCGATGCGTTGCACATTCCAGCGCAAGTCAATTAAGCACAAGACAGTCCAATTGGCCATATAGCGTGTTGTTGTAGTTGTTGTTATTGTTGCATGATGATAGTGTTGCAATTATTGTTGATATTGTTGTTATTTTTGTTGTTGTTCGTATTATTTGTTGCAGTTGATGAGAGCGCAGTGCAGGTTTTAGTTTTTTAATTTTCGATTTTCGATTTTGTTTTTGGTGTTGCATTGAAAATAGAAGAATGCAAATGAGTTTGTTTTTAGTTCACAAATTTCGTTTAAATTTCATGCATAGTTAGTAGCTTAAACTCAGAGACATATTATTAATTACATATGTACTTATGTATACGTGTATATATGTATATGGATGAGCAGTAGTTTTGGGGGCAAGATTCAAAAAAAACATATTTTATATTATATTTATAGGAATTATTATAGACATATATTAATAATAGTAGTAATATTAAATACGAGTACGTAGATGGGTGGGTACATACATTTCTATATTGAAAAGTCATGCCATATTTAAATGTGTGCTACGAGCATATATGTGTTTGTATATTATTTCAGGGTGAGAACACCGACACTGAAACCAAAACAAATAACTCAACTGGATACTGTAATCCGACTTTTCTCATAAATGCCGACGCCGACACCGATCGGCATGACCGCCAAGAACTCTAACGCTTTATATACATACATAGAATAATACGACGATGTACCAATAAGGCACCATTAATTGTGGAGACCAAAAAAACAAAGCAAACATCAAGAATTTGTACGAGGGTCGATTAATAAGTATACGTGCTTGAAGACTGTATGAAGACTGAATGTTTCTAATGCCAATAACATCGTGAATTCTAGTCTAATTTGTCAGCTTTAACCAAAAATTAAAATGTGAAAGAACTATATAGAACCGTAATTGATATGGGTTGTGCATGAACAAATATTAGTCTCTTAGGATATAGAAAGATAGCTCTATGGCATAACAGACGTGTCACTACACTCCAATTTCATATTAGTTTTCTGCTTCGATCTAACCTCTAGCTGGATTTAAACCACTCCATAAGCGTTAAGCCTGTTGCATGTAAAAATATATTTTTTGATCATTAAGTTGCTAAACCTAACTCCTTATTCTCTGATTTATATTTATAGCGGTCGAGTACAACCCACAGTGCGTATACGTATCAACTGTTCATCGTCCGTAAGTCGGAATTAGAATTATAATTCAATCTACAATCATACTTTATTATACTTATTCCACTAAAAGACAGTCCGATTGTTGTCTAACCTAGCTTTCACATTTTTGTAGTTCAAACCGAAATAAAGAATTTAAAAATCGTAATTTGGAAGATTCCCAGCACGACTATATATTTATCGATCCCCGTAAAGTATTTAGGTGCGCTGTTACCATATTTTATGATATAAAACAGCGCTCGGTTTGTGTACAACAACGTTTAAGAAAGTACTTTATACATTTAGAGTACAATACGGATATATGTAGGTATGCATAGGCCTTATAAAGCGCAATACATTTGGGTGAATAGAATTTCAACAATTTTGCTGATTTACAGATCGCACAGCCAATTATGGGGCACTTTATAACGGTCATGTGTTAAGCATACGCCTTGAGACTTACTAGAGACATAAAGATTCTCCCCCTGGTAATACGGTAGATAGACGTGTATATCTTGCCTGTGACGGTCACCACTAATGCCATAGCATGTGTCCAATTCCGAATTTGTGTCACCTAACGACACAAGCGAGAGTACACTTAATTCACTTAAAAATTAGACGATGGGTACAGGTACATATAGGTATGTATATATATCACATATCATGTACATACATCATATACATACTAAAATTATTTGAATGGTTTGTTAGTATTTGTGCTGGTGGTTGGCTTTCTAGCATGGCGATATGTGTGTGTATTTATGTGCATAGATGTGTGTAATAAAGTAATGAAGTTGAAAGCAACAAATCTATACATACCGCCCTCCTCCTCCGAGTCCGACATGAACGACTCGTGCATAGCTTCGGGAGCAACCACGCGATATTTCTCCTCCGTCTGCGCAGGCGCGGCGGCAGCTTCATCCTCTTTGGTGATCGATTTCAGCGAGTCCAAGACACTAATGTAGCCCAACTTGCGTGCAATATGCAATGGGGTCTGCCCATTTACAGTCTGAGCATTGGCATTGGCCTTGTGCTCCAACAGGAGGTTAACAATGTGGCAATGGCCCTGCTGTGCTGTCTGATGGAGTGGCGTGTAACCAATCGAAGTGGCGGCATCCACATTGGCGCCATTCTGCAGCAAGAAGCGCACCATATTGGCCTGGCCGAAGTGAGAGGCCACATGGAGTGGAGTGTAGCCAGCCTTGGTAGCCATGTCGATGTTGGCTCCATTGCGCTGCAAGATCTCCGCCACATTCACATTGTCCTCCTGGGCGCAGAGATGCATGGGTGTGAGTCCATTCTTGGCCGGATGATTGACGGCTGCTTTGTGCTCGATCAGTAAATTGGAGATCTCAGCATGGCCCTCCTGGCTGCTCAAATGCAAGGGCGTGAAGCCAGCCTTGCTCTCGGCATTGGCCTGGGCGCCATACTCCAGTAATGTTGTGGCAATATCCATTTGATTCTTGCGCGCCGCAATATGCAACGGAGTGTGTCCATTTTTGGCCGTGGCATGTGGACTGGCGCCCTTCTCGAGCAGCAATAGCGCCACATTCTGGTTGTTATAATGACAGGCGACATGCAGCGGAGTCACCCCATTCTTGCCCTGGGCATCCACATCCGCCTCCTTCTGCAGCAGCAGCTGTGCCACCTTTATGTGACCATACTTGGCGGTCAGGTGCAGTGGAGTGAAGCCCTTCTTTGTGGCAGCATCCAAGGCGGCTCCATTCTCAATTAGCACAGCAGCAACCTGTTTGAAAATGCAGAGATATTTACAAAATTAATACATGTCTTGAAGATCTGAATGAGCTTATAATGAGCTACATGTGGTGGCCTGCTAACGGAACAGAACTTGTGCGGCGCCCCCAGACCGAGCAGCGCTCTCCAGGGCCACGCCTTTGGCAAAAAGCCTTTGCCATGGCGGTCTGTGACAGTCGCAAGCCAAGCGCCCCACATTAAGCCCCCCGGTAGTGTGTTGTAGGGCGGATGTGTTCGACCTTGTGCTTGACAGTGTACACTAAGGATGTTGTGTGAAATAAATAATGTTGTGCTACAAAAACATACATATATGAAGAAAAAATCAATATAAAATTAATAATATACATAACATTTATTATCGATCAACAGAAAATACAAAATAACAAATACACCATTAAACAAACAATAAAGTCGACAATAATACTCGATGCATTACAAGAAATAAAACGTCGTAGAACAAAGAGTATGTCGTCTTCGAATTGATCAAAGCTATACCCTTCACAAAAAACATCAACGAGTTCGCTTCAAAGCCTAAAAGGGTACTTTTCCTGTTCTTTTTTAAAAAACAAACCTATGCTAAGGCAGCTATATAGTATTTGTATATTATCTTAATTCGATCTGACATAAACTTTGGAAGATAATTGCACTTTTCATTATCGATACAGACACCTACACACAATTGTTATTTAAAGATTATTTTTAGCGTAGAATTTTTTCTGATCCGATTTGGTGGTATGTAGTTATTATAACTATCGCAATTTATTAAATTTAAAACAAGATATTCTACAAATTAAGTGGTATTTTCTAATATTTCGCCATTACATATAATGGTTTGATCCGACTGGCTTCTACATACTCTTACTATACCTGACTGCACGAATAAAAAGTCTACATACATTCAAACGGACGGACAAACAGCTAGTCGTGCTGATATAATTAGTTAATTAATTATACGCCTTCTTTATGGCCTACCACAAATATCAGACTATTGTTTTGTGAAGGGTTGTAATCACTATAAATTAAAATTAAAATTATAACTTAAGCACAAAAATAAAAGTAAATTAAAGTAAAAATATATAAGATCTCAAATGAAAAACTCTTGGTGTCGTATCCAGAATAACTGCATCAGATAGACGGTGTCGATGTGATCCGTAATCTTTTTGGCAATCAATTCTTTTACCTCATCCTGGCCCTCCTTGGCAGCAATATGCAGAGCCGTGTACATGTCCTTGGTGGTGGCATCCACCTGGGCGCCATGTTGCAGCAGCAACATAACAATATCCACGTTGCCCAAACGCGAAGCAATGTGGAGAGGCGTCTGCTGCTCACGGGCCCGTGCATCCACCTGGGCACCATTGCGCAACAAAATGCGTATGATGTCAGTCTGCGGAATAAAAAGGAACAGGAAGCATTAGTTAGATGGATACAAAGGTTTCACATTCTTCCAGTTAATCTACCTGATTGGCGCGTGCGGCCAAATGTAATGGCGTCTCGCCACGGACAGTCGGCACATCGGGACTGGCATCGTGTTGGAGCAAGTAGATGACAATGTTCATGCAACCCATGAAGGCGGCGACATGCAGAGGCGTCAAGCCACTCTCTGTGGTGGCGCTTATGCTAGCACCATGGCGCAGCAGCAATTCCACAACCTTGATGCGATTCTTCTTGCAGGCAATGTGGAGTGGCGTGAACCCATTGAGAGCGCGGGCATTCGCGTCGGCATTGCGGTCGAGCAACAGCTTCGCGACACGCACATGTCCACAATGGGCGGCCACATGTAAGGCGGTCAGATAGTCAACGGTCACCTCATCGACGGGTGCACGGTGGTAGAGCAAAATGCGAGCCGCATCCACATGCTCGCCCTGAGCGGCCATATGCAAGGGAGCGAGACCATTCTTGGTCTTGGCGCTAATGGGTGCACCGCGCTCGAGGAGCATGTCGACGACCTGCTCGTGACCGGAACGTGCGGCGCAATGTAGGGGTGTGAGACCATCACGGGTCTTGGCCTCAATATTGCCACCCTTCTCCAACAGCAGCGACACCATGTTTGTCTTGCCCCACTTGGCGGCCACATGCAATGGACTGATGTTGTGCTTGGCCGAGTAGTTGACATCGGCGCCCTTCTGGATCAGCAAATTGGCAATATTCTGATTGCCATAGTGCGAGGCAATGTGCAAGGGTGTAAAGCCCGATTTGGAAGTTACGTCTGGATTATGATCGTTCTGCAAAGGGAATAAAAATTAGTTTATCTTTAAAAAGAAAAAAAAACGGATTGATTTCAACTTACGTCTAGCAGCAAAGTAGCCGCCTTGACATCGTCCTTTTTGGCAGCGATGTGCAGAGCGGGCAGACGAACCTTGCCGCGCGTATCGCTTTCTAGCAACACAGCGACAACTTTGTCATGTCCCTGCTGCATAGCCACTGCCAGCGGCGTGAAGCCATCCTCCGTAGCCAAGCTCTGATTGGCTCCATTGGAGAGCAGCAGCTTAACGACCGCATCGTGGTTCTCCTGCGCGGCCATATAGAGTGGCGTGAAGCCATTCTGCGACTGCACATTCACGGAGGCATTGTGCTGTAGCAGCAGCTTCACGACCTCCTCCTGACCGGCCAGCGACGCAATATGCAGCGCAGTGTTGCCCTTTTTGGTGGCACTGTCCACAATAGCACCGCGGCGCAGTAGCTCCGAGACGACGTGTATGTGTCCATCCTTGGAGGCCAAATGCAAGGCATTCAGACCGTTCTGTGGGAAAGACAGATATACAAGTACGAGTATATTAGTAAATTATTTATTATATTTATGCATAATGATTTAACACTGATCGGCGTTGATAGGTTCAAAAATATTTCATAAATCTTTCCATGATTGGCTTACAGTCTGTATACCGAAATGACTGAATGAATAGAATTAATAAAGCCAAAGAATAGTTTATTTTTCTAAATCACTATTATTTACTCTAAACAAAACTAAACTAAAATTAAAAAAATGTATTCTATTTATGGTATCTACAAATGCACTTTAGAGAAAATAATTTAAATAATTTTCGTTACATGTAAGTATTTGCTAAAAAATGAAACTCTTACTGCAGCCCACAACATGTCCGATAAGGAAAATCTGTCATTGTTTTTACTATATAGTTCACCAGAGAATAGAAATACTATTTCTTGATTTTTTCAATAAGTAGTTTTTAAATGCACTAAAAAGTCTTAAATGATTTTGAATGGCTCTATTTTCTTTCAATGGAAATTTCTATTAAATTTATTCTTTTTTTTCTTACTGAAATCAAATCAAATGAACATATATATATGAACACATATAGCAGTTATTGTCGTTTTAGTAGAGTCATTTAAGTTCATTATTAAGCAACATTTAATTCAAAGTTTAGACATGTTTTTAAACAGGACTCAGTGGTTAATCTTATATATTCACGAATCAAATAACAGAGATATTTTATAATTTATTATTTTAAAATATTGCTGTCATATATATTTATATACTTATTTCTGTTTACTCACCGCATTGCTGGTGTTGATGTCAATATTGTTCTTCAAATGTTCCAATACGCGATCGAGATGCCCAGCTCGTGCGGCACGCAAAAACGAGGTATTGCCATCACCCTGTAAATCAAAAGTTGCGTGTCAGCTGAATATTTATCAAGTGTAACATCTATTGATTGGTTTTATTTTTAGTAAACGCCCTTTAAGAGCATTAATGGAACAAGTGCAGCTGTCTCAAATAAGGTGCAACCATTTATCAACGACCCAAAGTAGGCTACACTTCATTTACATATAGTCATATGTATGTACATGTATATAGGTATATAAGTATGTATCCGTTCAAGTTCAAGTTGCCGCGCCTGCCTAGCAACGGTCAAGGCAAGGGGTCACTTTTCAAGGGGGCTGTCGCAGGTGCAAAGCGCTTTTATTGCCTCCACCCACAAACAATTGTATACGCTATGCACTTTGTTTATTGTTTTTTTTTCGCTCTTGTCATTTCCGCCTGAGTGCCTTCGATTCGATTTCGAAAATGACGTCATGCCTGATGCCAACAAATGCAGCTGGAAAGCGGCATTTTCGCACTGGAACTGACAAAATTCGTACTTCGAAACAGAAGTGACCGCAACTCAGACTTCAAACATCAGACATCGGGCAGACCCCGACCCGCTTCCTGTGTCATCGCCACCGCTACCGCCTGAAAGACTGAGAGTCTGCCCTGCCTTTCAGGTTCTTGTTGTTTGCACAAATAACACCCCACAATACTCCTCAGAAGCTGTTGCAGTACGAAGGCATGCGTTCGCCCAACGCCCTGCCGAGCAAATACGGAAGCGAGTCAGGTTCCTTTTCACCCAAACTCATTTCATATGCCTTCAGCATACATACAGAAAACAGAAAGGCTCTATAGGATGGCGATGGTGTCGAGCTTCCTTGTTTGCTCAACTCAATGGAGGCCAAAGCCTTCAGACATGTTCAAAGTTCAAAGGTACTTTCTTGTACATATTGTATAACAAGCTCAAGTTGTGCAAATTGTGCGCTTGAAAATCTCAGCTCGACTGCTACTTCAAGTAGATTTGGGCACATTGTTTGCTTTGACCCTCTATATGCTAAATGATTCTGATGAGTGTTAACATGTGCTGAAGGGGTTCAAGTTTAGATCGAGTTGCAAATTGCAGCACTTGAGTTAGAGTTGCAGTTGCAGTTGCAGCTTCAACTTCAGGTATGCCTCAAATATGTAACAGTAGCTGCAAAAAAATGACTCATATTATGGATTTTCTCTCTCTAACTTGGCACAAGGCACTAATGTCGCATGTCATCATTAAATTTAACCTAAATCTCGATTGTACTCTACAAGCGCACGCACTATGCTTTTTTCACTTCAGCGGCCCCCAAAAACAACCACACCCAATCGCATTTAGAGCGACTACTTCCTAAGTGGGACGTACAATAATACCTAATTGCGTATGCAAGCAATGCTATTTATAGTACATTGTCCTATTAAATGACAAACTATCTGCGCACACACACACACACAAGCTAGTATTTTAATTCCTGCAACGCCCACGATTTAATTCAATGTGAAGGAAGGCGACTAAGAAAAATCAATAAAATGTTTGTAAGTCATCAACAAAATGGGTGCGACCTCAAGGTCTTTGTCTCAGCAAAAGAGGCTAAAGACACTCAAAGAGGCGACCAGAAACTAAGATCGGATTTATTCATTAATTTATATTTATACAAAACTGACTGCTTCAGATTTCATTTAAGAAGCGGCCGCAACTTGCAGTCAGACAATGAAAAATCAATAATTTGCAAAATGGACGCCAATATGGCTGCCGCCACACAGTCGCCAACAAAAGTTCCTGTACGCCTGAAAATTCATTTTCAAAATACTCGTAATTACCTGCGCTCCATTTTCGGTAACCATTTTGTGTTTAATTTAAGGAAACTGCACAAAACGTCTGCCGAAATTTTCTACGTTATGTATCTAGTATAGAAAAATTGTGTAAGCGGCGTTCGCGAATGTCGTCACTACGGCTTAGTCATACATATTTTTTATTTTCACTGTGCAAACGCGTTTTTTTTTTCGCTTTTTTCGAGATTTATTTTATTTTTGCTTCGCGACTTTTGTGCAATAATTCGTTAAATCTAAGCAACTTCCTCGACTTTTCATTAAATTCAAATGCACTTGTATTGATTTTTCCTTAGATTTTTACATAAGACTGTGCATGTGTGCGAGGGTGTGTGTTTTTGTGTGTACTCATATATAGTGTCTGTGTGTCCGTGTGTTCGTGTGTGCGTGTGTCAGTGTGTATGTGTGCGTGTGCCTGTGTCTCTGATTGGTTTCCTTTTTGTTTCACACAGTCGCTTCAATTCACACGCTTAGGAGCGGACAACTTTGCTGCCGTTTTCTTCAATGTTCAACTCCAGACTGGATGCGTTCGCCAAATGAAAAGTCCTACCAGCCGTGGTTGAAATTTTTCGGCAGGATTTTCGAAGGACCTGCGCACTTTCGTATTCCAATTGGAATTGCGGTGCGGCATGCCCCGAGCATGTGCGCCTGCGTCTCACCCAAGGGGTGGGTTTCTCTAGACCAGACCACCAGCGAGCTGACAGCGACACGTGTGTTTTGTTTATGTTTTCAATGCACGTGCTACTCACAATTTAAGTACTGCATACATGTATGTATTATAATACGTGGCTTGATAAATGACTAACAAGACTGCCGGAAGTTCCAGTTAGGATTACAATACGTTATGTGTTCATTTCGATTTATTAACATTAATTTAGTGGAAGTATAAGTATAAGGGAATGCTATAATCGACTCTGAAAAAATAAATATTAAAAATGGTTTTTAAAATACAATAAATTAATGGAAATATAAGATTGTAAAACAAGCAAGCAGCAGCAACAACTACATGACAAAAGTTATATTTACGGATACAAGTATAACATTCTTTATCTCTTCATCGAAAAGGAGCTAAACTTGTTCCTTCGCAGCCTTGAGAGAAAATGTAGACCAGGTTTCTAAATTACTTGCTTCCATACAAAGACAAAGAATGTACAAAAATTCATTTCTGTGTAATAAACCCTTATGTACAGGGAATGATATGTAGCTTTAAAGTTGTTCATCAATTTGCTATTAAAAAGACCATGAGTAAGATCCGATGATAGCTAGAAGCTCGTTTTTAAAAAAACCAAAACTTGATAGGTCAATAGTATCAAAGAGAAGTACCATCATAGTAATCATTAATTACTATTAGTCCTAATTGAGAACACATGAACGCTTAGGTCACGAGCGTAAAGATCTAATTTGTAGAATCTAATTTGTAATGCTATTTTTTTTAATTCCTGAATAATCTAAGCTCACAATAATTGAAAAGAACATAAATTACAATGCATTTTAAAGACGATTCCAAAAATATTATAAAATATTATAAACTTACTCCTCATAAGGAAGTCAAAAATATCCTTTTTATATTATGCAACCAACGGGTAAAATAATTGTGCGAATGTATGTAACACACAAAAACAGGGATATCTATTAAAATGTATTATTATTTAATTATAATTTGGGTTGGAGGCGAATAATGTTAATAGCATGTTGTTAATGGCATGGCTACCCTAAGTGTGAATTGTTTAACAACGTAAGTTTCATGTCCAATTTTAACTTAGAACTTAGAAAATATTGTTCTCAATTTTAAAATTTATTTATTTATTTTCTATTTTGTCAATTTAACCATTTTAATAGGAACCTCTAATTATATGCTATAGTACTGACTGTCTGATCTACATAGATATTCGCTCTGGACACAAGATTTCCCACTTTCATGAGAATCTCCACGAACAGGTGTTTTTAGAAAGTTAAATTAGTAAGCTAAGAAAACTCATGAGAGAACTCAATAGTGAGTTAATAGTTCATCTGTCCTTAAATATTAAACTGTGAAAAGCTACTAAATGTAATTTTAAAAGATACGAAAAATAAATGCTTAATGAATAATTCCCTAATTAAAATAAAAAAATACTAGGAATTATTTTATAACTTAATGTTAAGAGAATTTATCTTTAAGCCTTTAAGAAACTAATCATCCTTGCTGTCTATTTTTCTAATGTTCTTTCATTTTTGAACTGTGTATATTTCGAGAGCGTCCATCAGGCCACATATTTTCAAAATATAAAAGTTTTGCTCGGAATCTTTTATTAAGGACAGTCTGTTCATATTTGTCTTTCCAACTCGCACTTCCTCATATGTTAAATGTTTGTCCAGCAGTTAGCACATTAACAAATTAACTAAGCAAACACAAATAATGACCCTTAACAACTCCTACCCCTCTAGGCTTTGGAACTTTGTTATTTGAGCGTAAACAAAGTCAACGGAATCTACAGTTGGTTGCCTCTTCTAGGATGGGAATGGAATTCGCTCGCGTTCCATGATGAGCGCCCCCGAAGTGCGCAGCCGTCGAGCTCAGCTGGATTTTTGTTTACTTCCAGATTCGAATTGGACAAATCTAATTCGAAAATCACACCCTAACACCCAAAATGCGGTATCAGATGCGTATACGTGTATACGAGTGTGGCAGTCACGTTTTGACGACGTCAGTGAGGTAATGGAGGCACCAATTCTGTTCAGTACTAGCAAATTAGAGTATTGTCGGGTTGTTTTATTTGGTCTCGCAAATTAATGCAGTCACCAGAAGCAGGAACCCACCCCGTCACATTGAACGCGCTAGAGCTGCGATAGAAAGCCACCCCCTGGTTGGATAGTTGCAACATTAAATTGCATTCCAAATTGCAGCGTGACCAAGGAGAATTGTTAAGAATTTTATATATGTACATGTATAGTATAAAATGTGGCTGTGGCTATGGGTGTGGGTGTGTGAATCACGTTGCAGCTACTTACATAAAGAATGTTATGTGTATGCGGATGGGGATGTGGATGGGATATTGTGGCATGTGCATGCTCGATGGGTTGGCCTGCCCACGCACATTTTGAATTTAATTAAAGAGCTTGACATTTTAGGGGTTGTGTGCTGTTGTCTATAAGCCCCGTTCTGTCTTTATTGTATGCCCAAATATTTGTCAAAGGGGTCGCACTAACAAGGATATCGAATTCCGTGTGCTCGGTGCTCGTAAATGGCATGTTTGCATGCCATTTCGTATTAAAAATTTAGTTATTATATTTTCTTTTAAGGCAATTTCAGTTATTACCTGACGTGTCACAAAAACCACAACACAACCCAGCAGCAACAACAACGATAAGCAGAACAGAAAAAAGGAGTAGTTTGGGTAAATTATAGGCCTCTACAGCAGACGCTAGCTGCCCCAGCTGATTGCCCATATTCTTTACGACCTTAAAGAACGAACATAAATCCAACACGCCAAAACATGCCGTAAAAAGCTCTCCTACCTCTGGTATACATATATATTATATGGAGAGAGAGAGAGAGACAAGTCTGGGGTGGCAGTGCGTGGACCAATTATCGCTGTTTAGGAAAGTTCACTGCACCGAAGGCAAAACAATGGAGCTACACCGTCTGGCAAACGCATAAAAATAAATCAGAAAATCAAATTAACGTTTAAAAATTGCAGAATTTATTTCACAGTTCCGTGCCATTGAACATGATGTTGTTGTTTTATTTTTAGGCCACCTGCACACACAGAAGTTGGCCTACAAGTTGGCCAATTTGGCCAATTTATTTACACATTACATAAAACCAACCCACTTACCCCCAAACTCTGCAGGGAGGGAAAGCGTTTCTTCAAAGTCTCCATTTGATTGTGTTCGAGCAGAAAAAACACATTTAATTATGGGTAAATTAAATACGCGTATATACTTATAGTAGTGCGCGATATATAGGCACGATTTGACACGAGACGACAACACACAACAGACTGCGAACGATCTGAGTCGATTTCTAAATAAATTTTTTTCGTTTCTCCTACCGCTGGCCGCGAGCTACTGAATCGAAAATTGCGGATTGCGCGCGTGTTAATGTTTAGCGTTCAGAAGAGAAAATTGCCAATTTTCTATTTTTAAACAAACAACAGTTTTACAAGAGCTTTTCATTTTGCCACTGGGTATCTTCTAAACAATTCGCGTCTGTTTTTTAAAGCTTTCGAGCACAAAGTTAAGGATGCCTGTGGGACGCCACGACAAGCGTAAATTGATGAAGTCAGGAATTGTCGCTAATGCTGATAAGAAGACGGCAAGGACATGGACGCGCAGGATGACTCATTTAACATTTAGTTGTGTCGCCACAAGGATTACGATTGCGTCATTTCCTGGGCTGGGTGCTGAGTATACATTACATATATACATCTGCATATACATATATACTATTATAAAAAGTACATAGATACACACACACACAGGGACAACAGGGCCCGGTCTATGATGTAAGCCACTTAAAAAAAAAGTATGTAGATAAAAACTTAAAACTTGAAACTCACCGCACTCTGATGTCCTGTGGGGCAATGCTCATGTTTGTCGTGTTTGTCATGTTTGTCATGATGCTTATTATTGGCGGTGGTATTGGGATGGCCAGAATGAAAATGTTGATCGTATTGATGTTGGAAATAATCATAGTGTCCGGGTTGTTGGTGATCCGATGGTGGAGAGGCCAATTGTGAGGGCGGACTGTGCTTCACATGCGAGGACGAGGTCGAGTGATGAGCCTGCTTATGGTGCGAAGATTGCTGCTGCTGGTGATGTTGCTGATGATGTTGCTGCTGATGTTGCTGCTGATGATGTCCGTGCTGATGTTGATGATGATTGTGGGCAGTGGGTGGCGACGGCATATTATGGCCACTGTGCGGCAAATGCGATGAGTGCTGCACACCCACTTGATGGCCATGATGATGCGGCACATGGCCTTGAGAAGCCTCCATCAATGTGGGCTGTATGTGTGTCACAAATTGAGCCATGATGAGTAGCTCACACTTTTCTTTCTAAACTTTTTATCCCCACCAACAACTAAATGCTATAATATGGTGTTGCACTCAAAACACTATACAGGAATTTTTACGCGACCGTAAACCGATAATTCTTCAAAATTAGTTGTGTATGTTGTATGTGTTTCTTATATTTTATTTATTTTTTAAGGGCTTAGATAACGCTTATCCTTATCGTGCGCACTTAACACGTACGCCTTGCTTGGGCATACATATATGTATATATATACATTTTCCACATTTTGTATGGTATACTAAAACTGGGAGTGATGATGAATACAAGTGTAGCAAAAACAACACACATGCACACACAAACACATATACACTTTGCACTGTTGACGCGTCAACGGAGCGACAACGAAGTTGCCTAGCTGGGCTTCTGAGCGCGTGGACAACCTTTCCGCAGGAGCAATGTCAAATGACTAACTAAAGCCTAGGCGTATCGCGTCAAACCAAGCCAAGCAGGCAGCCAAGTCAAGGCACGACCAGGCAGCTGAAACTGGGATAGCCAGTCGCCTTAGATGCGTCGGGATTTTCACCTCTCTGCCAACACTTCGGCGCTTCGTTTGTCCGTCGTGTGCGCTTTTTCTGGGGGCCGTGGTGGGGTTGCGAAAAGTTTCAAAGGACTGCGGGTGCTGTGATACGTGCGATAATAACCCAGTTGGTGTGTTTGTTGTTGTGGTCTATTGCTGATAAGAGATGCGGGCGCATAAACACAACGACACTGATTTAATGCGCGACAGCTTTTTTTCGTTTATTTTGGTGTTTTTTCGGGTGTTGTTCATCTTGTTGTCCCATGGGCACGCTCTCACCACACCACTCAAAGAATGACAATGCCTATGCATATGTATATACATACGAGTACATATATGTGTAGGTATGTGAACATATTATGAAAATATTTTTAAACATATAAACAAAACAACCTTTAGTCTAAATTTAAAAGCCCTACAGCATACTTTTTCCAGCAGTTTAAAAATACTCCCCACAATAGCAGCCACAGTTGGGTGCGGGCTTTTGTGCGTTTGCTTATGTGTGTGTGTTTGTTTTCTTTTAAACTATACGTAAGCCCCGAGCTTTTGCAATTACGTTACGCAAAACATTAAAAGCTTTGTTTGCTTCCGTAGGCATGACTGAGCATTGTGGAGTCTTGAAAAGGGGGTGTGTGTCTCAAAAGAGTTAGAGAAAAAACAAACTGCAGATATTGTTCGAAAATGTATATATGTAAATGGGGCATTTTTATTTACTATTTAAATAAAGATAATTGAGTTTATATTTGAATATTTTTAGATAATTAAACATTTTTTTTTATGAATGTATAATGTACTTGTATGTATAATAAATCTCAATACAATTTTCATTGACCATAAATTTTTATATCTGAGTAATAAAAAAGGCCAATATTATAGTATCAGTAAAATTATATGTAATTTTAGTAATATTTAAATATGATTAGCTATCGAATTCGAACTATAAAAGTACGAAAATATATTGAGGAGGGTTAGCTCTATAATAATGATTTCATAATTTTTAAATAATTATTATTTCAATATGTACAAGAATTAAGTTAATATAATTACACAAAAGCCCAGATAAGATTTAAAGTATTTAATACAACTTCGAAAAACAAACTTTATATTAAATGTACCTTCTAAGCTTAAAAATCTTGGGTTCAAGCCACGTTTAAAATTATTTAAAAAGGGCTAGTATATTTTCTCGGCCAAGTAATACGGTTCTTATTTATAATAATCGTCCGATATTTATTAAATAACGATATACATATCTATATACACTTTGAAATAATTAATAAATAAATATACAAATTAAAGAACTATTAAAGAAATTGTTAAATTCCCTTTGTATGAGTATTAGAAAGTAAAATACAAGTATAAATTTACAGCTGATGCGTATCAGCTTCAAGCAAAACCCTTTCTTACTGAAAGCAATTTATCGGAGCGCGTGATCTAGGGTCAAGCAGATTTCAAAGGAGTAGCGCACAGAGGTTTCACGCTGGTCGACTTAATTTTTCTCGGATTGTTTTCGTCGCGTTCGTTGTCGCAGCTGCCAACACAGCGCTCAGAGTCCAATGTTCAGTTTCTGCTCTCGTTGCCGTCGTCGCTGGTTATGCAGCGTCACTGTCGGCGCCGGCCTCTCCATCGCATTTAGTGCACACGGCGAACCTGTTTGGATTTATTTCGCTCCGAGTTGGCAACGAGTGAGCAACACGACGACGACCTACTTAGAAACGACGAATATATTAAACGCATTTTCCTATCAACTCTTTTTTAAACAAATTGCACAGTTCTTTTTCTAATCGTACATATAGATATACATAAGTCGTTATATACGCAGCCCGATAGAAATGGCATTTTTGAATAAGGTAAGTGACCCGAGAAGGGTGCAAATATGATGCGAAAAAGCGAAAGCACACGTGACGTCAGCAACTGTTGATCACCATTAAAATAATACAAACAATAGAATAAAATCGGTTGAGCGTTATCTATTTTCGCATCTGTACTTTGAACCCTCATTGGACTTGAAATCAAAGTCGTTTGTCTGCGCAAAACAACACAGGAATGTGTTTATTAATGATCTCGATCATGTTCTTAGCTCGCCGCCCCCGCCCTACGCCAATTGGCTAGCCGATCATATGCCGGCGTCTCGCCTGTCTCGTCAACAGGCACCTCCTTTGCCCTCACCGAGGAGCAGCAGCAGTTTCAGGAGATAGCCCGAAAATTCACACGTGAGGAAATTATTCCAGTCGCCGCCCAACATGATAAAACCGGCGAGTATCCCTGGGATATTGTGAAGAAGGCGTGGTCGTTGGGTTTAATGAACAATCATATACCCCAGGAAATTGGTGGTCTCGAGCTGGATGTGTTCACCAGCTGCCTGACTGCAGAGGAGCTCGCATATGGCTGTACGGGTATTATGACAGCCCTGGAGGCTAGCAGCTTAGGCGTAAGTCCCGAGATCTTAACCTGCCTCTCACTTGACCTTTCAGTAATGATTTATTTAATTGCAGCAAACTCCCGTCATCTTGTCGGGCAACAAGGAACAGAAGAAAAAGTACTTAGGGCGCCTGCTAGAAGAGCCGCTGGTCGCTGCCTACGGTGTCACAGAGCCGGGCGCCGGCTCCGATGTAGCGGGTATTAAAACGCGCGCCGAAAAGAAAGGTGACGAGTACATTATCAACGGCCAGAAAATGTGGATCACCAACGGTGGCGTAGCCAACTGGTACTTTGTGCTAGCCCGCACCAATCCCGATCCAAAGTGCCCGCCCAGCAAGGCCTTCACCGGCTTCATCGTCGAGCGTGATACGCCCGGTTTGACGCCCGGCCGTAAAGAAATCAACATGGGACAACGCGCTTCCGACACGCGTGGCATCACCTTCGAGGATGTGCGCGTCCCCAAGGAAAATGTGCTAATTGGCGAGGGTGCTGGTTTCAAAATTGCCATGGGCACCTTCGACAAGACCCGCCCACCAGTTGCCGCAGGCGCCGTTGGTCTCGCCCAGCGTTGTCTCGACGAAGCGCTCAAATACGCACTGGAACGTAAAACTTTCGGCGTGCCCATTGCCTACCACCAGGCTGTGCAATTCATGCTGGCTGATATGGCCATTGGTGTGGAGACAAGTCGACTGGCGTGGCGGTTGTCGGCGTGGGAGATCGATCAGGGACGCCGCAACAGCTATTATGCGTCCATTGCCAAGTGCCATGCGGCCGATGTGGCAAATAAGATTGCATCCGATGCGGTGCAAATCTTTGGCGGCAATGGCTTCAATAGTGAATATCCCGTTGAGAAACTGATGCGCGACGCTAAGATCTATCAGATCTATGAGGGAACTTCTCAAATTCAACGTCTTATCATCTCCAGAAACATGTTCGAGCAGGCCAAGAGCAGCGCTGCCTAAATAAGTCACACTTAGTAGAATCTGTAGTGAATTGTGAAAAGTCAACGAGTGCTCATCCTCATCATAGACCTCAAGTATGAAGAAAACGTGAAGTTAAATTCATTAAATAAAGTATCTTTAAGTTAAGCTGGCTTAGTATTATTGCCACATTTCTATCGGGTGCGGGATTCAAGGAATCTTTCCAACAAAAAAAATGGGTCAATCTGAAAAACGCACAAGCATATTTAATCGCTTTCAAACGCTTGCTGATTAGATAGTATATGGCCTGGGGCCTGCCCCTATGCCTTTGAACAAATGTAGATAGTCTCTGTTTATTTTTCAGATAGACAAGACAAGACATTACTTATGAAACAAACACAAAGAAACAGGGACGAAAAAAAATAAAAGTTCTTACTCTAAGACCGCTTTAAATCCACCTCATCTATATACATCTTGACGAGTGTCTTATGTGCCAAAATTTTAGCTTTCTCGCCCCATTGCGTTTCCCAAATGGAACGTAATGTTTCTACAGGTCCAGGTAGGCGCAGTACCTGTTCGTCTACTGACAGCTCCAAGTGTTTGGGTAGTTGTTTCTGTTGCTCCAGTTTCAGCAAACGCACATCATCCAGCAAGCTTTTACAATTCACAGCCAATAGATCACGAATCTGCGGCAATTCATCCAATATATAGCCGAATGTAACACCACCCAACTTTTCATTATCACTGATATCCAGCCACTGTAACTCTTTGGCCTTGATGAGATGCTGTGCAATCTTATAAAAGTGCGCATCATTTAATCCGCAACCATTGAGGTCGAGACGGTAAAACTTCTCGCAAGTACCATTTTCCAGGAGCTTCACAATGTGCTCGCCGAGCGCAAAGCCACTTTGCTCGTCCAGTGGCCAGCGAACATAGCTTAAGTTTAAATGCTTTAGTCGACAACTATTTAAACGCTCACTCAGCATGCGTACGCTCTCTAGAGTTAACTGATTGAAACTGATGTCGAAGCTGGATAGTTCTGTGTAACCCAAATCGTAATCCCCAAGGTCTGTGATCTCACACTGCGATAGCTCCAACATCCGCAACGGCCGTCCAGAGGCACTGGCCCCGGCACAAAACTTGTGCAGAGTGGGAAGGCAGCTGTTGCCCAAAAGATTTTGACTGAGACATAGTTCTTCAAGGTGTTCCAACTTCTCAATGCCTTTACAGCAGAGCAATGCTTCCAGTCCCAGATTAGTGATGCCATTACATTTAAGGCGCAGTATCTTCAATTTCTGCATCGTGGGCAACGTCTTAGCTAATTCCTTACACCCTTCGTCTCTAATAAAGTTCAAAGAAAGATCCAGCTCTGTGAGACATGACTGACGATACAGGGCCCTGAACAGTGGTTCCATTTGTGGGGCACGCAGCCATTGACTAGTAAGGACTAGCGATTGTTCGTTCTGGGCGGCTTCCTCCAATATCCGTTTAATTTTGTCGTTAAGCGCTGTCACAAAGGAAAATTTCTTAATAAGCTCATTTGGTACAATATTAGCAGCACAAGGATTATAACCTTCAGCCTCACCTTAAAATATTTGTTCTGTTTTTGTAATATTTAGAGCAATTATTAAGGGAAGTAGTTGAAAACTTAATAGTGAGGATATATTCTAACTTTCTCCATCCACAATTCAGTTGAATTCATTCAGACGAATAGAACACGGACGGGCAAACGAACATCTCATTATGCTAGAGCATGCGTGATCGTGAAAGGCAAACAAAAATCCCCAAAAACAATATTGTGACAGAAACTTATACTCGTAAATGTGCGTGATCCTGAAAGGATTATTGTTTTCTTTCTAAATAATACTTCTGAAAATTATAAATCAAAACCCTTCCACCACCCCTTTTTCCAGAAACGTCGGAAATCCCATCATAATATAAGCCATCACTGCCTTACGTGTTTTTAATTGATGACAAAACTCCTCGTAGCGTTGGGTCAACGGTGAAATTTTCCATTCTAATACGGTGGCCATTATCACATTCTGTTCGAGGGCAACAGTCACAAAATCGGAATCTTCGTAAGCAAATCCATCGCTTGTTTTCAGCCTTAACATAGGGAATATACCCCTTAATCTGGGAAAGAAAAATAGGTATATTCGAAAGATCGTTTGAAAAAACAATGCCTTACTTGTAATAACGTCTGCTCGTCTCCTCGGCCAACCAACGCATATTAATGTCTGGCAATTTTTTGCGTTCGACAGGCACTAGTAGCAGCTCATCCTCCACCTTAATCTTGAATGAGATTGTGGTAGCCTGCACAGGCGTGGCTTGTAATTTTATTGGAGATGACTTGGCGGGCGATATGAGCAGTTGTATGGCTGCGGTAGTGGAATCCGGTTCCACTGTCCGTAAACTAACCACGGAGTTGCCATCCAATGAGTCCTCCCCACTACCCAATGGACTTTCGCTGCGAAAACGACTGAAACCACTATCAAGCAGCGTAGTCTGCTGTTTGGGTTTGTGACTAGCATTTGAATTGTTGCTACTTATGCTGGAGGAACGGGATAGCGTCAGTTTACGGGCCTGTTTTTGTCGTTGTTTTAATGTGGCACCATCCATTAACATTTGTAAAGAATCCGGCGTTTCTAATGGCGAATTAAGCTCCATTTCCCAACCTGGCGCTGAGATTGGAAAATCATTCACATTCTCTTTAGATGTGTCTGTAACGGGACGACTGTTGATGGTGCCAGAATTGTAGCGCTTCCTTTTGCGCTCTGGTCCAAGGTCATCAATCAACCAATTGTCCGCATCAACTTCATCCTCGTTCATTAATGCATTTCGCTTTTGCTTGGAATTACTAGTGGAACTACTGGGCGCATCATAGGCAGCATCGTAGCTGCTGGGAACACGATTTGGATGCTTTAGATGTGCCATAACGTTGCGGTATTCTTTGCTAGCGCTTTCCTGCCGTGGACTAGGCCTGGACTTGTCCATGTCATTCTCACTGTAGTCAGAATGATTGCGTGGACTTGATCTGCCACCGGTCATGTTATTCCCACTGTTGCCAACATGATTGTGTGACCGTGATCGAATTCGTCCATGGGGCAATAGTTCATCATTTTCAGTGTCATCATCACCATCATTCGAAACATCATCATCGTCATTATCGGATGCAATGGATCGCCTGTTTTTGCGTTGGACATTAGCGTTGGTTAGTGGCAGAGCATTCTTTTCACTGCATATTCCTACTTTCGAGAGCGTGTTGAGCAGGGAGTTACGCAGCGCAGCATACTGAGCCTGTTCGCCATCTATCAGTTGAGCGGTTAAACGCCACTTATCCAGACCCTGAATACACGTCTCGCCATAGTCTGTTTTGACGGTGGCATCGGCACCGCGTTCCAGCAACAGCTCAGCGACCTCGAGGTAACCATTAGCACAAGCATCGTAAAGTGGTGTGATGCCATCGCAGCTAGTACCGCCCTTATCATTAATAGCCGCTGCAGCGCCTTTATCCAGCAGTAGCTCAACAATATCACGGTAGCCATGGTTACAGGCTTCGTGCAGTGGCAGCCAGCCGGCATGATCGCGGACGTTAACCGTGTGACCCTGATCGATTAGGCGACGCGCCAGCTCCAAATTGCCAGCTATGCATGCCTGATGCAGTTGCGTCTCACCCTTGTTGTTGCGCTTAATTGTGAGTGTGCGGCTGCCACGTGTGGTGCGCTGTGGACGCGGCTTTTCACTTTCATCCAAATCACTGGCATCTAAATCTGTGAGCGAATCCAGACAGACATCGTCACCCCAGTCAGGCGTATTGTGTTGCATTGCAGCCACTTCTGGTCCACCATCGCTGTCCTCCTCCTCTTCATCATCTTCTTCTGCGGATAAGTCTATGCCTTTTGCCTTGGCTTCAGCTTCAAGATTTTCAGCTAATACATCCATACCATGCTTCAGTTCTAGCCTTTTCAATCTTACCATCGCAATTTTCTCAAGCTTAGCCTGAGAATCTCCAGCCTTAGATGCCTGTCGCAAGGCCTTTTGATAGATATCGTGGATGGTCCAGAAAGATTGCGATTGCTGCTCACAGATTTCAGCAATGCTGCATAGCGTTGTGAAGGCTTCTGAGGGCACATCCTGATTCAGCTCAAACTCCTTCCATAAATACTCCAATGCTTTATCGTATTGTTTGTTATCTTTGTATGTTTGATAGAGACTCACATAAATGGGCACCAGACTCTTGCCAGTCTCTGCATTTAATTCGGCATTTTCTAGCATTTTCTGATAATACGAAAGCGCCTTTGCGTAGTTTTGCAGATGACAACAACCGTCACCCAATTTCTCATACAGATCCTTGAGCTTGCCATAGTCCACGGAACTCGTTACCACCAACTCATCCAAAGTTTGACAAATCTTGACCACAACGCGCAAAATACGCTCAATTGTGGCGCGATCGTTCTCATCGGGTGTGTGTTTCTTGTAGGCTTTAGTAAGGATCTGCTTAACACTGGCAAAATCGCCCACCTTTATTAAAATCTCCGATTTGGTGATCAAAGCTTCGCATATTTTCTTCACCTTGTTTGGCAAGCGCTTCGCAACTTCCAGTGCCAAGTTACAATAGCGCAGAGCTGACACTGCATCGTTCTTTTTGTAATGATAAAGCAGACTCATCGAAATGTAACACAAATAGCTTAGCTCGAATAGGTCATTGGTTTTGCTTATTTTGATCGCTTTCTCTATGTACTCAATAGACGACTCGAATGCCTCCATATGCTCTTTCACCACACCAATATTAAGATAGCAGCGCGCTTGCATGTCAAACTGCTCCACTTTCGAAATTTGCCCAGTCAGCCTGCAAAGCCAATGCGGTTTAATATACACATATTTATATTTTGATTGTTAAATTTACTCTTTGATCAACAGCAGACTGCGTAAAAAACTCTTTTCCGCCATCCTTAGCTGTTCCATGGCCCCTGAGGCAGTAGTCTCCGTCAAGCTCTGTCCATGCAGCAGGTGCACACGACCCAAAGTCGCATATGCGCGTTGCTGTTCCACTTTGTTTTCCAGGCTTTTTGATATCTCTGAAACAACATTTAAATGTAAATAATTCTTCCAAACCTGTTATTAAATTTCTTACTTAGATAGTCGTTGATGTGATCCTTAGCCGCATCATATTCACACAACAGCATAAACATTTCACCCACCATGCGCTTGGCCTTAGCCGTTTCCAGTTCCTTGCCCATGCTCGCGTATATTGACGCCTCTTCCTTGTATTCCTTGACCGCTTCATTATATTTACCCTGCTGATTAAAGTGATCCCCTAGTTGGTTACAAGAGATCGCTAGTTGCTCACGGTTTCCATCAATGCGCGCCTTCTCTTTGCGTTTGATGTAGCGCTTCTCATCCATTTTTGCCGACTGCCTAACTCAACCACATACATAACTAGAACGCACAAATTAACGAATCAACACAATTTCGCCAGCAATACATATTTGTTGTTTACTTTCGGCGCGTAAACCAAGTCGGCTGCACTCATGTGGCATCACTATGTCACATATGTGTGGCAACAGTGCACACTCGCCACCATTGGCTATCGATGAATCGATATTTTTTACGCCGACAGTTTCCCGGTAGAGACAGGATTTTTTCGCTCTGCAATTAAGGTGTATAATTTCAGTTAAATACGGTTAACGTCTGCAAAATATATGGAAAACTACTGCAACTTCAAACCCTAATGAAAGTAAGTATGGGTACATGTTTTTCTTAACGTAGATAGTGTCCTAGAAATCTTCGTCTTCAGAAAAAATCGATAGAGAAAAATGGCGAAATGACGTGACTAAAAAGCATTTTCTTTACAGTCATAAATATACTATTACAGGAAGGCAGAAATAAATCAGTACAAGCATAATTGAAATAACAAATATTAATATCGACCTCCGAAGATAATCTTAAGGTAAGCGCAGTCATTGTGTGTACAGCGCCCTGTGGGTGAGTAGTTTTCAATAGAAATTTTGCTTCTAGTGCAGTTTAGTGACAATGGCGAACAACAACTACGCCGGGTTCAACTACGGCGGCACTCAATACAATACGGGCCAAGTCTCCTATCCTGCCGTTACCAATGCTACGTATGCGAATGCGGCAGCCTATCAAAATGCTGCTGTTGCTGCTGGCCAGGGTGGCTATGCAGCGGCCGGTGCTGGAGCAGGCGGCGGATATGGAGGTTATGGTGATTATAGAACCGCTATGCAGTCATACGACGCCACCAAGACATTTTATCAACAAGCACCGGCCAGCTACAACACGGCGTCAGCAGCTGCAGTAAGCAAGACCCACTACTCTGCGCCACCTGTTAAAAATCCGAACTCGGCACAGAAGGGCTCTGGAAAAATGGACAAGTCGAATGGTACTCCCAAACCGCCAAATGTGCCGCCACCACCCAATGTGCCACCAGGCGCGAACACCTATAGCAGCTACGACACGGCACTGTACAGTGCAGCTAGCATGTATGTGGCCCAACAACATCAGGGCCCCCAACCTGGTGGCATGAAACCAAATGGCGCTAGTTCTGCCAATTGGTATCAACGTAAAATGAATCCAGCCATGCCTGGTGCAGGTGCTATACGCAATTTGAGACCCAAGGCACCGCCACGCCCTCAACAATTACATTATTGCGAGGTATGCAAAATCTCATGTGCTGGCCCACAAACCTATCGTGAGCATCTGGAGGGCCAGAAGCACAAGAAACGTGAGGCCTCATTAAAGATGCAGGCTAGTGCTACATCAACTACACAAAATCGTGGTAATAACTACCACTGTGAACTGTGCGATGTCACATGCACCGGCACCGATGCCTATGCCGCACACGTGCGTGGGGCCAAGCATCAGAAGGTAGTTAAATTGCATCAAAAACTTGGCAAGCCCATACCATCGGAGGAGCCCAAAAAAATGGGCAAAATAAGTTTTGTGGCCGCATCTGGCGGAGGTGCTGGAGCAGCGGCAGCTGCTGGTAAGCCGGCAGCCGATGGTAGCACAAATGAAGCCGATGCAGCGGCAACTGGAGATGGAACTGATAATATTGATGATAGTCTTGACGATTCCCTGGGGGAGAATTCGGACAACATAAAACCCGTTGGGGGCGAGTACATTGAAGAGGTTAAGGATGAAGAGGGAAAAATTCTCAGCTTCAATTGTAAGCTTTGCGATTGTAAATTCAATGATCCCAATGCCAAAGAAATGCACATGAAGGGACGCCGACATCGCTTACAGTACAAGCGAAAAGTACAACCAGACCTGGTTGTTGACTTCAAGCCGACGCCACGTCAGCGACGTTTGGCTGAGGCGCGTGCTCAGCGTGCTTTAATGCAATCGCACCGTGGCGATGACCATGAGGGTGGTGGCTACTGGGAAGAACTTCGCAATCGTCAGTACAATGAGGAATATGACTACAATAATTGGATGTCGCGCAGCTTTGGTGGTAAGTTTAATTATAACATCATTTTTTGAAAGCAGATAATTGTTTTATTCACATATATAGGCGCACAACGCTTTGGCCGCATGGGCAATGGTCCGCCACCACACTTTGGTATGATGCCCGGTGGCAGTGTACGCCGTCCGGAGAGCACCGACGATCGTCATGCCATTGCACGCCACGCTGAAATCTATCCCAAAGAAGAAGAACTACAGACCATCCAACGCATTGTATCTCATACCGAACGAGCGCTCAAACTTGTTTCGGATGCGTTGGCCGAGCAACCTGGTGAAACTGGGCCGGCCGCTAAAAAAGAGAAAGCCGATAAGCCATCGGAAAAAGATGGTCGGGATAATCAAATTTTCTCATTCCACAAAGAAGCCGACAATGGTGGCAATGTGGTACGCCTCTTGAAGGGTGTCATGCGTGTGGGCTTTTTAGCCAAAGGTTTGCTCTTGCATGGCGATAATGCCGTCGAGTTGGTTGTGCTCTGTGCTGAAAAACCCACTGTGGGTTTGTTGCAACGCGTGGCAAATGTTTTGCCCGATAAGCTCAAGGAAGTAGCAGGTAAGTTCAGCCCAAATTCTGAAACTCATAGCTATGGGTATTCTCTTAAATATTTCAATGTTTATTTTAAAAAGCATTATTACATAAGTACCCCCATGGGGCTAAACTTTTTCCAGAGAAATGGCTTGAGTGAGAAATGCAACTAAAAAGTATACAAAACAAAAAATACGTTATTCCAAACTTACTTGGCAAATTTATCATACACCAAGTGATTTTGGCAAGCAACTTATAGAAAAAAATCCTGTGATATTGAGAATATATATACATATATATTTCGGAGCCCAAACATGCATTAGCAATGATGATTCAATGTACATATGTATGTATGCGTTGAAGCAAAGCACGCGCCGGGCAATTTGTGTGGAAAAAGTATAAGAAACACTGTAATTTATTGTACATAAACAAAACAAAAATACCAATGTTGAGCCCTGTTATCGCGGTGGAATTTGACGCCCGAACCGCGCCCAACGCCAACTTAAAGCAATTAGACAAAATAAAAACGTATTTGCCGTTGTTTTCAGCTTCTCTTTCTGCAGGATAAAAGATATGAGCATGTGCTGAGCCTGAGCTGGGCTGAGCCAAAGCGAAAAGCTCACTCACAACTCTCAGTCTCTCTGTGTCAGTTAGCGCTGTCTGTAGCTCTCGTCCCTCACTCTCGCGTTCGTGTCCAACTGCGCTTCTTCAACCGCTGGTCGTGCGTGGTGTTGGAATTCAAAACGATAATGGAACCAAATGGTAACAAGCAGTACTCCGTCCCCGCAAGAGGAAGAGTTGTGTTGTGTCACAAAGAAATCTTAATCAAACAATTGAGAATTGATCCAAAGGAGTATATTTATACAAAGTTTAGGTGCTCACTGTCGTCTCACACTTTCGCGCGCACTTAGCTAAACCAGATTGTGGAGCGAGCCCACTACAGACGCAACGATTACGAAACGAACCGCATACCGAATAAACGAAAACCGAAACGAAACACTCGCCCATGCGAAACTTTGTGTAAATAAAGTCCTTTGATGAATGGCTAAACAGGTTGAAGAAATTCAAGCTCTCAACTCAGCCGCCAAGAAGCAATGCGGATTGATCCACACACTGACGCAAATGCGCTTTACAATAAACATGTGAATCAAAATTGTTCCGACATTTTTGTTATATAATTGCGCTACACTGGAGTCCTTATATTCATACATATACATATATATCTATCGATATCGAAATGCTTATGCATTGTGTTTCGTTCTGAACCAAGAAGTCGTTCTGTGTGTATCAAGCTTGATTGTCTAGTACATCTAAAAAAATATATCTAAATACATAAGACATATACATAATTAAAAAAAAAGATATATAAAAAATTTAGACCGAAATTTGTGTTGCGAATGGTGAAGTGAGCCGACAACGACATGTTCTCCTCTCAACCGTTTGCTGCTGCCAACAAACGAGAAATTTCGGTCAATATTTTTTGAAAATGAAATTAACCACGTACTGCTGTGGAAAGTGGAATTGCAACAGTGCTGAAATGCTACCGATTCGATTCGAATTTGCAATTCCGTTTACCATGCTGAAAGATGTCCCAGCAAACTGAACTGAAACGCAAGCAAGTCAAACAAACGCAAGCATATTCAAGCCATAAACGAGTCACTTACCTTCAGAGTCATATTCATAGATTCCCAAAATGTACATATTTAATCTATATACATATGTATGTATTTGGGTTTGGAGAAGCCGGAATTAATGTTTGCTGGGAACATAGTGGATATTTTTGTGAAATTGTAGGAAGAAACAAACATTATTTTTTGCTACTTTATATATACATGTGCATCCAGTCATTATCTACACTTGTTGTATGTATTTGTGGGCCGAATCTTGGAATTATTATATATTACTACAATGTTTGTCTCTTTTCTAAGCCAAAAATTTAAATTAAATTTAAATTCCTCCACATTTCTGACATGTCTAATATACTTTCCATTTCAGGTGAAACTCCAGTCAACTATCGCATCGAGGTTGATGCCGGTGAGGCTGCCGTCATAGTGCTCGATGAAGCCGTTTCTGTCAAGATTACATTAACTTCGCCTCTGCTACGGGAGCCCAATGCTGGCGAGGCCGCCGTTAAGGCTGAGCCCGATGTTAAACCCAGTGGCGACGGCGAATTTTTACCACGCGAACCATGTCTGCGTGTCAGTATTCTGTTGAAATTTGTATAATCTTTAAAGCGTCTTAATAACCGTGTCATTTTTTTACAGGCGCTTGCTGATTTACGTCACGCTAAATGGTTCCAGGCGCGTGCAACTGGCTTGCAATCGTGCGTCATGGTCATACGTATATTGCGCGATCTGTGCCAGCGTGTCCCCTCGTGGCAATCATTGCCGCAATGGTCCCTCGAGCTGCTCGTCGAGAAAGTCATCTCATCTGCTGGTTTCCCAATCTCCCCTGGCGATTGCATGCGTCGCATAATGGAGGCTCTATCGTCGGGCTTTCTCATTAATGGGCCTGGTTTGCTCGATCCTTGTGAGAAGGATCCAACCGATGCACTCCAGCCCCTCACCAAGCAGGAACGTGAAGATCTTACTGTCTCAGCCCAACTATTCCTGCGCTACATTGCTTTCCGTCAAATCTACAAAGTGCTTGGAATGGATCAATTACCAGCTATGAAGTTCCCAATGCGTCCATGGCGTTTAAATCGCAAGCGACGTCGATCTTCGGGCAAGGCTGGTGCGCCCGGTGGGGAGTCCGAGGGAGCCGATATCGAAGAGACAGGATCAGATGAAAAGGTGCCCAAGAAAGATGGTCCTGGAGCGACTGCCGCTGGTGGAGTAGCAGCCTGAGGTGCTTCAGCCACAAAACGTAGTAGTAGGAATAGATATTGGCTGGCTTCGCAAACTTGAAGACCATAATTGTACACTTTTTTTCTTAAATTAATCGCGTGCTGAAACGCCAACTAAGTAACACTACCCCTTTTTCTAAGTAACTAATTGCGACGCATCTGGCTCTGGACAAAGATTTACATGTCCAACATGCTGTCTGAATTTGCAGAATCACCAGAAAACCCTCAATGTTCATTATTTATGCAACTTATGTATTTTTCCCCAATTTTATTACAAACCAATATGCAACACAACTCTGTAATCGATCATATAGAAGTGAAACGTTTGCTCTCTATATATACGCTGCGTAACGTTTCAAACAAATTTTAACAACTTATACAAATACACAAATATATACGCGGAAACCATTACAAATAATTTTGCCATTTGGAGTTGCTCTTAGCTCCAAATTGTGGGTCAGATGGGGTTGATGGTGGGAAGGAACACTTGTTAAGAGATTGTTGTTGACGTGACTGGACGTTGTTATAACTATTTTCAAGTGGGGATTCCTTTGAATTGGAAGCAAAGATGTTCTCATCCACATATTTTGACCATTTGCTTTGCTTCCCATTCTTCTGTGTCCCTATATTTTCAGGTACCAGCTCTTTTATGTCATCCATTCCTTTTTCTAATTCCACCAATAAATCAATATCGTTCATATCGCGCTCCTGCTGCCTTTTTCCCCGCTCCAGGTTCAGTTGTTGGACTTTGGCGCGGCATTCAGCGCCATTACCGCGAAATATTTCCTTAAACACTGACTGTTTTAGGCCGCAAATCTTACACTGCCATTTATTTGCCTTCTTTACAATGTCCACCTAAATCGGGAAACTTGTGTTTTAAGTAGTTTCGAATTGAAGTTTCAATTACATACCTGATAGCAGTTGCAGCTAATGCTACTGCACTGCAAAACTCGAATTTCTTGCGGCATTTTTTGTTACCAAAAAAATATATTTTCAATTTCGCTCCAATCCTATAATGTAAGATGCCACTAAATAAAGCAGCGTGCTGCCAGATAGGGCAAATGATTGTGGAACAATTTTAGCGGGCTTTGCTTGAGGAAATCGCCGTCACCAATTGTGCCGTTTCTTTTTTTTAATGCAAGAGATATTAGCATTTATTTTAACTGAGGAATTTCAGTATTGCTCTCCAAGCTATTTTTGCTTGTGGCGTGATTCGAACCGGTGTCTGCACAAACTTAAGCTATGCCATGGTACTTTTTTATTTTATATACATATATTAATAAGACTTAATAAGTCGTGAAAAGAATGTAGTCACGCAAATATCACAAATGTTGCCACTTCGTCGAAATTATTCAGCTGCTTGCGGCTCCACTGTTTTATAAACATTGCGGTACTTGTTGGTTTTCGTGATGCGTTTGGTAAAATACAAATAAATAAAGCATATATAAAGCATTATTAAACTCCATTAATCTCCAACCCCAACAGTACTGCCTCAGCGGCGATCTGGCTAAGCCATGCTACATCATCACATTCAAGGGACTTCGCATAATGCTGGATTGCGGCTTGACGGAGCAGACGGTTCTTAACTTTCTCCCGTTGCCTTTTGTTCAGAGCCTGAAACTATCAAACCTCACCAACTATATACTCAAAAACGACCATGATCCCCAAATGGACGGCGAACTTAAGGATTGCTGCGGTAAAGCTTTTATTGACTCAGTGCCGGAATTTAATCTTCCTATGGATAAAATGATGGACTTTAGCGAGGTGGACGTTATTCTGATCTCCAATTACCTTAATATGCTGGCCCTGCCATACATTACGGAGAACACTGGCTTCAAGGGCAAAGTATATGCGACGGAGCCAACATTACAAATTGGACGCTTCTTCCTCGAAGAACTGGTGGATTATATAGAGGTATCGCCAAAAGCGAGTACCGCACGTTTGTGGAAAGACAAACTCCATTTGTTACCAAGCCCGTTGTGTGAAGCGTTTCGCGCAAAGAAGTGGCGTGCGATCTTTAGTTTAAAAGATGTACAAGGCAGCCTATCTAAGGTGACAATTATGGGCTATGATGAAAAATTGGACATACTGGGTGCATTTATAGCCACACCAGTGAGTTCTGGCTATTGTCTGGGGTCCAGCAACTGGGTGTTGAGCACGGCGCATGAGAAGATCTGCTATGTCAGTGGCTCGTCAACGTTGACAACGCACCCGCGGCCCATTAATCAATCTGCCCTCAAACATGCCGATGTACTGATTATGACGGGACTGACGCAGGCGCCAACCGTGAATCCAGACACCAAATTAGGCGAACTGTGCATGAATGTAGCATTGACGATACGAAATAACGGCTCCGCTCTGATTCCCTGTTATCCGTCGGGAGTCGTCTACGACTTATTTGAGTGTTTGACGCAAAATCTGGAGAACGCTGGCCTAAACAATGTGCCCATGTTCTTTATATCGCCGGTAGCAGACAGCTCACTAGCCTATTCAAATATCTTAGCCGAGTGGCTGAGTTCGGCAAAACAGAATAAAGTCTATGTGCCCGATGATCCCTTCCCACATGCTTTCTATTTAAGAAATGCCAAGCTAAAGCACTATAATCATGTATTTTCGGAAGGATTCAGCAAGGATTTCCGTCAGGTCAGCAGCGCATATAAATCATACTGTTTTTGTTATATCATTACCAGTATTTTCTAAAAATTACAGCCATGTGTTGTCTTCTGTGGCCATCCGAGTTTGCGATTTGGCGATGCTGTCCATTTCATTGAAATGTGGGGAAACAATCCCAACAACTCAATTATATTCACAGAACCTGATTTCCCCTACCTACAAGTATTAGCACCGTTCCAACCACTGGCTATGAAGGCTTTCTACTGTCCAATCGATACCTCCCTAAACTACCAGCAGGCCAACAAATTGATTAAGGAACTGAAGCCAAATGTTCTCGTCATACCGGAGGCTTACACTAAACCGCATCCATCGGCGCCGAATCTCTTCATAGAGCAACCGGATAAGAAGATTATCACCTTTAAATGCGGCGAAATTATACGCTTACCTTTGAAACGTAAACTGGATCGTATATATATAACGTCAGAGTTGGCACAGAAGATTTTGCCACGTGAGGTGGCTGCTGGTGTCACTTTCTCGACGCTGACGGGTGTGTTGCAGGTCAAGGATAAAGTGCATTGCATAAAACCGTGCGCAGATAGCGTCAAGGACGAACCAAGCACCAGCAATGGGGGCAGCATCAAGAGTTCTGTACCCACCAAAGAGGACGTGCTGAAAAATGTGAAATACGAATACGGAAGCATCGATGTGGATGCACTAATTAAGCGATTGGCTCAGGACGGCTTCACTAATATCAAAATGGGTCGAACAGGTGGCAATCTATCGTTGCAACTAGTCAACGAGGATACGGTTATCAAGTTCCAGGACAACGAAACGCACATCATATGTGGAGGAAAGCCCACGCTGCGATTAAAGCTGCGTGACACCCTCCTGAAGTGTTTGCAGAGCTTTTAAAACATAAACTTTTTAATAAGCAACAACAAAAACTATCTTCAATTACTGTCTAGTGCTTGGCATTTAAAATATTTGAGCAGCGCATGCAAATTTCCTGCTGCTCTTCGTCCAAACTGTATCGACGGCACCGCTGACAAAGGGTGGAGTGTACGGTTTTTAAGCTTACTGAGCTTTTCGCATTCAACTCAGCTTTAACCAATGCACTGCCCACCTGCAGCAATTCACATAACTCCGAATCCCTGACGGGCTTATTCAATTTCGTTTGCAGTGTCTGAAGCAAAGCCAACTTATCCGGACTATCGCAACTGATGCTCACAGCCAGATGCCAAGTGTTGACGTCGCCAGCTTGCTGATTAATTACACGTTTTATATCCAAGGCAGCATTAACAACATCCAAAGCCTTTGAGTCCACCCACTCCGAATGTGATTTGACAGTTTGCTGATGAAATGCACCGCCCGTTTGATCGTAATAAGACCAACTCTCCTCCACTAGGAAAGGTGCCAGAGGCCAAAGAGCTTTGCACAATTGTCTGTAGCAATGGGTCAATGTATAATGAATGCCTTTCAGTTCACTAGAGCTGCCACAATACAGACGATCCTTGATCAGGTGCACGTATATCGCCGAGATCTGATTTGTAACAAAATTTTGTATGACGGCTACAACTCGATTGTATTCATAGGCAGCGTATAGTTTCTCTATCTGAAAAGATAGTAAAAACCGTGACAATATTCCCCCATTTCGATATATATGTATATAGCGTTACCTCTGCTTCAAAGCCAACCAAACAATTTAACAGATATCTGTTTAGGTACGAGGCATCTGGTAGTGTGTGGGGCAGCTCTGTCTTTCCCTCTATTGCTCCATTAAGATAGCGAAGCGTACCGCGCACTTTGCTCAAATTTTCGGCAGCCTGTTGTAAAAGCTTTTCGCTCACGGTAATGGACATGTTCTGCGTACCATGCGAAGCCACCCACCAACGAAGCACATCCGTGCCATACTTCTTGGTTATTTGCTTTGGAGAAATTACATTTCCTAATGATTTTGACATTTTGTGGCCCTTTTCATCGACAGTGAAACCGTGCACAAATAATGCTCTGTAAATTATTGGTATTATTTTTGTCCTAAAAACCATATTTGGATGATTTTAGAACTCACTTGTAGGGTGCACAATCCCTTGCAGCTATGCTGGTCAAGAGCGAAGATTGAAACCAGCCTGTGAACTGATCGTAACCTTCCAAATAGAGATCGGCTACTTGTTTATCCTTAAGCACAGCGGACCAAGTGCTGCCCGAGTCGAACCATATGTCGAAAATGTCACTGCCTTTAACCAAATCCTGCGCCTCGCATTGCAACTGTGACAAAATATTCGCAGGTACCAGTTCCTCTACACTTTTGGACCACCAGAAATCGATGGAACCCTCTGAACACAACGTGCTGCAAAGATGGTCAATTAAGGAACCATTCAGGGCCACTTTGCCATTGTCTTTTCTATAGAGTACAGGTATGGGAACGCCCCACGCACGTTGTCGTGAGATACACCAATAGGGTCGCTTGTACAGCTGTGTCATTATCGCCTTCTTGCTGGCCTCGGCATTTGTGCGTGGATAGATCTCGACCTGTTCGAGTGCGGCAGCGGCCCGTGCCTTCAACTTATCCGTATTAATGAACCATTGCTCGCTGGCCCGTATTATCACAGGTTGTTTGGTGCGCCAATCTATGGGATAAGCGTGCTCCAGTTTGGAGGCATGCACTACATCCTCTCCTATATGCTGCAGTACTAATTTGTCCCCCTGCGTCAAAACAGGCAGGCCGCGCAGGAAGTGTGGCGCGTCTTGTGTATAAACACCAGCTTCATCCACATAACTCTTGACTTGCAATTGCTCTTTTAGGCTGACTAAAAAATCCTCGGGTCCATGAGCGGGTGCTGTGTGCACCAAGCCTGTGCCTTTAGTATCTTGCACATGGCTAGCAGCAAAGAATGGTAATGCCGACTGTTCTGAATCTATGGGATGCTTATAGGTGCATTCGGCCAACGAGGCGCCACTCATGTTATCCACAATTTCGCATGATAAGTGTGTTGCCTCCTGGAAATCCTTAATCAGTGCCGTGGCTATGACGTACAATTCGTTTGCGCTGCGGCCGGACAAGTGAACTAATGAGTACTTTAAGGATGCATTGTAGCAAATGGCCTGATTGCTAGGCAGTGTCCAGGGCGTTGTCGTCCAAACCAAGGCATAAATCTGCTTTCCATTATAGGTTGGTAGTCCGTTCAACGCAAAGCGCAGATATACAGAAGGACTGACAAAATTGGCATCATACTCCAGTTCGGCCTCTGCCAATGCTGTTCTATAGAAGGTTTAGAGCATTTAGTACAGCAACAGATACATTTCTTAAATCGCATCCAACCTGGATGAAGGCGACCAGTAAACTGGTTTCAAATCACGATAAACAAGTCCACGTTCGTACAAATCGTAAAACATTTTCAATTGGTTGGCTATGAACTCGGGTTTAAAGGTCATGTAAATGCGATTCTGCTTCCAATTCGCCAATATACCCCAGCTGCTAAACTCCTCCTTCTGAGACTCGATGGCGTCCAAGGCAAAAGCTCGGGCTGCAATATAAACAACAAGTTCATCTTTGTGTACAAAGCACTTATTTCTCAGAGCTCACATTTCTGCCTAATGTCCAGTGCATTCTTTTCTTTAGCTCCGGCCCCCATTGCCTTTAGTTCAATGGGCAAGCCGTGACAATCCCAGCCAGGAATGTAGTTAACTTGTTGGCCGCGTGCTACATGCTGACGCAACGTAATGTCCTTGAGTATCTTGTTGACAGCATGGCCCATGTGCAGGTCACCATTGGCGTAGGGCGGACCATCGTGGAGTATGAAGGCAGGGGCCTTCTTATGATGCTCCTGATATTTATAGGAAATACCAATTGTGTCCTGCAAAACCGAATCTCTTAAACCCTTGCCTTTGCTACTAACAATAAAACGACCAATTTACATTTAATAATCTGCGTTCCAATTCCTCACGTTTAGCAGCAGTTAGACGAGTGGGAAACTTTGTTTTGGGCAGATTTATGGTTTCTGTATACTTTTTAATATTATTTTTGGCCGGTTTCACTGAATATAAGCGTTTATTTAAGCGAAAATGAATAATGCGCAACATTTCGTAGCTGGAAAGTAAAAAGTGATGCAAAGCCGGCTGCGAACAGCTGTTTTAACAGCCGCATCATTAAGCGGTTAACAGAATGCTGTTACTGATAACAGAAAGAGTTCAAATGTTCCCGTTAACAGTTATTTATTCAAATTGTTGCATAAATGATCAAAATTTGAAACATATTTGTATGTAATTTACTTCTTTTTGTCCTTTGGATCCTTGTCCTTCGTAGCTTCAGCTTTAGGTGTTTCAGCTTTCGGTGGTTCAACTTTTGGTGGTTTGGCTTCTTTTTCTTCAGGTTTCTTGTGTTCTTCGGGTTTCCCATCCTTGGCCTCCGCTGGCTTAGCTTCTTCTTTCTTCTCTTCCTTCTTTGGAGCTGGCTTTGCAGGACCGCCACCGGACATTGAAGTTGCCAATTGATTGGCTTTGGCCAAAACTTCATCTACATCGCCGACCATATAAAAAGCTATTTCCGGTATGTCATCGTACTCGCCATTTAGCAATCGCTTGAAGCCGTCCACAGACTTTTCCACGGGTACGATCTTGCCGGGATGGCCGGTGAAGACCTCGGCCACTTGAAAAGGCTGGGATAGAAAACGCTGCATCTTGCGAGCACGCGCCACAGTAAGCTTATCTTCCTCCGATAGTTCATCCATTCCCAAAATGGCAATTATATCCTAGAAACAAGGTTCATTTCATTTTGGAACCCAGAGAAACTGTGGATTAGGATATTACCTGCAACGACTTGTAGCCCTGCAGGGTCTTTTGCACAGCTCGGGCCACATTATAATGTTCCTCGCCCACAATGTCGGGATCGAGAATACGTGACGAAGAATCCAGTGGATCCACGGCCGGATAAATGCCCAATTCAGCAATTGGACGGGATAAAACAGTAGTGGCATCCAAGTGCGAAAAAGTAGCGGCGGGCGCCGGATCGGTGAGATCATCGGCTGGCACATAAACAGCCTGCACAGACGTAATCGAACCATTGCGAGTGCTGGTAATGCGCTCCTGCATGGTTCCCATGTCGGTGCCCAGGGTCGGTTGATAGCCCACGGCAGAGGGTATGCGACCTAGCAAGGCTGAGACCTCTGAACCAGCCTGGGTAAAGCGGAAAATGTTGTCTATAAACAGCAGGACATCCTGACCATCGATATCGCGAAAGTATTCGGCAATGGTTAGTCCAGTGAGCACAACACGACTGCGGGCGCCTGGTGGTTCATTCATCTGGCCATAAACCAGCGCCACCTTTGACTTGTCATCATCTATGGATATCACCTTGGACTCTATCATCTCATAATAGAGGTCATTGCCCTCACGAGTGCGCTCTCCAGCGCCCACAAACACCGAGTAACCACCATGGGACTTCGCTATGTTGTTGATCAGCTCCATGATGAGCACGGTTTTGCCTACACCGGCGCCCCCGAATAGCCCAATTTTTCCACCTTTCACATAGGGTGCCAGCAAATCAATGACCTTAATGCCAGTGGCCAAAATCTCTGGCTTGACACTCAATTCTTCAAGCTCTGGGGCATCGTTGTGAATAAAGGAATAGAACTCGCTTTTGATTTCGCCGCGTTCATCGATTGGATCGCCCACTACATTGATAATACGTCCCAACACTGCCTTGCCCACGGGCACGCGTATTGGATAGCCCGTATCGACCACTCTTTGCCCACGTCTCAGGCCCTCTGTTGAGTCCATAGCCACCGAACGAACAATATTGTTGCCCAAGTGATGGAAGACCTGAGATCATGTCGATCAAACAAATGAAACCTCTTTAAAAGCCCATGTACATACCTCTAGTACCAGATGGCCTATGGGTGCATCCATCACATCCAGGGCATTAAGTACTTCCGGAACTTCATCCGGAAAGTATACATCAATGACAGGTCCAATGACAGCATGTATGACGCCCTCGCGACGTTTTCCCACCAATGTTTTCTGTGCGGTGCCGCCGCCACCCTTCGATGGTGTACCGCCCACAACAGCTGGCACACCTTCTTCACATGGATCTGGGACCGGCTCACAGGGTTCTTCAATTATGCACTTTTCAGCCTTTCCAGCACCCACGTGAGCCTTTAGGGCCGCCTTCTCTTCTTCATCCTCACATGTTTCTTCTTCGAATTCACATTCGTCAGTGGGTTTTTTGCACTTATCATCATCATCTTTGTCATCTAAAATCCACCCTTTTCAGAAAACCTAGACACTATATAGTTAAATATTTATACATACCTCTCTTATCATAGAGGCTAAGTGAGCCGTGCAGCGAACGTGCATGCCGTAGGTATTTCGAAGGCTGATGTCGGTTTTTATCAACTTTTGAACCAACCCGCATACAAGCTGCTAAGAATTCACATTTATAATACTATTTTTAGGTATGTCTAACATAATCTGAATCTTACCTGCGGCCAATCTTGTTAAGTTATACGCTCCTAAAGCTAACAAAGACATTTCTCACACTCCAATTATTGCTATTAAATGATTTTCCAATGACAATTCAGGTTGTAATTAACCCGAAACCTTGGCTCAACGCCTACTGGTTTAAATATGAAAGAAAACTACGTGCCGGAATACTGAAATCAAAATATTGTAATTGTAACGAATAGTCAAATTATTTGTTCAGGCTACTTTTTCACAGAGTAGTTATAGTTGACAGTTGATAAGCCGAGATTTAAACATAATTAAAAAACGAAAATTGCAATTCTTAGCAAGCTACTTGTAGTTTTCAAAGTTACTTTAAAGTTGCACTTATTTAATATTAATATATTAATATTAATCTTTGTATTTGGGTCATTTATTAGCTTAAATTATTTGAAATTACTTATTTTTTTAAAAGGGTACGTATTCTTGAAGTTACCAAGTCTGTTTTTTAACAAAAATGTAGATACTTATACTTCATTAATAAATACTATGCGATATAAACCCTTACATAAAGAATTCGAATCAAAAATTAATTACAGCTGTTTTAACTAAAGTTGGCATTGTGCGATTAATAAGAATATATGTATGGATGTAGGATGTAGGATTTGTACAATCGTGTTCGGGGTTCAGATTATAAAGATCTCCGTCACCTACATTATCTCAGTTGAGCTCAGGAAGTCTTTCACTAACAATCTTCGTGAATATCTTAAAATTTTGCAGTGAGTCGAGGCACAGCTTTTTTTATAACTAATTTATAACGCTATTGATTAAAATTAAGTTTCTATATTTACTCTTGATTGCTTAAAATTTTATTTGTTAGAAGTCGTTATAAGCTATGAACTTTAAATTAAAACGCATGGTAAATATAAATAATAATAATAATAAAATTTCGACATGGAATTCATGCCTTCTTTCAAAGAATTTGGCTGAAATCTAATTTCTGCACAATCCTATTTCTTAAATGGCGGTATTTCGAAAAGAAGAGCCCACCCGTAGCCAACATGAATGTTTCCTCCCTGTGTCGACTGACAGTTGCCATAGCAATTAATTAGGGTCCAAACAAATAATTTTGCAGTACGGCTCAATAGATCTTTAAGCATGGAAGTGCTATCCCACTATACATCTCCGGTGATCGAGTTTGTGGCCACACAGCCGGTGGAACGTCAACATGCGTTGGTGGACAATTGTACGGGCATGGATCCGATGCCGCCGAGCACAGATGCCAGCACCGAGACGCAAGCCAGGCAGGAAGTAAGCACTCAAACGGAGAGCTGTGCAACGGGCACCGCTGATTATGATGTGCGAGCTTTGGCCAAATGGTTGCAACACATATGCCCGATGGTGGAGCAGGAGTTGCTGCAAGGAATGACTCCAACGCTGGAGGAGCATATCGGGCAAGCAAATCAACGCAGCTTGCAGGAGGAGGTGCAAGTGCAGACCTATCAGAAAATTGCCATGGGCAGCACGGAGCACTCACAAGGCCTCGCCACTTGGCTGTCCGTGCACACCAACAATGCCCCCATCCTGGTGGTCACTATTGTGGCACCCCATGACGACTGGTGCGAGCATATACAACAGCAACTGCATCTCTATGTGCCCAAACGCATGCCTCACGGTAACTTCGTTGTCTATACAGAGGCTAAGAAGCTGCCCCTCAAGTCCTGCCTGCGTAGTATGACCACTAATCCCCACAACAAGAACATCTTTGCCGGTGCCAGCATGGATGGCGACATCTACGTCTGGCTCTATGAGCAGGCACTGGGCGGTGTCGAGATTAAACAGCTCCACAGTGTATCTTCGACAAAGGGAGCCGCCGTGGCTCTGGATTGGGTGATGGAGCAACGTTTGCTGGTCTGCTATGCCAACGGTGCAGTGCAGCAATGGCTGGTGTCCAACCAAATGCTGATGGAATGGGAGTGAGTCTGCTTAGACCTTAACTATTTATCACAATTGAAAGACAAAGAGTATTTATAATTTTGTTTATTGGATAAGTTTTAAGAGTAACAGGCAAACATTTTGCACAGAAATTTCACGAAATGATAGTTCATGGTAGAATATACCTTTTTTTTGCGATGGAATAGCAAAATAGGAGAATAGTATTCAAAAGTTTTCCATATCACTGAACCAATTAATTTTTGATTTATAAGTATGTTAAGAAAATTAAAGGAATTACGAGGGAACAAATAAATGATTATCTTGAATTCAGATACACACTGCCCGCTACCACGGGATCCGAGCTGACAGCGATGCTATCATTGGGTCTGGACGACTTTGTTGTCGGAACAAACGATGGCAGTGTCTACCGTTGTTGGCACAATGGACGAGGCGCCACTAAAGTTGGCGGCGCATCCGGGCCCATTAAACAACTACAAGTATTGTCCCTGCGTAGACATCGCTTTATGGTATCCACGCTGCTGAAAACCAACATGAATGGACATCGATTTGTGCTCAGTTGTGATCTAAGTGGACAGGCCTTTTATCACGATATGCGGAATATGGACGAGGTGTGTTATTTAATGTATACACCGTTTTAGTATCAACCACAAATGTAACTTTCAGGATGCTGCCCAATTGATTGTGCAAATACCGCTGCCCTTTAAGAATGCTATAGCGTGCAGTCGGGATGGCAATATTATCTATTGTCCAAGCAATGATGGAGCTTTGGAGTATTATAGAGTCACCGATGGTGCTCATGCTTATGTTAAGGGCGCCTTAAGGGGCAGGGGGAGCCTTATAAAGGCCAGCGACAATGGGTAAGTTGACAAAAATGTATGCCAGCTCGATTGTACTTATTAACTATCCTAAATTCCAGTTGTTGGCTTATAACCGGATTATATGGCGACGAATTTCAAATATTTTATATTGAAAACTAAGCGAAATGTTTGGATTTATATAATTAATTTATTTTCATATATATATATGCGCTTAAATATATGTGCGGTATACTCGACTAATGTTGCTATTTACATGAGTTTAGTTAAAAATTGATCTGATTTTTTAACAAATATAAATAAGAATTCCTGTGTTTATATAATTTGTGGATAAATTAAAGCCTTCGACATTTACAGCACACACTTAATAGAGTCATAAATTCAAATTCTTCATTGTTTTTAGTAACATCCAATATTTTGCTGTAAGCGTTGTCTACATCGATTATTGTAATAACTCTTCATTCAGCATAGTTTAGTTTTTCAAGCTTCACTACTGCCTTATTCTTCCATCAAGCATGTTCTGTATATGTCTTTATGTTTTATATATATGTAAAAAAATAAACAATTTTGCTACTGCTGTGACTGCTTAAAAGTTGCGCATAAATTCACTCACACAATAAAAACGTTTCAATCTCAACTACCAAACATTCAATGCCAAAACAACGCGCTCGTAAAAGATATAGCTATCCCTTCTGATTAGTTTTATGTGTATAAAAAATATGCTGTGTGTAGAAAATATAGCAGAATACGTTTACAATGACATTATTAATTACAAAGTGGACATAAACGAATACATTTAAGCCATTTGCCCTAGCGTAAAATAAATTATACAATTAACATTAACGAGATATACATATATACACAAAATACATATATATATATATTAATAGATAATAGAACAGTACACAATTTTGCTAAATCTTTCACGTTCACGTCCACGTCCATAATAACTTCGCTAACAACATGCTCAACTTTTAACTTAACTTGCACATATGTATCAAATATTTTGTTTCTTTACGATAGTACGTAATAATTAACTAGAAAATATCGCATCGCTGCCAAATTCTATTTAGTTGAAGAGCACCGTATTGGGGTCCTCATTATCCATTTGTTTCACATGGCGTAGAACATCCTTTTTCGTAATGACACCGAGCAGACGACTAAAACAAATAATCGAATCATTAATTTAAAATTTAAGATGTTATATATATTATCATGCGAACCCATTATGTGTGACCAGCGTTTGACGCAGACCCAATTTTCTAAACATATCGACCACAGTTTCCATCGGTGTTTGATCTGTTACCGTAATGGGCGCCATGTCGAGAATCTTCTTCAGTTTAAGTGGAGGCGGTCCTAGGGTTTGGGTGGGCGTAACTGAACTAAATAATACTATAGAAGTGCTGCTGATTCCCTCGATAAGACGCTTTCCATTGCCTGGGGAAATGTATAATTTAAGCGTCTTTTAGATTCTTCCCTTTAAAATGTAATCGAATTGATTTCTCACCTATGGCCAAGTTAAGATCTCTCCGCAGCACGAAACCAACCAGGTATTGATTTTCTCTGGACACAACGACGGGATAGCCATTGTGTTCGGTCTCTTTCAATAGATTCTCCACATCTTCCACCGTCATGGAGTCTTGTGTGATGACATTCAGCGTTTCATTGCGTCTATATATAGAACAATTTATTAAATTCAACAAATATAAATAAAGCTAAACATTTAAATTCTGTGCACTTACTTAGGTTGCATGACGTCCGCTGCTAATGTTGTATGCGCAAATTCTTCTTTGCTGTCTAGGAAGGGATAACCGTTTAAGGCTATATGCGCGTCATATATGCCCTGCGAAAGGTTCAAATATTAGAATATATTTAGATATGTTTAGATTACGGTATAAATTACCTGTCTATCTAAGGCATCGCCAACCCACTTTGAAGCCATGGCTGCCGCCATAAGTGGCACAATATATCGCACACCACCCGTCAGCTCAAACATGATGACGACCAGTGAGACAGTCATGCGAGTTACACCTCCTAACACCGCTGCTGCCCCTACGACAGCATATAGGCCGGGCGTTATCAGATTACTGTCCGTACACTCGCCCGTAAAGAACCAAAAGTTGGGATAACTATAGGCCATTTGCTCCACACCGATGCCTACGATTCGACCCATAATGGCGCCCAGCAGCAAAGAGGGTATAAACAGACCGGCGGGCACTTTCATGCCAAACGTAAAGATAGTGAGTGCAAGTTTCAGGACGAAAGCCAGCATCAGCAGCCAAATCGAGCGATATACGCCGGGTCCAGGTTCGGTGACCTCAAACACTGAAGTTCCCGTAGTTATGTTCATTCGCTTGTAGTCACTTAAAGCATAAAATAATTTAGAATTAACACTATTGCGAACGAATTCTGTGGTACCCACCAGAGGGGATTGGTTACATCGCCAGGCGAGCATTTGCTGACCAATAAAAAGATCAGCTCATTCATGTTCATGCGGGTGAAGGGATTCGGATAGCAAATGATTGCTGTGATAAGCGTTACACATAGAACTTCCAAGACTGGATATTGGCCCAGTTTGCTGAACTTCCTGTAGCGGCACCACCACAAATTCGCTTTAATGAAGAACGTGCCAATGGCGCCCTGTGCAAGTGAGACAAATGTGAAATACATGGCATATAACCGCATTTAACATTCATTTGCTACTTACGCCCATTATTCCCAGAAAGACAAAAGGTATGAGTTCGAAGAATATCCACGGCTTATTGTACTCAACAAAGAACAACACGGAGTGCTCGTTGCCAAAGGGTGTCAACGAACGGAGCACGAACGCAGCAATTAACGCACAGAAGAAGGAACGCCACAGAGTCTTCAATGGAAAGTAATAGGATACCTCCTCCAGTGAGAAGAGTACACCGCCGATAGGTGCACCAAAAGCCACCGATACACCAGCTGCTGCAGCCGCCGATAAGATTTCACGTTTCTTCGCCTCATTGCGTCCATATTTGGGAAACAGATGCGAGAATATATTGCCAATACAGCTGGCAATATGTACCATGGGTCCCTCCTTGCCCAGCGTCAGGCCCGCCGAGACGGAAAGCATGAGGCCAACTGACTTGATCAGTAAGGTCCATTTTCCCAGATAACCGCGTATTATAAAGCCAGACAGAATAGTTTTAATCTCTGGTATGCCAGAACCGCACGCGTATGGTGCAAACATTCGTACCAACGAGGCGCTCAACGAGGCAAAGAGCAACGCCCACAAAATGTACCAAATGTACGAGATGATGTACGGCCCCGTGCCATCCCGACTCAAGCCAAAGATCTCCGGCCAGGTTTTCCACTGCAAAATAAAGAATTCAAATTAAAAACAGTTTTATAAACACGAATTTTACACGAATTTGTTACATTAATTCTAATAAAAAACGTATTTTAAATAATCTAAATAATTACTAAAAGGATTTGATTAAAATAAATATACATATTTATATTCTATACAAAGGTTAGACAGCTCCACAGGTCGAGGACCAAGTCGTAGTAGTATAAAATTTTACACATCATTTAACCGAAAACAAGCTAAAACTTTGAACGGACCTGTTTCTGGGGCTTAATGTGTTACATTCCTATGAAAGCGATGTATGATATGATGGCCCAATGAACAAATCATTCTGACGGCGCAGGCATGCTTGAAACATCGCGTACGAACTTATACCTTATTCGGTGCTTTATATTATATATCCATTCATTTTCATCTTCATAACAATTTTGCACTTACCGTGGAACAGTTGCCCTCTTCGAAAACAGATTGTTTGGTCGGGTAACAGCATTGCTCCCGATTAAACCAAAAGGCGGGTGGACAGATGCCATGCTTTAGGTCAGACATCCAACTGGCCCCTATGTCGACCATGCCAGCCACACAGCCAGCAGCAATGCCGACAAGCAGCACACAGAGCCAACCGGAACCGGCATCCACGGCGCCCTATAAAAGACACATCATATATAAAATATCGCTTTTGAGTAAACAATGAATTTGCTTTCAAAGCAGTCACCTTGATTAGATCCCACACAGAATCCTGACGCTTCTTGACTATGTAACGGTGCCGCATGCGATCCCGTGCTATATCACGCTGCCAATCGATTGTATGGAAATCCTCATACTGTCCGATTCCAGGTATATCATCCTGCACATCCGAGGAGCCATAGAACGAGAGACCTCCTAAAATGGCGAACATGTGAATGAACGAGAAAAGCGAGATTGGGAAAGTAAAAGTTAATAAGTATGAGCTTCAACAGTTTCAATTTGAGTTTTACATAAAGCCACGACATTCATACAATTGAATGGTGGATACAGACACAATATATTAATAAATACGTCTTTATATTAATTTAAATAAAGTGGAGTATATACAGCTGTGACAATTTACGGCTGTGTCTTCCTTCCTCTGCCTTCCCGGGCGTCATTATTAATTTACTAAACAACGACAATGACTGGCATTTATGTATTTCAGAAGACGAGTCTAATTGAAAGGTTAATTTTATTGGGTATGTCCACAAACAAAATAAGAAACGCAAACATATCTAAATAAATACAAATATCACATTTATTTCCAACTCACCGTCCATAGGATCGCCGAAGGCACTGTGAGTTGGCACGTGTTGATGCTGGTGATGCATTGTTCGCTGATTGTGATGATGATTGCCTCCGAATTCACGCTCCGTATCCGATTCGCCGGCATTATTGTGATGCTTATGATAGCCGCTGCTGGTGCTGCCACCGATAATGTCGCCGGGACTAGAACGGGGCGTGATGTCTATCATATCTTCGTCGTCTGTGGCCGCGCTTAGTGAGGTTGTCGCTGCTGCTATGTGAGGTCCGGCATTAAGCTTAGATAAGGGCGCCAAGGGATGGTCGTGGTAATTACCATCTGCGTCTCCACCACCACTGCCGCTACCACCTGTTGTGTGGCCGTTTGACTATAAAGGAGGTAGGCGTGTTTTTTTGAAGACATTAGTATTTAAGTAAATATCAGTATATGTAGGTATAGGTAGTGCATTAAAATTATATTATTTTGTTTACATTAATGCCCTGATAAGATAAGGCAGTTTTAAATCACTTCACATACAAATTTGTAAGAGTTGCTTCATTTGTATGCTATGCAAAGCATCTACCCACACACACACACACACACACAAATCAGCACCTTCAGCTGTAACGTGCTCATTTCCGCCCCTCCTATACAGTTATGCACTTCAGAGTATGTGTGCGCTTGTGTGTGGGTGTGCAGAATTGATATAAAATACTGGTAGTTCTACTTATTTTATTAGTTAGATTTTTATTTAAATTTTCATTGCGAAAGCTGCGCTTATCATCATCATTATCATCATTATAAATGTGCGTGTGCCACTTACCTTTTTCATTACAGTCTGATATGCGGTTATGTAGCTATTGCCCTCTGCCGCAGCCTCCCTGCTACCCTTCAACGGAAATTTTTCCATTACTTTAAACTGCTTTGCTTGCACTTGTTTGCCTCTTTCCCTTTATGGTTAATTGAGTTTCTTGCCGATTCTATTGACTTTAACTTGATTTGCGTTGCGTAGCGTTGCAATGTTGCAGCATTTATTCCATTTCTTTACATTTAATTGGTATAACAAGAACTGCACCAACGGACGTCACACTCAGCCACACATGCACACACACTAACCAGCAATCACACACACACACACAAAGGATGGACAAACAAACAAATTATTCACATTTCACTTGTAATTCAATATTTCTGCGTTGATGTTAACCTTTCACTTAACTAGTGCGTGTTCTGCATAGCTTTAATTTGCAGTTAAATTCACTAAATCTTCAAAACACTTCAAATATTTAAAGGCTGTGACGTGCCTTTGTTGCTTTTTCTGAAAACTACGTGTGACGATGCAAATTGAACGCGCATTAAGAAGACCGCACAGGACAGGTGTGTTAGTAGAAAGCGGCTTATTGCTGTGGTTAGTTATAATAGACACGATATATGAATAAATCTTACTCTTTATTAATGTGCGAATATTTAAAGGTTTATTGCGAAAAAATTTGTCTTTAAATCACGGTCAACGAATTCAGTTTGTGGGTGGCAGGGGTGCGAGCTATCGATACTATTTTTTGAAATGTATCGATAGTAACAACAGTGCTGCTAAACGCTAACCGTACGAGCTTGCAGTGATTTTCATCACATGTTATATATTATATAAATAATAAAATGCCAATTTAAAGGTCAACAAATAAGTTCTTACTGCAAAGCCATTTTTAGGAAAATGGGTCACAATTACAATTGAGGAACAGCATAAAATTGAAAAAAGTATACAAACTTATTCACTGTAGCAATTTTCAAACTAAAATAAAATAATAAATAATTGGCACAGGGCAATTTTTTGGTCGGACATTTCCCACACGGGATTTTTTATCTATCGATAACATTTATTTTCTAGTGTATACTGTGCCTTAACGCCTATGTAGCAAGGCATCGACAGTGAACATCGCTTGTTTTGCACATCTATATTGAAATTCAAATGGCTGGGCATTCGCCAGCAGTTTCCAAAATTGTTTACACAAACAAACACAAATAGCAAAACGATCTCGCCGTCATTTTGTTATACTAAGGCCGAAACTATAAAATGGCCGGTTTTGTAGCGGTGCACACAGGTTCGTTGGACAGCGGTAGCGGCTGTCAGTTCATCAATCAATTTCTAGTCTCATACACATGCCTTTTTTTTATTACAGGCGCTGGCAATTGCATCGACGAGGCCAAATATCAGCGAGTCATAAAAGAATCGTGCATACGAGCTACTGAAATTTTACGAAATGGCGGCAACGCCCTGGACGCCTGTGAGGCAGCCATAATACGTTTGGAAAACTGCGGCAATACAAATGCGGGCTTTGGCTCCAACCTCTGTCTGGACGGGACGGTTAGCTGTGATGCTTCAATAATGAGTGGAGCTACACTAAATTTTGGGGCCTGCACGAATGTTAGTCGTGTACAGAATCCAATAGCGCTGGCTCGCTGCATATGCGAGGGTCAATCACAGACGCAACCACTGGAACGCATACCACCCATGGTGTTGGCAGGCAGCGGCGCTGAGCGCTATGCGGAGGAAGTGGGCTGTACAATGATCGATCCGGCAGTTATGATTTCCTCAAAAGCGAAATTCCATTATAATCATTATAAGGCGAAATATGATTTAGCCATTGACAATAGTCGAAATAAAGCTGATGACGCCACAGCGGCAGATGTGCCCGATCCGGGAAACGAAGTCGAATTGGCGACTGCTTTGGACACTGTGGGTGCTGTTTGCGTGGACGGTGCTGGAAACACTGCAGCAGGCTGCAGTTCAGGTGGTATTTTACTCAAAATGCCAGGACGTGTGGGTCAGGCGGCCACCTATGGTGCGGGCTGCTGGGCCACAGATACCGATGAGTTATCCGTTGCCACGTGTACGACCGGCAATGGTGAGTACCTGATGAAAACGCTCCTGGCTAGAGAGATATGCAACGATGCCTTTAGCAGTGATTGTGCGGTGACGAGCCTGCACAATACGTTCCAGCAAAAATTTCTGGACTCACCGTTACTGCCTCAGCAACATGAGCATTATGCCGGCGCCCTGACCTTGCTCTACTATCCAAAGAGCAGTGCTGGCGAGGTAATGTGGAGCCACACTACCCAATCTTTTTGCGTTGGCTACATGGCAACAACGCAGAAAGTGCCAAAGGTATGTCAAACACAATCCATCATTTCCCTAGTTTATATATAGTATATGTATATGTATTTATTTATTTATGTATATTTTTCAGTTTGTACATTCGCCACTACCCACGTACAATGTCGCAGGAAAATCGTGCATCGTTAATGGCCATACTTTCCATTTGCGTATTTAGGCATGGCCAGCCGTTCAGTCTGCATCTGCTTGTGATTGCTTTCTTGGTGTTTTCTTTTCATTATAATATCAGCCAGCAGCGTGCTCATCGTCTTTCATTGTCAACTTTGCAGTTTTGTGCAATTCATTTGATTTAATGTTTAATTGCCGCGACAATCGCTGCCCGTGTAGTCCACAACAACAACAACCACAATATCAGAAAAACTTTATTTGTTGTTTATTCGCCTTTTTAGTATATATATTAAGAGCTATTAAACGAAACACTTTTCATTTAGTCTGTAAGTGTAGTCTGTATGTATGTATGTATTATTATAATTTGTCATATATGTATGTGTATGCGTGTGTGTGCAGCAAAGCAGTGTAAGAAATTATATTTTTAAATATTTTTTATGTGACATTTCCTTCACTGTACTTAATAAGCTGAGGGGCCAACGCAGCTGCGAGCAGCATGCGAATATGAATATTAAAAATAAATATCTACATATTTATAACTACTCGTAGGAGTGTGCGTGCACGCTCTTTATGTATGTGTGTGTATTTAAACAGATGTGCACAGGCCCATAAACTTTCGGGTAATGCACAGAAATTAACCTATTAATTTCGAAAAATATATAAAAATTTGACTTTTGCACAATGCCTAGCTGCCACAGCTAATTGCCGATTTGTAAACACACACACACACACCCATTCATACACACATACATACATGCATGTATGTTGTTTTGTAGACGCCGCCCTGCATTGTTTGGCAACATAAACAATCTTACATATATGTAGATACTCGTACATATATGTATCTACTTTCAGCATAAAGATACACACTATAAAAGCAATGACGAGTTTCTTACTCACCGAATACGACATACACTCGCCAGCTTTTTGAGATTTAATTTCCGGTGAAAGCTATATGATATAGTCAATCGAATTCAGGTATATATTTAGACACTATTATAAATTTAAAGAATAAATAAAGAATTTAGAAATCGAATATCTTTATATGCGACTTTTTCTCTACCGGTGATAGATCTGTCCCTATCCCGATTTCCATATAGATTAATCTGGTACTGGTGGTACTAAAATGCCTTTATAGCCTTTACCCAAAATGTTATCGAAATGATTTTATTTGCATACCAGCTATGTCCCGATGCACACAGTAGTCGCAGACATTACAAGATATAAGAAAAAATCTATAGTAAACAATAAATTTAAAAACAAATTGACATTTCGCGAATTAAAATAATAATAATCAAGGAAAAAATTACAACATTAGTTAGTTTTGAAAGAATATTAAACTTTAGGTGGCGAATAATTTATTATTCAGTTAGGTATTGGGTGTAACTTTAACATTGATACATGTAAGTATAGTATATTGAATTGAAGGTTCTTATAATGAAATGTTATGCAAATACTGAAATTTATGCTGGGTGCTCTATAAATTTTATGATAAACATACATACGTATCTGATATTGATAATCGTAATTACGATTAAGACGATATCATATCTTATGTAGCTAGCTACACAACTATGTGCCATCATTGGAGTATTTTGGGTGTGACAGGATCCATAAAATTTATGTGTAACTTGTTTTGAAGGTGAATGTCATGCTGGAGGTGTTGATGTTGCCTATAAAAGAGACTCTACACTACCATGACTTCCATTAGTTCCTCAAATTTCACTAAAAGTGCTGTCTCATATTCTTTATACGCTTGTACGATGTTGAAATTCCAAGTGATTTTGGCATTTGTAATGCTAGTAGTTACCAGCATTGCTGCTCAAAACTGTGAGGTCTGCCAGACAAGCAATGCCGTCTATTGCATTAATCAGACCAGTTATCAATTCTGTATGGGTAAGAATTTAATCGAAACATATCCTGTTCGGATTACGGTTCTAAATTGTAAGACAAAACTTGTTATCCAACGAATTTTCTTCATGAATTCAATGTGGTGAATTTTATTCTAATATATTGCGTAAAAAATTAAATATTTATTGAATAAGGGTACCCTTTTTTTCATTTGCTTTACCTATTATTGATTGTTAAGTTCTGCTAGTAAATTATTTAAATTATGGCCACAAACAGGATTCTTGCATTGCACTTGATAAGATAAAAAATAGATCAACTAAATTAATATAAAAACAGGACTCCTAATTCGATTAAAAAAAATTCAACTCAGAAGTAATGATATAATTACTAATTAAAAGAAATAAAATTAATATTACAATAGGGCTGTTTCATATGCCACTGCTACTAGTATTAGCCAAATAAGGAAATATTTAATAGTGAAAGGATCTAAAAACAAGAAAAGGTAAAATTTTACTAAATTTAGAAAGCAGTTTTGATTCTGAAGAAAATTTTAATAGAATAAAGGCGGAAAATTATACAGAAACATACATTAAATTTAGGAGAATTGTTTCATACATAAATTGGAAACCAAGTCAAGGCTGAAAATCAAAAATAAATAAATAAAAAAACGTGATTAAAAAGAACTGAAAGAGTTCGCGATTTCCCTACATAGAATCTAAGTTTTCTATTCTATTAGGTTCTCACATATGCATAGAATTTGCATATAGGTTATAATCGGGACCTTTATTCCACTTACCAATTTTTAAAATATATCCTCCTGCTTAGGGGACAATACCGTTGGAGCCGTACAGACCTGTGACGAAGGATTCGTATGCAGCAACACCGATGATGTGTGCGTGGCGAGCGATACTGTGGACAACACTAACATTCTGGATGTCTGCGGAAATCCCTCCGATGGCCAGTGTCGGAGCTGTGCCAACACTAGATACACCTGTGTAAGCCGCACCCAATTCGCACGCTGTGTGGGCGGAGCCATTGGTGTTGTAACCGATTGTGCCGATGATGAGATTTGTATATTGGACTCCTATAGCACTTTTGGGAAAATATGTGTGCCCAATTGCGCCGCCGACTTTGTAAGTGTAATGCGATTTGCTAACTAAAAAATTTAATTGCAAATTATTCGCATATAAAGGTGGAATTCACTGCCACTTGCCAAAATGACGCTTATGTACCGGAGACAACAACAACAACCACCTTGGAACCACCGACCACACCGTCAGCGTCGGACCGTCAAACAGCTTGCGAAACGGCGGCAACTAGCAATACTGCCATCTTTTTCTATACCAGATACCAGGCCGATGTTCAATGCAAAACCTACCTGTACTGCGAGAGACTCAATGATAACACTTGGAGAACCTTAACCTTGACCTGCCCCAATGCCACGCCCTTCTTCAGCTCCACTTCGGGTAATTGCGTGGCCACAAGGCCGCAGGATTGCGACACCACTACCACCTCTACCACGACCACAACCACAACTACAACCACAACAGTAGCTCCACCAGCTCCAGCTGTATAAAATTTCAAACTTAGCAACCTCCAAAATATTTCAGTTAGACGCAAAATTGTACTCCAAGCTCCATAATTTGATAAGCAAATTGCTAAACAAATTCACTTGAGAAATTTTAAATGTCTTCCCAATACGATTGTTATCCACACTCAGCAATTACATAACTTCATAACTTTCTATTTTCCTCCACATTCCCAATTTTTTTAGGCATATTGTAATACAAACTTCTTTTGAGAAATTTTGAATGTGTTTCCAACACGATGGTTATCCATACTCTGCAATAACATAACTACTTGTACAGTTCCAAAGAACGTATGTCTTTTACTCAGGAAATAAAACCATTGCTGGGAAACGACCATTACCCAGAAGCAATATTAAACATTTTTAGAAATCGATTAGAGCTTAATTTGGAAAAGAAATGTCGTACCAGATCGAAAAATACAACATTAGAGTGTCGGTTCCCATGACAGAATAGTTTTGTCCACATTTTCACCCAATTGTTTCCCAAATTTGATTGCGTCAAATACTTACTGAATAAAAACAGATAATACATAAATAATTAGCCCATTTTAATACGAACATACTGCTTAAATATTAAATCGATCATTAATAGCAAAAAAAAAAAAATCATATCGCTATTGATATGAAGGTTTCTAAAAGTGCTTCGCATGTGAATCGCAGAGGATAGATGCTTTTTGAATTAAATCGAGAAAGTCTTATATATAAATCAGGAATTGGTGTAGAAAATTGCTTGAGTTCAGTTTTTAGAACGAGAAGAATGGATAAATTAAACATTAACTATTTTAAAAAATAACTTCAATTGTTCCATCTAGTTTCAATTCTTTCAAAAAATGTTTAATTGATTGAGAAAAGAGATTTCCTCCAAAGTCTTCATTACTTCTTTTTAGTTACAATTATGTTTCAACTACTTATATAGAAATTGATCAATACTTCCATTTATTAAATTATATGGTTTAATAACTAGATAAATTATTTTATTAACTGATACTCTCGATTTGATTGAATTGATGTGTGGCAATAAATCATGGCATTTATTTGAATTTATATTTTTTTATTGATTATTTAAATCTAATACCTCTCCACCCTAGTAGATCAAAAATTACTATTTACTTGATTTATCTTATTTACTTGATATGCTTGACAATTCACAACAACCTAAGTATAAGAAAAGAAAGAATGCATACATAGGTATACAGTTTTATAATGTTTAATAAAACTTTCTTCCTAGTAATATGTTTTTGCGAGGTTCCTATATCCAGATGGTAAATAAAAGATTAGACAGTCCGATCTCACCATCCACCAATGTATAATTAGTTTTTGCGAACAATACTGTCAGTTTTGTGATAACAAACCCTAAAATCTTTATCTTTGCTGTCGATGTGCAAATCTGAGACCATAAACAGCCAATGATGGGTAGTACAAGGTCTCCACAATTGGTATAAATATGCCGGCACTCCGAAACGATTCAGCAGTTGAAATCGCGATAAGATGAAATTCCGCAATAGTTTACTCCTGGCACTATTGTCTTTGGCCTGCTGGTCCGTGGAGGGCCAGATCGCGTGTGGACAGTGTACGCCGTCTGGCCACAGCTGTGTAAGCCGTACCCAATATGTTTCCTGCAATGATGGAATCATTGATCCAAATGCGGAAGTCATGAGCTGTGCCGATGACGAGCTGTGCGTTGCCACAAGCCTTTTGAATGTGATTTGTGTTCCGAAGTGTGTGTTGGATTATGTAAGTATTCTCATCTGAAATTACTCGATAGATACGTATGTATATGAATGTATGTATATTTCGGGGTAGGTGAGGTATGATGCAACGTGTGCTAATGAGGAACAACCCACTTCCACATCACCGCGACCAAGCGAGGAGGAGAGACAGCAGGCATGCATCGATCAGTTGGCAGGCGCCGAGCCCACCTCTTATTTCTTTGCTTTGAATCCTTTGGATCCTCAGTGCCGTACCTATATTTACTGCGAGAAAGACATACGTGATAATTGGAAAGCTCTATACCTACCGTGTCCGGCCAATAAGTTCTTCAACTTGGCAACCCAAGTGTGTCAGGAAACCGTACCAGCGGGGTGCGAGTAGGAGAAGATCAGAATCAAAGATCAGATCAAATTTTAACAAATCAATTATGTTTCTTTTGTTAGATGCCGAAAGTTCAATATTTAATATAATTTTATTGATGTTTTCTACATTTCTGTTGTTAAAAAATAAAGAAACAATTAAATTACCTTTAAATATTGGCAAAATTTGCGTTTTTTAAAAGTGATTTAAAAATCAATACCGACTACCGATTGGTATTTTCTGAACCATTCTATTATCGCTTACTATACCATAAAAGTAGTCCAATGTTTTAAACAATTGTAAGTACTTGGAGGAAATAATACGAACAAGTTGACGACTGTTAAAGACTGTTAAAGTAGTATTTCATACCATTATTGAGCAAACAAAAAATACGTTACGATTTAATTAAAGATATTCTTGAATTCGCACATACTTGTATTGTTAATATTTTCATATATGTAGACCTGTGCTAGATCGTTGCTGCTTTCAAAGATAATCGCTCAGCATCATGGAAATCAGAAGTTATGGAATGTTTTAGTTAAAAAATAATAATAATAATATATGTATTTATGTTGAAAAGAAACGAACTGGAACTTTTACTTGCGATCACATTTATTAAGTTTCGTATTTGAATCAAATTTTCTTAAATATTCTCTCTCACAATTTTACATTAATTACACAATTCACTTCATTTTGTTTGTTTGTTTGTTTTTTTAACACAAAATCTCTTAAACGAATTAAATAAATAACAGAAATATGCGTATGCTTCGTTTTTCTCTTTATAGTAAACATATATATACATATAGTATATGTATATAGTATATATATGTAATGTATAATACGCTTAAAGGTGAATAACTAAAAGGGTTGCTAAAATTATTACAGTTAGATAATATGTATATGCAATTTAAATTATCTCTCATTGTGCATGTGTGTGTGTGTGTGTATATGATGAGTGTGTGTACAATTTTGATTTGTGCTGCATCGTTATAAAGCGCCATATGGTCTGCCAATCAGATATGTTGGCAACAATAAATGTGTTCGATTGGATAATACTTTCACTGACAAGAGAAAGTGGGCAAAACTAGAAGCTTTGAAAAACGTTATTGCATATACATATATCAGCAGCACTAAACAAAAATATATTGAGTATATATTGTATGTATGTATGTATGTATGTATGGGTGTGTGTAAGTATGTATAATCGAATGAATTCATTTTGTTTTGTTTAACATTTTATAAGTTGACGCGTGGGCTGGTGGTTTCGTACATTTCCTACACTAATCTTTTTTATATATATTATTAATCATTTTATTTCATGATATTACACACATATAGGTATGTATATATGTGTGTGTTTTTGTATGCATTGAAATGTTTAGCTTGGAAAGCACAAAAGGTTTTGTTTTATGCTCTTTAAATATGTGTGTGTATGTGTATGTATATAATTTATATGTATATGAAAAAATATATATGTATATATGTATGGTTTAACAAAACTGTAACTACGGCTCATTTGATGAATATTTTTCTCAGTTTTGTTTCTTTTGTCAAATTTTTATTAAATATTACTTGTATTACGTTTTTCTCGTTCTTTTTTGTTAATAATAATAATTTTATCTAGTCTGTATATCAAAAACTTTGAACAAATACATTGGATTTTACGTTCAGGGGGAAAAACGAAACAATTACAACGTTTTTTTTCTTCTTCTTTCTTCTTTTTGTTGTTGAAGTTGAAACATAGTTTCTAATTCTTAAATGCCTAATAAATAATACACAATAATAAAACATTTGCATCATTCCTTTTTAAAAAACATGAACCCAATTGAATTTCGTCGATTTGTTGATTGGTGTTAAGTGCTAAATTAAACTGTTTGTTTTTTGATAGAGTTCATATTATATTTAAGGTAAAACATAATTTCATTTACTTAATTTACTAATTACTCTAATTAACGCCGCATTCTCCTCCTTCAGACGATGGTTATCCGTTTTGTAGGCATCGAGTTGCTGTGGATGGGCGTCGCAATATGAGAGAAAGTGAAAATAAAAGGAAAATTATTAAAAAATTATAAATAGAATGCAAAACAAATGTAGGGCAAGAACTTTCAATTTTGTATTATTTGGCAAAAGTATTTGCAAATTTATTTTGGTAAGTTCTTTTGGCGTTTTGTGCTTTGGAGACATGCTTTTTAGTTGGAAGGCGCTTACTGCAGGTACAACAACAATGATAAATAACAACAACGACAAACAATTAGTATATATAAGTAGTGGCAACACAAAACAAGGCCACAACTTGGCCCATTGGAACGCCCTAAACAAAAGACAATTAAAGAGGCATGCACACTATTCAACAAAATTTCACACTCAACGCAGTATTCCCCAATTTGGTTTCGTGCTTTGCAATCTCCTGCTTTTCAACATAACCTCTGTCATGAGATGAACATAAATATAAAGAGTAGAGTTGTTAGATGCTGGAAATGGGGTCGAATGTAAGCAGTGGAGATGACATCAACAAACCCTTTAAGGAACAACAATTCTTCTCCACATGAGATATGAGACAGTGATGAGAATAGTTTCTAGCATAAATATTGTGAATTATCGCACAAGGTTCAGAAGAGCAGTCCAAAAATTTGGCTCTGCTTATGACAGAAGATGAAGACAAAAAACAATAAACAGTTTTATAAGAACGACACAATAGGAAAATTGTTTATTTGTAACTTATTTTGATATAAGTTATAAACATAAAGATAAATTGCAGCAGAACTTTTTAACAATTATAACAAGGAAACAATTTTTGGTAGAATAATTTAATACACATACATTTAGATATATATAAATATATAACATTTTTAATAGATATGTATATATACACTCGAGAGTTTCAAAACGTATCATAATAAGACTGTAGTCCCAAAAAAATGTTTGGTCAAGGGGTACAGTTCTTGAGAATTCGTTCAGGCGCCAACTTAACAACAAATTTGAATGGGCATTTGAAAAATGCAGTTTCCCTTTAAATGATTTCCTACAAATTCGTAAACGCACTCAGCTGCACAACAATTTGACCAATTTTGATCAAAATTGTCATCATATGAAAAAAAAAAAACAGATTTGTTTTGAACTTGTCGAACACGATTCAGATAAAATGTCGCAAAATGAAATTTGTCACAACGATTTTGAAAATGAAGCAGACCAGTAAAACTTTTCTATTCCGCAAAAAAAAATCAAACTATTTTAAATCTTTAAATTACTTCCATTCCTGCCTGCCTTGAAACTCTCGATTATGCAGTTTTATAGCTAGGTGTGGTTGTGGTGTTTATTATCTTTGTTTTATTTTAAATAAAATACACATAACAACAAAAACAACAGCCCATATAAGTAGTATATGGATATGGACACAATGTACTGCTGAACAGTTCTTGTCAGTGTGTGGATTTGGTGTGAGAGTGCAGTCCTGGGTGGCAAGACATTTACCGTTAAGCACGTGCAGTAATCGTTGAGAGTTGGTGCCACCTGGTGCCTGGACCTGGAACTGCAGCTGCTGCAGGGAAGGTGGGCAGCGCGTAGCAGGTGAGCAGTGGATTTGTATCGTTGGTTCCGAAGCTTTTCAATTTGATTTAAGTATTTTTCTTTTTGGTTTTTGGTTTACAGCTTATTAAATGTTTGTTTAGATGCATAATAAGTTAACAACTGATATTATAAATATTTTAGGCATACATTAAACTACAAGATTGTATTTCTGTTGCTACCTAAAGAAATTCGAATTGCCAAAAACATTGGCACAAGCCGTGATAATACAAATACATATATATAGATATAGTAGTATAAATAAGAGTACCATTGTGATTGTGATTATTACGACGAATATTACAGGCAGCAGCTGTGCTTATTTAAACTCAATTTGCTAGCAAAGTAGAAAAGGTGCTCGACGACTCATTAAATTGCTTAAAACTATTTACGTGTTAATTCAATATATCAGCCATTTACAATGAGCGCATGTGAACTTAATTTATTAGCTACAAATAATTATTGTTGCACGTTCGAAATTTTGCTTATTCTTTTGATTGAATTGTTATCTGATGTCATATACTATTATTAATTAATTACATCGAATTGTGTGATAAATATATAAATATATTTAAGCTATATGCGATACGATACATCATCGTTGTATGTGTATATATGTATATTTATTTTGATTTCAGTTTTTATTTAATAAATAGAAAAAAGAGATATAGTATGTTTTGGGTGTTCATTTTCGTGGATAATTGCTAACAAATTGAATGATCGACTTGTGTGTGTGTGTGTGTTTGTATTGAGTGTGTGCTTTTGGCTCTTATTTGGTTTTGGCAAGTTGACTTTGTGCCGATGTGGTCAACTTTGAGACGACACGCGTCAGGGCGCGATTCTCGGCACGCAGACGGTCATTCTCAGTCTTTAGCTTCTGCAAGAGCTAAAATGACGCAACAACAGCGGGAATAAAAGAAGAAAACGCATGTTTTTTGATTTGGATATAATTTGTTCGATTGTTTGGCGTTGTGGATGAGGCGCGTGGGAAGAGAGAAAAAAATATAAGAAAATCAAATTTGAGTGATCGTTTTTGATTGATGAGAGAGACAAAGAGAGAGAATGAGAGCGCGTTGCGTTATAATAATTTGTAAAGCAACGAGAGATGTCTGTGATAAAAACGAACGAGAACGCACAGTAAACGAACGCATAACGAACGAGTAACACAAGTAGCATGAAGGCAGTGTGAACAAAATTATAAACGAGTAACTGGACTAAGGACAATGTGAACAATGAACACTGATGATGGGTGATGTGTATATTGAGAGTGAAGTGAAGGCACATAAACAAAAGGCAAAGGCAAATGTCCGAGTAAAGTGACTGACAAGTGACTGTAACTGTGACTCTTCCAAGAGAGTGGAGGGAGTGACTGAGATGGCAAATGAGAGATGATACAAAACACAAATATGAACGCTTACACATTAAACATGTATTTATGTATGTACATATGTATGCAGGATGAGAAAAACAAAAATAGAATCAAATGAATGAATGCAAAGCAACGGCTTTTCTGTACATTGGGTTGCAGAGCCCGCCAAATTGGACAGGAACTTGCAGCTTAAATCTAAGTTGTGAAAATATAATTATAATAAGTACAAGTATAAACATTTTGTAATTTCCAAATTAGTTAAGTGCTGTGAATTACACAGACAGCTAAGTAATTGTGGACACGCAGCAAAAATTGGGGCCGAAAGAGTAAAAAACGTAAAGCAAAAGGTAAAACGCATTTTCGATTCAACTCGGAACTTGGTGCTGCTCTCTAATTGACGAAACATACGTTATGGTTTTTGTTGGTTTTGGGGGGTCGTGGGAGAGTCAACACAAAAGTAACAATCGAAAAATAGTTGCCAATATAAAAAATGTCGGCAAATTTTACAAAAAAGTGTGGTGTTAAGGCTTCCTTAAAATTATAAAGGTTAATCCGAAAAATTTTGATAACAATCATCAAAGGTAACAAAACAAAGCTTTAAAACTGAAATTATTGCCAAACCTTGGGAGCATGCGTTTTTGTGTTTAATAAAAAACAAAACTTCTTAAACTAATTATAATAAACAAACGATAGGAACTGTTGAATCAAAATAAAAAAACAAATGCAGGTATTAGAATAGTTTTTTTTTTTTTTTGGGGGGGGGGGAAAGGAATAAGTTTTGACAGCTGCTCGCTTATTGAACACAAAGCAAAGACAAATTGTATGCATACAGGGGGTAGTTGGAAATAAAGAGGGGTTGGATGATACTTTTGTAATTACCTTGAGCTCTTCTTCCAATTCGGAAAGCTTGCGTTCCATAGCTCTTCTTTCACGTTTCTCAATCTCAGAGAGTGAATTTTTAGTTGTCTGCAAATGTGAAATGAAACAAAATTTTGTTTTTGTTTTGCATTTGCTTTTTGTTTCGATTACTGTTTTTATGTTTTTACTGGTTTTTTTTTGTTACTGTTGTTCAGTTGTAATGTTGTTTCAATTTTGTAATATAGCGAAAGAGAGAGCGAGCAGCGACAAGCATCATGTGTTCTTGTTCTTGTTGGGGGCAATAATTTTGTGAGCAATATCAAAAAAGTGGGGGGAATCGAGTTTTGAACGAGTTAAGAGAGTTTTATAACAAAGAGTGGCGTGGGCGTGTTGTTCTGTGTTGTTGTGGGAGCGCGCAGCATAGCAAAGAGGAAGACAGAGAGAGTGAGAGCGAACTGGTGGTTTTCTTTTGATTTCTTGTTCTATTGTTGTTGTGGATGGGAAGTGTGCAAGTGTGGAAGTACTTGTAGTTAAGATAGAAAGAGAGAGCACTGTCTGGCACAAGAGAACTTTGAAAAGTTTCTTAAAGTTTTTAGTGTTGTTCGGCGTTGGTTTTGTGATAAAGGGTTCTCACAGTGTTAGCTTTTTCACTTACCGCATTGGCAAAACGCTCGAGTGTGGCACGCGTTTGTACAACTTCGTCGTCCTTCTGCTTCAGCATTTGCTTGAGCTTATCATTCTCCAATCTGTAAAATTGTACAAGGTCAATGAACTCTTTCGCAAAATGGTTTGAAGTTTAGGAGAACTTACTTGGCTGCTTCCCAGAGCGCCTTGTAGTCTATACCATCGCCATTTTCTGTTTTGTCGCTGCTCGTTGTTTTCGACTCGCTGGAAGCACTCGTCGTTGCCGTGCTCGTTGTGCTGCCCAGTCGCGAGCGTGAAGTTCGCTCACTGCCACTCTGTTCGAAAAAAGAGAATTAGTCAATACTCATTAAGCACTACATGATCACTAATTTTAATGGGAGTAAAGAATAAAAAGAGCGTCAGAGCTTGATTCTCTAACTGCGTAGCCGTAATAATAACAAGAAGAACACAACAACGTCTGCATGCTTACTTCGTAGCCCTCGCTTTTCTCCGACGAGGCACTTATCGACCGTTGAGCCGCACTTCGTGAGCGTGTGCGATTGCGTGACTTACGCTCCTGTTCTCTGAGTGAGTTGCTACGCGTGGCGATCGCTGCCGCAACTGTGGCTGCACTTCTAGGCGTGCCGTATGCACTGCTGGCAGCATTGAGGCTGCTATTCGACGTAGAGAGGGACTTGGTTTTGAGCAAACGCGAGTTTGAGGAGCCCTTGAAGGAATTCGAGGCACTGAGACTGGGCGATTTAAAACTAAGCGAGGCTGTGGTCACACCATTATCGTAGCTGCTCGAATAGGGACTGATATAACGATCACTGCTGTAGGAGGGATAGGCGCTGGAGCTGCTGGAACCATATCTGGAGCCTCCGTCATAGCCGCCTGCTGTGCCGTTCGATGGGTGTTGGTTGGTGGTTATGTGCGAGTTGGAGTTGGAGGATAGAGCAGATGTTTTAGAGTTGCCATAGTTATTGCTATGCCTGTTCACAACAATGTGATAATGATGATTGTGGTGGTTGTTGGACATGTGGCTAGTGCTAGTGCTTGTTGTGGTGGTGCTGCTAGTAGCTTGATGGTGCTGATGCGGTTGTGTTGCATTGTGTAAATGCAAGTAGTAGCTTTTAGCTTGAGCATGATTTCTATGATTGGTTTTAGTGGTTGGCATGACATTGCATGTGGAATTAGCCGTCGACGACGATGACGATGTGGATGATGTTACTGATGTCATGTTGCTTGCTGCGGTTGCGGCTGGCTGGTGGTGATGCTTGAGCTGATGGTGGTGCTGGGTTAGATAAGCAGCTGTTTTGGGCGTGGAGGCGCCAGCGGAGTTAGCAGTAGCCAAGTAATCGTATCGATTGCTCGCTTTACCATTTGAATAGTAACCAGAGGTGGTGCCTCGCGCACCACTGCCTCCGCCACCGCCATAAAGACTCTCGCGAGAGCTGTAAATGCTTGCATAGGGACTCTGATAGTTGCTGTTCTGATAGTAGCCCGTGCTCAGGGGCCTGGTGCTGCTTCCATTATAGCTGTTCCCATTGTAGTTGTAGCCACTGGAGCCACCGCTACTGCCAGCGCTGCCCGTGGTGCCTACGCGTGAACTAGACGAGAGCGAACGGCGACGCGATGAGAGCGGCGCTTGGGTGCGCGAACGTGAGCGAAAGGACATGACGCGCTCGCTAAATAGAGAGTGCGAGAATGTTCTCTTCTTTAGTATAACAAACAACCTGCAATTCTCCTTTCTCTCAACCCAACCACCAAACCTCTGCAATCGTATATCAATCAACAATGTGTACTGCCGAAAAATTGCAATTACGTTTAAACAACTCGCCAAAAACAGATTTCAGCACAAAAACCAATTACAATTATAATCAAAGCGTACAAAAATGTTCTTGAATTGGCATAAACAAAAACGAAACCTGCAAGCAGGAAAACAAACAATTTTCTTGTGTGGATCTTTGTACCGCCAAACGTAAGATCTCTAAATGTGGAAAACGCAATATTGACATGTGGTTATCGTCGTCCCCATGCGCCCTGCTGCGCCCCATTACCCACACTTGTCGACGAAAAATGACGTCAAGACATAAATTTTGACATTTTCTTTTCCCAAATTAAATGTTCCTACCAGTCCCTCCCGGGCCCGCCTGTGCTTTCCCGCCCTGCGGTACAAGTTCTTTGGCTTTTATTGAAAAAACATACAACGCGTTGATCTATTGGATAAAGGGGGCCGCTACTCACTCGAGCGTTTGCTGGGACCCGCTGTCTCTCTATGGTTTATTCTATTCTATTCGATTCTATTTATTTATTTTCTTTGCTTGCCCCATGTTAATATTTTAAGTTGATTCTCTCACCCACGCAAGTCAACAAAAACAGGCGAACAATAAACATGAAATTTGTTTCTTTCAAGACAATTCCGAATGCAGATATGTACCTAATTGAATTTATGGTACGTTTGTTTCCATGTACTATATTATAATAGATCTGGGCGTTCGCGATTTTAATGCCTGTTACAAAAATGTTTAAACGTTTTGGCCTTTTGCAACATTTTTAATGGCCATCCAAATTCGTGATAATTCCTCAATTTTCTAAGCTAATTTCACATAAATTTTATAAATAAATATCTTTCGTCACAGCGGCCAACGGTACAGTCGATGTGAAATGTTTGTGTGTTTGTGTGTGTGCATTTTTTCATGACAAGACAACAAATAAATGCCATGTGGGGGATTAGGAAATGCAAAACAAATGGCTAACTCATAATAGTTTTTAAAGTGGGCTAAGATGCGTTGAAGGCTGCAATCAGAGTGATGTTTTAAAACAGCCGTGGATTGTGGAAAACTTTTCTGAAAAACTTTCCATGCACAATTCAACTTTTATTAAATGGAAGGTCATTGGCCAATGGAAAAAATTTTACATACGAAGTGATTGAACTTCTACCTTGTATATAAATTGGCGATTATAAAATTCGGTTTGCACAGCTGAGTTTTCAAATGTTGCCGATTTTCCTAACCTAAACAAATACCTATCTGGTTGAGAAATAAAAAGGTAAACATTTGCAGGCTTAGACTGAGGGAACCACATTAGCAAGTTATTTGCAGACTACTGTTGTCGGAAAATATTCTTCACTACACTAGCTAACGCTTTTATCAATGATAAACAACAAAAACAATGTTTGTTAGCTGACTATAGACATAAAATTGCATCACAAGAATGATCTGTATCTGACAACTACTCGGGATTGGTTTTAAAAAAATATCCTATTTCTTCTCCCGCCTGCTTTAGCATAAAATTGTAGTTTTAAAAAGAAACCACCTCGATTTTCATTGGTTGGGAAGGCCTAGAAACCTCCATGCAAAAATTACTATAAAAATATCATATCTCTTCCCGTGAAAGCTTTATAAACTACTTATCCTGGAAAAATGAAGTTCGGTCAAAACAAACTTTCTTGGCATGCGAATGATGAGTCAGATCCTGCTGTTTGTCTAACAAAACATCACATATCGTTGTCATCGGTCAAATGTTTGGAATAATTTTAAATAACGTTGTTTAATTGAATTAAAGCATAATCAAAATATTTGACCATTTAGAGCCATGTTCGTGCAACAACACAACTTTAAACTTGAAATGCCCAAAAATGTGCACAACTCGATGCCATTTAAGGCAGTCGAGCTGTACAACAAATTGAAAACGAACTTGTAGCTGAGCCACAAGTTATTGTGTTAGTTCATCTGATCTGATTGTCTATATAATATCTTCTCCTGCTGCGGTAAACTGATACGCAATTGCAATTTTTCACGCGTTCGCCAGCATTGTGGTTGATTTTTCGTTGCACTTGGCGTATTGAATTCATTTTAATTGTACATTACTTTACAAATAATAATGTATGGCTGATTCTGTTGAATTATACAATAAAAATTTCTTGTTTTTAATTTATTTATTTTTGTGATATGGAGAACCGATGCGGTGGCCGCACAAAACTCAACTGTGCTGCTCAGGCAGGTTTTCGAATGTTTTATTTGAAAATGCCGAAAAATCTAAGCAATTAATCGAAAATAAATTTTAAGAGAGCAGTAAAGAGTAAAAATTGACTGTCGGCAAGCGAGTGTGAATGTGGGAAGAGCGTAATAGAGAGAGAGAGAGAGAGATAGAATGGGAGGCAGGCTTTACGACGCAAAATGCCGGAAAATCTCACAAGCATTTGGAAAATAAAAGTAAAACCATATAATAATATCAAAATATGAAAGAAAATAAACAAGAAAAACCGTGCGTTGAACTGACAAAGAGACGCGTCTGCTGCTGCACACGACATATCCACTCGCAAGCCCCCTCTCTCTCTTCCTCACTGTCTCTTCATCTAGAGGGTGCAGAATCATTTGGTTTTTCATCTGAATTGCGCACAACGTGAATTCTTTTTTTTCACCTGGCTGCTGTATGGGTATGGGGCTTTCTAAATATAGTAAATCGCTCACGTATTTGGCCCAATGTCCGAGACGCAACAGGGTTAACAACTATGCTGGGGTCAGCTGATGCCCACAGACACAAAAACCAAACTGGGCCAAAAGGCGAAACAGTCAATGACACGTGCAGCAGCAGGCCCAGCACCGGCAGCCAAAGAAGACGAAGCAGACGGAAAAGTAGGAAATGCAGCAACTCGTCATTTCTATTTTAGGTAGCCCCCGAGCTAATTTTATATTTGAAGTGCGTGAGTGCCGGCCTGCCTCCTAAGGGAGTTGTTTTATGCAGATTGTTCTTCTTGTTCCTCATAACTGGGGCAGAAGTTTGTTGCACATCAGAGACGCTCCACTCCGCCTCACTGTGCTGCCTCTTGGACGAAAATAGCCAAGCGAAACAAAAACGTTGGCCACAATGAGGAAATAAATGCCAAACAAGTGAATATATATTTGGCGACTATTGCAGAAACGGTGCTGAGTAGAATGTTAGAGTTTTGGGAGTCACCTATTCTTGTACCCGTTTCCTTGCCCCCCTTTAATTTTTCCCAAGTCAGATTAATGATATAGGAAAGAGATTTGAGAAAAATTCTGAGTAAAGTAAGACATTTTTGAAAACTCATCGCAATATGTTATGTCTTTAAAAGTAACTCATAAATGAACAATTTGTTTAAGATGCAACATAATAGACAAGTTTTTGTACAAAGAATGATTCATCACCGACCGTTCCCTATGACAATTATAAGAAAAAACCTCAGAGAGAAGAATTAAAATAAAACAGTATTGAAACGTGGCATAGCTGGCCGTTTGGCAAAAAAAAATTCCACCACCGTGTCGGATTCGTTATTAGATATATTTTTCATTTTTATAGGCTTTTTTACTTCTTTAGTTTTATTTAGTTTAAGTTCTCTATTGTATTGATTTTGTTATTTTTTCTTTTACACGGACAGCATTGTTTGTCGATTAAAAAAATAAAATAAAAATAAAAAAAATACTAGGCTTTCTGGAAAAATCTTTATAAACAAAAACCAATTCTTAGTAAGATTTATATTTCCACCGATTGTTCTTTTGGCAGCGATATAAAATAATGAGGCTATGTATGGTTCGTGGTTAACATAGGCCTGCACATGCTTCATTAAGTCAAAAATTTCCCCTTCGATATTTAAATGGTTCTCCCACGTCTCCTTCTGCCTATTAAATACTATATTCACCTCTCGGGCGCGGGGATTAGCAAATGCTGAACGTACGGGTCGTGTGGATGCTATAATTGGGCAATTTGTTACGGAATGCAGAATGCATAACCCAAATGTTATAGAAAGTGCAAATAAACAGCATGTGAGTGTATGCATTATTTGCCAAACACTTGACATCATCAATCAACACACTTAGCAAGTAGACATGATTAGACAAACAGGCCAGGCACATTGTTTGCTGTCAGTGGCCGCTAGAGATGGGCGGACAGACAGACATACTAAAAATCTGCAAATAAATGACTAAATGCACTTACAATACGAGTATGTAAGTGCCAGACGCTGAATTATTATTGGTTGGCAGGCCAAATAAATTGTTAACAGGTTCGTCGCAAATAATACTCGAACAACCAACAAATTTTGGCGCAATTTCTCGCAAATTGGACTCGCACTAATAGTTATGACCTCAGCCATGAAAGGATTTCATTTGCATTTGGAGCAGTCACAATGTCAAACAGACTTAGAGCATATATTTGTAATGGCTATAATAATTTGTGAGATTTGGGCCACGCTAATGGGAATAGACAGGCGGCTGCTACTGGGGCAACTACTTTGAAGGACGACACACACGCGAGAACTAGAATTTTGACAAGGTGCTATGATGGGAAAAAAATTAAAAGAAGTTCAGGTACAACAACGACGCAATTCGAAAACAGCTGCCATGGCGAGATGGCACACATTTCTCTGGCAATTGTTTATACGCAATTGCTGCCAGAATTTCCCAATAACTTGCAGTTGTTTGTTGTTGTTCTTCTTATTGGCTGCCGTTAACAGCATACGAGTATTCTATATAGTTTGATTTTAAGTTATTTAACTCACCTCCTTCTCCTCATTATCATTATTGGATGACTCATTTTGACGTTCCGGATCAATTTCCTGTAAATAAAGGCAAAGAAAAGCGACAACAATTAGTATTAGTTTAGCACTAATTAGCACTTTGTTTTACATATAATTAAACATGATGCGACTCATTCGCTCTGACAGATGACAGAAAAAGCTCATTAAAATAACTTTCTGCAGTATAAATCACTTAAGACTGTCTTTGCCTGATGAAAAATGTATTTTTGAAAACATGAGATCTTATTTGGCCGACTAATAGATGTTTTTCACTTTAATAGAAAGCTTAAGCACTGAATTCGTTTTAAAGCGACTTCATCAAATAGAATAATATGAATAGAGTTTGAAAATGCTTACGAAAAAGCTGAGAAAACCTGTAATAGAAATAGTTTGAAATAACAATTTGCAAACAATTTAAAAATTTTAAAACTTTGGTAATTTCTAAAAGTTGTGAAAACCGGAATTCCTACTTAAAAGCCAGATTTCTTGCGACATACCTATACGCTTTAATTAGATCGAGATTTGTTTCCATAACATCTGATTGTACATCGGTATTCAAAACCTAATAACATTCTTTCGTTATTTATGTATTATTTATATATATATATATTTTTTATTTTTTTATTTTCTTAGTGTTCAACAATTAAGAATTCTTTCAATTGAATTTGAGAAAAAATTTGCCATTACTAGAATGAGTTAAAGTGTTAGAAACTATTACCCAATTGAATAGTAACATTTAGCTAGTTTCAATTACATCGGATTCTACTATCAATAGGTATTCTATAACTAATCAACTAATAACATTCTTTTCCTTTTTTATTATTGTTAGAACATTGTCATATAAGAGTTAACAACTTGTATGTATAACAGCTGATTAATTTACACATTGTAACTAGCTCTTAAGTCATGCTCACTTTACTATATTAAAGCAACTCAAACAGTTAAGACGTTTACGCTCTCTTATTGATCTGCCTTGGATTTTGGGAGCCATGTGGATCTTCCACATACGCAATCATTATACAGTGAAAACTCTCTTGGCCGGACACTCACGGTCGGCCAATTTTTGTCCGTCCAAAGGGATTGTCCGCTTAGGGGGATACTTAAATACTTTATACACCGATCGAATGTTTTTAAAAAGATAAAAGAGGTGTCCATTAAGGGAGTTTTCACTGTAAATCTCCAACAAATATTTATGTAGAATTTTTGTTTTTTTCAGCAAAGAATTTTAGCAATTTCAATATGCCATTACAAGAATGAGATACACTATTCCGAACTATAACCCAATTTCGTAGTAACTTATGCGCAAATTTGAAAATTAAAAACCAAAAATGAATGGAAATGAAAATTCAGAGAAATTCAAAGGAATTTTGATTATTGCGAAAAGTGTTCGATAATGAAAATTTAAAAAATAATAGTGTGATTACTTCGACTGCCAATCATGAATTCAAGTTCAATTTTCGCCTGCGATTGTAATTTTTTTTCAACAAATGCCAATCAGTTTCTGAACCATTTATTAGAGACTAATCATCAATCTGCAAACAATTATCGCGAATTCAAATTACCCGGTGAATGCGTTCAATAGTTTTGAATGATTGGTATGATCTTTAAACAAGTACGAGTACTTATTAGAGATTTTTGTGCTAAGCTCTAAAATTATTTGCAAATAATACTTGGTTGAAAAAATAAAAACATTTTTGCTGTATATATCTGTATAAACTTACATCCATATCAACGTGCACGACACCAGTAGAACGACGTTTCGGTTTGCGACGTCGTTGAATAGCGGTTTGTGTACGATTATCGTTCTCCTTGTCGTTATCTGAAATGGTTTGTGGTGTTGGTCAGTAGAATACTTTACGCTTGATATAGCTTAATAGCTTACCCTTATCATCGGGGCTGGCGTTTGTCGCTGCTGGACCTCCTACGACTGTTGATGCTGCTGCTGAAGCCGCCGTTGAGTTGGCAGTGTTCGCTGTGGCCGTTGAGTTGGCAGTGTTCGCTGTGGCCGTTGTGGTCGATGAGTCATATTTGCGAGCAGGAGGAAGGACAAAAGCGCTATTGTTTGTGTTTTCGTTCTGGCTGCCGACGCTTGGCGCTGACACCGGACGACCTACCGAGTTTAACGATTGGTTCGAAGCATTGACTGCAAAGCCATAAAGGAGAATTAGTGATAATGGTATTATAAGTTTCGATAATGGCCAGCTTACGCGCATTGGAACCACTGCTAATGCGTCTCTGCGAGCCGGTTGTGGCTGCTGCTATAACCGCAGGCGCACTTGGTATGATCGTGCTATTATTGGGCGGGTAGTTGTCCTCCAATTTGAACTGTACGAGCCAATGGAAAAAATGTCCAATATTAATTTTTCACATAAAGATATAGTATGCATAATGTACATATGTCGAAGAAGTAAGCTCTATAATTTTTATTCAGCTTGTGTGCTAATGTTTCCAGAGAATTGTATGTGTGTGGTGTGTGGAGTTGTGGATTGTGTTTGTTTTTTGAGTGCATCGAAGGTCTAGCAATGTCTTTGGTGTTGTGTTTTTGTTTTCAATTCAATTAATTGCGGCAAAGTAATTAGTACACGTTTAGTAGTCAATAAACATAAGCAGCGACTGCCATTGCGGCCTCTATTCAGATCCAATAGCAAAGCTGAAGGCACTTTGTGCTCCTTGGAGGCACATTGAAGTCGCGAATTGTTCAAGCCTCGGAGTGCAGCAGCTTCGGTTTTATAATGCGTCGGCATTTTAACTCAATCTCTAAATTATTTCATTTTCTACAAATTTCTTTTATTCATTTATTTTTTTTGCCTGACGTTAACTTAACAGAAAAATGCATGCAGTTTGTCAAAATTTAAAAACAGAGCTACCAAAATAAATGTTTAAAGTAGTAAGTAATTCATTAAAAAAAGCCAGATTAACAAGCAACAGGTTAGTGACAACAATTATGATAGGCACTGTATATATATGTATGAATAAGTTTGTTTTTATTTACAGTTATGTGCTAGGAAATGCTTAATAAATTTATATATTATACAAAACTAAAATTTGAGTAATATTTATATACGTATATAGGTAGAGATATATGTATATGCGTAAGATTGTCAGGCATAAGAAATGAGCAAATGCGTAAAAGAAAACGAATTAGAACGTACTTAAATTAATTAAAGATATAGACCGAGCGTTATTTTTATACATACATACATATAGGGCACATAGATAATAAATAACTATGAGAAACTATTTCATGCTACACTTAAAATTGTTTAACAAAATGTCAATAAACAATTTAGCATCGGCCTCGAATGGAAGAGAGAGTTGCATCTACACAGCATTCTCTTGGAGATTTTTGTAGGTCTGTACTAAAAGTTACCCAAATTTGAGTTAAGCCACTTAGTTCAATTTTAATTTGAATCAATCAATCAATTTCGAAAGTAAAAATTTCACAGAACGGAGAATTTGCATTTAACTTTATACTTTAAATACGGGTAAAATATGTATAAAAGGAAATCAACTACTGTGTAACTGCCTAAAACCCAGGTATTTTTTTCGAAAATTTTCTTGAAAACTTATAGAATAATACATATGATTTGTAGGAGAAATTTAAAAACAGCTATTTTGTGACCAGGAAGAAGCAAAGCTTTTTTTTGAAAAACACGCATAAATATCAACAAAATGTTGCTTGTTTTTGCTTTTTCTTTCTTAAACAAATCAACACAGTCAACTATTTTGACAATCGATAATATTTTGCAATAGGATATTTCACACACAAAGGTGAAATCACACGGTCCTGGCCAAATCGCAAAATGTTTTTGGATATGGAAACATATATTTTATTTAAGATATTTTTGGTACTTTAAATTCCATTCATAAGTCAATTTTTCGCAAGCGTTTCTGATTTAAATTTCGAATGTTCTGTTTCAAGAACTCAAATAATTTAGCACATATCAATAAGGAGTGTAAAGCTTTTCCTATTCGAGACCGACTTCAAGTTGTTTAAATCTAATCCAGAACAATATAGGAATACGTAGGCTTTTGTTGTTGCTGTAATTGTACAACAGTAGCTATTGTTGTTGTTCATGTTGCTGTTTTTGTTTGTGCATACCTTTGAGCCCGCATCGAACTTTATGCGCCAAGACGGACGACGCTCCGCAGTTGATGTGGATGATGCTGCCGTTGCTGTTGTTGTTGCTGCTGCTGGTGCGGTTGTTGTTGCTGGTGCGATAGTAGCGCCAGCACCTTCGCCCCCACTACCCTCAGTGCGTCTCGCATAGCTGAGCAGAGAGTCGCGTGCATTAAAATCACTGTGCCCGGCCATGGGCGAGACTAGCGAACCGGTATCGGATCTGTTGTCCGCATCGTTGCCGGCGCTGCTCATACTACGCTTGTCCCGCAAGCGCACTGGACTTTCAAGGGCGGTGGGTGTTGTTGGGCCCACTGGCGTTGTTGTTGTCACAGTTTTGGTGGCATCTGTGCCCAGAGGCAACTCTGTGGGTCTTAAATGCAATGCAAATGCATGAGTTTCGGGTTCAGTATTCTTGGCAACTTCATCAGTCTTTAGTTTGTTGTTGTTGCTGCTACTGCTGCTTGTCTCTTGGGCAGGCTTTTCGCGTCTCGAGACTATTGTGTAACTGGCACTGACCACATTGGAGGTCTCGCTATCGTCCTCACGATCTGCATCGTCGTTTTCGCGAGCAATTATCGGCTCTACCACATGGGGAACGCCGTCTCCATCACCATCATGTTGGCGGCGCGCAGGCGCAGCGATCGTGAAACTTGCAGTGGTATCAGCACTTTCGGAAATCGCAGATACAGCCTCGATTTCTGTTTCATCGCTGCTTGTTGGTATAATGGCTGGCGGTGGCGTTGTGGGCGGTGGTGGTGGCTGTGGCTCTTGTGTGTTGATAATGTTGCTGGTTGTTGTAGATGTTGGTGATGTTGTTGTTGTTGTTGTGGTCGATGTGGAGCTTGTGGCTTGCGTTTCATTCTGTTAATAATAGTTAGTTTGGAACAAATAAAAATTTTTACCTACACATTGCGTTAAAAAGTATTCAAATTCTAGGGTCAAATTGCTTTTAAATAATTAAACATCATTTAACAACATACATTCCACATAGATATGGTAAAAGAAAAGGTAATAAGAATGCCATAATTTTACACGATTAAATTCAAATTCATTATCCGTTCTGTTTGGATGTCATTCATTCAAAAAGTTACATATGTAACTCCACCTGTCTCATTATATTAATTTTTTTTATATTTATAATTTAACCAGCATTTTTTTTCATTTCTATTTATGTCCTCTAATATTTACAATTTCCGTTAGAAATTAAATCCAAAACCCACATACCTATCCTGGTCTTTTTCTTTTTCTTACATAAGTAATGCAATATTCAAAATACCTTTTTATAGCCTGTACCCAAAGGGTGAAAGGCTATACTAGTTTTGTGCGCATGTATGTAACACACAGAAGGAGGCGTGGCAGACCCCACAAAGTATATATATTCTTGATCAGGATGAGAAGCCGAGTCGATATAGCTTTGTCCGTCCGTCCGTCTGTCTGTCCGTCTGTCCGTCTGTCCGTATGAACGCAAGGATCTCAGAAAGTATAAGAGCTAGAATAACCAAACTTGGTTTCCATATTCTCCTAAGACCGAGAAAGTACGAGTTTGAGTTTTTTTTCGATGCACCCCCCCCACTCCCCCGCAATTCGTGTTTTTTCTTATAACTTCCGTAATTCTTGGAATTTTGAAATCAATTTTGGTAGGTACATCCAGTTAGTACTAATGTGTCCGTGTGCCAAATTTCATCATGATAGGTCAATTCTGAAGAAAGTTATAGCCATAAGTAAAATCGCTGCTCATGCGCTGCCTCTGTCGGCAGCGCTGCCCGCAGCTGTTGTTGTTGTTGCTGCTTTGGTTCAACTTTGTGCTGCATACATACACGCATATAAACACGCATAGGTACGTGATGTAAATGTATGCTGTTAAAACTAAACATAAACATATATTCTAATTTAATTTAATTAATTAATTCATTAATTTTTTTTAATAATTTAATTTTTTTTTTAATTTTTCTTTTTTTGTGGGCAGTACAGGCTATTTTACTGTCGGGCTTGCTCGACTGTAGCGTTCTATCTTGTTACTTTTAAAACTTATGGATTCATATGACTATGGAATTTAAAATATTTCGGACAGTTCCAAATCAGCAGCTGTTTAATTGGCCGTAGGAAAGTTGGGAAATTGAAATCAAACTGCTAACCCATTTTTTCCACTACTCTTCTGAGATCAGTTATTTATCAAAATCATTCATTTCTAAATATCGGAAAAATCAACTTTATGTTGAAGTTACTCGTGTAAATTAGGCTTCCAACTGTAGCGTGCTTTTGGGCGCATACGTATGTATATGTCGCCTTAGCACACCTTCTTTATAAGTATAATGGAGAGCTATAATCATGCAGTATTTAAAAATTTGGTCACATGCAATTCGAAATCGAATGCTTTAAATAGTCTAAGTAGAGTATGTATATTTAAAACTACCATAAGATTAAATAATATTATAACTTAAAAATAAGTTACCCTACATTTGTGTGGGCACAAGGAAAACATAAAAATTAAATCTACACTAAACGAAAAAAAACTTAATAGCATGATCTATGAAATGATGCGTTGTTGTGACGCGGCATAGGCAGGCGGGCGGGCGGTCGCAAGCCAGTCATTCGATCGGTCAGTCAGCCTTAAAAACTCGTGCGCAGACGCAGAAACTCAATTTGGCTTGTTAAGTTTTAAAACAGTTGATGAGCAGATAACGAAAGAGTATATTGCTGATTGATGAGACTTTAATGCGACAGTTCGATGGCAACTAGCTATCAGATGGTCTCTATATATATGTAGATCGTATGAGCTAAAAACTATGCTTATGCTACGGTCAAACTGGCAAATAATTTGAACACAAATCCGTTAAATTTTATAGGTTTGTCGTAAAAAGAATTCTTTTGTATAGTCTGGTCATGAAATGTAAGAAATTGGTGTCCAAATTATTTGCCCGTGTGAACGCACAGACAGACAGGCACACACGCATATACTGAATGGGATATAGGAGCTAGTGGGGACAAACACCTTTAGAACATATAATGATCAAATTGGACGGTGCAATAATGATAAACCTCCTGTTTGTGTGTACATGGGTGTGTGTGTGTGTGTGTGTATATGAGTGTGCTATGCTATAGGGGAGATCTGAGGGAATGTATCAAAACTACTACACGCACACATAAATTGGGACAACAAGGACACCAAAACCAAAAGCAGTTGTGGTGCGCTAAATACATCGAATGTGGACGTCACATGGGAAGACGTGGACGGCATATTATACGTTTCTTCTTCTAGTATTGGACGTACAAATATCGTATAAATGATGATGTATGATGCTATGGCTCTAGTTTAAAGCTACTCGAGTTTCCTTCACTTCAATGGGTGGGTACAGTGTGTCAAAGAAATATGTTATGTCTTTCAGATAAAAATACTTTAACTATATTTAACTGATGATGGAACGTTTTCTTCGGCATTTATAATTTATAGACGTTTTAGAATATTTGTAAAATGGAAAAATTTTATATTAAAAATTAAATTATATTAAAATTGGATTGTCTTCTTTTCTTCTTCTTTTTGAAAGAATACAAATTCAGCGACTATACTTGTATAACATTTTCCGTTTCTTTCAATAATGAATATTTATCTGAAGAAAATAAGTTACAGATTTCTGTGACACACGATTCTGCTTATTGAGAATGTCTCATTTGGGTCTTTGTTTGATTGTTGCGTTTTTGGTGTGATGTTGGATGTCTGTTTTGAAATCAGATTGCACACGAAATACTTACGCCGCTGCTATTGTTGTTATTATTATTGTTATTGTTGTTCATGCCCAAATTCTTCTTCTTGACCAACTCCTCGGCACTTTTGATCTCGTCGAGCGTAACGCCCTGTGTCGAGCGTCGAGTCTCACGCACGCGTTTCGCGTGCGCCTTCCGTTGTGTTTCGCTTTCCTCATCGCGGACAGGCGGCACAAAGGATCTGTGAATGGGGAAAGCAGTTTAGTTTGTAAATATAGATTTAAACATATCGGGAATATAGCGAATTTTTTGGTAATGGCCATGCTAGAGTTGCAATTCGAGGCATTGCATTTTTTGGTTTTAGCTGCGAACATTTTAACAATCTGGTTAGCAAAATACAAATAATAGGCGTAGATGCAAGGAACACTTTTTGGATTGCATTACTTGAAAAAGTTTTTGAATATATTGCCAGTCGATTGCTTGGGCTTTGGCAGTTCCGTGTCGCTGGCACTCGCTGAGTTGCCACTGTTGCCATTATTGTTCGGGGCAGTGTTTGTCGTGATAGTATTGCTAACAGCCGTGCCGAGGGAAGTCAAGTCAAAAAGTTTCAAATGAAAAACAAATCATAAGATAAGTGTGTTTTGTTCAATGACATATTTCCATTGCAAAGCAATTAATCTATTAAACTTTATCTCTCGCTTTCATTTTTATAGAAATTCTAAGTCATACTACGATTTGGACAGATACGAGTTTATTGCCTCTCCATGGAAATACGGTATAAAAACGAATATACTATATAAACGTTATAAATAGAGAATCGCAGTCGCAACAGCTTCAAGTGCTATTAGATTAACTTTGAAAAAGCATTTACAAATACACCTATACTAAAATAGGAAGAATAATTTTATACCCTACTTATTATAGCTGAGTATTTGATATTATAAAATTGGAATTCGGTTTGACTCCTCTGGTAACTTCGTTGGTTGAATGCTTCGGAGATCCGTGCCATCTCTAATTAAAGCAACTCTAAGAACTGAGCACTTGAAAGATGCAAATACAAATATTTTCCGAATATTAGAATACTTAATTCCATATGGACATTAATTAATTAAAAAGCTATTAAATGAAGGCCCTGCGTTTAAGTTGTCCTTATTTCCAGTATTTTAAAAGAACTTCCAGCTTTTGTGTTATCACATACTAAGTAATTGAGAACATATTAGGTTTACAATAACGTTCAAACATTGTTGGATCCTTTCAGCTTTCGAAATCGATGAGAAATTGGAAACGGTTAAAACTGTCACTTTCAAAAAATAGTTCGAATAGAAGTTTAACGAAAAAGTTCGGCGATTTCAAAAAAAAAGTTAGGCGAACCATTTCAATTCAAAAAACTCTACCAATATATCAATTTTTATACTGCTTTTATGTTATCACATACTAAGTAATTGAGAACATATTAGGTTTACAATAACGTTCAAACATTGTTGTCACTTTCAAAAAATAGTTCGAAAAGAATTTTAAAGAAAAAGTTCGGCGATTTCAAAAAAAAAAAAAGTTAGGCGAACCATTTCAATTCAAAAAACTCTACCAATATATCAATTTTTATTCTGCACAAATACGAGTCCCGAAGCTGTTGCTGGTGCGAATAAGATGGCTTAAATACTGTAGTTACGTACCTGCGAACTGGTGGGGTATGCACCGCTGTCGAAGGTGAGCTGAGTGTTGTTGCAGTCGTTGTGGGTGTTGTGGGTGTCGCATTACCAAACGTGGCGATAGGTTTTCTGTGCAAAGGATAAATGGATTGTTAATACGAATTTCATTCGTTTGTACATTCAATTATTTTATAGCATAGAATACGATGTGTGCGCCTAAATGTTAGCTACAAATTTGAGGTAGTTGGTGCATGATAGGGCTAAAGCAGAAGCACGATTACTAGGTTAATTATTATATTGTTAGTTGCACATACACATGAAGAGTTGAAGAGAGAGGCTACATATATATACATACACACATACGTACGTACATAGGTAGTACATACATGTATGTATGTGAGGTACAGCTCATACGTACAGACAGATTAACACAAACAGACAAACAAACCTGTAGTACATTGAATTATCTTTGAGGGAAGCCGATCTTTGTACGGAATAAATTTGACTTTGATTTGTTGTTGTCGCTGTTGTTGTTGCTGCTGCTGCTGCTGGAGTTGCTCTAGCGTTGGCGGTGTTTGTGTTGGATGTTGTTGTGGTGTTGAAGGTGGTGCTTGTTGTTGTTGTGGTGGTGGTAGTGGTTGTTGTGTACTGATTAGCTGAGTTATTAGCAGCATATCCTAATTGCAACGCGCTCTTATTGTTGTTATTGTTGTTATTATTGTTATTGCTACTTAGGTTATTGTTGTTATTGGAATTGGTATTGGTAGTAGCATTATTGCCCGGATTTGTCGCACTCGCCGGCAATGTGGGACATGAATTCGCCTTTATGCGTGCCCGCAGCTCATGGTACTTTTGATAGAATCTATGCGCAGTTTATTAATTATTAATGTTTATCATTAATTCATTATTATTATTATTTGTTGAGCAGCGAGCGGGTTAGATTTTTGATAATGTTTGAATTTTGAGTAAGCATTTGATGTGGTGCGTTGGTGAGTTGATTGGTTGGTTGGTTTGTTGGCACATACGAATAAGAAAACAAACAAACAAACGAATAAAACAAATCAAATTTCAAGCAAAATTACACAAAACTTGTAAATGTTTGCGCAAAATGCAACTCTTTAGCCGTGTTTTTCAATGTAGTTTGTGCTTCACTTAGTCACAACACACTGTCGTCTCGGTTCTGCTACACAATAGCTTAAAAAGCAATCGTCCAACTCACATAACAAGTGAATATGAGTGAATCATATGGCTATAACCTATAGCTCTAACAGCCAATTTCATTTGGATGAGAGGGAGAGAGATTGCGAGAGAGCGCGGAGAGTGTGAGAATGAGGAGCGCCAAATGAGCGATAACTGGCAACAGCTGTTGACTAATTTCAAAGATACTGCATAATTTGATTTGTTAAAACGGAGAAAAACCCACACCCTACAGCCAGAATGAAAGTTGAGTTAAAATTTGGTTAACATCAGTCAGAAGTAACACAAATAATAAATAAAAAGTTATAATTCTGATTTCAGAAATTTAAAAATAGTTTGTTTGAATACTCAAGAAATTCTAGTCATGTTTTAAGATCGACTGGAGATTGTCAAATGCAATTAAATAAGCATGTTGAAGAGATAAACAATTCTTGAATTTAAAGATCGCTTTGAAAATGTATTTTTCTATCATTTTGAAAAATGAAAACATTTAGGTAATTCGGAAACGGTTCACAAAAACTTTGCTGGATACTCTTTCTTCAGTTGATAAACTTTAAAAAAAATATATACAATAGCTTTGAAAGAATCAGAAGCAGTGTATTCCGAACACGACCACGCTTACCCTACCGCCTTGTTTTTGTGTTCTTAGGAGTATTTCGATAATGGCTATGGTTGAAGGCCTATATACTTATATATAGTCGTACAAACATGACGGCACTGTTATGTATATGCAGTTGAAGCGAAGTGCTGATAAGCAACGAGTTAGGCAGTAACAAAGCTGTGAGTGCAGATGTGAAACACAAACTGCAAAACCGAAATGCTGTGCAATTTTGAACAAACATATGACATTTGAAAATGTGTATATTATTTTTGGATGAGGGTTTTCTTAAATTGAGCACGAAACTTGCTAGTGATTGGTATAGTATTGGTTTTCTCCACACACTTACTTTTGATCATTTTCGAAGCTTTGCGTTCGTCGCAGTATGACGTCATTGCTTTCAGAGCTCTTGCCAGTGAGCTCTTTATCAGGAACTTCTGCAAAAGGTAGAGAGAGAGATAGTGAGAATCCGAGTGAGATAAACGTGTTTCTGATTGATTGATCAAGCACTTACGATTCTTAGTGGGACTGTCGTTAGGGGTGCGCGGCGTTTTGCGTCGCCAGGGCGCCTCTTCCTCGACAGGATGTTCGGTTGCATGGATTTGTTGATTTGAATTCGTTTTTAGGTTGTCGGCTGTAAGGAGCAAACAGAAAATCGTGAGCGGAATTCTTTCAACAATCGTTAGATAAAAACAAATTTTGTTAGTAGTTGTATTTGGGCTTTTAGCACATAAGCTGGGAGGAGAGCGCTAAACACTCGGATCAAGTCAAGAAGGCCACAAATCACCAGAGAGGAAACTACCTTCAGTCTCCGATAGACTTGTTGTATGTGAACTCTCTGTAGAGTCAGTAAGCTCTGAATCGGTCTCATCAGCACCAACACTATCGACAACATCATTATCAGCATCATTCTCATCATTATCCTCATCGTCGGCAGCTTCAATGCTGCTGGCGGAGAGCGAAGTGCTCGCGGCTGCAGTGTGCGTGTTACAATCAGAGACAATTTACAGGGGAAAAGATAGAGAGAGAGAGAGAGAAAGAGAGAGCACAAGAGGGAAAACGTCGCAAGCTTAGAAATTGTGAGCCAAGTTTCAATTACAAGCAGTGATGAGCGATGAGTATTGAGCGCAACTGATCGTTTGATGTACAAAAACATACTAATGCATAAGCAATGAGAGCGAGAGAGGCAGTGATTGGGAATGTTAGATGCTTTAGAATGTGACAAGGGAAAAAATAACAAATTTTTAACGCGCATGGGAACCTATTGGGTATAGCAAATAGCGAAATAGGGATATAACGGCAATAACAATACAATACAATATTTTGTATGATTCGAAAAAAAAGAAGAATAAGCTTTGAGTTTGTAATGCTATTATGTATTAGAGCTTTCATACGCACCGTCCTTTGTGGCATCAGTTCTCACTTCCACACGCACCAATTTCGTGGGCGTTTTATCCACATGATTTTCAAACGTATCTGAGATTCTGCTGCAAGAAAGTGAAAGGGATTACAGTTTTTATAGAAAATATATATATATAGTATAGGAAATTGTGAATACGCATTGTACTTGGGGTCGTTACAAAACGTTTGCTTTTGTTGAAAATTTTGTTTAAAATGTAGATCTCAAGAGAGTGTTTTTATGTTAACCCTACTTTGGGCTGCTGCTTGGTTCTTTCAAATAGTATGTATACTATATTACAAATCTCTATTGAAAAGCTTAATATTCATATAACTTAGTTATAACTAACTTAAACCCCTTTAAATAAATGGATTCCTTCAATACATTTTTATCATAATTTGGCAATAATGAATGAACATTCGTAAAAACAGTAGCTGAACTAGAAACAAAAATTGAATTGAACCTTTCTCTCAAATATTTTTGAAATTTTCCATATGGTTAGTAAAAGTTTTTAATTAATACTATTGAATACAATAGTCCTTTAAAAATTACATTTTCATTATTGACTTAAAACTCTTATAACTCAAGTTTTTCTGATTGTCTATTTTTTTTCGATTTAAATATATTTATATACATTTCTGGCTATAACTTCCTCTAAAGTTGTGCTATTAAGATAATCCTTCACACGCAGATAAATAAGCTTTAATCAATTTTGATTGCAAAATTTTGAAACCCCAATGACTACAAGAGTTATAATAAAACATCTCTGACGGAGTTCTTTTCCGGAGTTCTTTTCCTTACAAACAAATGGACATCACCAGAAAAACTTTGTGATTTTCATACCATCTAAACGATTTCAAAACACCTTTATAATATCACTTTTGTGCTCACTCACCTGATTTGACTAGATGGACGACGTTTGTTGCGCTTGTTGGCGCGCAGTTCTTCCAAAAATTTGACCATTTTGCGATCGGCCACATCGATGCACGACTGGCCGGCATAGTTGCGTATATCCATGTCGGCCTGGGACTCGATAAGCATTTCGGCCGTTTCCTTTTGACCCCAATGTGCGGCCGCATGTAACGCCGTCCAGCCATCATTGTCCTGCCGATCGACGTTGCCCCGGCCGGCAAGCAGCAAACTGAGCACATTCGTATAGCCCTTGGCTGCGGCCACATGCAGAGCCGTTGCACCAGTTTTGGGATGTGGTCGATCCATTTCCGAGGCATCGCTACGGAGCCATTTCTTGGCATCGTTGAGCATGGCCTGCTCCTCAGCTTTGCGCGCCTGCTCCACATCGATGTTGAGTTCCCGCACCACTTTCTGCATATAGTCAATCATGGGGCGGTGTTCCACATCTATGGCCAAATCCACCGCCAAATCACCATCGCTATTGACAGCAGCCACATCGGCGCCATTCTCCACCAGGTAGCGGGCTATGCTCACAAAACTAACAAAGAACAAAAGATGTGGTTATTAAAGTTTAGCTTTAAAAAAAAATAATAATAATTGCAATGAATTAAACATACCCGCAAGATGCGGTGGCATGCAACGGTGTCCAGCCCTCATTATCCTGTCTATTAATATCAGCGCCATGTAGAATTAAAAACTCCACCATCTCCAGATTGTCGTCAATGCAAGCCTGTAAATAAAGCAAGCATTTTTGCAAAATGTTTAAACTATTTTTTATTTCGTTTATAATAGTAAAAAGCTTAAATAAACACACACTCACATGAGCACACACTCTTATACATAGGTATGTAAGTTTGTAGAGACATGTGCATGGGCTTGTTGTTTATGCGGATTTCCGTTGAAGTCGAGAAACGGCCAACGATGCCGGCACATGTTTAACGACGACGACGACGACGCCGCCGCCGACGATGATATCATCGTGGACAACATTGTAGCGCGCTATCTAACCAAGCAACAGCTCAGCAACAACAACAGCAATATTTAGTGAAATGCCGATAAGCATTCTTTAGCTTTTGTGCTAAAAAAAAAAAGAAGAAAAGAACTATTCGTCTACACAAACACACGCATACATTTAAGAACCCCGAAAAATCAACATACGACTTCGAACTGGCAACAACAAAAGCAATTGATAAGCAGACGTTGCGCGCATTAAAAAATCAAATGACCGATTTTTATGCGCCCATATGTTAATTTACATTTCTTTTTTTTTTTTTTGTATTTTGTCTTCAAAGTGTTTTCCTGTTGCTTGGAAAAGCAATTTTGATTTCATAGTAAATGGCACGCATAAAATATAAAACAAAACCAAAAATTGCTAAAGCACAGCTTTTTTCTGTGTTCTGTAAAACGGAGAACAAAATCTGGAACACAGCCAATTAATTAATTATGAGCAATTCTGATAAACTGTACAATGATTGTAGCCAGCTAGCTAGCTGGCAACGCCCACGTCGAAGCTGATGAGCCAAACATACTTGTATGAATTACACTGCACTTCAATGCTAAAGAAATTTTCGAATGACTCAATGGAGGTGACGGGTCACGCGTCAAACTAACAAAATGCTTATCGATTCAAATGCTATAATTATGCGATTTGTATGTGTCAACGATTCTTGAGCTTTGTATTTTGTGAAACCGAAGAATCTTGCAAATTCAAATCAAAAGAAGAGGCAAGAAGAGGGACGGTGGTTAGTAAACGTTTTCAGTTTCGAAGAAAGTCCTAAAGTAGCTGAATGGTGGAATCCATGTTGCAATTATTGTAAAAACGAAGCAAAAAGTCTTTAAATACCGTACATCAAGGTGGTTCTACATATAAGGGCTATCGACAGCCGATTTTTACATTCCTTTTGAGTGTATATATATATATTCCTTTTTAAAATCTGCTCTGGCATATAATTTAATGTGTATTCGCTATAGTCAAGATCATGGCTTAGTCTTGATTCGGTGATCAAAATGTAAGTTTATTGTAAGTTATATTATAAGTATTATATAAAACCTTGGTATGCAAAATTTAAATACATTTTTGATAGAGCTTCGAAACTAATGAGGGTAGTTCAACTTAGTCTACCCACTTAATGGAATTCAAAAACACAATGTTTAATGTAAATTGATAAAGATACATAGCAAGTTTTAAACGAGCTGATTAAATAAAAGGAGGAATCCCCCCAGTAGACTTGTATAAGCTAATTATAGATAATTTGTAGTGGGGTGTTTTTGATATTGTTTGAACGGCCGCCTATGTCAATTTCTTTTGTTTTCACTTGGTGCATTTGATTTTTCGCTATTTTCATTGCATTGAAAAGCGCCTTTTCTTGGCCGGGGGAAAAACTATTGCGCATTGCGATCGACAGACCAAATTGCATGCTAAGTTTAGCCTTTTCGTTTGGCATGCGCCATTGAGCGGCATTTGAACGGCGCGCCAAATGTTATTCACCTCTCACAAGCACAAACATATGACTGTATGTGTGTGTGTGTGTGTACATATGCATGTATAAACTAACACACATTAAGTATACGCAACGTTGTTGAGACAGCTTAGATGGCGCCCAAGCCGCTTACACTCATACTAATATGTGGCGGCTTAAAATGCGCTCACTCGCTCATTAAGCGCTCATTGTTTTTTTTTTTTTTTTTCTTTTTTTAGTGGAGGCATGTGCAGCGTTTCGCTTCACTTGCTCTACATTTGCCACACTTTCCACACTCCTGTTTAGCCGCAGCTGTTGTTAGATCGAAATAGCATTTAAATATGTATTTTAGGAATTTTTATACCATAATTTGAGGCATGCCAAATCCTTTCATCGCATTTTATGAGCATTTATTGTATATCGCTTGAGTTCAATAAATTTAAAATTTTAAATACCGCCATGGCGAACAGACGGGCACAGTCCAAAATGTGTCTGACGGTAACACACATACTAACCTATACTCGTAAATATAAATTCACACATGATGTGCAAATAAATCGTACAGTTGGAGGCTGTCATATATATCTCATCAATTTTTTTCCTCTTGTTCTTTTGAGGAAAGTTCCCATGATGTTTTCTGTAGAAAATTCTGCCAAATTGTATAGGCAACTAAATAAAAAACGTCAACTGCTCCCTGCTGTCTATATTTTCTTTTTTTTTTGCTAACACATTTGTCGATGAAATATTTCAGTGACAGTTGCCAATTTTCAAAATGTAGCCGAACACGCTAAGATAGCTGAGTGCTGGTCAGGTCAAGGTAGATTGAATAAGAAATCTAAATAAGGTCACTGGGTAAATACATATTTTGGAGCTGCTGCAGTAATAATTTAGAAATTTTCAGTCACGCCAGAATATTCTTTGACAAAAACGAACATTTTGCCTTTGCTTCAAAAAGCCCTTAAGTTCTTTCTCTGAAAAATGATTAATAATGACGCTGATAACGTTAAATCATAAGTATGACACATTATTCGAAAGTGAACATCCATTTATAGGTGATGTTTAATACTACACTACAATTCTACACTATTTTCAGCGTAGATTTATATATAATTTTTTTTTATTGTTGAGTATTTTGGTGACCTTCCTCATAGTTATTTTTATTGTTTGGCCGGCTCGAGGTCAGAGTAAGAAAAACCAATTTATTTAATTTTCTTTTCTTTTTCCGATATATTTCGGTTACGCCACGGTAACCGTCTTCAGGGCAATTATTTAAGCAAGTCTGCTCTGTTTGACTTGGAGTTTTTTTATATAATTTATTTATAAAATGGAATATAAATTTGCTGCTGCCTGGAAATAATGCCAGAATTTGTATATATTCATATTATAAATACATGTTCTGTTACACCTTCACTTACACTTCTATCTTATGGAGTCCGTCATGAAATGTCCATATGTATATGGAAGTCAATTATGTATAACATATATTTTCACTTAAACCAAATTATCCAGCTCTGCGAACATGTCTTAATCTTTGATCTATTCTTAAAATTAGATCACGTGAAAAGATTGCATGTGCTACTATGTTTTTCTTTTTTAAATATAACTAATAAGCTGAAAGCATTCGCTACTAAACGTAATTAAAAAGCTTCTATTCCATCATTTATTTCATTTCTAAATCAATTGAATAATTGTTGTTTTATTTTGGCTCTGTTGCATCAAACTAATAATTTAGTGGCTATGATTCAATGGGCCATCTATAAAATGATGGCAGAGACCGCTCTACAAGTGTTTTCCCTTCAATTCTCCACCCCCCCACAATACTGGGCCTCATTTGGCCTCAACTATTTTTGTTGGTATGTCGTCATAGGTTTGCGAAAATGTTCATAGTTTTTACTTGTTGCGTTGCGGCACAAAAGCGAAACCATTTCGTATTTCCATAAATTTAGCTCAAAAATATATGTATATACAAGTAGATACGGGCATGTGTGTGTTTTTCGACTCAAAGTCATAAAAGCGTAGCAATAATAATGCGCATAGTTTTTTGATATTTGAAAATGAAGAAGGAAGCAGAACAGGCCGCCATCAGACGAGTGTCAGTAGTTAAAAGAAATATCTCATCGCACATACCAGTATGTTTGTATGTAAGTGCGCATCTAAGTATGTATGTAAACGTGTGTGTGTGTGTGAGTACAATATTGTTGTCGGACTTGCTATTATGCAATATAAATTGCTGCAGACATCAACATTTTTAATGATTTTCATTTTGCTCATCAACACAAGCACACTCGTAAGATTTTCAGCAACGTTTGTTTCTTTCCTTTTTTTTATACTTTTGGTTGTAAAATACAAAACGAGAAATAAATCAAATCAAGTGTAGCCACAATACAGCGTCCATTTATATAAACATATATATATATATACACACACACACACACACACACAGATAGACGCATAGACACAGTCTGTATATATCGTTTGAAACACGCGCTGTGAATTCTTGAGGATGTTGGGGATTTGTGTGTGCGATTTTCTACAGTTTGTCCGTCTATTGTGAGCGCAGAGAGTGATCCGGGCCAAGGTTAGAAAACACGTCAACATAACGCGTTAGCCGACGTAAAACACAACAAACCACAAAAGCAACAGCAACAACAAGCATAACATCAGATAAATGTATGCCTAGTTTGTTTTTGGAAAACTCACGCACTTGCCACAACTGAGATGCCGCCACCGATCATTTCATTTCATCTCAGCTTAACGCGCCGCAACACAACGCAACTGATCTTGCGGTCTGAGGTGGAGGCAGGACTCGAATGTACATCCAATATGCTTATATATGCTACATTTGTATTAGATATAATAACATACATACATACAAACAAATAAACGCACAAAATTCATTTGGACATTTATACTCGTACATATAAAAATATTGATTTATAAATAACGCCGCATTTACTGCCGTTCACGATCACGATGGCGATCATGAATGTTATTATTATTGCTCGTATGTACTTTATTTTTGTATTTGTTTTATGGCTCAATTTGAGAAATTTCACATAAGTTGACAAAATAATAAGCTAATATATGCGGCAGCTTGACAATTTAGTTAAGGTTGACTGAGCACACGATCGAATACATCAACAGCTAATTGGCATAAATTTGTGAATTGTTAAATGGCAATATAAAACAATATATATATATATATATACACAAATGGAAATAGAAGAATAAGATGTCATAGCATTTAAGTTTCACTTTTTATTGAACTTCG